CCGCTCAACCGAACCCGCTCAAAAAGAGGTATATTTTATTAACCAAAGCCCCTTCTCCCCCGCACAGTGTCGTCGGCGTCCTTTCCCGCAGCCAGTCGCACGCCTTCAGCACCGCCCTCATGTTCGCCCAGGAGTACGGCATCCTCGCCGCGTCGCTGCAGGACCGGCCCTTCATCCCCGTCTCCACCGTCGTGCTCGAGGGCGTCCCGCGCGACATGAAGGCCGTCTTCCGCCGGTGGGAGGACCAGATGCAGCCCACGGCCGCGCTCATGGCCGGCCGCCCCCGCCGCGGCAAGAGCTTGCGCATCGTCGGTCTGCAGGCCGCGATCGCCGCTACCCGGGAGATCGGCCCTGCTGGCACTGCTGCTGGCACGGCTTGAATGGGATGAGACAGGACTTTTTGTTCTTCACGTGTGTTTGTGTGCGTGTGTGGTTAATGGCGTATGCTTGCAATAGAGCTGGTTTTGATCATGAGAGCGGGAAGTTTTTACTACCACGAAAACGTTGTGCAAAGTTGATGAATGGATTCAAAGCGAGGGACCGACGACGAGTATGGGATGTGTGGGAGAGAAGAGAAAAGAAAAACGAAGAAACTAAAAGCAAGTGTATTCGTGTAGATAATATCTGTTAGCCCTTCCCTTTTATTTCTTGCTCTTCTCTTTTTGTTTTTTTTTTCTCTCCCTCCCTCTCTTCTTCTTTTCTTCCTGCTTTTCTTCCTGAAAGAGAATCAATCATACAGTGAGGAAAAGAGGGGTTGGGACCTGAAAATTTTTTGGGTTTTGTTTTTTGTTTGCTTTTTTCTTCTTCCTCCTTAGTATCTTTCTTGCTCTGTTTTTTTGTTTCCTCTTTTCGCTTTTTTTTTCCTTCTCTTTTCCCCCCAATAAGCATTATCTAGCGCGTCCATTGTCCAGATTCTGGACTCATTTCCGTCTTCGATCGATCCAATGGCGTCTCCAGGGGACGTTGTTCCTTGTTCTCTTCTCGGATGGGCTTGCTTCTTTTTCTCTTTCTTTCTGGGTTCAATAGATGGCGGCGCGTGGGTATGGGTGGAGTTGTTCTTTCCAAACTCATAGTCGGCGAAAGTCGTAGTGACATCGAGGTATAATGAGAAAAGAATGAATGTCTTTTCACCAAGCGAAGCGAAGCGGAGTGGAGTGGATGGGATGTACTTTGTGTGTTTTTGTGATGAAAGAGGTCGTGTGACGTGTTTAAGCGGTGGAAGTTGTAAGTATGCATGTTCGTGATGAAGCCTAAGTTGGATTTCTTCTACGACTCGGTTTACGAGACAGTGAGGAAGGATGGCATGCTTTCTAATGGATGAAACGAAAGCACAGGAACGAAAAGAACGACTGTCATCGATCGTTGCTAGTAATGAAAGAGTATTTGTAAGTAATGAAAAAGTATTTGTACACGAGGGCATAGGAAAGAGCCGCTCCATAATCGGCATAGCATCTAAGAGCAATACCAATTGAAAGGACATCCGGTCCAAAGACGAAAATCCCGCAAACTTCGCGAACAGGTATTTCGTTCGTTTTCTGTCTCTCTTCGCCACGTCATCCGTTTCCAATCACCAAGTCTCACCAACACCAACCACCTGCGCCGTGACCGCTCGCTCTGCCGCGTTGCTCGAAGCCCAGGAAAGGCAAGACCCAATTGGCCATCTAACCAAAGCGAGTCGCACACACGCAAAACACACATGACGCATGCATTCATACACACATACAAAAGAACGAAACATGGCTCAGAGCTCCTTCTTCCAGAAATGCTCGGGAGCATGCGACGTCTCGTAATCGACGTGGACATAGCAGCGCTCGACGTCGGGCAGGCTCTCGAGCTTGGTCTGCAGGGCCTCGGCGACGTCGTGGGTGTTGCGCAGCGAGTCGTCGGGGGACATGACGATGTCGACCTCGACGATGAGGCGGGGGCCCGAGTGCCAGGCGCGGACGGTGTCGATGCCGGTGATGGCGGGCGAGTGGGTCATGGAGACGTAGGTGATGAGCTGCAGCATGGCGGTGTCGGCGGAGACGCCGATGAGCAGCTGGAACTCGGAGTAGGCGGTGCGCATCCAGAGGAAGGTGATGAGGCAGGAGATGACGATGGCGCCGGCGGGGTCGATGAACCACTTGAGCTTGGAGCCGCCGACCGAGGTGAGGATGCCGAAGCCGTTGATGAAGAGGTCGTTGCGGTGGTCCTCCCAGAGGATGCGGACCTGGCTGTACTTGTTGCGGAGGGCCCAGCAGTACAGGAAGAGGACGAACTTGGTGCCGAAGGCGGCGGCGACGGCGATGACCGAGGGCAGGTGGAAGTTGCGCGTGTCTTCGCCGTGGCCCTCGGCGAGCTCGCGGCAGGCCATGACGATGATGATCAGCGAGACGGCGGTCATGAGGAAGCAGAAGAAGATGTTGCCGGCGGTCTCGATGCGGGCCTTGCCCGAGGGGAAGCGGTGGGGGTTGACGCGCTTGACGGCACGGTTGGCCAGGATGAGGGTGATGTTGGACATGGGGTCGAAGATGGCGTCGGCCATGGTGGTGAAGAGCGACAGCGAGCCCGAGGAGATGGCGCCGTACAGCTGCAGGCAGACGAGGCAGATGTTGGCGGCGAAGGAGCCCCAGACGGCAATCTTGAACTGCAGGTTGTCGGCGCCCTCCTCCTCCTTGGCCTGGCGCACATGCTCGGAGACGGGCTTCAGCAGGCGCTCGATGTTCTCGTTCTGGGTCTCGTAGAAGGCCTCGACCTTGCGGGCACGGTGGGCCTTGGGGTTGGTGACGAGCGGGCCGCAGCCATCGCGCTTGCGCGACGTGTTGGCGCGGATCTGCTCGAGCTCGTGGGCGGGCTTGATCTTGTCGGCGAGGTTGAAGGGGTCGTTGGCGCGGTCGTACGAGGGCAGGGTCTGGCGCTCGACGTCGGTGCTCTCGTTGGTGAAGCGGGCGGCGTTTCGGTGCGAGAGCGGGTCCTGCGGGCCATCAGGCGGCGGGGTGGTAGGCTCGAAGGCGGTGCTGGTGCCGTTCTTGTTGTGGTTGGCGGGCTCGGGTGTACCCGGGTGGTCGACGGGCGTCAACGCGATGAATTCCGGCCTGGGGGATTCCGTCCGGTCGGCGCGCCCTGGCTGGCTGGCCTGGGTCGGAAACGGGTGCGGCCGCAGCGAGATCGAGTGGCGCAGATCGGATTCTGATGAAGTCATGGTTGGCGATAGAGGATGATGAAGAAGGGAAGAGAGGGATGAAAACTGCGCTTCCCCAGCCTTATCGCTGGCGCCGCGTGCCCAGCTCGCCGTCCGGAGCCCAGGTGCCCAGCTGGCTCGCCAGCGAATCGGCCGCCCACGCGCCATGAATTCCCGCTCCAGCCAAGCTGCTGTGGCACCGCCACGCCGCCGGATCTCCGTGCCCGGCGGTGAGCCGCCAGCCCGGCAGAATCCCGACTCTCCGAAACTTTTTTGGTCCCGGTGCAACCACCGCGCCGCCCTCTCCAAAAATGGCTCCCCGCACCCTCGCCGACGACTTCGTCCTGACCATCTCCGACGACGAGGACAACATCCCCGACCTCGACGGCGAGCCTGACCAGGACCTGCCCGCAGCCCCCAACAAGAAGCGCAAGCGCAACTCCACCCAACCCGACGACGACCTGAGCGCCTCCAAGAAAAAGAGCAAGAAGTCCAAGAAGCAGAAGAAGGCCCCGTCCCCGTCGCCAGAGCCCGACCATGACGATGAGGAAGAGAACTGGGCCGCCGCCGGCGAGGACGACGGTGCAATGGACTCTGACTTCGAGTTCCAGGCTGGCGACGTCGACATTGGTGTGATAGACGACTTCGACGGCTGGGGCCTGGAATCCGACGCCAAGAAGAAGGGCGGCGATAAGAAGGCCGTGGACATTGACGAGATCATTGCGCGCCGCCGCCAGAAGCAGGAGGGCGCCGACGAGCAAAACAAGAAGGCCGGGGCTGAGGACTCCGACTCCGACGCAGATCTGAGCGCGGACGAGGAATTCACCGGCCTGGACGAGGATGAGACCCTGGCGGAAGACGGCTTTGGCATGGGCGCTCAGGACGCTGAGGAATCTGGCGACGAGGAAGACGAGGGCGAGGACGAGTCTGAGGCCGATGAAGACGAGTCAGAAGAAGAGGAGGACGACGACGACGAGGAAGTCGCTAAGCCTGTGTCGCACCCAGACGACCTCCAGTCCGACTCTTCGGACGACGAAGAGCGGGAGGATCCTGTTGAGGCAGAACGTAGGAAGGCCTTCTTCGCCCCGGAGGAGAACCTGGATGGCTCCAACCCTCCTGTTGCGAAGGGCAAGGGCTCTTTTCAACACATGTCTCTGTCGCGGCCAATCCTCAAAGGTGTCGCTGCCGTTGGCTTCACCGAACCGACTCCTATCCAGGCAAAGACGATTCCCGTCGCTCTGCTCGGTAAGGACGTTGTTGGTGGCGCCGTTACTGGTTCCGGTAAAACCGGCGCTTTCATCATCCCCATTCTGGAACGTCTTCTGTACAGGCCTAAGAAGGTCGCCACCACACGCGTCGCCATCCTGATGCCCACCCGTGAGTTGGCCGTGCAATGTTTCAACGTAGCAAAGAAGCTCGCAGCCTTCACCGACATCACCTTCGCTCAGATTGTCGGTGGTTTCAGTCTCAGAGAACAGGAGAACACCCTCAAACAACGACCCGACGTCGTCATCGCCACTCCCGGTCGTTTCATCGACCACATGCGCAACTCCCCTAGCTTCGCCGTTGACACTTTGGAAATCCTGGTTCTCGACGAGGCTGACCGCATGCTCGAAGACGGTTTCGCCGACGAGCTGAACGAGATCCTCACCACCATCCCCCCATCCAGGCAGACCATGCTGTTCTCCGCCACCATGACTGACTCGGTCGACAAGCTCATCCGTGTCGGCTTGAACAAGCCAGTTCGCCTGATGGTCGACGCCAAGAAGACCACCGTCTCCGGGCTTGTGCAGGAGTTCGTCCGCCTGAGACCAGGCAAGGAGGAGAAAAAGCTCGCAGTCCTGATGTACCTTTGCGAAAAGGTCTACACGGACCGCGTCATCATCTTCTTCCGGCAAAAGAAGGAAGCGCATCGCGTACGCATCCTCTTCGGCCTCAACGGCATCAAAGCAGCCGAGCTGCACGGCAGCATGAGCCAAGAACAAGTAAGCACAACATCCAAACAACCCCCCCTCGACGAACATCCCAACTAACCAACACCACAGCGTATCTCCGCCGTCGAGTCCTTCCGCAGCCACGCGGCCTCCCACCTCCTCGCCACCGACCTCGCCTCCCGCGGCCTCGACATCAAAGGCGTCACCACCGTCATAAACTACGGCGCGCCCCAGTCGCACGAAATCTACCTCCACCGCGTCGGCCGCACCGCCCGCGGCGGCGCCACCGGCCGCGCCTGCACCATCGCCACCGAGCCCGACCGCAAAGTCGTCAAGGCCGTCGTCAAGGCCGCGCGCACCCAACAAGCCGCCGACTCCTCCTCCAAGATCGTCTCCCGCCAGGTGCCCCCCGCCGAGCTCGACCGCTGGGACGCGCGGCTGCGCGACGCCGACGACGACATCGACGCCATCCTCGCCGACGAAAAGGCCGAGCGCGCCCTCTCGCAGGCCGACATGGAGATCCGCAAGGGCGAGAACATCGTCCGCCACCAGGACGAGATCCTGGCGCGTCCCAAGCGCACCTGGTTCGAGACCGAGCAGCAGAAGCTCGAGGCGCGCAAGGCCGGCCGCGCGGAGCTGAACAACAGCGGCGAGCCCGGCGTGAAGAAGGAGAAGAAGAAGTTGAGCAACAAGGAGAAGAAGAGCTTGGATGCGGCCAGGGAGCGCAAGGAGGGCGCCGGCAGCTCCGGCATGGGGTGGAAGAAGGGCAAGGCGGAGCGCGCGGGCAAGGGCGCGCTGGAGCCGCCGAAGAAGAAGAAGAAGACGTCTTCGAAAACGCCGGCGAGGGGGCCGAAGAAGGGGGCGGCGGCGGGTGGCGGCCCGAGGAGGGGCGGGGCGAGGAGGTAGAGGTAGGTGGGGGAAAAAAAATTGGAGGGGGGGAAGCGGGCGTTTAGAAGTAGGTAGGAAAAAAATTCCAAATTTTAGTCGAAGTTTTGTTTTCTTTTGGCTATGCATATCTCTTCTGTCGTCTGTTGTGCAAATACAATATGTTCATATCAAGAACGTCGTGAGCGCTGCGCAACTTTTTAAATTCCTCGCTCCATGAAGACAGGTCATTGCACACACAAAAAACAATAGAAGTAGGTCCATTTTTATACACCTCCACCCCCAAGTAAAGAAAAATAAAACCGCTCAAACTTTTTCTCTCCTGAACCCTTTCTTCCCTCTCGCCTTTTATCCCTCTTACATACATACAAACAAACATCCAAGTTCCCCCCATCCCCATCCCCATCCCCCTCCCCCTCCCTCCCTCCTCCTCCCCCTCCTCCTACCTGCCCACCCACACAACTTATACCACTCACTGCAACATGCCCTCCAAACTCTCCCCCAAAATCTCCTCGATGCGCGCGATCCACCGCAGCGTCTCGCGCTCCACCTCCTCGTCGTCGTCCTCCTGCAGCTCGCTGATGAACGGCAGCATCTCGGGCAGCAGCGCGAGCCACTCCTCGCCGAGCGCGTCCGTCAGCGCGCGCTGCGCCCGCACCGCCGCGAGGCGCGTGGCGGCGGCGTCGGCGCGCACGAGGCGCAGGACGGCCGTGTTGAGGGCCTTGTGGTGGTCGGCGGCGTGGGAGGCGGCGGCGGCGAGGGCGGTGAGGGCGGGGATGGTGTGGGTGAGGAGGGGGGTTGGTGTGGTGGACGAGGAGGCGGAGAGTTGGGTGAGGAGGGGGGTGGAGATGGTGGTGAAGTGCGAGGGGGCGGTCCAGAAGTCTGGTGGTGGGGATGTTAGCGGTTTTGTTGTGTGTGTTTTGGGGTTCGTGCGAACTTACCGTCTTCGTCGTTCTCGAAGCTCTTCGTCAACGCTCCTAGGACAGCCTGCAGCAGCGCCGACTCCTCGACGTCGGTAGCCTTGCGGCTCAGGATTTCAGCGGCAAGCTCGAGCACGTAGCTGGAATAGCTGGTCACGATGCTGCGGAGCTTGTCGAAGAAGGCGTCAAGGAAGACGAATAGGCTGGTCGCACGCAGCATGCGACCGCGGGTCTCCTTCTTGGGCAGAGCGGCGGCGGCCCACTCGACCAGGCGGACGAAGAAGGGCCTGAAGGACGCGTCGTTCAGCTTCATGACCATGGTGAGAGCAACTGAGTTGATCTGCTCCTCCAACTCCTTGATCTCGGCAAGGGTCTCGTCCTCATTGGCGTCAGAACTGCTTTGCTTCTTCTCGAGCTGAGTACGACGGAGATCGAACGCCTTGAAGAAGAAGCTGAATAGCGTCTGTGCGCTCTTGCCAACGACAGACTTGGGGTGTGCCTCGAGAGCCGCATGCAGCATAGAGAGGTGTTCCTTCGGCGCCGGGAAGCCAGCCTGAACCGAGCTGTCCCAATTGCGGTCGAGTGCAGTGAAGCAGTCCTTCGCGTCAATTTGCCTGGCAGCCAGATGGTAAAACTGTTTACGGTTCTCATCCGCTTCATCACTGAGTTCAGCAGCGGCCGATTTGTGCGAGAGTTGCAATGCCGAATCGAGGTAAGAGCCCGAGAAGATGTAGGGAATGCGCTCGATTATGGAAGACAGAAGCGAGTACACAGCGTTGTGTAGACTGTCTCCTTTGGCACCTGCACTGATGCTCTCCTCCAGGTAGACGAAAGCCTTGGGGAGAACCTTCGGGATGAGAGGAATGAAGTCATCCTGCAGAATTTCGACGGTAGACGCAAGGCAAAGGATAGACATGACGCGCAGACGGTTTTCAGAGGCACCAAGAGCTTGATCGCCAGCGACGACTTCGGCTGCTGTTGCGACGACAGCAGTATCCTTCTTGCCAAACTTCTCTGAAATCTGGTCAATACAAGCAACGGCCGTGTGTTTGAGGCTGATATCTGCGGATTTCTGGATGACGGATGTGATGCGAGGCAAGAACTCAAGCAGCGCGATCCTGGCCGGGGCATCACCTTGCTTGACGTTGATTGCCTGAGCCTCCACAGCGCGAAGAGCCGTGCGACGAACATCGTCGCTTGCATGGCCGAGCAGGGTGTCTGTAGATTTGACGAGCTCGGCGGTCGGCAGGAGATGAAGGAGACTGGAGAGTATTTGGCCACAAGCGTCCTTGAGATCCTCCTGCTGCTTGAATTGCTGGGACATCTCGATGGTCTTCTCAAGAAGCTGAGTGAAAACATTGCGGACCGCCGTAGCATCCTCGTTGTCCTCCCTCAGGACTCTCAGAACCCTGTTGCGGAGGTAGCTGTCCTGAAGGAGCGATGAAAGCGCTTCGAGGAGAGTGACACCTGTTTCCTGGATTTGGTCCGCGTCCTTTTCACTGAGAGAGAAGAGGACTTCAGACATGGTACGCTTAGGCTTCAGTGCATCTTCAATAAGCTCGAGGTACCGCCTGGACGCCTTCAAGTTGGTGACAGGATCAAACATCCTCATCAGCTCAACGGCGAAGCGGCGGACTGCCGCGTCCTCGGGATACTTTTCGAGAAGCATGGCGAGAATTGCAAAAAGAGAGTCGTCAGGGCCAAGCTTCTTGGTCAATTGTCCAAACAGACCAAGGCGACGGTGGAGAGGAATGTGCTCATACGCCGCAGTGAAGCTGAGCAGAAGGTCAGCAGCGCCGAGAACGAGATCCCTCTTCCTCTTGCGAAGTGATGCAGCAAGGGGCGGCACTACGCGGGAGACCGTCTGGTCGACCACATGTGCGGAATAGTCGTCAGTCTGGCGAAGGATCGAAGAGCCCATGAAGGTAAAGATTGGCATGACGCTGTGAAGCACGACATCCGGAACGCATGTAGCCAGACTAGAAATGAGCAGGAGTGCCGCATTCTGGACCTGTGGGTTGGACGTGTGGCGAACGCATTCGACTAGAAGATCGGCGCGGATAGCTGCTTGCTCGATTTCTGCGCCGGTAGCCTTCATCCTGTCGACAATAGCGAGAAGGGAACTGATGATGAGGCTCTGGAGGTAAACCAGGCTGGAGCTTGTCTGGACCTTGTACTGCTGAAGCTCACCAAGAATGTGGAACAAGCCGCGTAGCAGAGCAGGATGGTTCTCCGGAGACGAACTTTCGACGAGTTCGAGGACCAAGGTGAGTTTCTCCAGAGCCTTCGTCGTCTCCTCAGTATCCCTAGGATCGAAACGGGCCATCTCAGCCTTGCTCGTTCTCCTCCGCTTTGCCGCGGGTGGGTTCTCTGGGAGTTGCACGGCATTCGGGATGTCATCAAGGAAGGAAACGAGGACATCCGTGGGTAGTTCGACGGTCCTCAAGGTCTCGAGAGCATTCTCTTGTCTAGTCTTGACAAGTGCGTCATTTGACGAATCGAGAGCAAGACCCAGCAAGAATTGAGCTGCCTCCCGCTTCATGCCACCCTTCAACGAGGACCAGATTGCGCGTAGGCGCTCGAAAGCGGCCTCCTGGATGTTGGGTCGATCCGTTCCAAACTTGCCCTCGATAATTCTCTGCAGCAAGTGCAATCCCTCTGAATCGCGAGATCCAATTGCGCGGAGATGAAGTAGGTCAACCTCCACTAGATCGAGAGACTCAATGCTGCAGATAGCAGTGGCTTCAGCTCTAGAGAGGGAGAGCCACTTCTCTACAGCGGGGAGCATGATCTGAATACGAGAGCTTGACCCACTCTTGCCGACCTGATCAAAGAACGAAAACAGGCGCAGCCTGATTCCAAGGAGCGGTGTGTTCACAGCGTGACTGCTCAGAAAGCCGCAAAGAGAACTTCTGAGGGAAGACCTGAACTCCGGACCATGCGCCGGGGCACCCCCATGCTTGTGAGAATTGTCATCCATTGCTGTCTGGAAGACTTGTTTTATGTGGTTCGCATCCAGGGCGCATTCTTCCAAGGTCGGCAGGACAGCGGCAGTCAGCACTTTAGCAGCATCCTCAGTAGGGAGCCACTTGATGGACTTGGAAGAGTTCCCGTAAATCGTCTCGCGACCCCAGACAACAGCCTTAGCACCTTTCTTCGCGGGGAATTTTCCGGAAAGAACTGCAGCGCATTCTGCGGCAGTTTTGCGGACACCAGCCGAGCTATCTGCAAGAGCGCTCACGACGTAGGGGATGAGAGCCTGGAAGTCGATCTTGTCGTCTTGTAGCGCGCCAAACCATTGCGTTGCCAGTCTCAATGCAGTACTCCTTGCCAAAGCTGGATACGATCCACACCAGAACCGAGCAAGGAAAGTCAGATAGCGCGAGTCATTCTCAGAGAAGAGAGCAACCTGCGAGAACTTTTCGAGAGACTCCTTGGAGGACACGCACCGCAGAAATGCTTTTGAGAGAGCCTCGAATGTCGTAGAATCATGAGAAACCAAGAACGATTCCTCCGATGCCTCAGAGGGCAGGGTGGAGAGCACGTCCTCAACTGCATCTGGAAGCGCTGCTTGAGAATTCTCCATGTCGACGTCTTCGTCCTCGTCTTTCTTAAGCTCCAAAGCTGGCCGCAGAACAGTCTTGAGCTGCATTTCCAGCTCTTCGACGTTCATGCCTTCACTCTCAATGACCTTTGCGATAGTCTGTCCAATGTCGGGCGATTGGTTGAGGCGGATTATCAGATCGGCCAGTAGGTTTCGCTGCTCAGAAGTAACATCGGCGGCCAAGTTGATCCGGTGAACGGTGACAAGAAGCCACTTGACTATCATACGGATTTGCAGATCGTCGTAAATCTCGGCGTGCAAGGTCTTCTCCACCACATCCAGCCGTGCCGAGCTGTCTTGAGAGGCCGACTTGCCATACTTCTCCATTATTCCCAGAACGCAACCAAAAGCCAGCTTGTCAGCACGACACCGCTGGGAGAGGACCAGAAACCTGGCGGCCAATTGATCCAATTTAAGAGTACTCCTCAGGACGTTCTTGGGCAGTTTCCCAACCCGTCGCTCTTGGGCCAAAACTGCAAGGGAAGTCAAGGCGTCACTCAGCGTTTCTGGAGTCCAGCTAGAAGTGATCGCTTCCATCATTCCATTCAAAAGTTTGTCCTCGAGCGAAGCCTTGGTTGCCATGACCGTCATAATCATGTAGCAACCAATCTTCAACTCCGGCGCGTTTCTCAGGGTCAAAGCTTCGTTGAGCACGGGCAGAATGCGCAGGATGACATCCTCCTCGCGCTGACGCTGTACGTTTCCTCTGCCGGCCTTGGCCTCGTCCAACATGCCGTGAATGGCTTGAGTGGTCACACTAGCCCAGAAGGAGATGAGGGCTGGCGATTGCTGATGAGCCTTGGTGACCTTCAGAACATAGGAATTGAGCGCCGACAGGAAGGCCGGGGTGTGAGTGGCTGTGTAAACGATGGTTTGACGCGGCGGGCTCGCGAGCGAGGTAATGTACGGGAAGAGGAATCGGTAGGTAGGCGAGAACTTCTTAGGCAGGATGGAGAGAAGGCTCAGGAAGACGGGAGTGCCGTGATACGGGAGGAAGGTCAAGATGGTAAACTCGGTGTTGTATTCATGGATACTGCAGCACCAAGAGATGTCAGCGCAGGCCCACCGAAGGCAGCATTGGCGAAGCTAAGCATACCGGAAGCGGCGCACCAGCCATTCGACAGCCTTGACAGCAGGCTTCAGCAATATCCTGGCACCCACCAGACCGAGAAAGCTCTCCAGGACAGGGTCGAGCTCCTCGTTCTCCTTCTTGGTCATTTGGGTCCTGTCCTCGGTCTTGCTCTGTTCGCTGAACAGGTTTTGCGCGAAGGCGGCGAAGCGAGGATCCAGCATGCATAGCTCCTGGAAGCCTTCATGGCATATCTGGTAGATGGTGTTGAAGTCCTGGGAGGCGGCAATCCTGGGTTCAAACAGCAGCGACTTGCCGTGGGCGGTCTTCTGGGCCCTCAGGTCGAGCTGATGGGTGCTCGAAGCTGCGATTCCCGCGAGCTGCTTCTGGAGGCTGGTCGTCATATTGGCGAGAGGGTCGTGGCGGCGTAGCGCAGGACTGCGGCCATGGAAAAGAGGGGCGATTTGGAGAGCTGGAGCGCAGCGCAAGGTGTGAGAAGACGCTGGGAGAGTCGCGCGGCGGAGTGGATGCGATGCGCGCCTTCAGAATTGAAAATGCGCTCACCGCCCCAACTTTTTCTGCCGCCCCGGCCCGAATCGCCGACCGACGCTGGCCCGCTGCCGCCGCTGATCTCACTGCCGCCGCCCTAACAATGCACCCTCCCCAGGTACGTACGCCCCGCTGATCCGCCCCAACGTCGCCAGTTAATCATGGACCAGGGCGCAAAACCCACCGTGCCCAAGTTCTCGAGCTTCAAGCCAAAGCCTCCGCCGTCTGCTCCACCCAAGGACTCCAGCCCCAGTCCCGACGACGAAAGACACCACCGCCCACGAGACCGACACGGAGATCAAGAGCGGGATCACAGGAGCTCACACAGCCATCGTGATCGTAACAGCCGCAGCTACCGTGATGACCGTGACCGCCGCCACCGCGATCGAGACCATCGTGAGCACCGCGAACGGGAGAAGCGCGACGATCACCGCCATAGGCACAAGCGTGAGACCGACACCAGGCGTCGACATGCCAGTGAGGAGAGACGTGACGACCGTGCTGTTGCAGAACCACAGCCTCGTAAACAGCCGGTGAACGAGGATGTCATATACGTCATCGATCGCAAAGGCGACTTGGCCAATCTGCAGTATGGCAGACTACACCAATACAGCGTGCCGCCTTATTACAGGGCAGGCGCGGGCTCTGTGCTGGGACTACCATCCGATGCGAAAATCGACAGGTTCGCCTCCGACGACCGCACCATTGTCATTGACCCGCGCCGACGTCGCGGGGGATCTGAACGCCAATTGTTATCGAAACGAACCTCTGGAAAAGAGGCTCCGATCCTGCGTGTTATCAGGCCAACTGATGCCGATGCTGCCGGCGAGCTCAATCCGAATCAGGACTTCATTCCTATACGCAGCCTGAAGAGGAAGCGTGGTTCAGAATCTCCTGAGCCAGAGGCGAGTAGAGTCGACTACAGATCAATTGAGGGCAAAGCCAAGCCTAGCAACCAGCCCGATGACTCCGACTTGGAGTATGCTAGTGATGACATGGATGCCGGCTCACACACTGATTTCTTTTCTGAAACAAAAGAACGGAATGTGTTGCTGACCAGGAGAGTTCAAGACCATCCCAATGATCTTCAGGCCTGGCTGGACCTCGTCGAACACCAGGAGTCGATGCTCCGTATAGGGTCGTCTGACACCCATCGCCAGCTCAAGTCATCAGAGCTACATGCTCTTGCATCTCTCCGTTTTGACATCTACCAGAGAGCTTTGAAAGCTCTGCAGTCAGAGCGCTTGGTCGTCGGTCTCATGGAGGAGAGTTCCAGGATCCATCAGAGAGAAGAGCATTTTAGCCGCTGGAAACAGGCGCTCTCGGACAACCGCGAAAGCACAACTTTGTGGATGAAATACCTCGACGCTTTACAAACTAATCTTTCCGAATTCCACTTTGAGAATTGTCGGTCAAAGTTTTTGGAATGCCTGAAGATCATCTCGAAGTCTACGACCAAGGAAGCTCAACAACTCCGTGTGTACATTTTCCTGCGACTTACATCGCTAATGAAGCATGCCGGCTATCACGAGAGGGCTGTTGCACTTTGGCAAGCACTACTGGAGATACAGCTATTCAGACCAACCTACGAGGACAACACGCCCAATTCAACGATATTGCAAGACTTCGAAGAATTTTGGGAGAGTGAATGCCCCCGCTTCGGCGAATCCGGCGCCGTAGGCTGGGCAGCTGCCAAACAAGATGGGGAATTCCCAGACCCGCCCGAATCTACTGTTCATGACGAAGAGGAAGATATCTCTTTGCGACGCCTATTCGAATCCTTTGCCGTGAAGGAAAACCGCCGAATGGCTGTTTTGCAATGGCCGGGACGGACTACAGACGAATTTGGAGAAGACGACCCTTTCCATGTCGTTCTCTACTCTGACATTAAAAGCGAGCTCCAACTCATGGTAGAAAAACTGCCACCAACATTGCTCGTTGGAGCCTACCTTTGCTTCTGGGCCCTCCCACCATTGCCACACGATGTCCAGACTCGCTCTTGGTGGCTTGACCCTTTCTTGCGAAATGAGAGGCTCAATGCTAGCATTCCCGGTCGCCTTCTTCTGGCTCCTTCGCTTGATTCCGAGGCTGACCGCCACTATGAGCTCGACAGCTGGAGCCCACCTGCAGCGTACTTCCAGGTAGCAACAGACGATCTTTTCTCCAAGGGCTTCTTCTCAGGGCAGCGCAGTCAAGAACAACTGGACTGGCTGAGCAGATCACTCAAGGCTTTGTCAGCCTCCGTCCCGGACGACACGATTGCCGAGTATTACTTCGCTTTTGAATGGCAACACTACGATCCGACCAATGCAGCAAAGACTGCAAGGGCGCTGCTGAAGAAGCGATCATCTAGTCTGCGTCTGTACAACGCATATGCCCTGATGGAGAGTCGCCTTGGAAGATTGGAAGTAGCTAATCGCGTATTCTCCATGGCAATAGCGTTGAGCAATCAGCTGCCTACTGATGCCCGCAAGTACACAATATTGCTATGGCGGTCTTGGATTTGGGAAGCCCTCCAAGCCGACGATCTGAGATCCGCCAGGCACCGCGTCTCCTCTATCGGCGAGGCCAAACCGGAGCCAGAAGCACGCACCATCATCACTGACGGCGAGACGTTCCATCCTGCCACCGTCCTCAAAGTTCGCAACACCCTCATCGAAGGACGGGATCACAACATGTCTGTTGGCGACATCATGCTGGCAGTGTACTATGCAGAATGCTTCGCTCTCTTCACCTACATTCTAGAAGGATGCAACATCGAGGCGGCATTGGGCACGTTTCTCGAATTTTCATCCTTACTACAATCCCGCGGCCTACTACACTCGGCCGCCAACGAAGTCGCCCATCAATCTCAGTGCCAACTGCTCTCATACCACTCCAAGCGCGCCAAACTCTTCAAGCCCTCCATCACCCGCTCCGTGGTACAAGAAAGCATCAAGCTCTTCCCCAACAACACCAAATTCCTAACCACATACGCCGCCAACGAGGCCCGCTTCCGCGTCGACGACAGGGTCCGCGCCATCATGCAAGACGTCGTCTTGCAACAAAAGGAACAATCCATCGCCGCCTGGCTCTTCGCCGTCTACTCGGAACTCAAGCGCGGCGAGAACCTCGGCGGCACCACGCACGCCGTCCGCGCCGCCTTCGACAGGGCAACGGACAGCGAACCCGGCAGGAAGAGCGCCGCGCTGTGGGCTTCGTACGTCCTGTACCTCGCTTCCGCCGCGTCGGACCGCCCGGCGGCGAAGCGCGTCTTCTTTCACGGCCTGCTGCATCTGCCGTACTCGAAGGGGTACCTCATGCTCGCGTTTGACGAGCGGCTCGTCGGCGAGATGGACTGGAAGGAGTTGAGGAGCGTGTATAATACGTTGCAGGAGAAGGAGCTGCGCGTGCACTGCGATATCGAGGAGGAAGTTGAGGAGGTGCAGAGGGCGATTGACGGTGGTGGTGGTGGGCGGAGGCGGAGTAGCCAACTGGCGGTCTCGGCGGAGTGAGTGCGAGGGTGTGGGTTGGGAGTTGTCTGAGGGGTGAGGGGCGTATGGTCACCGATCGCTCTTGGTCTTGTGAGATCTTGAGGTCGAAGGTCCTTGATGGGGTAGGGAACAGGCTTGATTTCGGGGGAGGGGTATCTTGGGGCAGCTGGACCAAAATGAAAGCTTGAGCTTCATCGGCAGGTTCGTGGTTGAAGAAAGGAAGTTGATCTCTGCTGTTGTTCGTCTCGTAAGATACGAGAGCATTCTGGCAATGAAGTAACATCTTGACTGACCAGTCTAGACAGCGTCAAAGCTGCGTTGAGCGTAAAGGGAAGCATACCAGGAGACCTGAAACAGCTATTGCGACGTGTTGTGCTCTTCCCATTGCCGGTGTCTGAAGCGAACATTCGGACGTAGACTTCGACTTTGAAATCTACATGCTGAAATGACTATTGATGACGTGATACCTACTGCCAGGTGGTAAAACGTAGCCGCAGCACCTACACGAAGACAACGCCAATTGAAAAGCGCAGAGACGTGGCTTGCATCGCAGCAAGTCATAAAAGTCGCGAGGACCCCCACCGCTGGGGTTACGTTCTTCTTCTGCGGGTATTCGATCAGGCTAACATCCAGAGGTAGCTGTGAGGTTCAACGCCGTATAACAAACACGGTCAGAAAGAGGGATGTCACCGACCTACGTAATTGTGAGACAAAATCTCGGGAGGCCTCGTAACCCGCGCTGCTGTGGCGTTTTTTTGCGCGCGCGCGCGGAGTCGTTCCGTCGGCGGGGAATGATCGTCCCCGGGAACGCACTCCCATTCTTCCTTTGACTCCCTGCATGATGCGCTCAGCGATAGATACGCGAGGTGGCAACGTCGAAAAACATCTGCCTGGCCGCCTCTCTTCCGACAACGACAACAGCAAACAACAAACAACAACAACAGCAACGACTCCTCCGAAAAAAAAAAAACCTAAAACCTAGAAGCCCAAAAAGAAAAGAAAAACCTACAACAAGACACCCCTGCCCATCCCCCCAAATTCTTCCACCAAGAACCACAAAAAAAAAAGAAAATGCAACCACCACCACACATCCCAAAACAAACTCCCCAAATACACATCCCCCTCGAACTCCACATCCACATCCTCGCCTTCGTCCCCTCCGCGCCCGCCTGGCCGCTCCTCGCCTGGCTCTGGCGCGACTGCCGGCAGGCGTCCGCGCTCGTCCGCGCCGCCGCCGAGCGGGTGTGGGTGGATCGCCATTTACCAGTACTGCCATTGCAGCGGCGCGGGATGATGATGGGCGGTGCTGGTGTGAGGGTCGTGTTCCCGTTGGGGGTGATGGCGGCGGCGGGGGGGACGGTGTATGCGGTGGAGGTTGTGATGAGGTGTGTGGGGTTTGAAGGGGGGGAGGAAGAAGAGGATGGTGGGGAAGGGGGGAAGAGGAGAGCGGTGTTTAGAGACGTGCGGCCGGCGGAGTGTTTCGGGGCGGGGGTGCTGGAGGCGACGAGGGCGCGGTGGAGGGAGGCGGTGGAGAGCTGGAGGGGGGATGATGGTGATGATGGTGAGGGAAGCAGCAGTGCATTTCAAGAAGTAGAACATGCCGACGACGACGACGACGACGACGACGATGCCCCGACGACAGAGGGGAAGGAGAAGAAGGCGAGGGTGAAAAAGAAAAATAAGAGCAAGTACACCTCGCTGCGTCCGGAAGCGTGGCGGTACTGGGTCGAGATCCGCGGCCTGGCGCTGGACCCAGAGCTGCCAGACCTGCGCGTCGACTACGAGAAGATGGAAATCTCCTTCGACTGGCGGCGCATGCTGGACGAGTTCTTCGGCGAAGAGGCCTACGCCCGTCGTCGCCTTGCAGACATGGTGCGTCGTAATGCTTCCCCCTTGCTGCTTCACCCCATCTACATACTCAGGAGTCGAGGCATATGGTAACCAGGTCCAGCCATCAAAGCTGACGGAAGCAGGAGGCACTCGATAACACTCGGATCGAAAAGGAATTGGAGGGTGATGCAGGAGCAATGGCCTCCTCCTGTGATGGGACGCATGTTCCTGAGAAGCAAACGATACGTGACGGCGACGTAGATGGTGGCACACTGCTGGACAAGCGACGAGACGTGGTGGAGGAGCCTGAGACGGAGGCTTATCTCGCCGCCCGACGCCAGAGGATCAAGAAGTGGTACAGGAAACGGAATGGCCAACGGCGACTCGGGGACGGCGATTGGTCCATGTCAGAAGAAGCCGTCCCACCAAGTAGCGATGATTCCGCCGCTGAGCGCGAACGAGTCCTCGAGATGTTGAAGCTCCGCGAAGACCTCGCAAAGGACGTGTCGATATGCGACAACGCGGACGAGGTGCGGGCAGTCTACCGCTGGAACACGGAGCATGATGGCATTGATCTATGAGCACGCATCACCATCCGGCATTATTTCTGGACCGTCCTATAACCTGGGCTCGCACAGCGATCCCGATTAGGCACACGGTCTTCCAATTCCTTGATCAACGCCCCCTTCCCACTAGTCCAGGAGGCGTTGCGGATGCCAATAAGCTGATGTTTGAGAGAAGCCACATTTGGCGGCAACGACTAAACATACTGGTCCGTCCGGCAAGTGGTGCGGAAGTGCCTGATGGCAGACCGAGCAGTAGTAGAAAAAAGAGGCGTTCGCTCGCTGGCCGCGGCCCGCAGCGCAGCCTTCTAAGTCGCCTGTCGAGTTCATCTTTTCTGCAGGTCGTCATTTCCACCAGCGGCCGCACTGACCTGGTTGTGCCTGCACGTTCCGCGTCGGACGGTGCTGTCTACCTAGCCCAGGAAAACTAGTTCTCCACAGTCCGCCTCTTTGCTTCCGGCCGTTGTTCGACGTTGGGCCGCGCTTCGCGAAAGTCGCGACAGCCCTGCCCCGGGCGCCACAGCTTGAAACCGGAGCTCTCGGTGGGGTATGTGCAGGTATCCAAATCTCGAATGGCGGATTGTCAATCCAAGATGGACCACGGCGGCGGGTTTCTGGCTGGGGGGGATGAGCAGCGGCAGCCGGCGAAGGCTGACAACCGAGACATGCAGCCCTTCGACAGGGCCGAAGGAGTGGTGGTGTGTGTGGTGTTGGAACTAAAGGGCGTAAGAACATGACTACTTCCTCCCCTGGCGCGGCAGCGAAGGGAAATGCACATGTCCTGCTCGCGATTCGCCCGCCGTTCAATGACGTCCGGGCCCTTTTTGATTAATTCCGCGGAGGAGAGGACCCTTTTTGGAAGGCCACCTGGCAGGCTCATGGCTGGGGCAGGCAGCACTGCTTACCTTGTTGGTCAACCTCTCAGAAAGCAGGATCCGCCGTCTGCTCTCTGCGCACTAAGTCATTATCCCGGCCGCATCCTTCTGGCATCATCCTTGCGGACCGCCGTTGCTCCGAGCTCTCCCACGTCCCCTCAGGAGGGAGGTCCGGGCTTTGACGTCGTTGACAGCCTCATTCCGCCGGCGGTCGCGAGAGGGAAAATCCTCGGCTGCTCGCAATGTCCAGCGGGAGCCAGCACTGATGATGTGTTCCTGTGAAGAAGCGAGCGCCGGATCGGCGGTTGGTCCAGGCGGCCACGCATGTCGTCAACTCTAAAAAAAAACAAAATGCCGAACGACGCGGGGCTGGTGATCGGAAGTTAAATTCTTCACGACTCACGAAGAGCAGACTCTCAGGTCGCCTCTTTTTTCTTATTTTCGGCGCCTTGTCTATGCAGTGGAGCTGAGTCTCGGACCGCCCAGGAGGAGCCGGCAAGTGCCATGAATCTCGTCGCCCTCTTCCGGTTCCACGGAGCGCCGGCCAAAGTCGAGGGCGGAGGCTGCGTGATGCGAGGCCGCAGGGAGACGGACGTCTTGGTCGGAGCGGCGAGAAGCATCAACCAAAAACGGTCGTCCCACCGCCCGCTCGGAGCTCGGATCGGGATGCAGTCGAATGCACGAGCCGTGCGTTCGGAGCCGCTCGCCGTGCTCTGCCTCACGATGCTACGCAACGGCCAGCCAATTTTCAACATCCCTTCCTCTTCGGTCCATGCCCAGGATAACGCGCCTTGCTGTGATCCGATTGCCGAAGCAGAGCAGTGACGTGTCGAGCAGCTCGGAGCAATGCTTGACTCAGCATCCTGCCCCCCGCCATATCATGGTTTGTTTGTGGCTTGGTCGGCGTCGTTCCGGCGACAGATCTCTTGGTATCGCCCGCCAATCGTCGGTACGGACTCCGACAGATGCGAGTACGGAAGCACAGGGAGAATGGGAGAAAACGTCGCGGGCGCGCGTACTGGCTCGTTCCGGATTGGACGATCGGCGGTTCCTGCGTCTCTGCGTCTGGGGCGGATGGACAGGATGATCGACGAGCGCCTTTCCCAAGCAATGACCGAGCGCACAGGCTGTCTGTGGCTGCTGCTCGCTCCGCGCAAAGTGCGCTTATTCTCGCCTCTGCTGTGGGCTGTCAAGCACACCTGGACCCTTCTTTGACGCCAGCCTAGCCGCGGCCTGCTGACTGGTCTCGCGAAACGCTCCTCCTTGGCACATCGTCAGCAGATTCATGATCAGTCATTTTTCGTCGTTGGAGATGGAGAGGCATGGTCGAGAGCGGGGTAGATGGCAAGAAACAATGGTTCTGCCCAGGCGGCTGCCGCTGCCCCTCCCTCGCGTCCCATCCTCCGCCTTGACGCGAGCCGCGGCGGCAAGAATGGCATCCGCGCGCATGTGCACAAACGAACACGTACGTAGGGCCACGCCTGGGGCGCCTGGCTGCTTGCTGGATAAATGTCGTGCTGGGACCGAGTCAGTGGCTTGGAGGAGTAGTGACGGGCCCACATATGATTCGTCTTTGGCGAAGGACGGAGCACTTTATGCAAATCAGCGTGCATAGGTAGCGCGGCAGACGCTATGACTGCTTAATGCGCGTCTTCAGCCTGACTCAGCACCACGCCCGACCCGAACCTCGTCCTCCTCGCCCGTCTTGTGCTGTCCATCAGGCTTGCCGCCGAAAATTAACAGTAGTCCTCGCCCTGTGTGCGTGGCCGGAATGTGACGTGTGTGGGCCGCCCGACAGTCTTTTTTTCTCTCTCTCTCTCTCTCTTTTATTCTCTTCTCTGCGTGCACGCCCCGTCGAGGATGGAGAGGTAGGGGTCCGTTCCAGATCAAATGGCCCCGGAGCGCGTCTCCACCTGGCCCACGGCAAGCATGTTCGGGGAGCTGGCGCGAACACTACAGCGTACCTAGAGCTTTCCCGTACCGGTCGCATCGCACGACGCGCTGCGCATGGTACTTGAGCCCACAGCCGCTAATTGGTCGCTGTCAGAGGTTAATGTCGTAACCGCCTAGGTACACGCGCGGTGGGGGTGCGGCTTTCTGGGAGGAGCTAAAAAAGACGATGAACGGCATAGGAATGTTGCTACTAATGCCGCCACCGCTGCCGCTGCCGGCTCGCTTGAAAGGACCGCATCATCTGGCAGATGCCCCGTCACACTCCTCGCGTCCGGGAACGGCGTGACTCGAGGAGCTGAAGGTCAGAAGGATGCCACGGCTATCCCGCCCCGGTGCTGGCGTTGCGACTTGGTGTGCTGCCCTAGTAGTGGGCACTTGTCCGAGAGCTTCTCTTCCCTCCCCCAAGCCCGGAGTGGCTCGGACGGCCTTTTCGTCCCTGGCGTAGCAGGATCGTGATGGAAGAACAAGCAAGCAGTCGTCTGGTCGTGTGATTGAGCCCTGCTGCTTCTGAGCTCCCCCCTCCCCATGTCGGATGCTGCAAGGGCGCAGGAAGCAGGCTGGTACCTGACTCGGCCCCGGGAGCAGCAGGGCTTTCTGTTCATTTTTTTTCTTTTTAAATTTTTTTTTCTTGCAGGAGTCGCAGGACGTGCGATCAGAGGCAGTCGCGCTTAGGCCCGCGTTGCCGGAGACGAGGTTTAGGCGGCACTCGGGAACAGCGGAGTGGGGACTCTTTTTTGTGTGTGTCTGCCATGGCCGGACGTCGTCTCGCATCCGCTCGTCCCTCCTGGCTCTGACGCAGGCGGCATTGGGCGGCCGCTGCTGGCTGGCTGCTGCTTTTGTGGATCCGCGGACGAGGCGTTCGCAGTTGCGCAGGGCAGGGGGCGCGCGCAGCAGCAGCAGCAGCAGCAGCAGCAGCAGGAAGCAGCAACCAAGTCGCACAGCAATTGCTTTGTGGGCCCTGATGTTTCTAAACATACAAGGCCTGCAGATCTGGCTTTGCGGCGAACGATCAAAGAAAACCACCAAAAAAGTAAACAAGGAAAGAGGCGGAAAAGCAATTGCCGGGCGACCAAGAGCTTCATGTTGATCAAGGACTGCTAGAGTGTTGCATGTTTGCAGCTGTCGGGCCTCGCTGCTGCTCAGCCTGCGCCGCCCGCTCCCTCCCAAACCACGCCCTGCCCTGCTGCACTGTAGTGCCGCCGCTTGTCGGAGCAGCTGCCGCTTCGAGCTGCACCTTGTGTCCAGCCAGCAGTGCGATATGCCGCAAGGGGCGAGCATCCAGCGCCCTGGCCGTGGGAAGTTCGAGGCTTGCAGCGAGGGTCTCGCTACTAGCTAGATTGTTGTTATTATTTCTCTCCTCACAGGCAGCAACTGGGCGTGCGGGTGGGGGCAGGGCGCGGCGGCCAGGCCAGGGCCGGCCAGAGCAAGCAAGCAACCAAGCAAGCAACCAAGCAAGCAACCAAGCAAGCAACCAAGTGCACAGCACAAGCACATCAGCAGCCATCCGCTCTCCCGCCCTAGGTAGGTGCCAAAAGTGCCACCTGCGTGTAATCATGGCTACCGGCAGCAACAAGCTGCCCCGAGACACGTCATGGCTTCCGGCTTTTTCTGCTGTCATGTGCCGGACATTCTCGACAACTCGGAGCAGACAGCAAAATCCCGAGCCGAAAGAGAAGGAGGCCGCTGCTTTGTTACAGTCTCGACGATGCCCGGTCTCTAGGCTGACTTCGCAAGGCGCGCCTTGGCTCAGGATCGCCCCGACGTGCAGAGAAGGGTCTCCCTGTCGGGTGCCACGCCAGCGCATCACGCCCATGGGCGATGCACGTACAATCGAGGGTGGCGCAGAAGCGTCGTCTCGGGGAACGTTGTCTTGGGAAGAGGGCGGGTCCGCCTGCTTGGGTTGCTTTCACGGCCTTCTAGTTCTACAGGAGTTTTGCAAAGCGGGTTAGCTAAGGTACACGTCCAACAAAAAAAAATACCATGTCATGCGTAGCTCGTCTCGTCGCGTTCCCAGTCCGTCCAATCGCTTGCTGCCCAACCCAACCTCCGCCCTGGCCCAGCCCTGCCCTGCCTGCCTGCCACACCCTTCCCCCCTCCTTCCGCCGGCTCTAGGTATTTCAAGAAAATGAAATCGTCCCGTCGTGCAAGGCCCGGACTCCTCCCACCCCCACTGTTCCGCACTCCAGCAGCACCCAACGCCAGCAGCTGCAGCCCGTGCCAGCCCAGCCTCCTCCCAAGACGCCAGTCCCAGCTTTCCGTCATCACAAGCCCTTGTGTTCCCCCTCTCTTGTCCCATCCGTCGACGTCAGCAAGCCTGAAGCTTTGTGTCCGGAACCAGCCCCCATGCCAGCTCATTACTCGGAACTTCGTACATCAAACCTAGCGCCGCGCCTGGAACATGCTCGATGTTTGTACAGTGAGTGAGAAAGAAAAAGGAACGCCATGAACACCCGTAGCCCATGCGCGCCCCCCCGTCATCCCAAGTGCCGGAATGCATGAGCCAGTTCGACAAAGAAAAGGAAAAAGAAAAGAAAGAGAGCAAATACGACGGATAACGAAAAGAAAAAAAAAAGCCAGAGGCTGAGAGCTGAACGCAGCGCGGCCGGCTCCCCGAGTCGGAAATCCAGTGAAGCCCGGAGATGGAAGGAAAGAAAAGCAGCTGACGAGCGAGCACCTGGTACAGAATTTACAGAATAGATCAAGGAAATATTCGCGTTCTTCGTATCGGGACATTATCGAGTGAGTCGCGTGTCACGTCGTTCATCGCCTTCGCGCCGCGGCGGCTCCTTGGCCGCCTGTGCCCGTTTGCTCCTCCATCGTGTCCAGCGTCTTGGTGAGGACTGCGGAGTGTCAGTCACGTCTGAAGCGCGCTTGGTGCGGCGCCACTGCGAACTTACTTGCGACAATCTCTTCCTCCCACACTCCCATCTGGTAGTCAACCAGGCCGTGCTTCTCCATCGAGTCGCAAAGACCCACCAGCTCCTTGCCCATATTCTCCATGAAGTCGTATTCCATCAGGCTTTGCGGCGGACGTGGCGCCTGGCCGGCCTCGGCGATTTCGTGCACCATCTCCTTCTGTTTTTGCAGGATGCTGAGCCAGGCCGTGTTGAACTCCTCCCAGAGTTTCAGGCGCTCTCCGTGCATGGGCTCGTCGTCTCGAACTAGACCTATTGTCAATTCAGCCGCTCGTTCGTGCTTTGGGGCGTTGCGTGCAGCTTACCCAGCGCTTCCGCGTTCCCCAGCAACCATTTCGTGATGCGAAGCAGGCAGCCGCCACCTTCGCCCAGCCGGCCGTCGCGGATGCATTCGAAGGTCCTCTTGACCTGCGTCTGGTATTCGGCGTAGGTGTTGTCCCAATCCGACGCGCCCTGCGTCTGGGCGTAGTTCCCTTGGGCGTACGCCCCGTGTGAGCCGCTCTGGGTGGGGTCACTCATTCCAGCGGCGTATGCGGGAGCGAGAGGGTCCCGGGCGACGGGACTTTGAGTGGTATAAGAGAGGGATGGGTACTGTGCCGGCACGTTCTGCGCCGCCATTCCAGCCGCAGGGGCGCTAGTTGGTCCGCTTTCGCCAGGCACACCATAATACTGTTGTGGAACTCCAAATTGGGTTGACAACACCTCTATTGCTGCAGACTGCCGTGGCTGGTACTGTTGCACCGGGTCGTAAGGTGGCTGCGGAGCCGCCTGCTGTTGCGCCGGCACATTGTACATCATGTTGGACGCGTACTGCGAATATTGTTGTGGCGTTCGCTGTTGCGGCTGCTGTTGTTGCTGCTGTTGTTGTTGCTGTTGCTGCTCTTGCCCGTACTCGGGAGGGTACTGCAGCGCGCCGGCCGGCAACGACGATCCGACAAACTGTGCGCCTTCGCTGCCGTATCCGTAGCCGTACCCTTGCCCCGTCCCGGCTCTGCCCGTCGGGGGTGCAGCGCTGGGGGGTTGTGCGGTCAATGGTGTCTGTCGAAAGCGATCGGAGCCGCTGACGGCCGGGTACGGAGCGGGTGCTCCCTGGGAGATGAGTGCTGGTTGTCCGGTGTAGCCAGTGGGATTTGCCTGCCGCTGCCGCCGGTCATTATTGTCCATGCCAGCCGACCTGGCCTTCTGAGGTGGATACAAGGGCGGATCACGCGCACCCCGTTGCCCCAGCGGCGATAGAGGAGGAGTCGCGTAGAGTGCCAGCTTTTCGGATTCTGCTGATCCTGTTACAGGCGATCGAGACACGACGGGGCGTGGGCCGGCGAGGAAGCGAGCGGTGGTGGGCGGCGGAGTGGCGAGGAGTGGCGGCCTTGGGAGCGCGGGTCTTGGGAGTCAGAGCTGGTGAATTGAACGAGAGGAGTCTGGCACTCACGATGGACTGAGGTCAGCGACGTGTGGGATATTAAACCGACGCGACTCAGGCCCGTCGCAGCAAAGCAATCGACCAATGGCACGCGCAGGCCACGCCGTTGGAAGAATGGCGTAGCAGCCTCACGGTAGTCTATGATTGGCGCAAGGATACCCTCGAGCAGCTGTGACGGGCAGCACGACCGGCCTCTGGTACCTCGATCGAGAGGGAACCCGGATTGCCCCCCCAAAAGGCGGAGACTGGCGGGTCGCGTCAGCGAGGGTGGGCCGGCCAGACACGTACTTGGCCGTGTCAAAAACAAAGCTTGTGAAAGAGCGGGGAGAATCCTTGAACGGAGTGGACGGTAGTGTTCGGCAGGGCCACGAAACGGAACGAGGAAGGGCAACCTTGCAAGAATCGGCTGCAAGAGAGGAGACCCAAAGTCGGCGCGATTGACGCTTCGGCCTGAAGGACAGTGCAAAGAGACGGGAACCTTGTCGCGCCCGCCCACGTTGGGTCGTCCCGCAGCAGCGCGAGTGATGCGGCGGGGCAGCTGGGCAGGATCGGGTAGCGGGTAGCGGGTATCAAAAGAGAGGGGAGAAGCGTCTTGATGGTGCCCTAGGAGGCGCGCCAACGTGCTATTTGTGCGCCGCCGCGGTCACTGCTGAAATTCGAGGAGGATAGTTGAGGTGACTGGCGCAGAGCGGGCGCTGCGGGCGCCTCATTGGCCGGCACGCGCGCGCTGGCCTGGTGATGGAGCCTGTCAGTAGCTGCCGGGTAGTTCGAGCTGATCGGCCTCGGGATCGCTCCTAGGGCTGGCCTGGAGCTGACGGAGCTGCTGCCCGCCAGCCAGGGCTCGTCCGCGCCGCAGACACGCCACGCCGCGCCGGCCTGCTTCGCTGATGACGATGGCAGCGTGGCAGGTGGGGGCTCGTGCTGGCAGCAGGGCAGCCGCGCCAAGGGAAGCATGCCGTCCGTGGGAGGGTGGATGGGTCAGGGTGCGGTTAGCAGAGAGTAGTGAGCCATGGATGCGCCAGATGCTGATGAAAGCAGAACACTAGCTGTTCCGGGCCCTTGGGAGAGAGAAAAAGCCCGAAATGGCGGGGGTGATGGCCGGCGGGCGATCCCAGGGTCGTCTCCCGTCGACATCAGCATGCAGCGCGGCCACACCACGCCCGCTGGCAGGCCGGCGCCTGCCCGACCACGAGACCTGAGGCCCAGCCTCGCAAAAGCATGACCGCTTCCCGGCGACTGCTGAGCCCGCCGGCGCTGGGCTGACGCCTGAAGCGCCCCTGAGATTAGCGGGCCGCCGTGAGGCAAGCCACCGCGTCTGTCGTCCTTCCGCCATGGCCCTCGTGCCCGTCCGTGCCTCGCAGGGCCGCGGCAGTGCTGCTCCGCTGCTGCCAGCAGAAGAAGAAACGGACGGCGCAGGCGCACGCTGCCGGAGCACTGGGCGCCGGCGGCTCTGCGCGGCCAGGACGCGTTTCAGCGGCCGCAGCGCTGCGGCATTGCGCCAAGGCAGGTCGAGCGCGAGTTCCGAGGCTGCCGCGGCGCGTCTCCAGACGTGTGAGGTGCTGGGTGCGGGCGGGCGTGGTGAGCGCACAGGGCGCGTCTATTCATCTCCTTTATGCGAGTGACCGGGGTATAAGGAGGGGAGCTTAGCCGCATCTTGCCGTCGTCGATCCAGCGTCCGGATCATCCTCTTAAGCCTCGCCAGGGCGTCGCCCTGTGCCCTACACGCAGATCACTAGCGCCCACGGACGCTGGCGACGTTGGGCGTCGATTCATGCGCCTCGGCGCCAGAGCGATGAGGAGATTGCTTCTGCCCATTTTCCATTTTTCCCAAGCCCGTGCTCTGCTTGCGTGCGCTCATCAAGATGACAGCCGCAGCGGCGGCGTCGTTTCGCGTCCGCCCGCCGTCATCTCGGACGCGCCCGGCGGAGTGCTGTGCACCGAGTCCGAGCTGGAGATAATTTTAGCGCCGTCGACACCACAACTCATCCGCAGCTGAGCGGACGCTGTGACGCAAGGATTTTGGCGAAATTGCATCAAGACACGATCCGCCTTCGAGAACCGCCTTCGAAGTGTTTCACCTTCTTCGAGAAGCAACTAGCGTTTCCAAACAGATCACCGCCGCGGATGTGCGCGCGCGCTGGGGGATTCTCGCGCACCGTTGACCGCTTGACTCGCTGAGCCGTCGTGCGTCGACGTGCGTCTGGATATTGCCTGGTCCCGCGCACCCTGCTGCGCTGCCTTGGCGGCCGCCTCTGTCCGCGCCGCTCCCTGGACTGTGAGCTGCTGGAGGGCTGCTTTAGACTCCAGCCGTTGGAACCAGCCTGCTCTCGGGCGAGCCTCTGCAAACCTTATCTGCCCGCGAGCGGCACGCCTGTCTTGCCAGCGTGCAACGCTGCCGCCATCGCAAGGCCCGCTGTAGCGCCATCTCTTCGACCCTCCCAACCACTCATACAGCGTGGCTTGCACGCTGCAGTAGGCCAAACGGTCCCGCTGCCCTTCGTATGGACGAGCCACGCACCTGCAAGGTACCGCTGCACGTCCCGCGCACATTTGGACGCAGCACCGCACCAGCCACGCGTGTGCGCTTCAGCGCTTCAGCGTCTGGCATCCCATCCCCTCACCCCAAATCGCAATCGGACGGACCGAGCCCCCCTTATCCGCACAGCCGCTGCGCATCTTGCCCTTTTCGATAGGGCGAGTTTCACCCGGAGGATCCTACCCTACACCATCAGTCCTTTTTCTTGTGCGCTGTCCATACCTGGGCTGAGCGTACGTCATGTCTGGTCACTTTGCTACACACAGATCAACCGCTACCTACCTGCCTCCTCTAGCCTGCGCTAGACAGTGAGGCGCGGCGACAAGAGTTTCACCTAGAGGTCGACGCTTCTGCCGGCCACTGCCGATTGAACCCGGATTGCTCACTCGTCACCCTGTTTCGGAAATGCTAAGCGATCTAGAAACAGTTTGGTAGCCTTGTAGGTTGTTGCAAATAAACTTCCGTCTCTACGAGCTACTCTCTCCAGCGCAACCGTGGGCGGCCAATGAAGAGAGACTCGTTCCGGTAGCCTGCTCTTCGAAGCGGAGCCAGCTGCGAAGCGCCGACCTTGAGGTTAGACGACGTCGGGCCGCTCTAGCTGCTGCTGCTGCTGCAACAGACGCTCACTGAAGGATGCGAAAACGCAAGGGTATTGTCTGAGACTGTTGATTTTTTTGAGTTTCCATAGACCACCCGCTCAAACCAGACAATGTACAGGTAGTATACAGCACAGCCAGCCGCCCTAACGTTTGACCCAGGTGGGCATCTTGCGAGCTTTGATGTGGCCCGGCTTCTTCCTTTCGACCTTACGAGGATCACGAGTGACGCAGCCAGCTGGTGGAGTCGATAACGTTAGCGTTCCGCACCAAAAGCAAAGTAAAACAGGTAGTGGGAATCAACGCGCAGGCGGTTTGTGAGGCGAACGCAGACGTTCGCCTTGGATGGAGCCATGTCCCACGACAAGCCTGGTGGAACGCAATGAACAAACTTGGGGGCTGTAAGTTTTTGTGCCTACCTCTTCGAAGTGCAGGCTTCAGGCCTGGCTCGTGCACCATCAATGCATTTGCAATCGCTAAGGTCAATGCCTCAGCACGCCCTGTGGTTCCGCCTCCTCTTATGAGCGCCCAAACGTTGTATTTATCAACGCGGTTCGTAGCCTTCAACGCCCAAATGGCGCTCTCGCGGTCGTGTACCCGGTTAAAAGCCTCGGTTAAGCTCTTTCCGTTGATCATAACCTCGCCCTCGCCCTCCACTAGCCATGCAACCGCCGATGTAGTCTTTCTCCTTCCCACGCCCATTCCCCTTCCCATCTCGTCCAATGACCTCAGCTTCGGTTTTCGATCATACGGGTTGATCGCCCTCTTGTATCTGTTCATTATCTGGGTGACCTCGTCCGGGATGATCGTAGGATGGATGTAGTTGAGCCTCTGCAGAATTTTTTGCAGCTTGCGCCATTTCGCGATTCGAATGGGTTCATTGGTCTCCACCTTGTACTCTGATAGACTTTTCCAGGCCACCCTTGGCGCATAGACTGGCTCTATCATCGGCAGTGTCTGATACTTGCGCAGGATGGCCTGGAGCTCGAGAAAGTCGTCCACGAAATTGGGCTTGGCGGTAAAGTAAGAGGGCGATGCTGGCACTACCCGAACGCGGCTCAGGAGAGGAGGGGTCCCGGGCCTGTCACCGAAATCGATCGGGGGAGCCGCTTGGAAGCTCTGCAGGTCGCTGTCGTGGCTCTCGAAGGCGCGGCAGGAAGCGGAGGTTGAGAAGGAAGTCGCATCTGGGCGGTAGGCTCGCAGCGAAGCGACATCTTGCCGGATGCGGGGCCGGAGGGGCAGGGTGACCGAGCGCGCAGCCTTCGGAAGGCTCGTCGCGAGCCGCGTGCTCGCCATTGTCTGCGTGTCTGGGGCGATGAGCTGCTGGAGGTACTCGCTGAGCCGGCTGTCGTGCGGGCGTTGTCAATCATCAACATTTCCCTTCGCGAGACATGCCAAGGCGGGGAAACCGCGGCAGCATGGGCGGTCGGCGCGAGAGGCACCGAGTGTCTGAGTCGAAATCGCAAATTTGACGCGACCGCAGCCCAACACCTCTACTTCCCACCACCACATCGCTCGACACTGAGAATCACTGGTTCTCTTTGCTTTCTTATACCCCTTCCAGCTTCCAGTGTCAAAGTCAATCAACAACCATGTCTTTCGGCAAGGTCTACGGCTTCGAGGTGCGTGCAAGCGCTGCGGCGATGCTTTACCCCGCCGTGACTCTTAGATCGCTCACTGACGACGCAATTCTCTACAGGGCCACCCTCGCACCCAGCCCATCCTGGCTGTTGCTAAGGAGAACGGTCTCGATATCGAGGTCGTTACTGCTCAGCCCCCGGAGAGCATCCCCGAGGGTCTGCTCAAGGCCAACAAGCTGGGCAAGATCCCCACCTTCGAGGGCGCTGATGGCTACACCCTCCACGAGTGCATTGCTATTGCTGTGTACGGTATGTCAAGCCACTCTCTTCGCCTTACACGCATCAAGTCCCCGTTTCCAAGGATGAGATATTTTTATCATTCAGTTATCCCTGTCTGAAGACTACTGTTGAGAACATTCACACTCTGAGAAAAAAATGTTTGCTTTGCACATCATTTCCACAACTCCAACCCTTTGCACACGAGCAGCGGTTTCCAAGGCAGTCACTGACTTGAGCTGTAGTCACCTCCCAGAACGAGAAGACCACCCTTCTCGGCAAGACCAAGCAGGACTACGCCTCCATCCTGAAGTGGATGTCCTTCGCCAACGCCGAGATCCTTCCCCAGCTTGCTGGTGCTTTCCGCCCCATCCTGGGCAAGGCTCCCTACAACAAGAAGGCTGTTGAGGAGTCCCTCAAGCTCGCCGAGAGGAACGTCTCTGTCGTTGAGGAGCACCTTACCCACAACACCTACCTCGTTGGCGAGAGGCTTTCTCTTGCCGACATCTTCGCCGCCAGCCTGCTCTCCCGCGGCTTCCAGTACTTCTACGGCAAGCAGTGGAGGTCTGAGAACCCCGCCACCACCCGCTGGTTCCAGACGGTCTGGAACCAGCCTCTCTGGCAGGCTGTCTCCAAGCCTTTCGAGTTCATTGATGAGCCCGTCAAGAACCAGGCTCCCAAGGTTGACAAGCCCAAGGCTGAGAAGCCCAAGGCCGAGAAGCCCAAGGCCGCTCCGGCTGCCGAGGAGGATGAGCCGGCTCCTGCCCCCAAGCCCAAGCACCCTCTCGAGGCGCTTGGCCGCCCTACGTTCGCCATCGACGACTGGAAGCGCAAGTACTCCAACGAGGAGACTCGCGAAGTCGCCCTTCCCTGGTTCTGGGAGAACGTCAACTTCGAGGAGTACTCGCTGTGGCAGGTCGACTACAAGTACAACGACGAGCTCACCATGACCTTCATGACCTCCAACCTGATTGGTACGTATTGACTGATGCTGCACGGTTATTGCGAGTTCTGACAGTGTAAACAGGCGGTTTCTTCGCTCGTCTTGAGGCCAGCCGCAAGTACATCTTTGGCTGCGCTTCGGTCTACGGTGTCACCAACGACTCCATCATCAAGGGTGCCTTCCTGGTCCGTGGCCAGGAGGCCCTCCCTGCTTTCGATGTCGCTCCTGACCACGAGAGCTACGAGTTCACCAAGCTCGACCCCACCAAGGCCGAGGACAAGACGTTCGTCGAGGACCAGTGGTCGTGGGACAAGCCCATCGAGGTCAACGGCAAGAGCTACGAGTGGGCTGACGGCAAGGTCTTCAAATAGATGGTTTGAAGCTTGCCTGTTGATACGACGGAAAAAAGACGCTGCATTGCTTAGATAGAGACAGTGCGGGGCAATTGTGCTCTGATTGATGGCTGGATGGGATATGAGCGGTTATTCCAGCGAAAACTTTACGACCTGACGTCTGTAGCTCTTTGCGAAACAAAAGAGATTGATTCCCCCGTTCCCCGCAACATCCGTGCGCGCCGTGCCGAATTGTCATGCCACGTTGGAGGTGATGCTACCGTTGCTGATCACGAAAGCGGTGGCGAGACGCGAGCGGGCAAGGCGATTGGAGGAGTCGCCAGGGTCGAAGGCGGACACGACGTGCATGATGCAAGGCTGATCGCAAGTGCGGGGACGACGGGGATCATGTGAAAATCGTCGTCATATCAGCCAGAGGCCGTTGGGCATCGAAGGCGCACGTCATGCTGGCGGCGACGGCGAATGAGGGCAGCAGCAATTGGGCGTAGGGCTGGCCATTCACATGACGGTCGCTGCTATCGATACCGGCGGCGCACATCTAGATGGAGGACGCGCGAGTCACGGCGGGAGCACGGTCGCGAACGGTAGATGACAGCTGTAGAGGCTCTGGCAGAGGCTGCGCTACCTGCTCTCCGTCAGAGTCAGAGCCAGGCGCCCGCTGGGTGCGACCAGCGGCGTCCTAGAGCCCCCGGCACAACCCGCTTGGCTTCCTCGCGCGCGCGCCTGCGTCCAACCGCTGCCAACACCACCGCGCTCACAGCAACCTCCCTTCGAGCACGCCCCCGAACGCTCGCACCTCTCCGATCGCCCCGTGTCCCACCCAGCACGAGCAATGGTCCCCGCGCCTTGACTGCAGAGCCTGGCACACTGGCGCTGTCCCGCACAACCCACTCCCGCTCCCGCCTGCGCGTTCCGCTGTCGCACATTCCGCAGCTCAGAGCCACCCGGCACAACACCAGCTTCTGCCCAGGCCACCTGCCGCCCCTCTTCGCACCCGGGCCCCTCTTTCACCACCGACGACGCGGGCAGCCGCGTCCGGCGACACGCCACCAATCCTGTGGCCGCTTGCGCTCTCCGCCAACAAAGAAGTCTGCGCCCTTTCCGCTCGCCGATCCTGTGCCCTCGAGTCCCATGCCGCCAGGGCCTGTTTTACACCTTTCTCACAACGCCGTCATCTTCTGAGCCCACCAGTGCGTCGCGGCATCCGGCGCCACATCTTAGCAGGACGGACATATCGAGATCGGAGGCGGCCCTCGCGACACTGGACTCGGCTACAGGGTACCTGCTGCAACTGTGGACATCCGAGACACACCCAACACTGCCGAGGACACGCTCCTGTCATCACCCGCCCGGCGGAAGCCGGCCCTATGAAGAAAGACGATGGATTTGCGGACCAGCCCCCCAAAGACGCAGCTATCCAGGTGATATGTCTGGTAAGTGCTTGGTCTGAAGTGTGAGATTGCGCCACGGTCGTCGAGTTTCGCCTTCGTTTGCTCTTGGGCCAGATCTTCGGACAGCACTGCCGCCACACTTCGTGGCTTTGCAGCGAGGGTGCGGAACCATGCATGATCAAGTCTTGCGGTCGCGACTGCACTGAGCCCAGCTGCTGATCTGTGGATGTAGGGAGCCGGTGGCGGTCCAAACGAAGATAGCGTCACCGGCCTACTCGTGCGCGCCACGGCATCGAAATGGTCGAGGAACTCTATTCTGGCCATCGACGCGGGGACGCATCTGGCATCCATCACAAGAATCCTGGAGCAACATTTCCCCTCGGTCGTGCAGAACACCCCGACGTCTTCACGCGTGCGCTTTGAGGACAACGAGACTTCCCCCAGTCCGACCAATACCTCATCACAACAAGAAAGCTCGGACGCAGGGTCCGAGATCTCTTGGCGATCGGCTTCGCCTCAGCCGACAATAACGACGCTAAGCTCGGGAGCCTTTGCTGGCCTGCCATTTCCGCACGCTTCAGCACGCGCAAACGCCGTGCATGTAGTCCGCGAACACGTCGCAACCTACCTCATCACACATCCGCATCTCGACCACCTCTCTGGATTTGTCATTAACACTGCCGCCTTTCATAATACGTCCAAGCCGAAGCGTCTAGCTGCTCTGCCGTTTACTGTCAACTCTATCAAAACCCACATCTTCAATGACGTCATATGGCCCAACCTCACCGACGAAGACGGAGGGGTAGGATTTGTTACTTTCCAACGATTAGCTGAAGGTGGCCATCATGCTCTTGGAGATGGTCCTGGAAGGGGATACATCGAAGTTTGTGATGGATTGGGTGTGAAAGGGTTCAAGGTCAGCCATGGGAATTGCATGAAGGGACCCGGACACATCCACAGAGGCAGCAGCGTTCAGATCTCGGAGATTGGCCCTAATGGTTTACCGCTTCCACCGCATGGACCTGGTGTGGCAGATGGAAGATCCCTCTCGGTGTCGCAACCTTCGGCACCCGGAACGCCCATGTTTACCGGCGCATCTGGTACATCGGTGCCGCCACTGGATATGGGCATGCAGCAATGCGTCGTTGACAGTTCAGCCTATTTCATTCGCACTGAGCTGGGTACTCATTATTCGTCATCCTCACGCCCACCCCCGGCCCGGGAAATCCTTATTTTCGGCGATGTCGAGCCTGATATGCTTTCGCTCTCGCCTCGCACCGCTCACGTTTGGGCCGAAGCAGCACCAAAGATCGCTAACGGAACCTTGAAGGCAGTCTTCATTGAGTGCAGTTATGCCGATACTCAAGGAGATGCTGTATTGTTCGGACACCTCGCGCCGCGCCATTTGATAAAAGAGCTGGAAACCCTCGCAGATATGGTGAGAGATGCGAAGAACAAGCTTGAGATCGAGCGGGAAGAACATCGAAAGGGCCGAAAGAGGAAACGGACAAGCACCAGCAGTACCAATGGTTTCCTTTCCGGCACCGACGATGACTATTACATTCGCCGACGTAGCCGGTCACGACAACATTCCCGCACATCCGCCGTCGCAGCAACATCCGCTCCTACCTCGGCAGCCACTTCAATCAATGAATACGCACCTGGATCCAGTTCACGCACCAATTCCATTGCTCTCCTATCTCCTGGCGAGAGGATAATGCGCGACTACATGGACACGCCCACGCCCTCGGGCAGTCCAACGCCCACGCCAGGCCCAGAAACACCCGTCGCCAACGGCGCTTCGCACGCAATGCAGCAGCAGCAAACCCTCCTCCAGCAGCAGGCTCCCCCGTCGCTCTCGGTCACTTCTTATGCCGCCGCACCCGCAGTTCTCGACCCCCAAGCCGCGGATGGGGAACAACAACAGCAACAACAACAGCAGCTTCAACAAGCCCAACGCCAACAAAGGGAACACGCGCCGCTGAAGGGCCTCCAGGTGGTCGTCATTCACGTCAAAGATACGCTCATGGACGGTCCGCCGGTGGGTGACAGGATCTTGGTCGAGCTCGAAAACCACGAGCGAAATCTCGCGGATGCCGGGAAGCCCCTGGGCTGCGAGTTTGTCATCAGTCATCATGGCGGAAGCTACTGGTTCTAGAAAAGAAAAGAATAGGGTTTTCACTGGAAGAAGTAATGGGATTGAGCTTTTGAAGGATTGATTGGATCTTTTGGGAAATGGTGTTCCGGAAAACGCGAAGATCACTCATGGAGATGGATGGGTGCAGCGGGAGACGGGCAATGCTCTATTACCCGGAGACGTCTTTTTTTGTTTTCTTGGATGTGATTTGTGATGTTATGGTTTGATGAGCAGCATGAAACGGTTGGTAAGCGGGGGCAAATTTATAGGTATTGGCCGGTTCAGCTTTTTTCGGGATTACTTTTGCTTCCTTTTTTCTTTGGTGTCCTCTGCTGTCCCAGCTTTCCCGATAACAACATTTTAGTCGGCCGGTACTTGGACGTTTGTTCAATGTACCCTACCTTTCACATTATCTGGCAACGAGATCTATTCTGTGTATCGGTAGTAGATGGAGGGAAGAGAGCGAGAATCAAGCGGCCCCGTCGTTGCTTTGTCGCGGAATCCCAAACACGCAGTTTCCAGTTCTATCGATTCCCTCGCCCTTTGCTTCGTGCTTGAAATTCAAGGAAACTCATGTTTCTTTCTGCCTTCCAACTTCTTTTTCTTTTTCTTTTTCACAAGACATCCCCTTATGAGTATGTTGGCCTTAGCATCCGTTTTTTTTTTCTCTGTGTGCCGTTCAATATAGACTGCTAAATCCCCAGTTCGCCCGCACTGCTTTGATGATATCACTATCATTGCGGAAACGGCACCCTCAGCCTGGCTCATCACACACCGCAGGCGTTTACTATGTAATACAAGAGACGGAGAATATCGCAATAAAGCCTTTCATCCCCAATGCCCGCTTCCGTCCAGCGACATGCTTGAACTCGTAAAAAAGCTCCGGTTGCGGAATCAGTGTCCCTTTGTCACCTGCACTTGGGGCAATACATCATTGTCCCTATTACGACTGCCCCCTCTTCCTCCCGAGGTTTCCGGAAGTTCGAAATGTCTCCGATATGCAACAAAACGGGTGGATCCGTACTGTCTCCTTCAAGGTGCAGCTTGACCGGTCAATGCAAGCATGACCGGCTGCTGCGATATCGTATCTCGTTAACGCACCGGTCAAGGACACCGTATGTTGCAAAAAATCCATTGGACATGTGTGTGTTTTTGCTGGGCTGACCGGTCAAGCCTCCAACGCAGTCGCCACTTTCCCACCTCCTTTTTTTTTTCCCCTTCTCTTCGGTGGTGCTTACCTTGCATGCGGCGTCGTTACACAGCAGGGAAAATACGATCGGACAATCTCTCCCACCCGCGCCCCCTCCCTCCCCGGCAGTATGTACGTTGACCGTTTCACTTGATCCACCATATAAGCGCGTTGGGGAAACTTCGATCAGTCCCCATGGACTTCCCGCACAATCCCTACGGTCTAAGAGGTTGAAGATTCCACAGCGGGTGGATCCTCTCTCTGCGTCCGGCCACTCGGCGACCTAACAGACCAGCTGGTTCCGAACCATGGAGGGTACTCCTTGTCCCTCGGAGCGGGTCACCCAAGATGGGCCACTCATGCGATCACCGGGTGGATCCTCCCAATTCGCCGGGGGCGGGGGGGAGGTTCAGCTCGTAGGCCGGGTTCCTAATCCTTTGGAAATGGGAGCTTCCAGTTGGCCTGTCCCCTGCGATTGGTTAAGCCGGACAAAGACTTTATCTCCGGCTTGTAGGCGAAGGGGACTCATGCTTGCTGTCGAACGGGTCCTTCCAGCTGACTGCTGCGAAGGACACGGCTTCTTGGGCCTCACGACTCGCGGGGTCCCCGTTTTTTTGTTGGTGGTGTTCGGGAATCTCGGCGAGGTGAATATGATGCTCAAGGCTTTTTTTTTTCGAGGGGAAAAACCAGAGCGAGCGGTGCCATAGTGGGTGCAGAAAGGGCTTAGCCTACGGCCATATTTTGTGGAGGTGGTGGAGCAGATATCCGGATGTGGATGTAAGTGTACACATGCATCCAGATATAGCATTCTAGTCCCCTCACGTCGTCCCCGCCGGGGGTTGATCACGCTCGTTTCCACATGCGCACACACGACAGGCCTCTCATGCAGCTCTGTTGCGACGATGCCAGTGATCCAGTACGTTAGCGGAGAGACGCTGTATACGAAGGACCAGAAGCCGGACAGGGCGGCGGCAGGGGGCTGCATGGCGCCGTTGAAGGCGAACGTCATGGAGAAGAGCAGCGTCACCACGGCAGCCGTGGTTTCGGTGTTGTACGCGGCGGCGATCGACGATGGAGCAGATGACTGCATCAGTCAGTATTGCTAGAAAGCGCGGTATGTGACGTGGTACAACTGCGAGGCAGAAGGCATGGAGAACTCGTCCGTCCCACCGATCTCGTGCAGGCATCTCCATAAACCGTCTTCTCTCGGGCTACAGCACCTCGGACGGAGCCAAATGAACTGATATCCCTCGAGGACGGGATAGCTGGGAACGAAATCCGAGAAAGTGAAGTCCCGACCGCGGTATTCGCTGGCGATGAGGATCTCAAAAGAGTAGTAAACCGGGTCGGTCCACCAGATGCAGCAAAACCAGTCAACCATGCAGCTTTCAGTTTCTGGAAAAGTGAACCCGGTGCAGATAATGATTGCCAATACCAGAACACCGGCGAGAGCCATAGCTTGCCACAACATTTTGGTGAGGGCGGTCATGATCTAAACACTGCGCTCATGACGAGCATAGACATGAAGCTGATGAAAAAGTAAATGAAGAACTGGGAGGGCTCGCGCCAAAAGTTGCACACAAAGTAGTAGATTATGTTGAAGATGGTTGCCATAGCGAACTTGACATGAACATGGTCAACTACACTGGCTACTGCTCCCGTAAAGGGGTGGTAGAATGTATACGAAGCGTGCTTCTCGACTTTGGACGTTGACCATACTCTTCCCTATGCTGATCCATTTCCACGTGAATGGCCTGGAATGTATCGAAGCTGGGCCAATATGCTTGGAACTCGGGGCTGCCATCTGGAGCGTCTGCCCAACAGGGTCGAGGTACTCGTTGAGACGGAAAGGTGCCATGAGAATGGACCCGACTTTTTTCTGCAGGTTCAGAGCAGAACCAGAGCCAGAGCCATTGAGGTTGTGGAAGAGATGACCTGCTTTGCTCACCTTGATATATTCGTCATCCATGTTCAGGTTCATCATCGGAAGTGAGGGCACAGTAAGCAAGCAAATACGGATGACTGTGCAAGACTGAGTCAGGGCACATAGGCCACAGACGAGTGGTGCAGATTACACGCTCCGGCGGAGGTGGAGGGACCGCTTGAGGATGGGCATGGTTGGAAGGGTTGTTAAGCATGTTGACTTTGCGGAGTGGAGGGATCGTCACCCTCGCTGACAATCAACCCGCTCGGACCTTCGGCTTGGCTTTCGGCCGGGCGGGGGCGGTCCTGGTGTTGAGGACGGGTCGAGGGGCGGGAGGTCGGAGGCTGCATGAGGGTTGATCGGGGAGTGGTTGGGCGGGATGAGCAGAAGGGCTCGGCGCACCGGTCTTCGGCTGGACAGGGCCAAAGCGGAGAGGCGCGACGGTCGGGCTGGGGGTGGAGAGGAGAGCGGCACAGCGGCACAGCGGAAGCCATGACGCACTTGGCCTGTGCGACGCTACCTTGGCTTCCATCCCGTCCGGTCTCCACAGCCGGTGGCCGCTTCTCACAGAGGAAGAGGGCAATACCGCGACTGCCCGCTACGCGTCCGCTGCTGATGCCTGAGGATTCTGTCGACCGAGCGAGCATTCTCGGGTTCCGCGATACTTTGCTGGCCTTGCTGACCGAGCTGCTGCCTGAGCGCCGAGTCCGCCGAGTCCACGGAGCCCACGCTTGCCAAGCTTGACCGTCATCGTGTCAGATTTGCCTTTTTGGGACCAGATGCGCGGTGACAGAGCACCCGGCTTCGGCGTACAAGATGAAGGGGCATCTCACCTCACCGGGCTGGGTCGTTCAACAGCGTCGTTCGCAGGCATTGGTTGTTCACCACTACCTTCCTGTTTTCCACATCATCACGGCATCTTTCCTTCTGGGCCACAGCACGTCAGATTGGGAAATAAACCAACTTACAGAACTCCCTTCTATGTGAGCAGTTTCAGGCAGATATGCCTACATAAACGATAACAATAAAGGAGCAAGTCGCAGAATCGGTGTTGTTGTTGTAGTTGTTGTTCTTGAAACGGGAAGAAACGGAACTGCATGCGCATACACCCCAGAGCTTAAGAGAACGTCACCTCTGATATTACAAGGAAGGATAGGCCAAGAGTCGGATTTAACAGGTTTTCTTGACGACTCAATCAACTTCAATCACGAGCGCTGTTTCGGAGGGACGAGTATCCACCAACGTTCGTCAGCATTGCCGCACCGCCAGGCTCATGGCCAAACACAGATCACCTACTGCATACCTCGTCCAAAGGTGCATGTGTGGCCGGACGTCTGGCACCCATCGACTAGGCCCAAAGCCGCAACCCGAACCCTCGCAGCTTCGCCGTACGTCGGCACAGAAACCCCCGCATCCGCATCCGCCCTCCACCACTCTAACTCCGCACCGCCTTCACACACCAACCTCGACCGCCGCCGCAGCGGCTCCGCGCGCTCGGGGCAAAAGGAGGAAGGAGGGTATCGCTGTTGCACTCTGCAGCGATGCCAATCTCCGCAGCGCGCGACCCATGAGGCAGGCGTGAAAAGGGCGAGACGCGCGTTCCGCCGCGCACACTACTTCCCACCCAAACAAAAAACAGGGCAGGGTGGAAGAAACCGCGCCGCCCGCCGCTCGGGCGTGCAGCCTTATTCCCGCCCGCGCCAGCGCCCGCGCCCGCACGTCCGCACGCCCGGCCCCCTCCCCCCCCCCCCCCGGTGAAGATGCTGCTCTGCCCTGTGACGGACGGACGGGCGGGCCCACCATTCATCATCATCATCACGGATCGCCGCCAGCTCCAGCTCCGCCAGATTGGACGTTGGGCGGGTGGGCGGCTGCCGCCGGCCATCATATGACTCGACTGGTACATAGGTAGTATCCTTATTAATCTGGTCTGCGGATGATCATCCCTTCGCCTTTTTTGCGCGCCCCGCGCGCAGCATTTCCCCCTTCACCTGTTTCCCCCCAACGAACGTCGCACGGCAACGGGCTTCTTTTTTTGTCTGGTGGGAGGGGAGGGGAGGGGGGAGTTCCGGACGACGGAAAACCAAAAGGACGCAATGGTCACTCTCTGGCATCAGCACTAGGTATGGGCACTATGTACACGGCGGCGGCGGCGGCGGCGCAAAGCGGCAACGAATCAGTGGCGCGGAGACTGCGAAATCCACCCCCCGGAAAGCCGGAAAAGGGCCACAAGGCTTGTTCGCGACAAGCCTTGGTCCTTGCACGAAAACGCTTTCGCCCCTCTCCCCTCCCCCCTCCCTTGCACACGCGAGAGCTTGTTGTCTGGTCGCTTGTCGCTTGTTGGTCGCTATGCGCGGCAACCAATTCCGAGTTTCGTTTGTGCTGCGCGCCGCGGCAATAATAATGCGCTGATCTGTCGCGTTGCTGGCGGAACGGCAACCGGTCAATACGAGGGGCCATCAAATGGAGACTCAGGACAGGACCACCAGGTAGCCAATTTCGCGTCTGACGGTCGTAAAAATAAAAAGGGTCCAAAAAGGCCGCGGCCGCGGCGGCTTGTTCCACCCGAGAATCGTTCGACTTTTGGGCCTCAAACGCTGCTGCTGATCTTCATCCCCCCTCGTCATCAACACGATCACGGTGGATGATGGTGATGAAAGAATAATGACACGAACACCTCGCCCCTTTGGGGTTCCTGGACACAGTGCACTCTTCTTCCTTGCTGGACTGTTGGAAGCTGCTGGCCAAGCGCCGATATCATGTAGATTTAGAGCAAAAAAATAAATTTATCAAAAAAACGTGCGAGAATCTCCAAACAAAGCCTCACGAACAACCGGCTCCGCGCATAGAACGAACGAGTCGCTACACGGGAAAAAAGGGGGGAGGATGGGCTGTTGCACCACGCGCACCATGTATCCTTCCTTCCCTTTTCGCCCCCAAAATGACCGAGTCATAAAGTCCCTCCCCGAATCACATGCAGAGACTAACGCCCGTCGCTAATGCAATGCATCCATCCATCCATCCAGACGTTGCTCTTCTTACAAGCCGCAAGAGCTACGAAGTGACGGGGGACTAAAAGCAGTGGCAAGCTGCTTTTTTATATTTCCCAGCAGGGAAATACGGCAAACCATAACAAAGACAGAAAGAGTGAGAGAGTGAGAGAGTGAGAGAGAGAGACCATGGGCAGAAAGCCATTTCATCTGGCTTTAATTCATTTCTTTCACTTGTCACAACTGCCACTACTACTACGACTACGACTACTACTACTACTACCACTACCTTGAGGGAGGAGGAACGAAACGAACAACGATTGGGGAAAAAACATCGGGGACTGAGTTGACCTAACATGAAAACCCCCCCATCGGGTCCAGCCCAGCTTAGTCCAAGGCCAACTACGGGAGCGAGAGGGTAAAAAAAAAAACAAGAACCATCCTGGAGGAACATGACGGACGTACGTACACACAAGCCAAAAAAAATAAAAAACAGAACGGAAGCATGGCACAGTAAGTGAGTGACATTGCTTGTTTAAAGCGGCCGACCGCCTGCCATCAGTCAGACCAATCGCCACACCGAAGATCCCAAGAAGAAGAAGGGGTTGTGCGTGCTGCTAGAGAAAGCGGAACAGAGTTCCATCTCCCCCTTAGAAAAAAAAAAAAAAAGACAACCAGTTCATTCGGGGCATCCAAAAACCAGAACCAAAAAAAAAAAAGTCGATTGAAGAGAGATCCGGTTGGGGTGGGGGGAATTTGTCGCTTGAAAAAGTCCAAGAAAAGTACCCGAAAAAGATATATCACAAGACCCTTTGAACCAATCACACAACAACAAGGAACTGTCCCGCGCCATGGGTTGTTGAAAAAAAAAGAACAACAACCGGGAAATAAGACACGAAAAGAACAAACAAACAAATGACCATTCGGTTTCGTTGGCGATTCGATTCGATTCCCCCCCGCCCTCGCCCCCCTTTTCCCCCGGTGTGAGAGAGACAGACACACACACAGCCAGCCCCCCGTAAGAGAGACACACAGACAGACAGACAGACAGACAGACAGACAGACAGACAACCCGTTTTGACTCCGATTTTTTGCAACAACAAACGTTTCCCTCCTCCGCCCATCCGCGCAAAATGCCCACCCGCCCGCTTAAACGCAACTCACAAGTTTAATCGACAAGAGAAAAAAGAAACAAAACACAAAAACGTCTTTTTTTACTGTCATGCGACGAGTGATTGCAGGTCCGATTGATGTGGTGGCGGTTGCTCCTGGTGGTGCCGTTCGGGATGCGCTGCATGTTGTGCTGCATGTGCTGCTGCTGCTGCTGCTGCTGCTTCGGCATCGCCGCGCCGATCGTGCATGTGGCTGTGGGCCTGCTGATGTTGTTGTTGCTGCTGCTGCTGCTCGTGGTGGGCGTGGCTGTGGGTGGGCGGTGGGGGATGCTCCGGCTCGCGCGGGGGGCGGTCGTCCATGCGCGCTTCTGGGGCGCCGCCGCCGCCGATTGAGAGGCGGCCCTCGTGTTGTCTGGGGAGCTCGGCGTGGGCCTGCCCGGGCGTCAGGTGGCCGGCGTTCGGGTCCGGCCCGCCAGCCCTGGCTTCCGTGGTGTGGCCGCCGCCGCCGACGGAGCCGACTGATGCGGAGGGCGAGGCCGAGGCCGGGCTCGCGAGGTTTTGTCTCATCATGCCGCCGGGGTAGCCTCCCATTTCGATGTCCGAGTGGGTCGCCTCGCCTTCGGGAGGGGGTTGGGTCATGCGGAGTTCCGGCTCCCGCACTTCCTTCCAGGAGCACTTCGCGTGCTTCTTGGTGCAACCCATGCAAGCCGTCAGATTCTTCAAACAGTCCATGTGAAGTCTTCGACAACGGTCACACGGCGGCAGGATTCTCTCCCCTTTCGAGAGCCCTTCCATCCGGGCAACCATCTCGGCCTTGAAGGGGCCGCCATCGTCCTTCTCCGCGGTCGGAGGGTGCTGAGAACCCGGTCGCGCGCCGTGCGAGGGCAGGAGTTGCGAAGGCGTGCTCGGAATGGGAACCGGAGACGTGGTGGAAAGGAGGAGTTGAGCGTATTCGCTGTCGCTATACGGAAGACCGTTTGGGCCGCCAGAGGTGTTGGCGGGTGGGCGGGCGTTCGGTTTGCTCCCCGAAGCCGATCCGCCGGCCGAGTATTGGCTAGCACTGGAGCCGCGGCGGATCTGGTCGCCATTCGAGCCATGCGTCCTGCTGCGATTATTGATGGTCGAGAATTTGTTCATGAGCTCGCTGTGAGTGGCAGAAGACGCGCCGTTCCGAGTCGAGTCATGCTCGACGGGCGGCCGCGAATTGACTGCAACGAAGCCTCCCGAGGGCGATTTGGACAGAGCAGCCAGGGTGGCATTCGCGTTTGGGCCGAGTCCGTTCATGAGGGCGACATTGGAAGGGCTGGACGCGCGGACGGCGGCGGGGCTGTTTGTGGCTCGGCGGTCGAGGATGGCCTGTTTGCGGCCTTTCAGACGGTGGTTCAATTGGCGGGTGCGTGCGGCAACTGCGCGACGGGGTTAGCTGCAATCAGGGACGGGCAACAGCGCTGGCGACGGACCTTGGTCTGCTAGCTGGCATATCTGTCCGAGGTTTTTCTCCAGAATCTCCAGTGTGCCAAGCTCCTTCTCCTCATCCTCGATAATTGGCTGGGGCGGGATCATTTTCTGCGGAATGCCGCTGCTGATCAACACAAAGTCCTCCTCGCTGATCTGTACGCGGCATTGCTTGGTGTAGAATTGGCAGACGCGCACTCCCTCGCTCATCTGGGCGAGCGTGAACTGCTCGGGCTTGTTGCGCGCAAACTCGACGACGTCGAGCCAGGTGACGTGGGCAGGGTCCTTGCCATGCGACTTGAGCACCTTGGGCGGGCCGTCGAACAGGCGCTCGAAGCGCTTGATGAGGATGGGGCCCAGCGGGCGCGCGCCGAGGTTGCAGGCCATGCTCTCATGGCGATCGAGCACGCCCTGGTACTCGCCCAGCAGCTGCAGGGTGTTGGGCAGCGTGTCGTCGCCGGAGATCAAGGGCAGGTCCTCGGTGTACTGGCGGGCAAGGTAGTTGATCTGGAGGTGGTTGGATGTTTTGGCCGTCTTGGGCGGCGGCGCGGGAGGAGCTTGCGCAGCGGCATCATGCGACGGGCTCCGCTTGCGCTTGAGCTGCTCGGTCATAGTGGCGGTCGACGAGGCCGGGTCGTGGTGGGCGCCTTGGTCCATGGCGAGGAACGGGGCAGCTTCGCCGCGCGTGAGAGAGGGTGGTGGGAGCGCCGGCGGCGGGAGGTGCGTCGACGAGGGCGAGTGCTGGGGCTCGTGGGAAACGCTGTAGGGCTAAGGGTCAGGGCTCAGCGGAGAAGCGCAGTCGGGACGGGAGCAATGCTCGGCAAGGCGCCGGTCTGCTCGGGCGGCGCCACAGGTGGCCGAGTCGCAGCGAGGCGCGGGAACACGGGCAGCGCGACGCGCGAGGGGGGGCGAGGGCTGCAAGGCAGCAGAGCGAGGGCGGTGGGGAGGCGTGCAGTCGGAGGGGAGAGCATGCGGCGCGAGGAGAAGGGCGGGCGGAGCGGTACCCCGAGCGAGGAGGGTGGAGGCGAAGCGGAGCTCGCTCACAATCGGGTAGCCGGCACAGGTCGCAGGGAGGGAGCCTTCTAGGCCAGGCGGAAACTATACTGGATCAGCGCTGCGCGCCCGCTGTGGGTGTGCCGTGGGCGGCGGACAGCGGGCGGCCTCGGAGCTGGCGCCTGGGCGTCGCGTGGCTACGTCCACCGGCGCCCTCTGGCCAGCGGCTGCGGGATAAAATGTCGGGCCACGCCTCGCAATTGGAACATGCCTGGGGCCATGCCTGGGGCCATGGACCGCTGACAAGGGCCGCGTCGTCGTCGGCGCGTGCTGCTGCTGCTGGGCCTTGGAAATAAGAAGCACTGCGCTCCGCCCGCCGCTAGGCCCACGGAAACAATGGCTCGCGACGCCCCAGCCACAGCGGATCCGGGCCCACCAGCGCTTCTGCTCTAACAGATGGCGGAACGGCAGCTCCCAAGCCCGCCAATCCTCAAAGCGGAGCTCAGGAGCTCGCCACGCCACGGCTGCAGCAGGATGCACCCCATGCCCTCGCCAACCAGCTAGCCCGCCTCGCCGCGCAGGGCGATAATCCGAGACGGAAAGCACACGTGCGGACTTCCCGAACCCTGCTACGTGGGCAGTACGTAGGTAGCAGGTCGTCCTCTCCCGTCGCCGGGCTGGCGGGGGCCGGCCAATGCATCTTCGGTGCGTCGGCTCGAGTGCAGACACGCCGTACGAGCCGTTTCCAATACCGAGCCCCCAAAGCTTGTCTCTCGGATGCAAAGCCGGGCTGGTGCATGCTGCTCGCATGAACTTCTTTGCCAGCCAGCCAGTGCGGGTTCGCGCGACGGGACCTACGTAGAAGAGCGTGGCGGTAGAGCGGCAGCGCGGAATGGGTTAAAATACCGCAGGCCTTGACCGGCGGGGGGGAGCTCGAGACGGGTTCCATCAGAATCGAGGCGCGGCAGCAGCAGGTGAGGGGTGACGCGAGCGGACGAAGAGGTGCACACTCCGCACCGGCTTGGAGATAAGGAGCTCGTCCTGAGCATCAATGGAAGGCCGCCCGGAGCCGTGTGGGTGATGCACGGCGCCGGCCACACGCCGATTCCACCACGCATCATCCGCGACTTCTGGAGAAGTTCCTCGACTAGAGCCGGCTGGTGTGGCAGGCTGCGGCGCGCGCTGCAAGCGGGTAATGCAATTTCGCCTGTAGTGCTGTGCAGTGAAACACCTGCTCTCAAGGCGTCATCAGAAGGACGCTCGCCAGTCACCAGTCACCACCGGTGCCTCTTTCCGCTCCTGGCGGACCTGGCCGGCTAAAGCTCGGGCGGCAGCCCATGGGCGGCGGGGCTCAAAATCGCGCGCTGCAGCGTCACTACTGCCCGTGCTGCAGCAGCTCGCGACAGGACACACGCACCCACGGCACGCAAGCTCAACACCACCACCTATCATGTCTGAGCGCGGCAATTTCCGGGGCGGCCGGGGCGGTAGAGGCGGCGATCGTGGCGGACGCGGAGGCGGCAGAGGCGGGCACGGCGGCCAGCAGGAGCGTCCCAAGAAGGAAAACATCCTGGACCTGGGGAAGCTTATGGACAAGGAGATCTGCGTCAAGTTCAACGGCGGTCGTGAGGGTATGTCTCCTCCAGCCGCCCCTGTGAGCTTCGCAAGCCCGGAAGATGTGTTGCTGACGACCAATGGCCAGTGACGGGCACGCTGAAGGGCTACGACCAGCTCATGAACCTGGTGCTGGACGACGTGAAGGAGGTCATGCGCGGTATGCACTCGACGAGCCTCCAAGGCCAAAGCCCCCCCAGAGACTAACTACAGCTGCACACAGACGACGAAGGCAACGAGACCACCCGCTCCCTCGGCCTTACTGTTGCGCGCGGCACCCTGCTTGTCCTCATCTCGCCACTGGATGGCAGCGAAGAGATCGCCAACCCGTTCGCCCCGCCGGAGGAGGAGTGAGTGCGGCGCGAGTTCCTCCAGTTTGTTGCAGACACGAACGGGTACGCCTAATACCCAAACGAGGCAGCCGGCACGGCATGGCGCATGCGGTTGGAGAAGGCCAAGGTCGCGTTAGATTCTGCGAAGGCACATACCATGGACCCGGTTGAGGGATATTGGCACGGGATTTAGGATGGCGAAGACGTCTCGGTATGGATTGTGACGAGCGTCTGCGCCCGGTCGCTACAAAAATGAAGTCACAAGGGAGTTGCGCTCCACATCAGCCATGATTTTCGTTGGTATGCCCAAGAGATCGGTAACGTCAGCTCGGCTGCGGTGTTATTTTGAGCAGCCGTATCCACGTTGTGCGAGCAGACAGAGCTTGGCTCCAACAAGCACTTTCGATTTAGGGAGACTGGGGAGAAACCACTGACGTCAGGATTGACTGGAGAAATATCCCAAGGTCTTGGCGTATTTCGTTGTTCCAAAGATGCAGAAGTATAAAAGTGCGGTAGAATTCAGTCGGTGTTTTCTCTGACTTGAGCAGGAGTACTTGCCAACAGGGCAACGCCGACATTTTGCCGTCTGGCGAAGCGCATGGCGGCGCGGACACGCATCAAAACTTTTTGCTTCAACTTTACAACCCCTTCAACCCGAGCAGATCGGACCTCAAACCTTGCAAGGAGGTGTCAGTTGGCCTGGTTGCAGTTGCGTTTGTGATGCTTCGCAATTCCGGCCACCATGTACCGACTACGGCTCAGGGCACCAGCCGGGCGCTGGCGAGCGCTCACCAAGCACCCGATCATGCTCCCCCGAGCCTATGAATCAGTGCGCTTCATGGCAAGCGAACCAACCACAGACGCTCAAAAACAGATGCCCTCATCCCCGATAGATGAACGTATACTGGACCGCAAAAAAAGAATAGAGGGCAAAAAGGCGAGCAAAGCAACGAAATGGGAAGCGAAAGGAGAAGCGACAGAAGAAGCATCTACACCACCGCCGGTCCCATCCGGAGGCGCCGCAGAGGCGACAAAACAGACTACTAATGCTGTGGCACCAACTCCAACGAGAAGAGGTGTATCCGCAGACCTAGCCCAAAAGTTGAGGAATAACCCATGGAAGCTCCCAGCGTCCTTTTGGAGTCAGCATCAGAGAGTCTTTCTTGTCTTCAGACCTTTTTTCCACAGGAACAGAACACCGGAACGCTCCAGGAAAGCCTTTTACTTATTATACAAGAAGTATGAGCCCTTGTTCCAACATCTCACGGGCGAGTATACATTGGACAACCTGTGGGAGCTGGTATCCGAGTACCGCAGACGAAAGGGATTCGAATCGGCTGAGGCAGCCGCAATGCTTTGTCCCGATCTGGACCACCCTCTCCCGGAGCCGCCAACCATCAAAGAACTTGACGAGGCCTTGACCTCGGGTGACTGCAAGTACATGGAAGATGTCGCTGCCATGACGCCCCATGAGATTGCCGAGCACTCCAGACAAATGGCTCACGAGATTGAGGTTCAAGGTTGGGGCATTCCTCTCCCCCGCCTCGCCAAGACTGCTGTCGGCTGACCTTTGCTGCTAGACGCCGAGAACGTCCCCGAGGAAGGCATACTTGACAGGAAGAGTCTTTTGATCAGCTACCGGGCCCAGCATGTCATTTTGACCAATGTCCAGACCATCCTGGAGCACATTTGCTTCGACTTCCTGAAGGAGTTTGCGCCCGAGTACATTGCAAAAATGGAATGGGACACGGTCGAGATGGCCGAGCTGGACATATCGGCCGGCCACATGTTGCAAGCATTTGGCGTTTTGAAGAGCCGCGCCGGACTGGCCATGGGGAGCCGCGAGTGGGGCCACCTTATGAACACGTGTGTCAGGGTGCGAAACCATGCCGTTCACCGCGACCCGGTGGGGGATGTGACCTTGAAGGACTGGATCCAGACGGCTGTACGTTTCGCCGAGGCGCTCGGGGAATACGAGCGTGCAGATCAACTGGAGAGCGTGCTCATCGAAGTGGGCGTGCGGACGAAAAAGGCGAAGAAGGCGAAGCGGATGCTTACGATCGAACTGAAGACAGGATTGAAGGAGTTGGCACGGAAGCGGCGGGAGCTGGACCAACAAGAACGGGAGATGATGGACGGAATGTATGCTCGAGACACAACCGCCCGGGACAACATCAGCAACGAGCTACGAGACTCACTGCTACGCGTCTTTGCTGGTAAATATTCGGTAACCACGCATAGGGACGCGTCGGCGCGGAGGGAGAAGGCGCGGAGGGAGGAGGCGCGTAGGTTGGAAGAACAGCTTCGCGCGGAACAGGAGTTGGAGGATCAGAAAGAGCAAGAGCAGCCGCAGGAGGAAGAGGAAGAGGAGGAAGCGGAAGAGGAGAAGGAGGATGAGGAGGGGGATGAGGACCAGAAGGAGATGCTGCTGCAAGAGCGGGGAGGATTGGAAGAAGCGGAAGAGTTGTATCAGCCGAACAAGAGCCAAGAGCAGGAAGACAAGGGCCAGGCCATCAAGGAGGCTGGCATCGACGATGGGGAGAGGCCGGCCCAAGAAGTCAATTGGAGGGAGCTCGTCGACAACGTTGATTTGCGGTCTCCACAGCCCGAAGGAGAGACGCTTTCAGGGCTCGGAGCGGTACCGCACAGTCACGGCACCGATTTAGGACCCGCAGCAGTGGTGTTGAGGACGGGGAAGTTTGCTTTGCTGCCAACCCATGACGACGGCACCAGCACACGAACCGCAGCAGAGTTGGCACCGAAGGCTGTGGCGCCATCCGTCCACTCGGACCCTCTGCCAGACGAGAGCACATCAACCGAAAGAGCAGAGGCGAAGCCGGAGGAGAAATCGCGGTTGAAGAGCTTCTTCAATAGATGGCGATTTCCATTCACGTAAGTGGTCACGGTTGAAGAGGCTGATGCATGGTCTGCATTGTACATTAGAATTAGAGAATATCAATCTCCCACTTCCCGAGCATCATGCAGAGATCCTTCGGGCAGTGTCGGGCCCTTATTGGCGCGTTATTAGCTCAGCGACATTGCCCCGTTCGGTGAGTGTTGCGAGACCAAGGCGTGTCTCGTTGGGTATGGTTTGCGACAGAGAAGAGGACGGCCAATCACGAAAGCGCAAACAAGACGATCCTCTTGCTTCGAGGCCGCGATTGGCCGAGGGTGTTGGTGGCACTAATGGCTGCTTATGCTGTGGGACAGGCTTCAGACACAACCCCGCACCATCCTTACAACGGCATGGCCAGCAAACCTACATAACCTCCCATATCGACGTTGCAAAACACCGCCTTTCTCACAAATCCTCTGTTGCTTTTGCACTTGGTCGCTACATCAACCGGCTTTCACCCATCTACGTCATGTTTGCAGCACAGCTCATCGCCCTCTTGGTGGTAATTACCGACTCAGACCGCTTTCCCAATTGCCATGCGCTGACACCATGATAGCTGGCCTGGGCTGCCGAGCGGGTGGTGTACAACCTCTTTCTGCACCCGCTGCGTGACTATCCTGGGCCCTTGCTCAACCGGGCCACGCCGCTACCTCGCATGCGTGCCCGTCTGACAGGCCGAAGCCCGTTCCAATCCCACGAGCTCCACAAGCGCTACGGCAAAGTAGTGCGCGTGAGCCCGAACGAGTTGAGTTATTGCGACGGGGATGCCTGGAAAGGTGTGACGCCACAATGCCCCATCAGCCCCTGCATGATGTGCTGCTGCACGACCGTTGCCAAGAAGAGCCCTGGACTAACACGCCTCTCTCTCACACACACACAGACATATACGGCTACGGGTCCAAAGGGTCGCTGCCGCGCGACCTGCGCACCCAACCGCGCGGCGTTGACGGCGAGCCGTCCCTGATCCTGACCACCGACAACGAGGAGCACCGCAACCTCCGCAACGTCTTCTCGCCCGCCTTCTCGCAGCGCGCGCTGAAGGAGCAAGAGCCGCTGCTCCTCAAATACATCAACCTCTTCGCCGACAAGATCCACGACGTGGCCGCCGCGTCCCCCTCGCACACGGTCGACATCACCCAGTTCTTCAACTTCGCCACCTTCGACATCATGTCCGACCTCGCCTTCGGCAACCCCATGGGGCTCCTCGACCGCGCCGAGTACACCGACTGGGTGCGCAGCACCTTCGCCGGCATCAAGCTCTTCTCCATCCGCGCCGCCCTCTCCTACTACATCCCCCTCCTCGACTGGCTCATGCCGCTCCTGCTCCCGCGCTCGCTGCAAGCCAAGCGCAAAGCCCACATGAAATACGCCGCCGACCAAGTCCACGCACGACTGGCCCGCGGCGGCGCCCTCGCCGGCCGCCCGGACATCTGGACGCTCGTCCTACGCACCTACGACGGCTCGCACGAGCGCGTGCGCCTCTCCATGGGCCAGATGGAAAGCAACGCCTCGCTCTTCATGGTCGCCGGCACCGAGACCACCGCCACCCTCCTCGCCGGCGCCGCCTACCTGCTCGCCACGCACCCGCCCGCCCACGCCCGCCTCGCCGCCGAGCTCCGCGCCGCGTTTGCAGTCCGCGCCGACATGACGCTCGAGGCCCTGCAGAACCAGTCGCGCCTGCCCTACCTCGCCGCCGTCGTCGACGAGGCCCTGCGCGTCTACCCGCCCGTCCCGGACGCCCAGACCCGCCGCGTCCCCGGCGCCGGCGTCGAGGTCGCGGGCAGGTGGGTCCCCGGCGGCGCGACCGTGTTCGTGACGCAGTACGCGGCGAATCGCTACCCGCGGAGCTGGACGGCCCCCGACGAGTTTTGCCCCGAGCGCTGGCTGCCCGAGGGGGAGGAGCGGTTCGGCGCGGATGAGAGGAGGGCGTGCCAGCCGTTTAGTGTGGGGCCAAGGAATTGTTTGGGCATGAAGTGAGTTTTTTTACTTTTTCCGGTCGTCTCTTTTTTTTTCTTTTCCCCCGGGCAGCACATGTATCCTCCCCTCTCTTTCTCTTTCTCTCTCTCTCTGTGAAGCTCGCGATTACTGACTGCTGGGTCCCGTTAGTCTTGCCTACCACGAGATTCGCCTCCTTCTCGCCTACCTGGTGTGGCACTTTGACTTTGAACTCTGCGAGGAAAGCGCGCGCTGGATGGACCAGAAGGTGTTTGCGCTGTGGGCAAAGCCGCCGCTGATGATCAAAGTCACCCCGGTCCCGGGCCGCTGGAAGGAATGATGTGTGTGTGTATGTGTGATGATGATTGAGACTTGATGATGTACTTGCTCTGGGAGTTGTCTCTTCCTTTCCTTTTCTTGCTTCCTTGCTTGAAGTACTTCTGAGGATTACGGAAGAAATAGAACTTCCCCTCCGGTTATGGATGGGGAAAGAATTGGCTACAGTGCGAATGAGACGTGATACGATTATGAATATACTTATGTTCTTGTTTACTCTACTCAGTCTGTCCGATTGTCTAATCAGTAATATTGAACACCATAGTAGGTTGCACAATACCTTAGCGTTCTGTTTCTTATAAAGGATGTTGTAAAGCTGCTTCGATGGTAACGGGCCGCGGAGATTTCGAACGTTTTGATGTGGGCAGTTAGAACAAGTGTCTGGACGTGGATGTGTATATATGAGATCGACGGGTGCATCCAGACACAAGGATATACTACTCATGTATGTAGGATATTCAGCAAGACACCTTTTCCTCTCCAATTTCGCCGTTGAAATGATGGGGGAATAAGAAAACATCCAGATCAGACCATGCAGCACGATTTAGAATCGCTAGTGGACAAAGACGGCGCGTTCATCATAGCCTCAAATTTCCTCCACTGATGAAGAAAGTTACACATAGATAATTCTCTAGGATCGTGCTTCTTCTTTGGCCGGGACTCAGGAAACATGGTCCCCTTTTTTTCTCCGTTGCTCAACGTTCCTTGCTTGTGCCCAGGCATCATTATAGTGGTTTGCCTCCCGGCTGTGTGATCCTTGCGCATCCTATAAGACTGGGGTACCATTTTTCCTTTTTGGCCATGCGTTCAGGATGTGGCATCCTGCGGCCTTATCAGGGTCATGGTGCGCACACTCTGGTTAATATCTGTTCGACAAGTTCACGCCGAGCTGGCCTTCCTCACCGTTGAACCGATCCTGTAATTTAAGGATGTCGGCCCCTGATCCGGCTCCTGCGATAACTTGGTTGAGGCCAAAGGTATCCGCAGTATAAATGGGTATTTTGGGCGCGCATTCGATGGTGCCGTCTTCGAGTGCCGTCTAGTTAAAGTTGACTCTCTAGCCATCGCCATCTTCCGATGCTTGATAGAAAACACCCCATCACATACCAACACTTTCTACCGCCCGCCGTGTTGACAGAAACGCCAACCCCTCTTCTCCTGTCAAACGGGATCTTACCGCCGTTCGCTCACTCGTCCACATGGACGTCGATGTCAATGCCATGCTAAGTAAGGTTTCTGCTTAATCGACCGACCACGCACGAAGAACACGACGACGACAGGACGCAAAGCCAAATGCATGCGTGCATGCAGCAGCACAACTGAATGGACGATGGATAGATGGAAGGATGGTAAGTGTGGTATATTCGAGAACGCTCTCAGTAAAGAAAGACCTTCGAGCAAAAAACCAAACAAAAGAAAAACGCCATTGTATGGTGTATGGGGGTATGGTGGAAAAAGAAGAAGCCCAGCAGTCCAGGTTGGTATACCCAAAAAACAGCAAGCCCAGCGACCAACCAACCCCATCCTCCCCTTGCTTTTATTTTCCACTCCTAAATGATTGATCGACCGATCGATAACAATCCGTCCCTAAGAAAGAAAGGAAAGAAAATGAAAGAAGAAGAAAAAAAAAAGAAACAATCCCGATGTCCCCCCAACCCTTCCTTCCCTAGCCAGCCAAAAAGAAAAAGAAAAGAAAAAGAAAATTAAAAAGACGCAAGGTCAGATTACAACAATTCGGTATCCCACATCAATCACCCTTTCCTTTCCCCACCCTCATTTTTCCTCTATTACACCGGCGCCGAACAATCCCTCCTCACGCCCGCCCCCTCCACCATCTGCCTCCTCGGCGTCGCCCGGCCCTCAGCCACGCTGCGCGCGCGCCTCCTCCTCTCCTGGATCTGCTCGAGCGCGACCTCGCGGTCGAACGGGCGGTCCTTGAACGACGGGGTGCGCGTGAGCGCGTGCTTCTCGGCGGCGGTGGGCGTCGCGAAGGCGTCGAGCACGCCGGGGCGCGCCGACGAAGAGGACGCCGCAAAGGTGGAGCGGGAGACGGTGTGGAAGTGTTGGTTGCTGTTGTTGTTGTGGACGGGCTTGGGGGAGTCGAAGCACATGGGGATGGTGGTGGTGGTGGTGACGGTGCGGTGGAAGAAGTTGTTGTTGATGTTGGCGGGGGTGGCCGTGGCGGCGCGGGAGGGCTGTTCGTGGAAGGCGTTGCGGGAGGCATAGTGGTGGTGGCCGTGAGAGGTGTGGCTGCGGCCGCGTTCTACAGGGGCGGGCGTGCGAGGCGGGGAGGGAGGGCGCATCGAGGTCTGCTGCCGTTGCTGCTCGACGGCAGCTTCTACCTCCATGGGAGCGGGCTCTACCGGCGTTGGGAGAGCTGCGGGTTGCGCGGTAGGCTCTGCGGGCGGGGGTGCGTCGGCGTCGGCCATTTCAACATCTTCGATCTGGGGCTTCTCCTCTGTTTCAGCGGACTTGTTCGGTGAAGGCACACTGCGGAAGGTGCCGGTCGTTGGTGAGAAAAGTAGCTCACGCTGTTCGTCTGTGAGCGTTGCTGAGTCCGGCGGGGTTGCCGGCCGGCTCACGTTCATGGGCACTGGACGCTTAACCATGGCGTCAACATCGGCATCGCCAACATCGCTGATTGGAGGGGTCATGGAGACGGGCTGACTGTTCCTGATCTTGGACATTTCCTTCTCGAACGTGTCGTCGTGGACGTAGCTGTCGCCGCTCAGCTCAGCCATTCTGCAAGAGCAGCACTGAAACTGGCATTCCATCTTCATGAAGTCGACCGTGTCCTCAGCACGCTCGCGGCGGCGGCGCTCGGCAGCCAGCTCTTCGTGCACAGCCTTGAGCTCTGCGCTCCTCGAGGAAGGGCTCGAAGGGACAAAGTTCTCCTTGTCCGAGCCATCGTATGCCCTGAGCTTGGATGGCGACTTTTTGGGGGAATCAAACTCATCCTCTTCGCCGGGGTTGGACGCAGGCAGAGCGATCAAGCCCTCGGCAGCGATCCTGGCAACCTCCTCCTCCTTGAGACTCGTCTTCAGAGCATCACGCTCCTCCTCAACAGTCTTGATCTGCTGCTTGGCTTTGGACAGCTCTTCCTGCACGCCGACCATCTTGTACTCTGCCTGGAACGCCTCCTGCTCGCGCTTCTGGCACTTGATCTTCTCCGACTCGAGCCCGGACTGGGTGATGCGGAGAGAGTTTCGGGTAGCCTTGAGCTCCTCTTGCATCTTGACCAGGGCGGACGACGACTTGAACGCCTCCTTTCGTGCCTTGCGGATCTCCTTCTCATAAAGGCCTTGGGCATGGCTGTGTGTTTCCTTGGCACGGTGCAGCTCCTCCTGCGATCGCAATCAGCAACACGATCCCTATCGTTTAGCGAATCGAGTCAGAAATTACCATGACGACCTCCAAGCGCTTAGCCACCTTGCGCTCCCGCTCTCGGCTCTCCTCGACCTCCTTCTTCATCTTCCGCGACTCTTCGCGGATGCGGCGGGCCTCGCGCTCGAAGCCGTCCTTGTCGTCGCGCAGCCGACGCGCGTCCAGCTCGGCCATCTCGCGAGCCATCTCGGCGCGGCGCACGGCGGCGGCCTGGTCGCGGTGGGGATCGAGCTGCTCGAAGCGGGCGACGGCGGCGCGCACGCCCGCGTCCGAGGACGAGGATGAGTTGCGCATGTGGTGGGAGGCGCGGAGCTTGGGCGGCGAGCCGAGCTTGAGGCTGCCGTAGTAGTTGGTGTTGCTGGCGTTGTCCGAGACGGCCGAGGTGGAGGAGGTGGGAGAGGTGGGCATGCTGCCGCGGCCGGTGGCGGTCATCAGGAGGGGTGGGGAGCGCATGTTGTTCAGGCGTTCGGGAGAGATGGAGGCGAGCGGCGTGCCAGCGGGCGGCGATTGCGGTGGTAGTTGTGCTGTGGGCGGATCCATTGCACTGGATCAGTTGTGCTCACGGGGCTGTTGCGAGCTGTTCTGGTCTTCGCGTTGGGGAGAGGGGGAAGGGAGGGAGAATTAATTTTCTTGGTGGAGGCTTGATGCAGGTGCGAGGAGACGGCAGGCAGATAGGTGTTGATGAAGGCTTGGCCCTGTAAGCGCTGGTTTCCCCGGCAACCGCCCGCCACCTACGCGTTGCACGTCTCGCGGCAACAGCATCCCCGCGACCGTTTCAGCCGTTTGGACTCGGCTCGCAGATCCGCTCCGCTGACATGAGCTGAAATGGCTGCAGAATCCGATATTCTCTGTGTGACCTTGTGGGCGGCGCCGCGTTGAACGAGTGCTGCGCCTGATGTGCTGCGCCTGATGTGCTGCAGGCGGCCGTAGCGTTCCCGCCCATCTACGGGCGGCGGGGCGGCTTCATCGCGCACCGGCCATGGAAAAAGCTTGCCTGCTTCAACTCAACCGCCACCTCTCGCCATGTCGCTCTACTATGAGGCGGCAGCCATTCTAGAGAATGCTGAAAAGACCGGCGGATCGCTGACTTCCAGGATCTATGGAAAGAAAGGGCTGAAGAGCAAGCCCACTGCCATCTATGCTCTGGTCACCGAGGCCACCAAGTGGTCCGCTGTCCTGAAGGATGTCGTCGAGAACAGTGGGACCCTGAAGCTGGAGAAGAAGGTTGGTTGTGATTTTTCGCATCTTGTCTCACATCGTTCCTGCCAGTCTTTGTGTCTTTCGAGCCCGTCATGGAATTTTTTTTCCCTTTAATGATTCGAATCTATCTCCCCGCCGCTGCTCAGCATTCCTAGATGCCCTATCCTGACATTCTACCCCAGCTCACACCTCTTCTTGCCGTCCTCCTCACCCATGATCTCCTGGTCTCGAAAGGAGGCGTAGCGGCACCGGCAGCCCACCCGCTCAAACTCGCCATCACCAGGCACAAAGCCCGTCTGAGCGCCGAGTTCACCAAGCTACGCGTAAAGCGAGGCTTCAGCTCTCTCGACGCCTTCCGCAAGCACATCAACGCGTGCGCCGAGTCCGGCACCAGCGCCACCTCCGGCGATGCCTCGTCCACCCCCACCACCATCACCGAGCACCCGCGCTGGGTGCGGGTGAACGCGGTGCGGACCACGCTGCAAGCCCAGCTGAGCACCACCTTCGCCGGCTACGCGCCCAAGGCCTCGCTCGCGGACGTCATGGCCGCGCCTGCGAGCGCCAAGGTCCTGCACGTCGACGAGCACATCCCGGACCTGCTGGCGCTGCCGCCGCGCGCCGACCTGTCGCGCGTCAAGGCCTACCAGGCGGGCGAGCTCATCATCCAAGACAAGGCCTCCTGCTTCCCGGCCTACCTGCTGGACGTCCAGCCCGACGACGGCGACATCATAGACGGCTGCGCCGCGCCGGGCAACAAGACCACGCACCTCGCCGCCATCGTCGCTCGGAACGCAGCCGCAAGGCCAGCAGCAGACAGCGACAGCGGGCATCCAAAGAACACCAAGGGCAACAAGCAGCGAAAGCAGCACATCATCGCCTGCGAGCGCGACAAGCGCCGCTCCGCCATCCTGGAGAAGATGGTCAGCCTGGCCGGCGCGAACAAGCTGGTAACCGTCAAGCCGCGCCAGGACTTCCTCAACCTCGACCCCACCGCGCCGGACCTCGCCTCCGTCGGCGCCATCCTGCTCGACCCCAGCTGCTCCGGCAGCGGCATCATCAGCCGCGACGACGACGTCAAACTGGTGCTCCCCAGCGCCGCTGCCGCCGCTCCCCAACAACAACAACCGCCATCCAGCTCGTCCAAGAAGCGCAAACGCAAAGGCACAACCACCACCACCACCACCACCACCGAACCGCCCGTCCCCTCCCCCACCCCCTCAACCCTCTCCCTCCCCCTCACCGAACAAGACGACCCAGAAGACGAAAACCCCACCACCACCACCGCAACCACCCCCCTCGCCACCCGCCTCTCCTCCCTCTCCGCCTTCCAGCTCAAGCTCCTCACCCACGCCATGCGCTTCCCCGCCGCCCGCAAGCTCACCTACTCCACCTGCAGCGTCCACGCGCAGGAAAACGAGCACGTCGTCCTGCGCGCGCTGCGCTCGCCCGTCGCGACCGCGCGCGGCTGGCGCGTGCTGAGGCGCGAGGAGCAGGTGGGTGGGATGAGGGCTTGGAGGGTGAGGGGGGAGAAGAGAGGGGACAAGAGGGGGGCGGATGGTGATGGTGACGATGTGGCGGAGTCGTTGGGGTGGAGTGAGGAAGAGGAGGGGGTGGTGAGGGAGGCGTGTGTGAGGGGGGAGAAGGGGACGGGGGAGGGGACGATGGGGTTTTTTGTGGTGGGGTTTGTGAGGGAGGGTGAGGATGGGGATGGTGGTGAGGAAGAGATGGAGGGTGGTAGCGCGAATGCTGAGGAGGTCGATGAGGAGGAGGAAGATGAGTGGAATGGGTTTAGCGATGATGAGTGAGGTTGAGGAGCTGTTTTCAATTACGTCTTTCTACCGCCGGGAAGAACATCTACGCTGGATCTCGGAAGGTGATTGAGCTGTATCTATTGCTTGTCGATCGTGCCTCCTCCCTCTACGGTGGGCTGCGTCTGCATCGCCAGGCTGCTGAGAACAACACTTCAAACTTCTCCCATCTCTTCTCTCCCATTCAGCCCCGAGCTCTGAATCAGTGTTGAAAATAGGACAAGATTTGCATGTAGCAAGGAAAAAACACGGTCTAATCCACCAAGTACGGTGGTTACCGTCCGCGATTCGAATAGCTACCCGCCATCCCCTGCAGCTAACGTTTCTATCTCCATCGCTCACAGAGCAGGAAGTCATAAGCGCAAGCGGAACGAAGATGACGACGCTGGCCTCATCTACACATCGTCAGACGAGGATGAGCCGACAGTTGACAAGGAGCCACCGGTCAACACGACGAGTCGCCGCCAGTCTTGCACAGGCCTCAGTACATACTAGATCGGCATGAACATCCACGCAGGGAGACCCTTGAGCACGCGGGAACTACGTCAGCTTGTACTTGTCTCCCTAGGTGCGCCTGGGCCAGCTCGCCTAGACCTTGTGTAAATGATGTAAAATCTTCCATTTCGTGGGGCCAGGGTGAAAATGACCTTTGTAATTCGGGTCTCATGTCCATTGTTCCGCCCACACTCAGTTGCCAGGACAATCGCCAATTAATGGCGGTCTGGACTCGCAGCAGCGGCAGCTCAGACGAGGGCTATTTTGGGAAAGCAATGTTTGCGTGAACGTCCGAAGATCATGGCATTTTCCGTTCTGTCTGCGATGAAGATGTGAACACACCACGAGGCGAGGCTTTCCCTTTTTCCCTTAACAAAAACATTCATGCACTCGCCCTCGGTAGCGAGAAAGCAAACCCGGTCCACAAAACCAATATCCCAGAGCTTGAAAACCGAATTTGATTTCTTTGGATGGATGATTTTATACGAACCACCTCCAAATGAGACACCTTTCTTTTTGACTTCTCTCCGACCGCTTTCCCGATATCACGCTGAAGAGAAAGTAATCCTCCACAGACAGAACCCCCCACAGCCCACGCATAACCAAGAATACCGTAAAAGGGGTTTTACCGGTTAGACTTGGCGACACGCTCGAGCTCGTCCTTCTTCTTGATGGCGTACGAGTTCGAGCTGCCCTTGGCGGCGTTGATCAGCTCCTCAGCAAGGCACTCGGCAATGCTCTTGACGTTGCGGAAAGAGGCCTCGCGGGCACCGATGGTGAGGAGGGCGATGGCCTGGTTGACACGGCGCAGGGGCGACACATCGACGGCCTGGCGACGGACGGTACCGGCCGAACCGATACGGGTGGAGTCTTCGCGGGGACCGCAGTTGACGATGGCATCAACGGCGACCTGGATGGGGTTCTGGTCGGTCATGATGTGGATCTGCATCGCTCCGTTAGAACTCTGGGCGCCCAGTGCGCGTGTTCGCGGGGCACACGTACGATCTCGAAGGCGTGGGCAACGATGCGGACGGCCATGAGCTTCTTGCCGTTGTTGCGGCCGTTCATCATGAGCGAGTTGGTCAGGCGCTCAATGATGGGGCACTGCGCCTTCCTGAAACGCTTGATGGCATAGCGGCCAGCCGAGTGGGAGAGGTAGACGGGAGTACGGATCTGGATGTAGTCGCTGCAGGCGCGGAAAGGCGTCAGCACACATCTTCGCAGCGGCCCGCGCAGCAAAAGCCGGCGCGCGAATTGCAGAGGCTCGCTCTTGGGAAGGGTGATCCGTACGTCAAGGAGATGTCCCTGATCTCGACATCCTCGTAGCTCCACTTGTTGAACAGCTTGATGCTGCCAATCTCCTCGGTGACGTCCTTGGGAAGGACGGGGTAGCCCTGGGGGCTCTCGACCTCGATTTCGCCTTCAGACATGCTTGCCGGTGGTTGACGATACGACGCTGCCGTAAGTTGAAGGGAAGGTCGTGAGCGGGTCGTCGGCGGGGGTGGTGGTTGTCGTCGGTGAGGTCGAGGATAATTTCAGCAGAGTGTCGGATCAATTGAGTGCCGCACGCACTCGCTTAGCCCGCACGTGATCCGCCAGCACCAAACCAATTGCGACCCATCTGCGCAGCGCATCGCAGCGCAAGCATTTCCCGGCTCTGGCAACGGAAACATTTTGTGCGTGCGTTGGAGAAACCAATTCCCCTCGCAGACATTTCAACCAGAATCGCACCGGTTGTGCTGCGTATTGCTGGCAATTCCAACCGCAACTGCGCGCGACCTTTGTGTGTAGCGAGGAAGCTCGCCAGAAATCGGCCGTGCGCCACTTGTAATGGTCTCCTCGACTCACAAGAAGTCAACCAGACATACACCCAGAAAAGATCAAGCAGAAAATCCACAGTAAGGTCTACAAAGGACCACTAATTTGGCCGAGATACAAGCACTACGGCGATGATTCCAACTTCCGAATCGTGTCAAAGCAAAACTCCAATATCTAATCAATCTATCAATGCACGCCTGATCAAATCGATCACAGCTGACTTTTGGGGGTATCGATAACAATCTGTGCGCAATAATCTACCGGCTGCTGATGCTGCTGCTGCACCACCATCATCTACGCGCCGCCCTCTCTCGCAAGAGCTCCTCCAGCGCCTCGCCCAAATCCGCATACGTGACCTTGGCCATCTTCCTTTCCCCGACCCTCCTCCACGCCTCCCGCATATCGCCCTCCTCGACCCTGACCACCCACCCCGCGGCCGTGACCAGCCTCACACTCCCATCCGGCCCCTTCCCCCTCCCCACCGCCCCATCCGCCCTCAACAGCCTCTCCAGCCACTCCCTCCCCCCACCCGCACCCGCACCCGCACCACCACCCGCACCACCCCCAACCTTCCCCAACACCTCCTCCACCGACACCAGCCCCCTCCCCCCCTCCTCGACATCCAACTCCCTCCTCGCCACCCCGACCGCCACCCCCCTCGCCCTCTCCTCCTCCGCCCTCGCCCTCGCCTCCCTCTCCCGTCGCTCCTCGCGCTCCCGGCGCCGGCGCTCCTCGACCGCCGCCTCCGCCACCGCCCGCCGCCGCTTCTCCTCGAACAGCTCGGCCTCGCGCTCGTCGGCGCCCTCGCGCTCGCGCGCGCGCTGCGCCTCGCCCTGCGCCCGCACGAACTCGTGGTACGCGCGCCGCTGGTCGCGCCGCGCGAGCGACCGCGCCTTCTTGGCGCCGACGACGGCTTGCTGCTGCTGGCGCGCGGCTGCTGTTGCTGCGGCGGCGGCGGCGCGGCGGTGGCGTTCGGCTTGGGTGGCGGGGTCGGCGTCGGCGTCGGCGGCGGGGTCGTCGGGGTTGTTGTTGGGGTTGTTGGCGGCCTCGAAGGCGGCGAGGGCGTCGCGCTCTTCTTCTTCTTGGGCTAGGAGTAGGTCTTCCTCTTCGTCTTCGGTGGCGCCGTCGGCGTCGTCGTCGTCGTCGAATTGCGCTGCATCTTGCTCGGTGGCGGCGCCGGGGTGGATGGCGTGCGTGTTGTTCGCGCGCTGTTGTTGCTGTTGCTGTTGCGGCTCTGCTGCGTCGTCGTCGGCAAGGGGTCGTCGGGGTGGGGCGACGGATCCGTTGTTCTCGAAGATGGCGGGGGCGAAGTAAAGGAAGGCGCAGAGGGCGGCGGTGTGGACGAGGTCTTGAAGGAGCGGCGTGCCGGGCCTGGTGAAGGGCAGGAGGCGGTTGAGGAAGGATTGGATGATGCGGAAGGGATTCATGGCGGTTTTTTCTCTTTTAGTACTGCAAGCAAGACGGAGAAGGAGAACGAAGAGGAAAAAAAAGGCAAAAGGAAAAAAGAAACACCCGTCGAATGTTGTGAAGAAAACGGCGAGTTGTGTTATTGAGTCATGCTTCGGATGGGGAAAGCTTTGCGCACACTGGTGCGCGCGGAGCTGACGGCGGTGGAGTCGAGGTTGGTGATGGCGCTCGGGTGGTCAGAGCTCCCCCAGCAAAAAGCTGTCTTCGGCTGCAGAGCGCCATCTCCGCCGCCCTGCGACAAGACGTTGCCGCCACGAACATTTCGGCCCAATGTGCCCCGCTGTCAAGTTGATCAATCCTTATGCCGAGACTCCTGCAATATCAGATCTTGTCGGCCCCTGTCCAGGAGTGAAGGCAAATCCGCAACGTATTTGGTGATCAGCAAGTTATCGAAGGAACTCCATAGCCAATTTGGTTTTTGAAGAGGAAAGAGATGAACAACCGGTTTTTATTCCTAACCAACAACGGCAGTCGGTTGTCAAATGACTTGCTCTTCTCAGCGTAACTCGCCATAGATATTGCACTCTGCTTGCCTTTTACGCAGGGATGCTTTGTAGAGTTCCAAAACCCCGAATCTTCATCTAGCAATCTACATCAGACAGTCTCGTAGAGATGCACTATATTTCGAGAACCAGTGCGAACCAAAGGGAAATGGCAGTGGCACCCCAACGTGGTAGTATATTGGTTGTCTTGCTAACTGTACCGCGGCAATGATAGGGGCTCATCGGGACGTCGACTGAGGACTGGAGCACAGAGCACTCTGACAACCTTCACGGACCTCGTCTTCGTTTCTGGTACTTGAACAAGCCGATGGCGGAGCGTACGCGAAGGAAATTGGGAATGAAGACGATGTCTTTTTGGACGCGATTCTCAGCCCTTGCACGTCCCAGCCGTGCTAGCAAAGCGTCCCATGCCTGCGGGAAGCGATCCGACTATTCCAGACATATATCGCAACTGCCTCCTACGGCGGTAGGAACTCATGCGCGGAGTGGCCATCTCTCCCATCCTCTTACTCGATTTGCGGATTCGCCAAAGCTTGCTTGATGGGAACAAGGGGGTTGTTGATCCTTTGATTTGACCTCTTCGAAGATGGGCTCTTGCTCTTGCCCTGCTCTCGTTGCATCATGATGCTGCCTTCATCCGCAAACCACACATACCCACAGCCGTAACCCCCCAAGAGAACCCGAACGCCATGCTGCTTCCATGCCAAGAAGACAATCAGAACTTGGAAGAGAAAAAGGAGGAGACTCTAAAATTGATCTGGAGGCGGAACGTCAGCAAAGCCTAGCTTCGACAAAAGACAGCAAAGCACCAACGCACCCAAAGTCATGCTCATCGAGACATCCGTGTTCTCGACCATCTTGGTAAACTCCTCGAAGCTGATCTTGCCGTCGTGGTCGAGGTCGGCCTCCATGATGGTCTTGTCGACAATCTGCTGCAGCTGCTGGTCCTTGAGGTTGCTGCCGACCATCATCTTGAGCACGATGAACAGCTCGCCGTTGCTGATGTAGCCGTCGCGGTCGATGTCGTACACCTTGAACGCGAAGCGCAGCTTCTCCTCCTTGTTGCCCTTGCTGCTGAAGGCCGACAGGCCCGACACGAACTCCTGGAAGTCGACGTCACCGCCGCCGTCCTCGTCGAAGATGGCGATCATGCGCGTCGCCAGCGGGTTCGACGACACCTGCGGCAGCGACAGGAACTCGTCGCGCTCGATCGTGCCCGAATTGTCCTACAGAGAGGGAGGGCAAGTGTCGTCAGGGTCTGCCTTCATGCGAATTTCGGCTGCGTCATGCGAAAGGGGGGGAAGCATGGCGGAGGGAGTGAGGGGCCCCACGGCCGCGGGTTGGGTGAGGGCTGGATGTGGCAAGGGCGGAGGCGGGCGTACCTTGTCGAGCTTCATGAAGCGCTTGCGCAGGCGATCGACCTCCTCGCGGTCGACTGGACACGAAAAGTCAGCACGGCATTCGGCGACCAGGCAGCGGCTACCCCGCCGGCACAGGCTGAAGGGCGGACGCCGTGGCGGGCACAAAAAGAAGGATTGGACGCACAATTGGAGCCGGACACGATGTTGTCCAGCATCTGGGAATTTGCGTTGCCCATTTTGGCGGTTGCGGCAGGGGGTTGCTTGGCTGGGTGGGCGTGGGGGAGGGGTGTCGAGAGGCTGGAGGCAGCAAAGGCGGAGGATCAGGTAGGGTGGTGATGCACACAACGTGGGAAGCAAGCCGCAGGGAAGCCCAGCCAGCCAGCCAGCCAGCCCCACGCTCTCGCTCATCTCATCTCACTCAGGAGCGCCGCCGCCGCCCCAAGGTCCCGACCGGGCCAATCACGCAACGCGACTCAAGACTCCGCTCGCCGCCCGCCGTCCAGTCACGTGCCCGCCGCCGAGCGAGCTTCCACGCCGAACGTCACCGCCGCCAGCCAGCCAGCAAACACCAGAGCTCGAAACGCTCGCAACCGCCTCCCCCAACCCATCGACCACCCCCCCAATTGCCCGTCGCCATGGCCGCCCCCGGCCCCCTCGAGATCGCATCGACCATCCAAACCGCCTCCATCCAGCGCGACCCCTCCCCACACCACGACATCAACCCCTCCACCGCCGCCAGCACCCGCGAGCCCGTCCGCATCCACCGCACCTCCTCCGACACCTCCTCCGACGACGACGAGGAAGTCCCGCTCTCCGCCCTGCACCCGGCCCCGCGCCCGCGCGGCCGCGGCGGGCCCGGCCACCACCACCTCCCGCCGCTGCCGGACCTGCGCTTCGAGCAGAGCTACCTCAAGAGCATCGAGCGGTGCGAGTCGGCGTGGGGCGTGGCGTACGTGACGCTGCGCGACCAGCTGCTGCTGCCGCTGCTGCAGGGCACGCTGTGGACGCTGCTGCTGAGCGGCTGGCGCCACTGGAACCGCGCGTCGCAGCTGTCGGGCGCCGGCGTCGGCGCGCGCGTGCGCCGGTGGTGGTGGCGCGTCAACGACTGGAAGATGTCGGCGCTGCATGCGAATACGACCGAGGCCGTGGCCGAGCATGTCAAGGATGTGAGTGTCCGATTTATACGGGTGTGTAGTGTCTGACGGGGATGTGGTGGAGTGGAATGCTGATTGGGTGCGTGTGTGTGTTATAGTATTATGTCAGCGAGTTTGCCAATGCAGGCGCCGATTAGAAGAGCGGCGGCGTGTCATCGAAAATGTTGGCCATGCGATAGACGAAAGCGGGGATGCATTGGGATGGGAGTCTTGGGCGTTTGGGCCGGATATTGTGGGATATGAGAGAGGCACACTTGACGAAATGAGAGATATGAGATATGGGTGCTGTTGCTATGCATCCGCTGTACTGTTTGTATACATCCATTTGTGTTTGTCTGTGTCGTTTAATGATGAAATGCTAGAAATCAAAGAACGCCATTTGTGTCGCAAGCGCTGCGACGGGTATCCACCTAACCCAATGTCTGACGCCAAACAGTTTGCCTGTGTGCCCAATGATGTACCAAGTGTAATAGCAACTGCCCGGGTTTACAAAAGAGAAACAGGAAATAAACTCCCAAGGCACGCTTGTGGGGGAAGTACGCAAGCAGAGTGGATCAAAATAAGGAAACCCGAATGGAAATCCAGTCTCCATCCACCATCGTTAATGCAAAACTGACAAATGGAAAGAGTCATCCGTAGCTCGCTTCTGCAGAATGTAGCCATAGTCAGCAGGATGCCTGTCTCCCATCCAAGAGCAACCCATGAAGGCAAAGAGAGTCCCGAAACCGGAAAAATGCCAAAGTCCTATTTCCAAGCTCTTTCAGTCCTCGTTCTCGCCCTCAGAGTCGGAACCCTCGACACTGGAGCTCCCATCCTTCCAGGACACGCGCGTAGCAGAGTCGTCCACGCGTTTGATGCCTGACGCCCCCTGTTTCTCCCTCAGAAGCTCCATGTACTGCTCCCTGTCCTTCATCCTCCCCTTCCACTGCTCGTACGTTTCCATATCCTCCTCCCTGTTCTCGAACTGCCACTTCTGCCACCTCCGGAACGTCTCTTTCTCTTCCGCAATCAGTTCCTTCTTCCCACGAGTCTCGGGCATCTGCTCCTCTTCGCCCCGCCCACCAGTCGCCTTGTGCAGCGCCCTCAGCGCGTGGCAGTTCCGGTCGATATACCCCTCGCCCTCGCTCTTCGGCAACAACACATCGCCCTCGTCGAGCGCGAACCAGTACGGGTGGAAATGGTACCGCTCGCACCACCTCATCTCCTGCCCCATAAACAGCGGCGTCTTCTTCAACCTGCCATCGATCCGCTTCTCGCACGCCTCCTCCAACTCCTCGAAGAAGCCGACGTCCCCGCCGCCGTCCCGCACGAACCCACCGCTCTCAGCAGCCGAGAGTTCCGCCAGCGTCCTCGCCGCCCTTTCAGGACTCGCACACAACAAGTCGAGCAGCAGATTCCGCATCGGCCTCCCCTCCGCCAACACCGCGGCAACAACCCCCCCAACATCACCACTCCCCCCCTCAATCTCCTCCTGATCACCCACTCCCCCATCCCATCCAGCATTCGCCACCTCCCCCAACGCCCCCACAAACCCCGCCACCTCCCTCACCCCCAGCTCCAGCTCCAGCCCCAGCCCAACCTCCTCCCCGCTCCTCCTGACAAGCCTAACCATCCCCGATGCCAACCCATCACAACAATCCCCATCCCCCATCCACACCGCCACCGCATACGCCCCCAACACCCGCCCCGCCGTCCACCACGTATCGTCTGCGTCTGCGTCTGCGTCATCCGCGTCCGCGTCCGCGCAGAAGACCACGCGGTTCCCCGCCGAGCAGACGTACTTGGCGTAGCCGACGAGGGCGTCGCGCGTCGCCCATGGGGGGAGGTGGATGGTGTTGGTGGTGTTGTTGTGGGCGGTCAGGGCGGTGAGGCCGTGGCGGGCGTAGAGGGATTGGGTGCGGATGGAGGTGCGGAGGAGGAGGCGGACGGGGATGCGGACGGGGATGGGGTAGGAGGTGGGGTGGTTGGACGCGGTGTCGGCGTGTTGTAGGTGCAGGGTGATGGTGAGGGAGGAGGGGACGCGGGCTTGGAGGGGGTTGAAGAGGGTGTTGCTTTGTAGGCAGGCGGTGGGGTAGGTGCCTTGGGGGTAGGTGGTGGTGGGGTTGTCGTCGTTGTCGGAGGAGGAGGAGGAGGAGGAGCAGCTGTCGTCGGAGGAGCTCGAATTACTGCAGCTGGAGCAGTTGGAATTGGCGTCGGCGCTGTCGGAGTCGTCGTTGGGCTCCTCCTGGCCGGCGGTGGTATCCTTGTCGTGGACGTCATCACCGCCGGTTTCGCTGTCGACTGGTCCAGAGCGCGCCGACTGCTGGGGGATTGGACCGTTTCTGCCGGCAGACGTCGACGTCTTCGTACGCTTGGTGGGACGGGATTCCGACTCGTCTAGCTCAGTCTCCTTTTCCTCCTCCCAGGCACGCTTCTTCCCGGCCGCTTTGGTGCTGGTAAAGTAGGAGTTGGAGCCAGCCGAAGGACCAGCAGCAGCAGGGCTGAGATATGTCTGCTCCCTGTCATCAGACGAAGCCGCGACTTTTACGTCCTTCTTTTTCTCTTCCTTCTCGCTGGCTGGCTCCCTGCCAGCCTCGACGCCGGACAGCTTGCTTGTCGCCTCAGGCTTCGCAGCAACCTTCCTGCCCACTGCCTTCCTCGCCCGCTGCACCGGCTGCTTCCGAGCAGCCCTCCCCTTACCCTTTCCCTTGGTGTCAGGACCCTGCTGCAAGAGCGCAGTCAGGTCAGACTCAGCAGCAGCAGCCGGGTCAATGACAGGCATCTTCTCCTCTGGGATGGGAGAGAGCTGGGCCGTTGTTTTCGGGGCACGCTTGACCGGACTACGTTTGACCGGACTACCGCGCCTCGTTCGGGTGGTGGCGGTGGCACGCTTAGAGGCAGCGCGCTTCCTCGGGGTTGAAGCAGTGATGGTCTGGTCGTCGACACTTGAAGCGGCCTTGATGACCGCCTCCTCCTGCTCCATCACGGGTTCGGTCGTAGCAAGACTCGAAGTAGTAATCTTCTGTTGTCCACTCGTTGCCGGTCTACGCTTCCTCGGAGTAAGGGCTGTTGTGACCTGAGTGTCAACCGTCCCCTTCGGCTCCGTGGACGGACCAGCGACGACAAGTTCCTCCGAAGCAACGGCCTTCTTCGAAGCACGTGTGGCCCTCCTTGGGGCGGGAGTATCAGGTTGGGCATCGGCACTTAGGACGGTGTCGACTGCCTCTTCCGGAACTAGGGTGGGCTCAGCTGGGGTGAGAGCCTTATTCGCGGCCTTCTTTGCTGAGATCCTGACAGCAGAACGGGTCCCGCGCGCGGGAAGGGCGGAGGGAGCTTCAGCGTTCTTGGTGGAGTCAGTGTCTTTGGTGTCGACACTGAAGACGCGCTGGCGCTTGGACCGAGTGGTATCGCCAACATTAGTCGTGGCACGACCGCGTTTCCTGCCGGCGGCGGGCGTGGGGGGAGCGGGAGTGCTCTCGTTGTTGACAGACTTAGAAGCTTTGGTGTCGACCTTCTTGACACTCTTGGGCTTGGTGATGGATCTGCGAGCGGGGGTCTGGGGGGATGGTTAGTGGAAGCCTCGACGCTGGTGATGGGGTTAAATACCTTGGTATCGACCTTCCTCGCGCGTTTGGGTGAGGGGAGCTCGGTGCCAACATCGGACTCGAAATCAACATCGTCGAGGACGCGCTTCTTTCCGGCTGCCTTCTTCTTAGCGGGAGCAGAAGTGACCTTGGTGGGAGACCTGGCAGTTCGGATGGTGTCCGCCATGTTGTCGGCGATGTCGGGTTGCGGAGCGGTTGGTGTCGAGGTTACGGTGTTTGGGTTGTCGAGAAGTGTTTCGAAAGTGGTAGCGGTGCTTGGAAAGCAAGGACGTTCGGAGGGCGCAATGCAAACGAAGTTGTCAAGAGCCGGTACCAAATTCCGGGTGAGTCGAAACGGTGGAAAAGAAGAGGAGTGGTCTGGTTGCGATGGGCGAAGCCTTAAGAGCTGCGATGTTTTGGAACAGTGTGTCGGCGGCAGCAGACCATGCCGCTACGACCACTCCTGGGAAACCACCACCCACCCTGACGAGTGTTAACACACTTTCACCGCTATACCAACTGCCAGAAGGTACCTTCAGATGCGAGGAGGCACCCTTGGTTGGCGTCATGCTCAAATACCATCTTTCTGGAGCTGCACTCTCGATATGGTGTTGAGGAAGCGTCGTGATGGATCTCGCCCAGCTGTAACCTCTTCCACCCGTCCCGAGCTCATTCCGTTCCCGCAAGAGCTGCATCTGAGAAGCCATGTGCCGCATTTGATATATAGTAGAGGAGGAAAACAAAAAGAGCAACACCAAGGAAGCGTCCAACAAGGCACAACGGTATATCTACCATATTCTGGAATGCCGTAAGGAACTTCAAGCACACACTACTGCCTACCCCTCACTATAATGTTCTCAGCAGGCAAAAGGACTATCTGATGTTTCTCTCGAAAGAAACAGATAATGATGATTGGTGCGGGCGGTTGGTAGCGATTCGCTTGGCGGACTTAACGAGACCCCTGGGCTATAAAAAGCAATTGGCCCTAAACACTTTGGATACTACAAAAAGCTTATATGGAAAGTAGATGTATATTCACGAAGAAGGCCGCTCGGTACGCTTGCTTATAAGCCACCCGATTGGATTTCGCTTGTAGGTCAAAGTGCATGCTCGATAGCTCAGCATTGAACACCTGATGGGCTATTTTCAAGCAGCAAACAAGCAAGCAAGTGTTCTGCAAGACCTGCATGGGTCTTCAAGATGCGCAAGCGGTACGAAGGAAAGACTCACGAAGAAGCGAATTCTAATACACAGATCGTAGCCGGAGGCTTCTCCGCTTTCAACTATAAGGCGCCCTTTGCGCAAAAGCTAAATATCTCGGGCCCGCCAAATATCTAGCTGAGGCTCCTGGCCTCGGTCCAGCCCGTCAACAAGTATGGGCATCAAGCGGATCAATATTATTGGCGCGTACCCAGGGTGACACGCTGGCAGGCGAATAGGGTCCCCTGCAGGAAACACATGGTCAAAAGCGACAGCTCGTCCTGCTGCGGACGACACCGCCACTGATTTCGGCGCCGACGGTGGAGCGGTAAGCTAAAATTAGGCGGGGATTACTCAGTGTGGCGTTTGGTGGGCCAACCAGACAGGTCAAGCGCATCCTCAGCCCCAAATCGCCAGTCTACTTTCGGATGCCAACCATGCCGGCCACTCTGTCAGCTCGACGGCGATCCCCACGGCGATCAGCATAACAATATCGCCGCTGCTCTCTATTTCTCTTCCAAGTTTCCCGCTCGAGCTGTGCCTACACGCGCACACATACACATCCACCGCAGCCATGTCGAAAAGGACCGTCTTCACCACCATCACGCCCTTGCCCGCGGGTGTAACACGGCAAGTGGTGCTCGAAACGCTGCACAACCATGTCGAAATGATCGACCTCAACCCACTCGTCATCGAACGTCATATCTGCCCTCCGCCTCGCGACGCCAACGCAGAGGAGTTCCACTGCACCTGGTACTCGCTCACGGGTAAGCCATCGCTGAAGTCGTTTGTTTCGAACCTCTGCTAATGCTGCGCAGACCGCGTCAGCTATCTGCCCGGCATCAACGGCAAAGTGACGTACAACGCCTGTTTCCACGACCTCGCCAAGGGCGTGCAGACGCACGTCTACGCTCCTCTTGGTCTCGACATCAAGGAGAAATGGTCCGTCGGGGGGAGCTTGCCCGGCGAGGCTGCCGAGCCCGTGGAGCTGGGGCTCGGGGTCCCGAAGCAGGGCCTCTACCTGCGCGAGGACTGCGACATGCGCTGCAACATCATGTTGACCAAGTTCGTCCGCGGCACCCTGACCAAAGCCCATTCGGTGCTCGTCGACCGCCTGGTGGAGAAGGCCGGCCTGGAACAGGTCAAGGTCGACAACCAGCGCATATCCGTCGCCAGCAGCGAGCCCGCCTCGCTCCATTCCAACGACGTCGGCACCGCCACCGGCTTCCCCGCATCCCCGACCCTCTCGTCGTCAGGAACCTTCAGCGACACGGCGAGCCTCGACCACGCTGCTACTCAAGCCCAGCCCGCCCCGGTGCAGCCTCCACAGTATTCCGAGCTTCCGAAATACGCAGAGCTTCCCGGCCCTCCGCAGCCTCCCCAGCAACCAGCTCCGCAATTGCCGCCTGTCGAGAAGCCAAAGATGTGCGCCGACGGCTCCTTCGTTCCCGAGCCGTTGAACCCGCGCAAGGCCCAGAGGCACAGCTACATGGCCTACCAACCCGCCCAGGCACACGCCGCGACGAACCGGAACTACGCCGCCTACCGACCTCCGCCGCCGCAGCACGGCTATTCTGCATATCGTCCCACCAACGCGCAACCGCGGCACCTTTCGGCTCAGCAGTACTCTACGCATAGTAGATCTCAGTCTGCTGGTTCTGTGCCGCACATTTCCGTCAGTTCGCCCGCCGAGCTGGAGGGCTGATTGCTTATGATTTGACGATTACGACTCTCTGTTTTCCCTTCGCCTGCTGTATATTTGTCCCTCACATACCCTGCCGTTTCCCTTTCAAGATACCAATTTGGACCAAAGACCATCTAGATCGTTGTTCGAGTAGGGCACTGGTTTCAGTTTTGGCCATTCCACTTTACTTGTTTGCTCTTTCGGAGCTGCCTAGCATGGTTTCAAGGGGTTTGCATCTATGATGCTGTTAAGCATGTTACCGTCTTGTACATTGTACGTGTCCAACTGTCCGTTGTATGTAGAAATTACGCTTTTCCATCTCCCTACCGCCAGGTCAAGTCAGTGCTTTCACTTCACAATCTTGCCTTCTCCCGCCCCACACTGTCCTCGTCGCCCACTCCCAAAAACGTCTTCAACAACAGCACCTCCCTCGGATCATCCACCTCATTGACAACCCTATCAATCCTCCCCTCATCCCACGCGAACCCAAACCACAACAAAACCCCCACATCCCTCACCACCCCCACCGCCTCCCGCACCCCCGGCTCCCTCAACTCCCCGCCCACCCCCCTCTCCACCTCATCCCAAAACAGCCGCCTCAGCCCCCCCGCCTCCGCATAATACGTCCACTCAAACGTCTTCTCCGTCCCCCTCCCTCCCCCAGTCCCCCCTCTCACCGCCTCCGCCCCCCACGCCACCCCGCCGCCGAAATTCCGCTCCTCCTCCCCCTCCTCCACCCGAGCAGACCCGGCCCCGGACGACGACGACGACGACGACGACGAAACCGACGAAACAAACCCCACCAAAAACTCGACCCCATACAACCCCACCCCCCACCGCCCCACCTCCGCCTCCGCCCAGTCCACCACCCCAGCCAACCGCCCCGCATCGTCCCCCTCCCCATCACCATCACCAAACACCAACAGATTCCCCGGCACGAGATCCCCATGATTGAGCGTCAGCGGCACGAGCGGACGCGGATGATGTCGCTTCCGCTGCTGCTCGTCGTCGTCATCGTCATCGTCATCCTCCCCATCCAGCCCTCCATCCAGCCACGCCCGCCACGCGCTCGCGGCGCGCCGGCGCAGGGCCGGGGTGGGGAGGTGCGCGGCGAGGTGGGCGAGTTTGGCGGGGGTGCGGGCGTGGAGGGAGGGAGGGCGGGGGGCGGTGGTCAGGAGGGAGGATGTGGAGATTGGTGGTTTTGATGGTGGTGGTGGTGGTGGTGTTGTTTTTGTTGTTGGGGAGGAACGGGGGGAGGGGAAAGGGGGGGAGGAGGAGGAGGGTGCGGTGGATGCGATGGACGCGGTGCTGGCGTGGCGGTGGGTCCAGCCTCGTGCCATGAAGGCGGCGAAGTCGCGGATGAGGGTTTGTTGGCGGTGGAGGTCGGTTGGTGGGAGTGGGGGACAGGAGGGGGGGTAGGAGGAGGAGGGGGGTTCGCCTCGGTGGTGGTGGTGGTGGTGATGGTGATGATGGTGGTGGGAGCGGGAGGGGCGGGGCTGCGCCGCGGCGTAGGGGAGGCCCGGGAGGAGCGTTGTGGCTGTTATGTCTAGATGGGTAGGTGCAGGGTGGAGGCAGAGGCGTTGCTCGTGGTTTTCGTCGTCGTCGTCGTCGTCGTCGTCGTCTTCCTCTTCCTCTTCTTCGTTGCTACTTCGTGTACTCTTGGTGGCAGAGGCAGAGCCAACATCACCGGCAGTAGCAGCCGCGGAACCGGAATCCGAAGCAGTAGACGCATGACGACGGCGGCGGCGGCGGCGGCGACGACGACGACAATCAAGTGCTGCCAGCTCCCTCGCCGGCGACACCGCCCTCGGCCAGAGCGCCACCGTCCCCGCATACACCAACCTTGGCACAAGCGCGGCGCCGTAGATGGCGCGCGCGAGGTCCAGCACGTCCGAGTCGACTGCGTGGCGGGGAGGGCGGAACTGGACAAGGACGGCGGATCCGTAATCGTCTCGCTCTTCTTCTTCTTCTTCTCCTCCTCCTCCTTCTCCTCCTTCCTTCCCTTGCTCCCCCCGTTTCCGCCTCGTCAGCAACACCGAATAACTGCACCACCCCTGCCACGCGTAGTGCCCGACGCTTCGCTCGTAGCCGCTCGCCGCCAGCAGGCTCTGCGCGATGTCGTCGCACATGAGCTTGTCCATTGCATGGAGCTTGTTGCGGGCAAAGAAGTCGCCATCGTGGTCGTTGTCGTCATCTACCGGAGCGGAGGAGGACGAGGCCATGGACGATGGTGGGGTTGCGGCATGTTTTGGTGGTGACGTGTTGCTGCTTCCTCCTCCGCCACTCCCGCTGCTCAAGGCTGTCCGACCTGCGGCTGTCGCGGCCGAATCCTCTGCTCGTGCGGTGGTGGTGATGGTTGGTGACGGCTGACGACTGCGTGGTATCAGTGAAGTACTTGACATTATCTCCTCTACCCCTCTCCCTACCCCTCCTTCTCTCCCCCCTCCTCCTTCTCCCATGAACGATAGTCGTCTTCTTTCCGCCGCAATCACTTCGAAAGAAAAAAGATGTCCACCAGGCGTCGCTCTTTTCTTTTCCTTTCTCTTTTTAAAGGTGTAGCAAAAACGACACAAGAGAAAATCTGCTCGGTAGAAGCAAAAAACATACACGCAAAAGACAATCACAGACTCCTCATATCACACATTTTTTTTTTAAAAAGGAATCAAACATTAACTAAAACCACAAGGATGGGGGAGATATACAGTTCTGGATTTCGCCGGGAAGAGGAGAAGAGCAGATCTAAGGGAGGAAGCGGAGGAAGCGAGTGTCAAAGCAGCCAGTCATTTTTATAGCAAAACACAGCAGCGCCACATTTCCTCTTCCACTGCTAATCAAGTCTACCGCCCCATGCGCATGTTGCGGACAAAATGACGCATTCGAATTCTTACCGACTACGATTGGTGGTTTGGCAGGGTTGAAGAAACGAGGTGTGACCGTGGCTTGCATGAGCAGATGTCGGCTGATGGTGGGTGGGGAACGCGGAGCTCTGTAATCCATGCCCATTGGAAAGTGAGTGAAGCGAGCTGCGAACGAATCCCCAGACGAGTATTGCACATGGAGTGGACCTATCCAGACCGCACGACATTTATAGCGTAGCCAGAGACGATTCGAACAAAAACATTGATTTCTAAACTGCGCCGCACCTGGCGTTTCCAGTTGTGCATCCCAATCCGTCACTACCGTATCCCAGGTAAGGATATCTACATGCGTTTCATACACCCTGGTTTCCAATTCCTAATCGTCACAATTTGAGCGAGAACATTCTCGTACTCAACACAAAGTGCATGTCGAGACCTTAGTTCTCGATCCACTCACCGCCGAGCCAGCGGTTGAGCATGTCCAAGCTGGCCTCGGGCTGGTCGTAGGGGACCATGTGGCCGCCGGCGTGCAGGCGAAGGAAGGTGAAGTTGCCCGAGCTCTTGACCTCACCAATCTTCTTGCCGTCACCGCCGAGCTTGAGGTCCTCAAGAGGAAGAGGAGCGTACGCCTTCTTGCCGGGCCACTCGAGAGCCTCGGACCAGGCCTTGTTGCCGAGCCAGTTGCAGATGAAGTCGGCGTCACCGGCGTAGATGAGGACGGGGATCTGCTCGAGAATGCCGGGGACAAGACGGTGGAAGGGCTGCATCCAGTCACCCTGGAACAGGAAGTTGCGGTTGATGTCGAAGTTGCAGCTGTCGTAGCTGGACACCTCGGCACCAAGAGCCTTCTTGACGTCATCCTGGTTGAGGTACTTGGAGATCCAGCCGAGCTCAGTGTAGCAGAGGTTGCTGCTGTCCTCACACTTGCCGCGAACGTCGTAGACGTTCTGGCCCGTGCGCTGGTAAGGACCCAGCATGGCGTTGTTGCAGTAGATGGAGGCAGGGACGCAAGACCAGACGCTCTCAGAGTTGTAGCAGCTCTCGATCAGGTTGGCGCAGCGAGGGTAGGCATTCTCCATGGCCTGGCACTCGCTCTCGCCGAGAACGGCGGGCCAGCCACCATCACCACAGGCCATGGGCTTGTAGTATTCGTACTGCGTCAGGCCATCGGTAAGGCCGTTACCGATGAGCACCGACTTGAGGTTGATGTTGCGCTTCTTGTGAGAGAGGATCTCCGAAGCAAAGACGGGAATGTAGTGGCCAGCGTACGATTCACCGGCAATGTGGAAGTCCTGAGTAGCATACTCGGGGAACTGCTTGAAGAAGAGGGTGAGCAAGGCGTAGACGTCCTTGCCGGCGGCAATCGTGTTGCTGACGGAGCCGCCGCTGTACGAGTAGCCAACGTTGACGGGCTGGTCGAGGAAGATGACGGAAGCGTTGGCGTTCCACGAGTATGGGTTGTGCTTGACCTTGATGTCCTTGGTGATGGAGGCCGGGCCGAGCTCCATGAAGAGGCCCGTCAGCGACGAGCAGCCGGGACCGCCGTTCAGCCAGAGGACGATGGGGTCGTTCTTGGGGTCGTTGCGGGACTCAAAGAACCCTGCGGCGCTTCGTGTTAGAGAATGCAACGAGGCGGGAGGTGGAGTCGCGTGACTTACAGTAGAAGAGATGCTTGTCCTCCTCATCGTCGTCGAGGTAGCCGCTGTACTGCTTGACCTTGTCGACGCCGAGGGACGAGGGATCGACCTTCTTGGTGCGGAGGCTGTACTGCTCGAGCTTGCCCTCGACCTCCCTCTCCTTCTCACCCTGGGCGTTGTCGACCCAGACGGACTGGATGTCGGCACCCTTCAGAATGTGGTCCCACTCGCTGTCGTGCTTGCGCGAGTGCGGCTTCGGAGAGGAGAAGAAGTTGGCGTTGTCGAACGAGTCGGGGAACATCATCGCCACCTCATCCCAGAGCTGGCGGGCCTCGCCGGTCAACGACTTGAGGGCATCCTCAAGGTTGTGGAGCGGCTTGGACCAAGATCCAGCAGCCTCAGCCAGAGGCCTGGGCATCTGGAAGACATGCTGCTGCTCGGCCAGGGCCGTGGTGGCAGCGCCGAGGAGCAGGGCGGATGTTGCAGCCCTCATGGTGCTAGCTATGACGACACAACAGAAGCTGATAAGAGCCGATGGAGCTGCAAGCACAGCCTGAGTCTGGCTGGGCTGGGAAGGGGGTAGATGGAATGGACGATGGATGGAGATGAATGGGATGGAAAGGTCCCAGAAGAGGTGTTCGGGGAAGAAGGGAGAGAGCTGGGGGATGGGAGCTAGATGAGCTGTCGGCGGTGCCTGGCGCGGACTGGCACAAGCGCGGAGGTTGGGGGAGCAGCGGCCGTGCGCTGCCCGCGTGAGTGGAGCCAATGCGCAGCGATAAGGGTTGCGAGCCCTGCCGCTTAACCGCCTTGGGCTTGGCGCGCGGCTTAATAATTGACGTCAGAAGCGGCCGTCCGTGGCTCGATGGGCTCAGCCCGAAAACTTAGGAAGCTGTCTGCCTTGTCCCGCACCCCGGAACACCACCCCTCTCCTCCCGCAAAATGCCTATCATCCAGACCGTACGTGTTTCACGAGCGCGCCCGTCTGTGCGATATCCTGCTAACCCGCTCCCAGCCCGTCAACCAGATCAAGCTCACCAACGTCTCGTTGGTGCGCATGAAAAAAGGTATCGAGCACCGCTGCTCCTGCAATGCGCCCGCCCAAGCTGACCGTTGCTCGCAGGCAAAAAGCGTTTCGAGATAGCATGCTACAAGAACAAGGTTCTGGAATGGCGCAGCGGCGTCGAGCAGGACCTCGACAACGTCCTCCAAATCCCCAACGTCTTCTTGAACGTCAGCAAGGGCCAAACCGCAAACTCCCAGGACCTGGCCAAGGCCTTTGGCGCCGACAAGTCCCGCGACGACATCATCCTCGAGATCCTCAAGAAGGGCGAGTTGCAGGTCGGCGAGAAGGAGCGCAACGCCCAGCTGGATCGCGTGCACGCCGAGGTCATCGATATTGTTGCTGGCAAGCTTGTCGACCCCAAGTCGAAGAGAGTCTACACGACCGGCATGATTGAGAAAGCGCTCGACCAGCTGAGCTCGCAGACGGCCCAGGTTGCCTCCAACAGCGGCACATCTACCCCGCAAAACAGCGAAGGAAAGGAGGTCTCGAAAAAGGATCTGCCCAAATGGACTGGAGTCAACTCGAACAAGTCGGCAAAGTCCCAGGCACTGGAAGCCATGAAGGCGCTCATCGCGTACCAGCCCATCCCCGTTGCGCGTGCTCGTATGAGGCTGCGTATCACCTGCCCCACCAATGTCCTCAAGCAGGCTGTCAAGGCTGCACCGAAAGCCGGAGACGATGGCGAGGACAAGGACAAGGCAACAGGCACGGTCAAGGATCGCATCCTGAGCTACGTCGAGGAAATCGAGAACCAAGATGTCCTGGGTGACGAGTGGGAATGCACCGGATTCGTTGAGCCTGGAGCCTTCCGTGCGCTGGGCGAGTTCATCAGTGGACAGACGAAGGGTCGCGCAAGAGCCGAAGTGCTAGACATGGCAGTCATGCACGAAGACTAAAAAGCATCATACCATGTTGAATTTCAAGAGCATAACGGCGTTCCGGGGCAGGCAGCGGCCACTTTGGTTGGCAGGAATTAAAAAGTGAAGATACCATCTTACGGCCCGTCTACATCAAGTGCAGTTTAGAACCAATACAACGCAATCATAAGCAACTACAGTGGGTTACGAAAGGATTCAACCTACGGCAATCCTTTGTATAGGCAGTTGAATTGCACGTATCCCGACGAAGATAGATATAAACGACCGTTCTTCATATGTATTTAAAGTAGATATCCAGATGTCGTTCCAAGTATCAAAAATAAATGCATTTAGGAAATTTTTCTCGCTTCACAGGTTCCGGAATGCATTTCCTATGGCGGCCATCTTCTGGATCTACGTAACAGATGAGGCCGGGCGTTCTTCTGAAAGAATCTTAATCCCTATACGGCTTCCGGAATCTCATCACGGTCCTTTTGATATGTAACGTTCGCATACAAATGCCACCGTCTCTAAGAATACTTTTGACTCCCCTTTGAATGTGTTTTATTTCTTTACTCATCTCTTCTCTACATATAATCTCCACTATTCAAGACCTGCAATCTCGGCCTTCGTTGTTCGACCTTTCATATCAAAGTCGCAATGTAAGGAATGACCAGCCTTCGGGTATAGTAAATAGTCGTCTCTCCACACTCCACCTCTCCTCTAATAATACACCAATCCACCTCCCCCCAATGCCACCCACCTGCCAGGCACCCTCTCACTCCCTTCACCCAAGCAACGCCACCGCCCCAACAACCCCCGCCACCACCACCGCGCCGACACCCCCCAGCCTCCCCGCGCCGCTCGACTCCGTCGCACTCGCCGCATCCGCCGTCGCACTCGAACTCCCCCCGCTCACCGTCGTCGTCGTCGCCGTCGCCGCCCCCGCACTCCCCGACGCATTCACCGGCACACTCGTGTTCCCGCCAATCCCCGCCGCCGCATCGTCCCCCTCGTACGTCTCCCTCCCCTCGCCCACCGTCTCCTTCCCCGCCAAAAAATACGTCGCCGCCACCAGTCCGCCCTGCAACCCCGCATCCTCCACAAACTTCGCGGCATCGAACCCCGTCCGATTCTCCCCGCCGACATACCCGCTCCAAGCCTCGGGCACCTCAAAACCCGTCGAGTTCGGCTGCCGCCACAACGTCACGATGTACCGATGTGGCGCGACGCTCGGGGGCTGCGGCCCTTGGTAGGGGACGAGGGCGGGGGTGGAGGTGTCGGCGGCGGAGAGCATGGAGAGGGGCGCGCCCGAGGAGGGGGAGGCGGTCGGCTCGATGCTGCGGGAGAGGCGGACGCCGGGTTGGAGCCAGTGCAGGATTTGGGCTTTGGACGGGTCTTGCGGCGAGGGCGCGTCCGGGTCGAACATGAGGAGGATGAAGGTGGCGGGGTTGGAGGCGTTGGAGGTGGTGGCGAAGGTGCTGTTGGAGGGGAGGTAGAGTTGCGGGGCGGATTGGGTTGCTGGATGGGGGTTAGTGCGTGGGTTGTGGAGGGTTTTTGGTTTTTTGGTTTTTGATCTTTTTTTTTTTGGCGAGGGTTTGAGAGGGGGAGGAAGGATTGGGGGCGTGTGGTGGGTGGGTGGGTGGGCAGGTAGGTTTCTTTGACTTACCGTTGATGGAGAAGACGCCGCCGACTACGAAGAAATCGGGGGTGGTGCTGTTGGCGTCGAAGGTGGCGGGGAGATTGACGTCGGTGCTGGGAGTGAAGTATGGCGGGGTTTGCGCCAGTGTGGTGCGTGCAACGGCCAGGAGGCCGAGCGAGAGGATGTTGGATAGCATTGTCGGGTTGAGCAAATGTCAATTCAGGGCCGAGCCGGCGATGGAGGTGTACAGGCCAGCGGAAGGGGTGGGACAAGAGGTCAATTGGAGCTCTAGGAGCTGGAGGGGACGAGCTACAAGCTATATGGTGCAAGAGGAAGCTGAAAACTAGCAGTCTAGCGGGACAATGATGCAAAGCAGATGGGCGGAGGGAAGAGAGACGAAGATCGAGACGCGTCGCAGGCGGCAGTAGGCGCGTCTTTATTGGCGGTCGGCACGCAGTTGCTGGTCGCAAGAATCGAAAAATCAGGCCAGACCGGCACATGCAGCTGTGCCCCGATTTATCCTCCCTCAAGGGTCATGAGAGATCCCGCTGGCGTGGATTGTCGCCGCATGGCTTGGCTGAAGAGGGTTACGGCGGTAGCGATCGCCGCGGCTCGCAGCGTGCCTTGGCTGCTCTGGCTGCTCGGGCTGCTCGGGCTGCATGCGCCTCGCTGCCTTCGGCGGGAAAAATATACAGCAGCCGTGGTGTTTCTTTTGGGCATTGCCCTCGACGGTGCGCACGAAGACGCGTGCAGCGTTGTTCGGGCGGTTGGATGAGTAAGGAGCGCAGTGTGTAAGCGAAATAAGGCGTTGCAACAGCTGTCCGGGGCGAGCAATAAAAGTGGATAGCCCATGACGTCGCCAAGCCGGGGCATGCGAGCTGCTTGCTCCCGAGGCTGTCTGCGGGAGAGCAGGGGAGAGCACGGGAGAGCTTTGCTGCCGGGCTGGTCATGACGGCATCACTCGAGCGCGCCGAGGGCTGGGCAGCGTGCGAGACGGATGGGAATGGTGGTTGCTGCGGCGATGGTGTGCGAAGGAATGGGGCCAGCCGTTGCGATCGCTGAAGCCACTCCGCACTGTCCCGCAACTTGTGGGGGACAGCACGGCGCCAACTCGGCAACGCCCTCTCCTCCGCACCGCACGCTTACACTTCATCATCATCGCTGGCAACGTCAGCCGTGTGTTGTATGTCCGAAGCAACTCACCAACTCCTCGACAGGTCTGACCACTCCCGGCCTTTGCAACGCCACGTGTATCAGAACCGCCCTCCATCTTCCCTAGAGAGCCTCTCGAACCGACATCTCGCGTCTTGCGCCCGAAAAAGAGGCTCGGCTGTGCAACTGTCTCGCTTGCTTTAATGGGATCGTCGATTTGCCGTGCGTGCTGCAGCCGCCACGGCGCCCTGAAACCGAGGTGAGCGAGCAGAGCCGTGTCTCTCGTTCTTCCGCCGGGGAAGTCTTGTTTCAGTTGTGTTGGAGATTGCTCTGCTGCACTTCCGACCCAACATACATAACCTTTTCCCGACGTCGGCAAATGTGGGGGATCCGCCATGCATTCCGCCACTTGACTTTCGGTGCTTGCCCGAATTTTCCTATTGGTGTTCATCGTATTTTGCCGTGTCAGGTGGTGGTCGTCGGTAAAGGTTGTAGCTTGTTGGTCAGAGTCCATAACCGGAGCCAAGGCCGTCGCTTACCATCTCCAGATGCAAGTCACCATAGTCATACACGTGAGGACTTTGATGGCAATGGTGGAGAGTCCATTCTCAACGTATGTAGATAACTGTTTACGAGAACCCGTCGCCATCTAGGATACGGCATCTGACGTTAGCTCAGACCTGACACAAGGCAGCATTTTGGAGGCCGCAAAAAAGGGAGAGGCTCACCTTCCCAAGCATATCCCGTATAATATTGTCAACAAGCTAGGGCTTATGCCTATGACTCCACCTACGAATGAGGCGATGCAGAACGCTGTCTCAATAATACTTCAACAGGCTGAGTGGTTTTTTGGGGAAGGGCAACCTCGGGGGCTTCACCAGCGCTCCTGGAAGAGAAGTAGGCGGGAAGAGGGGAGCCTGCCAGAAGTTTTTTTTTTTTTTTTTTCCTTAGCTTGTATGCACGTCGCATGGTTCCTCAGAAGTCTGCATCTATTGTCTCACAAAGCCATCTCAATACTCGTACTTCGTATAACATCATATCAAGGTGTTTCTCGGTTCCAAAGCTTCGACTTCTATATCAAATATAGCGGAGTCTAGTTTGCAGTCGAGAAGAGAGAAGGGAGTCTGTACTCGCTAGCTGGGCAGAAGCAGCAGGGGTTGTGCAGGACTGAGCCAAGGCAGTGAAAATTTGCAAAGGCATTTATCGCAAGGTAGCGCAAAGCAGAGCTTCAGCTTGAAAGGAGAAGATTGCAAAATGCAGATTCGGCGAGACGCAGAAGAATTGATGGAGTGATAAGACAAAAACGGTAGGCGGGTCTCGCAACATACCTGAGCTTGTATGAGAAGGGAAGGTGTCTGATACATCCAATGAGTACCTTGATCGTCAGACGGCGGATCCGGCTATGGAAAAGCCCTCACTTCTTCTGCTTGTCTGGGCTGTCTCGACGGAAACCGGATATCCACTACCCCAAAGAAACGGTGACAACTCGCCAGCTCCAGCCCTTGGACTCCGTGCATAAGACAGGATCAGTGCTTTCCAATACATACTAAGCCTCACGCTAATGCTCCGCTTCACGGCTATCGCAATAGAAGGGCAGAGCTACTCCAGCTCAATGCCCCGGATAATTGTTGTGTCCGGATTTATTGTACAGTGAATGAGGATAGCTCCGTAATAAATGAGCGCGCTAGATGGAGCGGACTTTTGTCCAATTGGCAGGTAATAATGTCGAGGCCGACACCGGCGAAGTTGGCACATTGCGAGGCTCTAAGATGCTCTAGAAGGAGTGCGGTTCGGCCAGAAGGAGGTCCATCCAGATCTTAGTGCTAGAGGAACAGCCAAAGATCGTTCGATCGGGCTCTACTCGGAATTTGCTCACGCTCTGCTCGCCTCCGACTAGTCTTTCCTATGCGATCAACGCCTGTAGTGTATAGGGAGATCCCTTTGTCGCATCCTGACTCCACATTTCGGCCAAGCTGTGACTTCGGTTGAGGGCCGTTTCGCCAACAGCCGGCAGCCGCATCGGCTCCACATGCTTCTCGGGACGGGCGATCACAGCAATGAAACAAACATGGCATTCTCATCAATGCATGCGAGTCTGAGCTGTCGCATCTCCCTCGCTCCTTAAGGAATGTCCTCTCCATGTCGGTTCTGTTTCCCGATCCAGGCGATAGTCCCTCATGGCCCGGATTTCGTCTCCTACGTAGGGAGATGCTTGTCAGGTCGGCCAAGACAAACGGCCGGGTGCGAACGAGGCGGATGGCCAGATAAACGTGATCAGGGGCCTTTGCGCCGTCAGTGGCTCAGGAGATCACCAAGTGTCCCGCAAGAAGCGAACGGAGAAGCGAACGGGGCAGCCCTGGGCCTTGCAACTTTATGCCAGCGGAAGCGGGAAAGAGGGGCCATTTAGGCCCTAATTGGGCCAGAAGACTCCACCGCTCAGCTGTTCGAGGTCGGATGGTTCCCAATGCGACTTCGGACCTCGGTGATATCCCTTCAGGATGTCTCAGTCTTGGTCCGATAAGTGGCTCTTGGCATCAAAGGCGTTCTGAGATGGGGACAGAGAGGGGCAGAAGACGTCTTAGAAGAAGGACGTCCGGCAAGACTCGCCCGTTGCCGGGGATTGGCTCCTTGCAAGGAGGGACGCGTTTCGATGGCGTGGCGCTGGGGTACTCGGCCAAAACACATGTAGAGCGACAAAGTTTCAGCCTTGGACTTTTGTGCGAAGGGACGGCACTGTCGTGCGCCAAGGCGGATAGCGGGCGCTTTGAAGGCTTGCAGCCTCAACCGAAGCTCCAAGTGGCGATCATGAGTGGGGATGAAAATTGTGTCTGTCGAGGCGATCGAGACTCTGGAGGGCATGGGGCCTTTCGAGGAGTGGTTGGCGTCGGCCAGACGGTCAGACGGTCCTCCAAGCTTCGGCCGGCCGAGCGTCCCCTCGTGCTTCCACAGACCAGGCAAGGCGGGCAAGCTACCCGCAATAGAGCGTGGTCCGCGGCCTGATCCCTAGTGCTGGGTGCGTTCATCAATCTGGATGGTCCAGTCCAACCCAGGGAAAGTCAAGGCAGGACTGCGGCGAGAGGGAGGGCGGCCTCATGGAAAGACTTCCGTCTCTGTCGAAAATTCAATGTGCGGCAGTGCTGCGGTGCGCTGGAAATAGCACGCTCGACAGGGGGTGCTAAGGCCGCGTATGCTTTTTTTTTTCTCCATGGCGCAGTTGTGTTTCCAGCGAACAACACCATTGCGGGCGCACGCAAAGGCGGTCAGGTAGGCGGGCGGATTTATTGATTCAATAGCAACGGGGCGATCTCTGCAGTGCATCCGGTTCGGCCGGGGTGTGTTGCGGCCTGTGGGAAGTCAGTGATTTCTGAGCACGAGCAGGCGTTTACGGTTTGGCTACCTACCACGGCAGCAGTTGCTTTGCGGAGGAGCTATTCAACCTTGCTGGCGCAGAGAGGCCCATGTGCGGGCTAAGCCGGAAAGACACAAGCACGCGAGACCACGCGTCACATTGCTGTGGCTGATGCTTTGCAGAAGGCCGGGGGCATGAGTAGCTCCTCGTCTCTCCGCGACAGGTCCCAGTGAGGCAGAGTCAGAAAAAAATAAATTTGCGTTTGCTCTGCTGCAAGGCCTCGGGCTTGGTCGGCCGTAGCTGAGCAGCGGGCGGCGAGCCAAGTCATGTAATACGGAAGCGCTGGGAGAAGTCCGACCTATAATGCTATAACAAAAGTTATCTCCGAGCATGCAAGCCCCGACCGCCGACGGTCAAGGCCGAAACCCTCCTGAATCAGAGGGCCGTTTGGATCCCCCAAGCCTCGGGCCGTGACGGTGGCTCTGGGTAGCGTGGTGGGATTTTAGCGGAATGCGGCTCGGGGGGTGATAGGCTGCGGCGCTGTCTGCTGCGGCGGCCGATCCGGAGCGTCTGGCTGTCAAGACTCGAGCTGCCGCCCGGCGGTGCCGTGACCACGACCTGTCAGAGCGATCGGCGGAGCGACCGTGGTGAGAGGTGCGTATTCGTTCGCCAGAGTGTGGCAGTGGCTGCTGTCCTGGCAAGCTTCGGATCTCGGCGTGTGTGCTTGCTGGCCACTCACAGCCTCCTGCGTAGCCCTCCTCGCCCTGGCACCTGGCCGCTCCGCAGCCGTCACCAGCACTCCGGGCACACCGCGCGTCGCCCGCCCGCCAGCTTCTGGTGCGCGCTAGACGGCGGTTGATGAGTTCGAGCAGAAACAGACCGGCGCCAGGCCGGCAGTTGTTGCGCGCCGCGATCCCGACGATGAGCCTGAGTAGACCTAACCGGGGCCACCGGGGCCACGATGATGCGACGGGTCGGGGCCGGTGCTCCAGGGCTGGCGCTGATGGCGGCGACAGGGCCGGACTTGCAGGGCCGCGCGCACGCCCCAGCACCTTTGGCCGGCTCAAGTGCGGCAAGTTGTGCCCTGCTGCGTGCCCAAGCGTCCGACGCGGAGATTGCCTGCGCATCGGGGCGCAGTCGCGCGCTGCCCAGCTGAAACGGCCGCACTCCCTATCCCACGCAAAACCAGCCCGTCGCCCGCCTCGCTCTCGTCCCAACCCACATCTCTACCTCTCCACGCGAGCCCGCCATACAACAAGAACCGCAGCTGCAGCAACCCGACCGATTCTCTCGTTACGCACTACAGTACGCTCCCGCCCGCCGCCGCCTGCCCAGCCTCTCCCGCACTCCGCCCGGTGCAGCCTTGGCCGTAGCCCAAAATAGAAAGCTTACGACGCCTGCTAGCGCCTAGCCTCAGCATCAGCGACCCGCACCACCTCAAGACCCGTCGACATCACCGCCCCGGGAAGCCCGCGCCAGACTTCCCGCCGCCCACTGAGGCACCCTTTCGATCCCCATCACTCTTCCAGCTCACATCTGCCCGCAATGTCGACCGTCACAGCACAACGCATGGGCTACGCGCCCTTCCCGAACCAGTGCTATGACCCCGACATGGACTCGCTGGTCGACTTCAACGCCATTCCCTCGCCTGGGCCCGCCAGCTCGTCGTCGCAAATGCCGCCCTCGAGTGTCGCGTCCACCATGGCGAGCCCCGCGACCACCATCATGCCGCTGGACCACGAGTCGGAGCACCAGACCCCGGCCAAGCCGAGCCATGAGTACGACCTCTTCAAGCAGCAGACCGGCCTGCCCTCGGGCTCTGTCCCCGGCATCAGCATGTCGCAGTCCGCCGGCAGCAGTTACAGCCAGCCTTTTAGCAACTCCGGCATTGGCTTCGACGACGGCTGGGGCTCTGGTCTGGGCGACATGGACATGGACATGGGCAACAACATGCCTGCCTTCTTCTTCCCCCAGGGCGAGAACAGCCAGAACGACGATTTCGTCGACCCCAGCGCCATCCAAGAGCAGCCCCAGCAGGTGCGCTTCTTCCCTGGTATGCACCAGCAGCAAGCTGCCATGGCCAAGGCGCAGGCGCAGGCCCAGCAGCAGAGGCAGCAGCAGGTGCTCCAGCAGCAGCAACAGCAACAGCAGCAGCAGCAGCAGCAGAGGGAACAGCAGAACCGCGTTCAGCACGCCCAGAGGAAGTCTGCTCAGTTCACCGATGCCCGCACCGAGGAGACCATTGCCCGTGTTGTCAACCAGATTCGCCACAACAGCACTTTGAGCTCCAATGGCTCCGACTGCGGCTCCAACCCTCTTCCTCACATCATCAAGATGAAGAAGGATGAGGAGGATATGGACGAGGACGAGAGGCTCCTTGCCAGTGAGGAGGGCAAGAAGCTCAGCAGCAAGGAGCGCCGCCAGCTGAGGAACAAGGTTTCCGCCCGCGCTTTCCGTTCCCGTAGGAAGGGTAAGCATCATCCATTCTCAGCTCTCAGTCGCGTTTGCTAACTATCTCTTGCAGAGTACATCGGTCAGCTCGAGGGCGAGGTCGCCAGCAAGAGCAACGAGAATACGGAGCTTCGCATGCAGAACCGTGCTCTCATGGAGGAGAACGCTCGTTCGCGTGCCTTCATCGAGCGCCTGCTTCGCCACCAGGCTTTTGGCCCCTTCCTGGATGAGCTCAGCCGTGACCCAGCTCTCATGGAGCCGGCCAAGCCTGCTTCGGCTCCCCAGCAGCCCGCTCCCCAGATGATTAAGCAAAGCTCGCAGAACAACTCTCAAATGGGCATGTCCATGATCCCCGAGCAGCCGAGCAACATGGGGTTTGACAACATGAACTACTCGTTCAACGCTGGTTTCAACTTCGGCCAGCCCCAGGTCTTCGCCGTCCTCGAGGTTCCCGAGGGCCCCGCCAACCCTTTCGACACTGAGATTCTCTCGGGCAAGGGCAACTCGACCTTTTCTCCCGTCGAGGGGATCAAGGAGATCAAGCCTGACTACCCTGTCATCGAGCGCCCCCAGATCCAGGGCGAGGAGCCCACCGAGGCTGTCGCCGAGGCCGAGGAGGTCGATGACGGCAACGCCGACTTCGCTCTGTACTACAACTCGCCCGCGCCTTCGGCTGCCGCACCTTCGGAATCCATCTTCGGCAACATCGCTCCCGAGAAGGCCTTCGGCCGCATCGAGGTGGTGGTTGCTCAGGAGACTTCGGAGCAGCTGCAGCAGCGCCTCGAGCGCACGGTGGCCAAGTTCGACGCGGTGTACGAGAGGATGCAGAGCATGATGCTGTAGAGCTCGTCGCGAGTGACAATGTTTCTTTCTACTTGACTCTGTGAATATTTGGAAGCGAAGACTTTGGGTTTGGTTACGACTCTCTTTTTTAGCACGGGAAGCGACACTTGGTAACTGGGATTGAATCTGATTCGACCTGCCTTAGAGCAGAGTGGACACAGGCGCCGAAAAAGGAGCGCTTACACAAGCAATTTTTTTCTTTTGTCTTCACCGAGACGCCCGAGCGGACTCGGCAAATTAGCGTTGGTTGTATAGCTGTGTCTACTGCACTACTTGATCTAGAGTAAATTCTATGCATAGTCTGGAAAGCTGGCGCCTTTGTGCGGATTTGCAGAGTGAGCTCAATTCGACCGTCACGGGTGGTTGCTCTGCGGGTAGACGGCGGGGAAGGGCCGGTGCTCCGCTGACGTAACCGAGACTGGCGCGTCGCGGGCCTGCAGCGCGCCCGAATTTTTGAGAGCTCCATTGCATGGCCATGCAGCGCCCGCCTCTTGCGCCTCCACGTCCTTGAACCCCGCTCGCCGCTACGGCTCCTCCAGTGTCCGCCGTGGCTTCCGTCTCTGTTGCAGCGCGGAATCCTCTGCTGCACGCGCGCCGCGTGCAGGGTGCCCGTTCTGCGGCTTCCCTTCCTTCGTCCTTTTGCCGCCTCAACTCGACCAGCCACGACGACTCTCCCGTCCTCGACGCCATCCGCAAAACACTAGACAAGATAAAGTGGAAGCGAAAATCGGTCGCAAAGGCACAAAGGAAATTTTTCCCCCGTCAGAGATTGCCGACTGCCCGCCCTGCGGCTTCTGTCTCTCGCCGCCGCCAGACCTCGACCCGCAACGACAACCCTTCTCCGGCCATTGACACACTCCGTGAAGTATTAGATGAGATAAAGGAGAAGCGAACTGTAGCCGTAACAGCAGATACGGCTCTACCTGTGAACCTAAGCAAGTTTGACGAGCGGTCGCACGCTCCCCCAGGCCTTGGGCTAGACATTGTCCACCGCGCTCCCTCGCTCTACCCATTCTCACGCTACCGCACCCATCTTATTTATTCGACCCAGTCATGCTCTAAACTTCCGTTTACGTCCGACCAAATCATCACTCCATACGGACCTGTCCCCGAGAACCAGGTTGTCCAATATCTCGATAAGAACTACGCAAACAAAAGCATGAAGGCCTACGTCCAGGTCCTCACCACGCCAACGGCGGACACGCCTGGCACTACGTTCCTTCTCCATTTCGACAACAAGCGCTACCTGTTTGGCAGCTTGGGTGAGGGCACACAGCGGGCGATGAACCAGATGGGCGCACGCCTGCTCAAGACGCAGGAAATTTTCATCACCGGCCGCAGCGAGTGGCGCAACACCGGCGGCCTGATGGGTATGATGCTGACCTTGTCTGACGTGCTGGCAGCGTCCAATGTGGATAAGCAAGAAAGGGGCCTCGACGCCACCCCGAAGATATTATCCATGTTTGGTCCGCCAAACTTGAACCACACTATCGCTGCTTGCCGAAGATTCATCTTCAGGAAGGGCATGCCCATAAATGCGGTCGATATCAAGGACGAAGAAGTCAAAAAGGACGAGAATGGCACTCCTGTCCCGCTGTTTGTTGATTCCAACACCAACGTCTGGGCCATGTCCATCACTCCCACCGACGCGGAGCGCCCCGAACGGCCCTCGGCGGCCTCCAAGTCGAGGAAGCGGAGCTACGATGAAGTCAACGGCCCCGAGCCGGCAGCGGATACACCCAAGGAAACTCCGGAGGAGACGGCTGCGAGGCACGAGCAGCTCACTCGGTCGGTCGTCAACGACATGTTCAACTCGAACTGGCGCTTGGATGCTCTCCACCAGAAGCCCTTGTCCGAAGTGAAGCTCCCGGCGACAGTCTTCCGCAGGAATTCGTTGACCAAGGCAATCGAGAAGTACAATGGCCCCATCCCCAATCCTACAAATCCGGATCTTCAGGTGCTCGTCAGAGAGCCATGGCCCGCGGTGAAGGTCTCGGCTCTCCCGCCTACCAAGCCTGCGCCGCAGGCCGTCTCGTACATCATCCGCAACCATCCTCAAACGGGCAAGTTCGATGTTCGGAATGCAATCAAACATGACGTCCCCAAAGGTAAACTATGGTCCAAGCTCCAGGCTGGGGAGCCTGTTCAGAATGTGCGAGGCGAGACTATTACCCCCGACATGATTCTCGACCCTCCGCGGAGAGGCCGAGGAGTTGCCATTGTGGACCTTCCTACGTCATCGTATGTAGAGCCTTTGATTCAACGGGAAGAATGGACCCACGGAGAAATCATGGATGGCGTTGGGGCATTCCTGTGGATTCTCGGTCCCGGCGTGGCTGCCAATCCCGCACTGAAGAAGTTCATGGCGGATAGAGCCCACTTGGAGCACATCGTTTCCTCGGTTGATGTTCTGCCAAATCGGATCAGCTTCGACAGCGTCAGTGGAGCCACTCTGCGCCTTGGGAGAGTGGACGAGAAGAGATACGGTGCGCCTCACTATGATGATGATGTGTTGCCTCAGGAGAGGTTTGTTGCGTACAAATCTCAAAAAGAGGAACTGCCTGAATTCGCCACGCCGGCAGAACGAGGCCTCAAGCTGTCTCTGGAGCCTCAGTTCGAACTGCAGAAAACATCAGCTCTTCCGCGTTTCGACCCGAAGACATCTGCCGAGGTTCCGGAGGAGGTCCTCGCCATCGCAAAAACAGTCAAGGAGAGTGTGGAGAGCTCATCGGAGCAGTTCGATCAGTGGCGCCGTAAGATACCACTGCCCGAAGCCGAGATCATTGCTCTGGGTACCGGCTCAGCGTTGCCTTCCAAATACCGCAACGTGTCGGCCACTTTGGTCCGCGTCCCAGGCTATGGCTCGTATCTGCTTGACGCCGGCGAGAATACGCTCGGCCAGCTCCAGCGTGTGTTCAAGCCCGCCGAACTCGCCGAGATCCTCAAGGAACTCCGCGTGATCTGGTTGAGCCACATGCACGCGGACCACATCCTAGGAATCGTTTCCGTGATCAAAGCATGGTACGAAGTCGTGCACGGCTGCCAGCCGACGAGCGAGACGGCGTTTGAGGCCATGGCCGCGATCAAAAACGACCCCAGCCTGGCGTCGGAGAAGAAGCGGCTGGCCGTGATCGCGGACCTCAACATGGTCAACTGGCTGGCCGAGTACGCCGCGGTGGAGGACTACGGCTACAGCCGCCTCTTCCCGCTGGCCGCCGGCTCCAAGAACCCGTGGGCCAAGCCCGACGAGCTCAACGAGCTCCCCATGCTCCGGCTGCAGGCGCCGCCGCCGCTCGCCCCCGAGGCCGAGCTCATCGCGCCGGTCCCCATCCCGCGCGCGCTCTACCCCCAGCTCCTCGGCCTGCAGGACCTCGAGGCCGTCCACGTCGTCCACTGCTACGGCGCCCGCGCCGTCTCCCTCACCTGGCCCGACGCCACGCGCCTCGACCCGGCCGACCCGGCCAGCAAGCCGTTCAAGGTCAGCTACAGCGGCGACTGCCGCCCCTGCCCCAACTTTGCGCGCATCGGCCGCCACTCGACCGTCCTCATCCACGAGGCCACGTTCGAGGACGGCCTCGAGGGCAACGCCGTCGCGAAGAAGCACAGCACCACGTCCGAGGCGCTCGCCATCGGCGCCCGCATGCGCGCCCGGATGACGCTGCTCACCCACTTCAGCCAGCGCTACCAGAAGCTGCCCGTCGTCGAGCGCGAACAGCCGGCGGCGGAGAATGGAGATGACAACGCCGTCGACAAAATGGACATTGACGACAACGACGGCGTCGTCGACGACGTGGACGCCATACGCGAGGAGGACGAAGAAGAAGACGAGGCGCTGCTACAGCAGCAGCAGCAGCAGATGCAGCAACAGCAACAGCAACAGCAACAGCAGGCCGTCGAACCGGACGAGAACGAGCCGCTGGACGACCCGGACGGCCCGCCCAAACCGATCGCGCCGGAGCTGCTCAAGACAGAGGACAGCGGCGAGCCGTTGGCGACGCGCATCCGGTCGAGGAGCGACATGCGCGTCGGCGTGGCGTCGGACTACATGCGCGTCAAGGTGGGCGAGTTTGCGGAGCTGGAGAGGTACGTCCCGGCGCTGCAGGCGCTGTTGGCGGAGGAGGAGAAGTTGGAGGAAAAGGGCGTTGAGGGCGGCGGCGGCGATGAGGTGGCGGCCGAGGCGGGGGATGAGGCGCGGGGTGGTGGTGGTGGTGGTGATGGTGGTGGTGGTGCTAAGGGGAAGAATAAGGAGAAGAAGGAGAAGAGGAAGAAGGAGAAGAAGCAGAAGGAGAAGGAGGAGAAGAAGCAGAAGGAGAAGGAGGAGAAGGAGCAGAAGGAGAAGGAGGAGAAGAAGGAGAAGGGGGATGGTCAGCAGCAGCAGCAGGGCGAGTAGGGTGGTAAGCGGACACGGAGAGGTGTGAAGAGGCTGCAATTGAGAGAGGAAGAAAGCCAGGGGCAGCTGCGGGAACAGCCGCAGGAACAGTCGCAGGGAATTCAGCAGGGACAGCCGCAGGGACAGCAACAAGGAATTCAGCAGGCAAAAGCGGCGGAGTAAATGGAACTGCTGGGCTGGTGCCAATGCGGGGTGTTTATTCCATCGGAGATGGTGATAGAATTAGAAAGCCATCCATCTTTTGCTTTTCAGAGCGGTAGTTTATAGAATACTCACGAGCGAGGAGACGGCTTCGCGGCCGGAAGACACACCAAAAAACTCACCTCTTCTCCATTGTTTGGGATTATTATGAGCGTGCGAGTAGCGATAGGATGAGGTAGGTAAGGAAAAGTCGGTGTGGTGTAGTGAAAGACTTGGTTGGTCCTTTTCTCTCTTCTCGTCCTCTCATCCCCCTTACTGTTTGGCTGAGATTTTCTTGCGGCCTTTTCTTTGCTGCTTTGGCTCATGCCATTTGGAGAGGAGGTGGAGTAGTTTGTTAATGCTGACAGTGACAGTGACAGGTTCTGAGCTCTGATTGGCTGGCTCAGTCTCGTCCCCGCCCACCCACACCTATACACGCACAATTATGGATGCCGGTTTCGCCGGTGCACCTGGTCCGTTTGCCTGACCTCAAAGCCCCTCCATTTCGTCGACGACCACACGACTTTAGCCAAAATGGTCCGGCAGCACCGAGAGGGCATGATTTGATCAGACAAGTTTCAGCGAGGTGCTGCAACCCCGACGCACCATGCGTAACGATGTGAGACGAAATAATGAGCACTGTGGAGTTCAAGTCACGGATCCCGACACGAGTCTCCCCTTTCAACGTGGGCTTTTGGCAGTCCTTTTGCAAGAAGGTTTGCCAACTTGCAAGAGAGATCGACATGAAGTCGTCATTGGGCGCACTCGCATCTGACATAAGCAAGGCACACTAGCTTGGCTTGTGCAATGCAGCAGCTCCGTGTCACAAGACCGGGGGAAGGCTGAGACATCCTTCTGTTTGCAGATCCTTCAGGTACCTACACAGTACACAGTACACGGACATGGTGGGTACCTTGATTCTCGCATGCAAGTCACACTCGCCATTCGAGCAACGAGCGAATCGCCGCATACGCACCCGGCGAGCGCGGCACGACCGAGTCGCCGTGCATATGCGCGTCCGTGACCGTGCACCCGTCCCTGGAGATCACCCGCTGCGCCTTGCGGGGAGTGCAAGTGGCAGCACTCGAGGTCGCCCTGTGACCACCCCTTAGGACGGCCGCGGTGCTGCTCAGCCTCCGCCCACCCAGGCCGCCAAGTGCTCGCCGCCATCCCCGAGACCAACGACGGCTCCCGCCTCCCGCAACATGACCGCATCATTCGCCGCCAAGCTACCGTCGCCGCCAAGGCTCCGGCGCGCTGCTGCAGGTGCTTGGAGCGGGTAGCGCGGGCCAAGCTGCTGCAGCCAACCACTGGCGTGTCCTGCCTCCCACACCACAACATGTCATAGCGAGCTCCACACGCCCTGCTTCAGGCAAGGCACATCAAACGCCTTGCCGCCGCGCCTGGCCTCGCCCAGCTACAAAACCCGCCTGATTCCTCGTCATTCCCCAGCCCTGACTCCCCTTCTGACCTAAGCCCGGTGCCTGAGAGATCACATTGCCCACCTGACTGCCGCTGCCCCTACTGCCTGCCATTGGACCTGCCGCCAAACAAAAGGAGGCGCCATGGCCGTCGAATACGCCCGAGATGCCTTCTGGCAAACGCTGGGCTACATCGCACAAGAGACGGAAAGCGACCGCGAGCTGCGGACGGCCGGGCGATTCGCCGACTTTGAGAAGACCATGCCGCACCTCCCACTCAGCCGGCTCCGCGACATCTCGGTCGTCGACAACGTGTCGTCGTACCTGGGCAAGCGCAACCCGCTCGCCCGCCCCGTCGATCCGGACAAGCACGTCGTCTGGCTGCAGGACAACACGGCCTACCGCCCCAACGGGACCAAGGACGTGTGGGAGGCCGAGTTCGTGTGCGCCTATTTCGTCAAGAACAGCGGCCGGGACTGGGGCCGCGTCGTGGCCGACATCGCCGACAAGGCCGGCCTGGGCGCCGGCAACAAGCACGCCGAAGCCACCATCGCGAAGCGCCTGGAGCCGTGGATGGACTCCATCCTACCCGCCCACACGGTCAAGATCCGCATCGGCGACAACAACGACGACGACGGCGACGAGAGCCAAATCGCCACCCTCGGCCCCAGCGACCGCAGCGGCGTCTCCAAAACCCTCATCCGCACCCCGGACCGCCACCGCCACGCCGACGGCGACACCATCACCTCGCACTCCATCAACCACCTCGCCACCCGCCACATGACCACCACCTTCGCCGAGCCCACCGGCTGGGCCGTCATCTCCGACATCGACGACACCATCAAAATCACCCAGACCCCCTCCCCCGCCGGCATCCTCCGCAGCACCTTCGTCGACGACCCGCAGCCCGTCGCGGGGATGCCCGCCCTCTACGCGCACATCCGCGCCTCCCTCGGCGGCAACCCCCCCTTCTGGTACCTCTCCGCCTCGCCCTACAACCTGTACCCCTTCCTCCGCGACTTCCGCGCCCGCTTCGGCTTCCCCGACGGCCCGCTCCTCCTCCGCAACGCGTCGTGGATGGACCTCGCCGGCTTCCTCGTCGCCCTCACCGCCGGCACCAAAGCGTACAAGACGGACCGCATGCGGGACTTGCAGCGCATGTTTCCGCGCAGGCGCTTCGTGCTCGTCGGCGACAGCACGCAGAGCGACCCCGAGGCGTACGGCGAGATGGCGAGGCTGTTTCCAGAGTGGGTGGGCAAGGTGCTCATCAGGCGCGTGACGGGCGTGGCGGAGATCGATCGGACGTCGAAGAATACGGTGGAGAGGTTTGAGAGGGCGTTTGAGGGCGTGGAGAGGGGGGTTTGGACCGTGTTCGATCGGCCTGAGGAGGTGTATGGGGAGGTGGAGAGGTTGGTGGGGAGGAAGTGAGATGGGATGGGGATGGGGAGGGGAGGTTGGTTGGGTTTGTTTGGTTGTGGCCTTTTTGCCTTTTTTTTCTCGTTTCCTTTTATCAGGGGTTTCCGTTCCTGGTTTGTGGGGAGTTCTTTTTTTTTTTTAAGAGAAGAAGGGGGGGAAGAGAGAGGAGAAAGATCCCCGAGCAGCGCATTTTCTTCTTTTCCTTTTTCTCTTCTCTTCTTTTTCTGGACGAGGGGAGTTTGCGGATTGCATGATGTGTTCTTCCTTGGTTGGCGGACTGACGGCGTGTATCATGAGCTGATGTGTTTGCGTTCTCTTTTTTTTTCCCTGTGATTCTTCGTATTTAGGTGATATCGTCTACTCGCAGAGCATCACATATACCCAACAACTAGCTCTCTCAAATGATGGTTCTCCCCGATGGATTTGCTAGCCCATGCATGGTTCGCCTTGCATCAAACTCCGCAATTTTCGCCCTACCGTCATTGGTGTTGAGGTCGTAGTCGGAGGCGAATTGTGTGGTGACGTCTGCTGGGAGGTTTACGGTCATAAAAGTTGCAAGGAGAGTCCTAGAGGTGAATGCGTTATGACGACGGCTAGAGATGGGACTGAGTACTTACAATCTCTATACTGCGACCTTTTCTGCGTCCAGTCATGACGACCCCGTAACATCTATGTCCTCGTCCTTCATGCATCGCCATGTGCTTACTGCCATGCAAGAGTAAGCGAAAAACGAATATCCACGGCCTTCCACAGCCAGAGGGATATATACACAAAACATCCACCTACGCACGCACGCACGCCCACCCACAACTCCTCTCTCAAACAAGAACCAACCCCATCCTCTCCGCCCCAGCAAACCACTCGTCCCCGCAAGAAAACGTGCCCACCCTCTTATAGCGTCGTTCGTCCACCAAACCTTTCCCGCCCTTGGGCCCTCGACTCCCATCGCCCTTTACCGCCGCCGTAGCCGCCGCCACCTCCGACGACGACGACGATGACGACGACGACGACGATGGGACAAGCACTAGCCCCGCAATCCACGAGCCCTCACATCTCGCAACGCCCAAACACAGAACGCTCGCCTCGAAAGCATCGGCGCCTGTCCTCTCTATTTCCTGCTCTTCGCCCACCCTCGCTCTTCTGACGCTGTTGTTGTTGTTGTTGTTGTTGTTGTTGTTGTTGTTGTTGTTGTCACTGCCGCCGCTGCTGCCGCCGCCGTCGGCATCGGCATCGGCATTGGTAGCAGAAGCGGTAGCGGTAGGGACAGCAATAAGCAGCGAATCCGGCACCACGTCTACAACGCCGCCACGTCCCGCGCCGTCCGCGCGCTTCAGGTAGTATCTCCTTTTCGATCTCGAGATCCGCTGCTGCTTCCCGCTCTCAGAGGTACCGATTTTGCTGCTGCTGCTGCTGCCGCCAACGCCGGCCGCTTCCGCATGAGCCGCCGGCGCAGCGACCAACGTGACGGCTACGCCGCCATCACCATGACGGCCCAAAACCGGGCCCACAAGCCTCATCCACGCCTCCTTCACCGCACCGAGAGGGTTCCTGCCCGCGGGCTTCGCCACCACTTCTTGAACGTCCACCAACGACGACGACGATGACGACGACGACTCGGCCGCCGCCTCACCACCACCGCCACCCAAACCGCCCTCTCCATCCCCGCTGCCCGCCGTCGCCGATGATGATAACGACCCCTCCCCCTCAACCCACTCCCACCCCACACCCCCATCCACACTCGCCCACGACCAACTCGGCGCCCGCCAAGCCAGCGGCACCGGCACCAGGGGCCTGTAACGCCCTTCACCATCATCCCCATCCCCACCCCCACCAACCCCCGTACTCTCCCACAACAACTCCTTCCCCCCACCACCACCATCACCACCAGCACCAAGCAAACCCCCCCTCCACAACCCCGCCACATACTCGCCCGCCCCCTTCCCACCGCCGCCAAACGCGCCACGCATCTCCAACAACCCGCGCGCGACGCCGCTGAGAGCGGGGAGCTTATCTCCCGGGACGGTGAGCTCGCGGGCCGAGTACGCGGCGACGAGGGCGCGCCAGGTGCGGGCGTGGCGGCGGGGCGCGGCGGTGGTGAGGAGGCGGGGGAGGAGGCCGGGGGTGGTGATGGAGGGGTGGAATGGCGGTGGTGGTGGTGGTGGTGAGGTTTGGGAGTGGTGGTAGTACTGCAGGCATTCGCAGCGGGCGGCGACGCGGCATTCGAAGAGGAGCTCGTGCGCCGTGTAGTGCAGGATGCGCGAGCAGAGGACATGTTCTTGGAGGGCCCAGGCGCGGCGGCGGAGGGGCCCGCTGGGGGTGGTTGGGGGGGAGTGGTCGAGCGGGAGGAGGATGGCGCGGGCGGATGACGGGGAGGGGTGGCAGGAGGGAGGGTGGGGGTGGTGGGAGGGGATCTGGCGGGCGTGGAGCTTGTGGGTTCTTTTGGCGCGGGGGGAGGCGCGGTAGGTGAGGGTGTGGGAGCGCGGGCGGGCGGAGAAGATGCCGGCGGTGCTGTTGGGGGCGGCGGTGGCGGCGACGGTGAGGTGTGCGTTCTCGTAGATGGAGCCCATTTGCGCGGATTCGACTTCCCAGTCTTCGGTCGAGTCTTGGATGATGCACAGTGCGTCGATCCAGAGGTAGTTGACGCCGAGCTCTTGGGCGATGGTGACGGCGTCTTGGAAGGATTTCGGGAGGGCGTCAAAGTCGATGTGGCGCTTGCGCTCGGGCAGATTGGCGGTGGTGGTGATGAAGGATGGACCGCTGCTGCCCCAGCAATGGCTGAGGGTGATGTACTTGACTTTGGTTGTGAGGGTCTCGCACAGCTTGATGTGGGGCGTGGAATTTGGGCGTTTGGCCAGGTATATGAGCCGCTTTGGGATGAAATCGTGGCGTAAACTCTGGCCACAAAGACGGTGTTTATGATTCTTGACACAGTCCTCTACGGCCTGGCGGGCAAACTCGAACGAGTCGTCCGAGTTGGAATGCTTTGGAACTGAGTGACCGTAGGCCAGGGTCGGCCATGGCAACGGCTTGTCTGGCCATGCTTAGAAAGCAGTACGATATTTATGATTGGTTCGCGGTAGGCATGGTATCGAGAAACGGGGATGGATCCAGATAAAGTCAACGAAGCGAAGAAAATCAACTTACGGAAGGGAGCATATATTTCTATCTTCTCGCATTTGGCTGCAGCAGGATGCACCTCGAGCCGAAGAGAGGCGCACTCGACCAGATCCAACAGCAGACGCGGCTTCGTCTTCCGCCAGCTCGCAAAGTGGGCATCAAGCGTCTGGGCAATCAGGCGACAGCGCGGACAGCTTTCCTCGGAGCGCTTCAGGCCTACAGGGTCGAGGCGGAGGCTGAGGCGGGCGATGGAGCGAGTTGTGCTGTCCTGGTCATGGAAGGTGGCGGGATGGCTGCGCGGATCCAGATTGTTGCACAGCTTGCAGACCCTGCCTCTCTGGCTGCGGGCCAGGGTAGGCTTATCTGGCATGGCACGGATGGCGTCAGCGGGGTTGGGCTGTGATGGGCACCAGAGGCAGCCAGCGGGTGGCGGAAGTTGTGCCGCGGGGATGCCACTTGCATCTCAATAATCTGTGCACGGACGCTGCTGCATGGGCCGTCCACGGCTGCTGCATGCTCCATCAACTGCGATTCGCGATTGCCACTTCGATTTCGATGTGGAAAACATGCGAATCACGTCGATGCACAGTGGATCCCCATATGTTGCTTCTTCTTGTGGGGTCTGGTCGGGTCTGGGCGTCTGCACGAGTGATGTCACGATGAGAGAGCCACCAACTTGGGAAACAGCAAAGTCTTACATCATACATCATGGTCACTGGAACGGTGCCTGCCTATATAGACCAGCTCGCAAACTCCTTGTCCAGCTTACATCTTACAGCTTGCGCTCCAACTCAAACTTCTGAACACCATCCTTCACTGCTCCACCTCAGTCTCATCCAATACCAAACACTCCACTCCACCAATTCACACCATGTCCGCCACCGCCAACGACGACGCCGTCAAGGCCGTCTCCAACCAGGAGGGAGAGTTCAGCTCCAAGGTCCCCCCGTCTGAGCCTCTCGAGAAGGGCGGCGTAAGTGTCGACCCAATCCGTCTCACTTCCACACAATCTCCTTCTCATATCCACTCACCTCTCGCTTCCACCTCATCAAAGTCCCCTCAGCTAACCTCGCACCCACAGCACAAACCCGGCGTCCTCGCCACCCCTGCCGACCACGCCGGCGAATTCCACATCCAAACCCTCCCGGCCGGCACCGCGCCCGCCTCGTCGACCCACGCTCCCCAAAACGACCCCGAAATCGCGCCCGGCTCCACCACGGCCCTCGACTCCCTCCCCGGCGCCACCTCCGGCGACGTGCACACCGGCCTCGGCCACCCGGGATCCGGCCAGACGTCTCAGGAGCTGCATCACGACGGCAACCGTGGCGGGCTCGCGGGCGTCGGCGCCACGGACAAGCAGTCGACGGTCGACGCGCACGATCCGGGTTTCTCGAGCCAGCGCGCGCTGGGCAAGGACGTTGAGACGGGCACTAGGGGCACGGTTGGTGGTGCGCCGGCCGAGGAGAGGCTGCCGGCGAGTGCGGAAGAGGTGGCGAGCGAGGCGCCGAAGGACAGGTCGACCAGTGGGGTCGCGAGCGAGCATGCTGGGAGGAGGTAGAGTTCGTTCGTGCGCTTGAGCTGCGAGAGGACGGTTTCGTGCGATGGCTGGTGAGGGAAGTACACTTGGGCGCTGGCTGCTTATATTTGTTATAATCTTGCTTCCCGTCGCTGCCGATGGAGGGTCAGCACTGCTGAGAGGCACATCAGAGAGATACTACTCTCCTCGAAAACAAAATCACGATCAAATGAATGCTCAATTTCCAAAGAAAATGCGTGTCGTAGCACTGCGAGGTGCTGCAATCAGACCATGGAATCAGGTCAATGTCGGTTGGAAATACCACTCGCAACCCACATTCGATGGCTAAATGAGCCCCTGATGGTGGAAAAGGTGAAATAGAGATGGGGGAAATTCATCACGAATTCATGTCTTTGCTTCAGCTTGTTATAATGCGTAGTCGTGCGAGAAGTAGACATAATTCAGCCGCTCGTCGGGTAGAACTCTGGTGCCCAAAGTCATGTATTTCACCTGCAACTGTGCGCAGCTAAAACCGTGGGTAGCGCCAATTCTCATTCTACATGAACCGGAGCTGTACTGCGTCGTGGAAGTTGCCATGGCTATCTACTTAGCAGGCGATAAGCGGTCTCGTCATCCGCACTAACGAATCCCACGAACGTCTAGCTCTCGACATGAACCGCTCCTTCTAAACCCGACAACATGAACCTTTTGACATGCGCCCGGCCGCTCCCGCCATCGATTGGGCGGCCGTCCGGCACGCTGCTCTTGGCTTCGCGCTCCTCGCTGGCGTGAAACTTGCCGCTTTTGCCTTCGACCGCGGCCTGGACACCTACGTCGGTCTGGTCACGCGCCTCTTCGAACATGAACCATGGGTGCCGTACGAAGACCTCGTTGTACCGAATGCACCACGGCCTGCCCTCGACTGGACCCGTTGCGCTTTGCTCCACAACCGCATCGTCGAGCTGGGCTGGCTGGGATACAACAATGGCAGCGGAAGAGACGCAGCGACGAGGGACACGACGACATGGTGGGCCAGGCACCAGCACGAGGCCGAGCAGATCCAGGAACGCCTCACTCCGGACTTGATCGACTTCTTGCAGCATGCCCAGATGCCCGAGGAAGGATTGGCCTTCACCCACGAGCTGGCCGGCCTCGCGCACCCGCACACCATGTTTTCGTATCTCGACCATTTCGACGAGGGTGAGTATATGCTGCTCCTCTACGAGGCGCCCTGGGATGTGGGCGGAGACATGTTTGGCCTGGCTTTTGACAAGCGCGACAATCTGGTACACTTCTTCCCGTGGCAGGACGGCGTCGGCGCCGACGTGAACTGGTTCCCACTGGAACTGGCATTGCGGACGTATCTTGGCATGATCGAGGCGGGCAAGTATGTCGCGTTGCCTCCTGCGCAGCTCAAAGCAATCGAAGAGCGGCAGGACCTGGACCTCGTCCACCCGCCGTGGGCCAAGATGGCGTGGGAAACCAATGGTGGGATCGAGAGGACCATCGCCAAGCTCGACCTCCTGATGCAAGCCATCTGGGAGCGTATGCCCGCCGAGGCCCAGACCGCGCAACGTCAGCTCAGGCACCAGCAGCGCATGATCTCCGAGACATCACTGCTGCGCGAGCATGGCCCCGCCGCCCCCCGGAACAGCTTCCTCCACCTCTTCCTGACTCGAGCCGCCGGCTGTCCTTTCGACTACATAGCCCCGGGCCTCAAGTGCCCCACGGACGAGACCATCGAGTCCATATTGGCAGAGCCGCCCGTCCCGGAATCTTACGTGGCTGACGGACGAGATGCGGCCGCGCTGCCGGTGCTCCTGTTTCCATCAGATGAGCGGGTGCAGGACGACGTCGACGGTGGAGACTTCTACGGGTGGTACAAGGCCACGCTGACCGGCGTGCTCGGCGGACTGTACATGGACGGGGCATCGCACCGCGACTCGTACCAGGACGGCGTGCAGCTCGTAACGCCGTTTTGCGTCAGGCAATACGGCTGGGCGCGTTGGGGCGACGGGCGCGAGATCATGGACTATGCTTGGCGCATGTACGACGAAACCCGGGCCGCTCATGGGTGTGAAGCCTATGTCTCGCTGTTCCAGCTTGGCAATAACGCTTTCACCTATGGGCACCACACACCCCTGCACGTCATCCTGGACCATTGGCTGGATCTGGTCGAGAGCGGGCTCTGGGCGGTCGGGGCCGACGGCGTCGAAGGCGGCATGTCAGTGTTTAGGATGGCAGACTCGGAGGAGCACTGGTGGAGATACTGCGTGCAGCCGGCCTCCTGGTAGAGCTTTGCCGCGCGTCAGGCCTTTGTCATGTTCTTTTCTTGTTTCCCCCTTGCGGCGGGCCGGCCGGTTTTGTTTCTTGGGGCCGTGATCGGACCAGGGTCGTGACAGAAAAGGAGGGATGAAACACACTCCACTCGCGTCATCAGAAGTCCCAGGCCGCGTGGTCCCCGGACACGTCCAAGCCCGGAGCCTGGCGCGGAAGGCGAATTCGCCGTTGGCGGGCAGCCATGTTGGACAAGAAGATGCGCCAATGCGCCCCGAGAAGCCGTCGACTGCATGGCCGGCCGGCGGACCGCATGGGCGACGCGGGCACAAAGGAACCGGCAAAAGTCCACCAAACAAAGCCGCCCAAGATCGCCCCATATATGAAACTAGCCCTAGACGAAAGCTTGGCTCGGCCTTCTATTTGCGGGGTGCATGCGACCTGAGCGTTTCAGACGGGCGGCCATGGCGCGTTCGGTGCTTTCCCGAACCAGCTACTCTCCCGCGTATTAATGAAACACTCACTGTAGGCACTTACACACAACAACACCCTCCACGATCCGGCAAATCGTTCGCGCATGGGCACATGGCTCCACCAATCCCTCCGATCCTCACACCCCCCGGCCCGCCGTCTACCGCTGCACCATGTTTCTCCCGTATATAAACTTCCACCCGCCCTGCCGATGATCCCCGATCCATCACCCCTCCCAGCGAGCATTTTCCCGGCCAGGCGCCTTTTTGAACTCTCTCTCCCCTCGTTTCCATTCTCACCGTGATCCACTCTTTTTACCATTCGTCCCACAGCATCAATCGTTACCAAAACACCATGCCTAGCCTCACCACCATCCTCGCCATCGCGGCCCCGGCCCTCGCCCTGAGCTCGCCTCCCTCTGGCGCCCTCACCGTCGGCTCCTCGGGCGACTACTCGACCATCCAGGACGCCGTCGACGCCCTCTCGACCTCGTCCTCGTCCGAGCAGGTCATCTTCATCTACTCGGGCACCTACTCGGAGCAGGTCGTGATCCCCGCCCTCTCCGGCGCCCTCAGCGTCTACGGCCAGTCCGACGACGAGACGTCGTACGGCAGCAACACCGTCACCATCTCGGCCGGCAAGTCCCAGGACGACGGGCTCGACAACGACGGCACCGCCACGCTCGCCGTGCACACGGGCAACGTCAAGGTGTACAACCTCAACGTCGAGAACACGCGCGGCTCGGGCTCGCAGGCCGTCGCGCTCTCGGCCTACGCCTCGGGCAACCACGGCTACTACGGCCTCAAGCTCACCGGCTTCCAAGACACGCTGCTCGCCCAGCAGGGCACCCAGATCTACGCCAACTCGTACATCGAGGGCGCCACCGACTTCATCTTCGGCCAGCAGGCCGTCGCCTGGTTCGAAAACTGCGACATCCGCGTCGCCTCGGCCAGCGTCGGCTACCTCACCGCCAACGGCCGCGACAGCGACTCCAACCCTTCCTACTACGTCATCAGCAACTCCAACGTCGCCGCCGCCGACGGCGCCAGCGTCGCCTCCGGCGCCATCTACCTCGGCCGCCCCTGGCGCAACTACGCCCGCGTCGTCTTCCAGGACACCGCCCTCGCCGACATCATCAACGCCGCCGGCTGGGCCCAGTGGAGCTCGTCCGACACCCGCACCGACGCCGTCACCTTTGCCGAGTACGGCAACACGGGCGATGGCGCGTCGACGAGCAGCAGGGCGAGCTTCTCGGAGCAGTTGAGCTCCGCCGTCTCCATGTCGGATGTGTTGGGTAGCGATTACTCGGACTGGGTTGATTCTTCGTACATTTAAGTGTATCGATCTTTTGTTTTTTATTCGCTGCATAGGGAGGGAGAGAGAGTGTGTGAGAGGGAGAAAGTGAGAGACGGCTAGCTGTGCTCAGTCAACCGTCGGGGTGTCGTACTTTTCTTCTTCTTCTTGACTGTGGATATTTCGCCTCTTGCTCGCTGTCCATATACATACCAAAACCGAACCAGACCAATATCAAACAAAACCCATTTGTTCTGTCTGCACCACATCTTTCTCCCCATATCCCTACTATGACCGTCTGAATCTCCTTTTTATTTTTACCTTTTTCCCAGCGAAACGAAACAATCGTAGCAAAAGTCGGGCTAGGCTAGCTACCCAGCTGACTATTACCAGCCATCAGCCCCCGTGTCGTCCCGTCCCGTCCGTAAGTAATATCGTTTCATCCAACGACGCAAATGAGTTACCTGAACCCATCCATCCATCCATCCATCCATTCGTTCATTCGTTCATTCGTTCATTCGTTCATTCGTTCATTCGTTCATTCGTTCATTCGTTCATTCGTTCGTTCGTTCGTTCATCCCTCCCTCCCTTCCTCCGTTTGTCAAAAGAAAAAAGAAAAAAAGTGCACAAACCAATTGGCTCGACGCGACGCGACGCGACGTGCCGTGACAGCAGAGACACCAAGCGGCCAACGCGCAGCTCTCGTTCGCTCGTGCGTGCGTGCGTACGTACCTAAGCACAATCTCTTGTCTCGAACAAGCTTTTGCCGAGAGAGAGGTGGGTATGAGTGGGGCCGGGTCGGCAAGAGCGGAAGAAGACAGCCCTGCGTTCATCATTTTGCTAAATTAAATCAGGACGATAAGAAGAGAAGAGAGAGGGGGGGCGATGATGTGGAAGGAAGGTGGATATCGAACGAGTGGCGCAAACCAAATCTCCGGGAAATCGCCGCCACAGTCGGTCAGTCATGGCGAAAATAATGATATAGTAGTAAGAAAACAGAGAAAGGCATTCGACCGACGATGAAGAAGGGATGATGACGAATGGCGCGAAAAAAAAAATGCTTGGGTATATTGCCTATCTAACCGTGCAACTTTCCGTATTCGTTAGGTTTGTTAAAGTGTGGGAAAGAGAAAAAAAAAGCGTGGTCCGCATTCGCCTCTCGTATGTATTTTGCTTTACGTAGGCCTACTCACCATGCACAGGCCCCCGCTCTCGAACAAATAGATGAATGGACGAGGATCGTGCAAGCTAAAAATGAGACGTGATGGACACGGACACAATCCACAAACATACCGACCCGCAAAAATAAACAACAACGGCCACATCACGACGAAGTCTTCGAGAAGACGAATCTGACCCTCGAGCCTTCCTCCTTGATCACGTCCATGAGGGGCTCGTCGTCGATCAGGGCTTCGAAATCGACAACGTCCTGCTCGCCGCCAGCGTGACCGTCCCCCGAAGGACCTGCAACGACCAGTTCGGAAGGGGCGGCGGCGGCAGCTAGCCCGTCCGAGCAGCCGGAGATGAGAGACGTGTCGACGTGTGCGTACTGCATGAGCGAAACCATCTTCGCCTTCTCCCCCTTGGGAGCCCGGCGCGCCTCGCTCAGCCGCTTCTCCTGCCCCTCCATGTCGACTTGGCTCGCCCGAAGCAACGTCGGGAGGTCCGGGAGGTCGTCCTCGCTGTCGCCGTCGCCGGCGTCGTCGTCGTTGCCGGCGTCGTCGTCGTCGTCGTCGTCGTCAGCCGTGGTTTCGCTTGCCGAATCCTTCGCCGCACCACCGTTCTCGTCTGCGGCAGCAGCAGCAGCAGCAGCAGCAGCAGCAGGAACCAGGCCACCCCCGTTGCCGCGGCCGCCGCAAGGGCAGCAGATGAGCCTGTGGGTCTGGCACTCGGCGTCGTCGTTCAGCGTGAAGAGGTCGCGCAGCTCCTCCTTGGTGAAGCTGGCCGAAGACGACTTGCTGTCGATGACGCTGTCGGCGAGCCCCTGCTTGGTCACCTGCCGCTGGAATATCTTCTCGTCCAGGGCGCCCATGGTCAGCAGCCGGTAGATCCTGCACGGCCGTTTCTGGCCGTCGCGGTGGATCCGCGCCATGGCTTGCAGGTCGTGGGCCGGGTTCCAGTCGATGTCGTAGAGCACGAGCCGGGACGCGCCGATGAGGTTGATGCCGACGCCGCCGGCTTTGGCGGAGAGGAGGAAGACGAAGCATCGGTCTGCGTTGGAGTTGTTGAATTTGTTGATCATTTCCTGCCGTTTGCTTGCTGGCGTGGACCCGTCGATGCGCAGGCAAGTGTACGAGAGGGAATTTAGCAGTTCCTCGAGGATGTTCAGTGTCGATGTGTAGTGCGAAACGAGGACGACTTTCTCGTCAGTTGTCGTTCGGATTCGGTGAAGGAGACCGTCGAGAACGTGTAGTTTCGCGCTGGCTCTGCTGTTGAGCAGCTTGGAAGGAATCGCTTCCAGTATGGCCGCCATGACTGGGTTTGGACTTTCATCCTTTTTCGTGGCGGATAATAGCTTTGGGCTGTTGCAGACTTGCTTAAGAATGTTGATGAGTTGAAGTGCATTCTCATTGCTGCCAAGAGCAGCGCCAAAGGCCGGGGATGCAAGTACACTGCGGTAGACTTGTGCCTGAGCCGCAGTCGGGCGACAGAGAAGGACGTGCTCGGTCTTTGGCGGCAAGTATTTCGAGAGGATATCAGCAGTCCTTCTGAGCATGAACTGCTTGGACAGCTTGTCAAGTTCCTCATATCGCGCAGTTCCTTTCTCTCTCTCCTTGGCAGTAGCGTCTGGTTGCTGGCCGCGTACAATTGGGCCATCGAATTCGCGTTTGAACGCATTCAGCTTTCCGAAGATGCCGGGATTGACCAGATCAGCAACGGTATGAAATTCGAGCAGGTTGTTGGAGAACGGAGTGCCCGACAGCAGCACAATACGATCTGTACCGAGATTACGGATTGCCTGCGCCGTCTTGCCTTTGGCTGTCTTGAGCTTGTGACCTTCGTCCAAGACAATCAGGTCGACGTTACAATGCTTCTTGATATCTTCATGAGACTTGAGCAGCTTCTCATATCCGATGACCATGACATTGTAGCATTTACCCCGAGTGAAATCCGTCAGCCGTTTCCCTGGTTCGTCAGCAACGAAGACACCAAGTCGCTCAATCCCAAGCCACTTGCGGAACTCTTTACGCCAATTGCTGACAACGCCGGCCGGGCAAACAATGATGGCTTTCTTCACCGCGGGTGGGTCATCGTAAACGAAGTTTTGCTTGAGCAGGGTCCAGACCAGAGTGATAGTCTGTAGTGTCTTACCGAGGCCCATCTCGTCAGCTAGGATGGCACCTCGGCCATTATAGGCACCAAATCCCATAACGCATTCGTAGAGGAATTGGACACCTTGGCGCTGGTGGTCGCGGAGGTGCTTGGAGAGGACTGGATCAACCACGACGTCAACTGCTTGCTTGCCCCGGGGAATATGCATCGGCAGTGGGCGTTTCATGACAAGAGCACCGGGCGCGTCGGGATCATGACGCGCCTGGGGCATCGTTGTGTTGGATTGTTTCGGTAAAGTAGTACTCGTCAAAAGCGGATTCCTGAATTTGGAAGTCGGAGGGCGACTCTGCGTTGAAGCTGGAACGGAAAGTCCGACGTCTGGTTTCCCCGAGCTTTTGACTGCAATCTTCTGGACTTGTGTGGGATTTACTGTGAGCAGGGGTTTGTTATTGCTCGACTGGGTCACTGCAGGCTTAGGCGCGACAGGACCGTTGGCGCTCAAGACATGGCGTCCTGCGAGGAAGTCCTGTTTGGAGATGACAGCGTCGACCTCCAGCTCCTTGCCACCAACCGAGAGGGTTGAGCCAGGCTCCAGTGGCTTTGACCACATTGTTTTTCCCATGGGGCGGCCGGATGTATCCTGAAGCTGGGCATAGCCGTTGGATAGGCAGAGTATGGCGTCGCCGTCCCATGTCTTGTGCTTCTTTGCCGTAGGCTTGCGCCACAATACCGTGTAGTAGCCTGACGTAGTGTCATCGTATGGTGTGTCGACTCGAGCAGGATTTACGACTTGTAGGAGGGGTTTGCGCGCTGGGACCGGGGCAGGCGACGGCCTCGGCGGATCGTCATTGTCGTAGGAGATGCGGCGTTTCTTGGAGGGCGGGGCAGACGGTGGTTCAACTGGGGGACCCGGTATCGGATGGGACTCTGAGGGTTTGCGGATCAAGGCCGGGGGCTTGAAGGGTTTGTTGAGCATGGTTGCGGATGCATTGGAAAGGCCGTCGCGCGTCGAGGGTGTTGATGAAGACGCGGTCAGGTGGCAACGCGAGAGCGTGGAGGCCAGGCTGACGCGATTTGGAATGTGCTTGGCAACGAGTTTCTGGAAGCGTCGCCCGGTGAAGATAAGTCCTTGCCGCGCACTGTCCACACTCACAAGTCGCGTAAGCCTGAGGCGCGTCTCTGTTACGTCACTCCCACATATCTCTTCGGAAGCGATACCATCAAATTTCACCAACCCCAACAGAACCGCATTTAGTGCGTCTGCTTCGAAATGGACAAGCGGGGTGATGGTGTCGATCATGCAACCACTGCTGAAAATCGGGAGCGGCAGTTGAACGAAGTCACGCTATTGGAGAGCATGTATCCTGAGGAGCTACAAATCATCAAACACCCAAAAGGCCTGGATGACGACCTCGAACTCGAAGTCCGCCTCGGCCCTGCTTACTCGTTGTCCTTCGTCCTTTCGCCCAAAACGTACCCGGTGTCTTCTGGCCCACAAGTGTTTCTCTCTTTTGGATCCGACGTTCCGAACGACAGCAGAAGGCAGTTGCGCGCTTACTTGCGAGACATTGTAGACCAGCAGGAGCCCGATATAGAGTGCGTCGACCTTATCATTGGCGACTTTCGGCAGGCTCTGGACGACTTTAACGCCTCCGCCCGCGAAAGGGACGAGGAGCGCGCTGAGCATCACTCGACCCGAAGTATTTCGGAAACTCAAGCTCTTCGCGTGGTTCTATGGATGCATCATCTGCTAGCTACTAGCAAGCGCCGGGCGATTGTGCAGCTTTCGAAGGAACTTGGTTTGGGTGGCTTCTCGAAGCCGGGCTATCCGGGCAGCGTATTCGTCGAGGGAGAAGCCACTGCCGTACGCACTTTTGTCGACGAACTCAAGGTGCGTCACTTGTACTAGTCGCTGTAAATGGGTCCATGCTGAATTTCGCCAGTCGATGCGATGGCAAGCGATTCAGGAACGCGCCTCCGTCACCATCCCAGTCACGTCGCTTGTGCTGCCCTCGGGAATTCAAGAGGTCCAAGGCCTTGGAGACATCGCCGAAGGCCTTAAGTCAACCGGAGATCAAGGAGGATCTCTGGCTGCTTTCTTCCTGGAGAGCATGAAAATCATCTGATGTGCACAACTGACCTCATAGGAACTGAGAAAGAACGGTGCTTGGGGAACCAACTTCGCTGTTTGGCACATACGAATCTGTTAATAAAAAGGCGGATCCGAAGGCTATGCTGCATGAGACAGGTAAGGCTACCAACTTGTTGTTCAGGGTCTGAAAGATTACATCCCTCTTCAACTTTCGCAACATCATGGTAGGTACAACTCGACATTCTTCATGTCATCAAGCAGCGATGACTGACAGATATTACTGCAGGAGAATTTGCCGGCAGCTCCCCTTTCACTGAGGCGTTTCGTCAATCAGTAAATTTAAGAATACAATCAAAGCCCCGCGGTGGGAAGGCCGAACAGACTCGTTTGACATCTTTCAAATTTGTACTGGCTGGTACTACCCCACGAAGCTGCACAACATCCATCGAGCAACCATGCTTGGAGACTTTGGAAATTGGCGCCCTCTGAACAAACAAGACTGCAATAAGGCGCGCCAGATTGTTGTTGAAGGGCAAAAGAAACCCCATCATCATCACCAACGGCGGCCCGCATGCTCGAACCTAGAGCTTCAGGCCATACAAACCTCCAGTAAACGGGGAATTTGATGCAGGGCTCGGTTCTCCTGCAACTTTCGCTGTACTTCTCGTAGAGTACCTTCTAATCCCTGTGAAGCGTCTGAGGATCATTGACACACAGATCAACCTCGACGTTGTCCTCACCGGCACCAGGAGCGTGGAGGTTGTGCATCCCCCGTTTGAGATCGACAGGGGGGAAGGCGTGATAAAGGGCACCTACCTGCCCGGTCAAGCCATACTAACCGAGAAAGGTAATGAATGAGAGCACATGCCTCTCTAGATGCCGAAACTGGCTGTGATGCGGAAGAGGGGTTCCTTGAGTATGTGGGCCCTTCGGTGTTCTCCATTCCGACGCGAACCGACGGTCTCCACCGTGCTGGGGCACAGCTGAGGGGGTTTACCATTATGGCGGCCCCGCTGTGAGAAACATGTCGAGCAATGGCAGACTCTCTCGGGCCATGCAGGTGAGATACTGTTTCTGGACGCTGGTACGCAGTGACCCATGGTTTGAGAAGCCCTGAGAAATCGCAACGGGCAGCGTTCACCATTAAACCCTTGCTTTTGCTTTATACAACTGCTACTACTTTGAACCACTGATGGCATTCTAAAGTACGACAATCCAAAGACACTCGTCACACGGCGCCAACAACGAATCAACAACAACAGCAGACTTTGCAGGACTTGCAGCGATTTCCGTCGGGTGGCAGAACCTTGGCTCTACACTGAGGGTACCACCGTTCCTTGGAAGCTGAGAAATCTCACCTGGATGTGCAAGCCAGCATCGACACTATGGAGCGTGCTCAAGGCCTTGGATATGCAGCGGTCCTTGGCAACCTCGACAGTTGATGATGATAGAGTTCATTGACAAAGCTTGCGATTGTCAAGGGCTTGGAGCACCTGAAAGAGCTGCGGATCCCAACAGGCGCCTAGATGAAGGGCGACGAGTGGCTGGCGACTGGCCTCCGGGCACTGGAGTGGACACAGGCTCTCAGCAACAGGCGCAACTACCAACAGGCGCCAGGACCGACAGCGGCCTTGTGCCGGGGCCTCCTGAACGGGGCGCGCAAGCGAGGGTTGGCACGGCGACAGGCATGACGGGGGAGGCAGCGGTTCTGGCGGGAGGCCGAGGAGGCAGCGGCGGGTGAGGGTGGTGCGGAATGCGACACGTCTCACTTCTGGTCGGACGAGTGGGCGTACGGGCTCGCTGTTTGCGTCTCCGGGTTGGCAGGCAAGAGGGCGGCGGCGGCGGAGAGCAGGCTCGACGGCGGGGAAAGGCTCGGAGGGCCTGAGTTCCGGGGCCCGAGCGGCGGGCGGCACAGCGGACGCGGCGGTGGGCGGGAGTGGAATTTGAAGGGGCAGCCCGCAGAAAGCCCGCGCTAGGTGTTCCCTGCAGGGCGCAGCTAGCATCCTCACTAACTCGCGCTCTTTGACGACATGACGACATGGCCCTCAGCTCGCACCGCCCAAATGCGTCCACCATTCCTGCCCTACGTGCCCTACGTGTCGCCTATGGTCGTCCCCATGTCTGCAGGGCACGGCCTGGCCCACCAGCCCGAGCACCGTTCGTCGACCAACGCCCGTAAGCGCGCTCCTGCCGCAACCGCGGCACCGCGCGGAACCATGCACTGCCCCGACTGCCTATCCACAAGTAACCCGCTCCATCCCGCCCATGTTGTGCTCCCTGCAACAGAAATACAACATGTCTGCCCTGCCGCCGCCTTCCGCCCCCGCCCGCCGCCACGCCCGCCATGCCACCGTCCCCAATGCCCTCCACGACGCCCGCTTCCGCGACATCAACCACTCCGACCTCTCCACGCCCTCCGACGACGAGACCCATGACTTCCCCTCGCACGACGCCCAGTCGCTCGTCGGCGTCAGCATCGGCCATGCCCAGACCCACTTCACCTCGCCCACCACCCCCGCCGCCGAGAAGGCTGCCGCCATGGACGACCTGATGGAGGCGCCCTTTGGGGACACAAGCCAGTATGGTTTGGAGGGCGTCAATGACCCCAAGCCCGGCGACAGCACCGGCACCTCCAGCCCGACTGCCCAGAGCTCGCAGCTGCTGCAGTCGCCCAGAGAAAGCCCGCCCGAGCCCGCCACGCCGCGCCTCGAGGCCTCGCCCCAGAGGCTGCCGTCGCCGTGGCGCTCCGGCCCCAAGGTCTTCCAGAGGTCCGACGAGCTGCGCCAATCGCTGCGGGAGAGCTTCGCCGGCCACAGGCGGCGAGCCTCGTCTGGCTCCCAGACCGATGGCTCCAAGAAGCGCTACACCTTCAGCATGCCCAAGAGCCCCAATCTCCTCAACGGCTTCACCTTTCCCGGTTGGCCCTCTAGTGATACTGCGCCGGGTTCGAGGAAGGCGAGGTCGAATACATTGATGGCCCCCGCAAGTCCTCGCCCGGACATTGACTCTACCTCGACCAAGAGTGCAAGTGGCTCCAGCGTGTCTGCTCAAACCCGTCGCTCGACCATTCAGAACGACGGCGCACAAAGCCCGCCCGACCAGCCCCCTGCCCCTCAAGAGCCCCCTCCTCAAGTGATTGTCGAGAAGCCTACGCCCGCGCGACCACCGATGAACAGGCAGCTGACACCTAGGAGTCTGAGGAGAACGGCGTCAGACGAGTCTCTTGTCCTCCACCGTACACTGTCTAGAGCTTCCTCTCTTGGTGATGACAGCCGATTTGAGCATGTGTCTGAGCAGGTGAACAGCCGGTTGAAGGCGATCAAGGATTCGTGGCAGGATGCCAACTTCAAACTTCCCGGCATGCCCTCAATGCCAAGCATCAATATACCCTCGTCTCTGTCGTCCTCTCTCACCGACCTTACTCGGGGCCGAGCTGGCTCGCTGAAGGGTTCTTCTACAAATAACACGCGGAAGACAACCCCAAGCCCATTGAATCTGACCAAAGCTACCGCGGAAAGTGCAAAGAAGAGCCCGAGAGTTGGCAGCGCCACTCTCGGTATGACACAGACCGCTGCTGCTCACCACCCGTTTTTCACCAAGGCTGTCCAGGAGCTCAAGGGCGACGTTGTTATCTTGGGAGGCTATCGAGGCTCGATCCTACGCTCTGCGGAGCCCCCACACCGCCAGCTTTGGGTGCCGATCAAAGTCGGGCTGAACCTTCGCAAAGTCGATCTTGAGGTTGGTCTCAATCCAGAGGATGAGGAAACGATGGAGGAGCGCGTGATTCCTGGGGGCATGTTGACGCATGTCGGGCCGGTTGATGTTGCACGAAGGCTGTTCAAGCGCCTGAGGGCTTCGGAGAATGCAGTGAATGGTGAACTTCGCGTTCATGAGTACTCGTATGACTGGAGGTTGAGCCCGCACCTGCTCAGCCGCAAACTCATCCAGTACTTGGAGAAGCTGCCTTGCAATCAGCCAGGCACGCCTAAAGAAAAGAGCGGCGCCATCGTCATCGCGCACAGTCTCGGCGGTCTCATCACTCGCCACGCCATCAACCAGAGACCAGAGCTGTTTTCCGGCGTCATCTATGCTGGCACACCAAACACATGCGTCAACATCCTCGGTCCGCTCCGAAATGGAGATGACGTGCTCCTCAGCTCACGAGTCCTGACTGCGCAGGTCAATTTCACCATCAGGACGAGCTTCGCACTATTGCCACTCGACGGCAAATGCTTCTTCAACAAGGACACCAAAGAAGAATTCGACATCGACTTCTTTGATCCCAAGACATGGATCGACCACGCCCTCTCGCCAGTCGTCGCAACGCCTCTCCCGCCGCTAAAAGACAGCACTCCTTCCGGCGGCATCACCGGCGTCATCAGCTCCATGGCAAGCGCCCTCCCCAGCCTGCCATCTCTCGGCCGCAAGGGCTCCATACCCAAGAGCAACAACCTCTTCGAAAAGGCCAAGGACGAAAAGGCCAAAGCGACCTCCGCCGCCAGAACCGCCAACGCCGAAGCCAAGGCCGAAGGCGGCGCGGCCGGCAGCGGCATGGCGCCGCAGATGGGCGGCAACCACAGCAACGGCGACGAATACTCGTCGACGGCCAACACAACGAGCAGCAACAGCACCAACAACAGCACCAGCACCAACAACAACAGCAACCCCGCCACGGCCGTCACCATCCCCCGCGACGCCGCCATCGCCTACCTCACCCGCACCCTCGCCGAGACAAAACGCTTCAAGCAAGAACTCGCCTTCCAGCCACACCTCGGCACCGCCCTCCGCCACGGCGGCCGCAACGCCTACCCGCCCGCCGCCGTCATCTACGGCAAGTCGATCCCCACCGTCTACGGCGCCAAGGTCGCCTCCCTCGACCACGTCCGCCACGCCGACTGCTACGACGACCTCGCCTTCGCCAGCGGCGACGGCGTCGTCCTCGCCCGCGCCGCGCAGGTGCCAGAGGGGTACGGCGTCGTGCGCGGGGGGTGCGTCAGCTCCGATCGCGGCCACGTCACGCTGTTGGGCGACTTGGAGGCGATTGGCAGGTGTTTGGGCGCGGTGACGGGGGCGAGGGCGGCGGGCGTGGGGTTGGGGGAGGAGTTTGGGGTTGCGGCGAGGGAGAGGGAGAGGGAGAGGGAGCGCGAGAGGGAGAGGGGGAGGGCGAGGGCGAGGGGGAGGAAGGGGAATGGGACTGGGACTACTGGGGTTGTGGATGGTGGGGATGATGATGATGGGGTGGCGGTGCCGGTGTCGTGAGAAAGGAAGAAAGAATGAAGCGGGAGATGGGGAAGATGGGGAGTTGGGGGGTCCTTGTTTTTTTTCTCCCTAAGGGTGGGAGGGTTTTTTGTTTGGTTTTCCCCCTTTGTGCTGCCCTTCCCTCTTTTTGTCTGCTGCGTGATACCTACCTACACTTAGGGCGCCCTGCAATGGGTGGTGGCTTGGCTTTTTGCGTTTGGGGAGAGGGGAGAGGGGAGAGACAGTGAGTGAGCGAGTGAGCGAGTGAGCGAGTGAGCGAGAGGAAGAGCTTATGTTTACTTCATGCTGGACCGACTGAACTGACTCCTTTTTTTTTCCCCACGAATTATATCTTGCTGTAACGGTAAGTTAAGTACGTATGACGATACGAGGCTGGAGTATCTTGGAATAGTTTTTTCTTTTCCTTGTTCGTTGTTTCTTCTTCTCGTTTTCTTTTTTGGCATGTAGGATCGTTCGGGAAGAGAAGAGGGGAAAAGATGGCGAAATGGGAGAAGAAAAAAGGAGCACTGCTACTACTACTACTACTACTACTAACTACCACTACTACTTGCTGTATGTATGTATATATATATATACGTTCGAAAGACAATATAGACTATGCACGCATTAGTACTATCTCCGTCCGTAGCTAGCAGGAGGGAATAAAATGGACCACAGAGTTTTTGCCAAGCAATAGAAAAGACGGCGGCGGGATGGCCGAGGCGTTGATCATGTCCGTTTACTCCCAAGTCTTTTTCCCCCCCTCTTTTTTTCTTCCCCGCCGCTCCTCCCTTTCGCGACGATAATGCCAAAAGGCTAAAAAGCTTAAAGGACGAGAAGCTCTAGAGTCTTATTCATAACAGCCTTCAGCAAAGAAATCAACATCTGTATACAAAAAGAACCAAGAGGGCCGCCGCACAGCGCGCCCAGCCGCCCAGCCGGCCGGCCGGCCGGCTAATTTAGCGGGACCGACCGATCGAATAACAACAAGGCGCGTCGAGCCTTGCCAAACCCTTGGCAAGACGTTGGAAGTTGTGAAGCGTAAGGGGGAGCTGCTGTGGTTTTTACTGCTTTTGGCAGACCGGCGGCGTTGCGGCGTGCGGCGGGGTGCGGCGGGCGGGGCGCGCGGCGGGGCGGGGCCGATATGGCTGAGGCTTGGCAACGTGTACAGGTATACCTAGGTGGCTATGCGTTCGGGGGTTTCTTGGTGTGTCGTGTGTGTGTGTGTACGCAAGACTCATCATCACCCGAGAGTAGTAGTAGCAGTATCTCATCACATAACTGCTTTTCTTCCCTTCCCTTCCCTTCCTTTTGCACGAACGCATGCTGCAAGCGTCAGTCCGTCAGCGGCGCTCGATTGTATGTAGTAGAGATGAATCTTTTCTCTTTAGATGCGCCTGCCTGCCTGCCTATGTTACACACATATACCGGTCGGTAGTCATGCCTTTTTTCCCTTTAATGTCGTAACCCATTGAACGACTTACACGATGATGGAGCAGTAACGACAAAGAAGAAAGGAGAAGAGCCCTAACCTATGCTTACGGCGAAAAGACGCCTCTTAAATTCGGTGCCGAGTTGAAAGTGAAGTGAAAGTAACCACGACCAAAAAAAAAAACATCTCAAATCCAAGTTCCAACGAAAGAAGCAGCCTTTGAAAAAAAAATGACAAAAGAAGAGGCAATCACGTGCTTGCCGCAGAACAACATCCATCTAATGTCTTCCTCTTTCTCTTCTGCTAACCGCACGTATTCATCTCTCCAATGCGCCGTCAAGCTCAGAGTGTCCTGTAGCCTCGGATAAAGGGAGGTTATTAAGAGTCCTTCCTCAGAAAGGGGTGTATGTGTGTAGTGTGTAGTGTGTATTCGAGGGTAAGAAGAAAAACGCTATAGGGATTTGCTTTTTTTTTTCGAAAAAAAAAAGCAATGGGTGCCGCACACTGCTTCGGGGGAGGGAGAGATACACAGGGAGCGTGCATGCAGTAACCAACCATCGCATGCCATGCCTTGCCAAGTCTCCTGCCGGATACCCTCGCCCCTCCTCCTCTGCTGCTTCTCCGTCTTTCTTTCCGTATCCTCCACTGACCCCTTCTTCACTTTACTTTCCACCCTTTGAACCTTCCTGCCCTGACCCCCAGCGTCGATGCATAATACACGAAAAGAGAGGGGTGGAGAAAAGGCGCCCCAGCTCCGTCTTCTCCGTCTAGGAGACGATGTTGTGTTTTGAATCTCAGTGCGACAAAGATATAGAAATACTTACACGGCGCTGTAACCACCTCTCGAGCCGCTGCCTTGGAATGAGCTGGTGATGCGGCGGCCAAAGTCCTTGATGTGGTACGGCAAGTCGCGGAGGGTGTCGCCGTGAGGGATGGCGTCCCAGCCGCGAGCGCCGTAGCGTTCGTAGTTGAGCCAGCTGCCGAAGATGAGGTAGGCGGCGATGCCGAGGAAGAGACTGTGGGGGGAGTCAGCGGCGTTTGAAAACGGGGAGAAGAAGGGGCGAAGAAGAAAAGGGAAGGGAGCACGGAATCTGACTTACATGATGATCACCCAGGTGAAGAAGCCCCAGTGTTCCGACTTGCCGGAGCCGGACCCGCTGTCCCCTCCGTCCTCGCACGCGAACTTGGTGTACCACGTCAGCCGCAGCACGTCCAAGTCGTCCTCGCGCTTGTAGCTGACGAACTGCAGGGCCTTGCTCTTGTCCGGCGTCTCGTCATCATCGTCGTCGTCGTCGTCGTCGTCATCGTCGCTGTCGTCCCCGTCTCCGCCCTCGTCGTCGTCCTCCTTCTTGTCCTCCCTCGCGCGCAGCTTCTTCGCCAACTGCCGCCTCGTCTTCTCCTTCTTCTCCTCGTCCTCGTTGTCATCGACCGTATCCCGGTTGTCCAGGTCGGTCTCGGTGCCGGTGCGGTTGCGATCGCAGATGAACTCGATCAGCGCCTTCTGCTTCTGGCCCTTCCTGCTGTGAAACGGGTACTTGCCGCCGTTGAGCTCGAGGCGGAGGCCCTCCTTCTCGGCGTCGGCGTTGGAGTCGGAGCCCTTCAGCTTGGTCCAGCGCGGGTCGAGGTGGGCGCCCGACGACGACGCGTAGTTGCCGGCGATGGGCACGACCTTGGTGATGGCCGACGTGTTGTCCGTCGGGTTGTAGCTCGTCGTCACGCCGCACACGCGCGTGCCCGTCTGGCACTGGTCCTTCTTGTCCACCCCCTTCACCGGCTTCAGAGGGCTGCAGATGTCCACCGTGAAGGTCGTGTTGAGCACCGCCGGCGGCTGCTTCTCCACCCAGTGCACCGACCGCGGCCCGCCCAGCTCGTGGAAGTCGTACCGCGCACCGTCGACCACGACGTCCTTGCAGTCGAACATGACGCCCGACACCAGCGACGGGAGCGCCGCTGTCAGGAGCAACGCCGCGGCGGTGGAGCTCTGTGGTCGTCGCATCGTTTATGTGGGTGTGGTCGTCGTTCGGGAGTTGGTTCGCGTGTATTGATGGCTCCGCTCTTTGGGAGCTTGTTGTTGGGAGAGCGATGGATGCTATGTGACAGGTGCTGGATGCTCGGAAGATATCTAGGTGTGAAGAGTGTCGGAGCCGGAAGGCAGTGATGAGGACTGCGACTGAGTCTTGCAGATTGTGAAGCCTGCAGTCAATGATGTAGGTTCTGTGAGACGGTGTAAGTGAGCGACTTCCCGACGGCCTGGTTCGGCCAACCGCCTCTGACCGCCTGCCAAGGCCCGCTCAGACACTCGGCCAACGACCACTGTCCGAGGAACCCTCGGGCTTGGGGAGACCCAGTATTCACGAAACAATCCTTGTGCCGAAGCTCTCAGTGAATATTCTCGAATGGCTTTTTTATTGTTTTGTTGTTCATGAGACTCATGCTCAAGGTTCCTCTGCATCGCTGTAGAATGACACTGAATACGTCAGACAGCTTCTCTCGTAGCCAGCTCCACATGCAGATAATTGCTCTGCTGTTATATAGTGCCTCTTCCCAGGCCTATCAAGTGCGTAGCCGTGATATTTTGGTGGTTATCTCAAGCTGCCATAAGACCCCAATTAAAGTCGAATTTTCCGAGATGCTTGCCAACTCCAAGCTCCGATATGTCGTCCACTGCTTTGGAAAGATTCGAAAAGGCACGCATGATGATCGCGATAAACGCTCGAAAGCAACTGCCGCTCAGTACGGCCTCGACCCACGTCCACCACGCCCCCTTCCATACCCACTGCCCGAAGGCGGTCCACCACTCGGTATCTCGCCCCGCCTCCACTCACCAGGTGGCACCCCCCCGCTGCCCAGCCTCCCGCCGCCGCCCTCGTACCTCGGTCCCCCGCCTCTTCTCCCATACCCCCCGCCATAACTCCTGTCGCCGTACCCGTTCTCCCTCGGCGGCGGCCCACCCCTGCTCATCCCGCCAAACTCCCTCGGAGCCGGATACCGGCTCGCGGGCGGCGGGCCAGCCGCCACGGAGCCATCCGCGCCGGGCGGCAAGATGCAGCACGAGACGTAGTCGCCGATGACGAACCGCGCGTCCGCCAGCGTCTTGTCGGCGTCGCCCTCGAGCTTCTCCAGCGCGCCGCGGCCATTCGTCGTTGTCGTCGTCGTCGCTGCTGTTGCTGCTGCTGCCGCCGATGCCGCCGCCGCGCCGCCGTCGTCCTCGTCCACGCCCGGCCCGCCCCCGCCGACGATGACGCTGCCGAGCTCTTTGCTCAGGAATCTGCCGGGTCCGCCGGGCCCGCCGGGGCCGCCGGGGCCGCTGCCGCCGCCGCTGCGCGTGTCCGGGAAGATTAGGCGGAAGGCCAGGCGCGTGCCGATGGCCGGGTCGGGCAGGAGCGAGGGTAGCGCGGAGACGAGGAGGTGGGTGAGCTCGCGGAGGGAGCAGGTCGGCCAGGTGTAGATCTGCAGGTGCGGCGGGGGCGGCGCGGAGCTGTGGGGTGAGAATTCGTCGAGCCGGTGGAAGGCGTTGCTGCGGTAGAAGAGCTTCAGCAGGAACGGCGTCGTCGTCTGCCGGTCGACCTTGGCGGGGGCGGCGCCACCGCTGCTGCTCATGGTTGCGGGCTGGCTGGGCTTGGGCTGTCTGTTTATTCGTCGTGCGGCCGATTTGCGCGTGGGTGGAGTGGGGTGAGGGTCTGATGTTCGCGCGGAGCGTCGTGTGCGATGCTGGTGGACGGCGCGACAGGCTGCGTGCAGGTGTGGGCGCGTGCGAAGGCTGAGGTGCCCTGGCGCAATGGCTTGGGGTTTCGTGGAGAATGCGCGCGCGATGGTGAAGCTCAGCTTCGACAAAGGTGCGGTGCACCTCCGCTGCCGGAGTTTCGCCGGACGGCCGCTTTCCATGCTGGCGCTGGCGCTGGCTCCTCCCCCTCCGCCGTCCGATGCACCGTCTTCCTCGTTTCCGCACGATACACTGCTCGACCAAACACCTTCAAGATGGACTTCGCCAAGCTCATGTCCGCGCAGATTGAAAAGAGCAAAACCCCCTCGACGTCGGCCGACTCATCCAAGAAGTACCTGAAGCGCTCCGAGGTCGAAGCCCAGCGTCAAGAGGCTTACCTTGCCGAACAGAAGAAAGCCGAACAAGAACGCCTAGAGAAGCTCGACAGGAAACGCAAGCTCGAGGAGGAAGAACAGGAGCGCGAGGCCGAGCGCCAGGAGAAGAAGCGTCGGCTGGCCGAGCACTCGCGGAAGCTACGCGAGGAGGAAGAGGAGGCCGAAGAGCGCGAGCGTCGAAAGCGCCTGGGACTGTCCGAGCTGCCACCGAAGAACAAGGACGGCGAGAAGGAGGACACGCCGTTGCGCGATGGGGAGCAGGACATGGCCGATGACGAGCTGGTGGAGAAGCTCCGTGCGCTCGGAGAACCCGCACGACTGTTTGGAGAGACGCACAGGCAGCGGTTGAAGCGCTACAAGAGGCTTACCGGGCAGTCGGCAGTGGCAAAGCTCTACGACGGCCCGATCCCCACAGCGCTGGAGCCCGTACCTGGAGGACAAATGCTGGTGGCGGGCACGCTGCCAAGTGACGAGGAGGGCAAGAAGTTCCTTGGGCGACAGCTTGGCTCATACTTCAACATGGTGCTACTGGAGTGGGATATCGCGCTGAGCCAGCGCGAGGAGGGCGTCAAGACCAGCTTTCAGGGAAAGCAGGCATACAACTCGATGGTGCAGGCCAAGGAGAATCTGCGGCCGCTGTTCCGAAAGCTCGAGAAGAACGAGGTCGACGACAGCGTGCTAGAGGCAGTGGTTGAGATTGTCAAAGCAGCGCAGGACAGGCGTTACGTGGACGCCAACGACGGCTATCTCCGTCTTAGCATTGGCAAGGCGTAAGTGCATCCTCGTGCGGTCGTATTGAGGGGTTGCTAACTCATGACGCAGTGCCTGGCCCATTGGGGTTACTATGGTTGGTATCCACGAGCGTTCGGCACGAGAGAAGCTGCACGAAAGCGACAAGGCGACGGCGCATATCATGAGTGACGAGACGACAAGAAAATACCTGCAGAGCATCAAGCGATGCCTGAGCTTCGCGCAGACAAGATGGCCACCGCACGATCAGCTGCAGCTCATGGGGTAAAGGGAATATATATAGATACCTGGTCATTGGAGTAGATAAGAAACAAGCACGATGCAGTTTGTCACGGCAGAAGTGATGGCCAGGTGAAGAAGAGTCATGGAAGCGGGGACAGACAACATGACGTCGCCAGTACTTGGGTAGGTTCGCGCCAAGACATTCACCGTCTCCCGCAAAGAACACCATCGTCGTCAAGGTTGCTCAAGTTCTGGGCGTGTCCCTCCGGCCCGAACTAGAGACGCAACCGGCAGCTTCGGCGGAGACAAACGCCGCGCCCGCGTCCGCCCCGCTGCTCCGCTCAACACCGCAGCCATGCACGAAATCGTGACACTACAGTTCGGCCAGCAGGCCAACTACCTCGGTACGCACTTCTGGAATGCCCAGGTACATGCCCTCTGCCTTCAGCTCGAGCGTGAGAAACATTCCACTCACATTGCCTCGCGCAGGAGTCGTATTTCACGTACGACGACCCGGAAAAAGGGAATGCAACAGCCGCAGAGCCGTCGCCTGTGGACCACGACATCCACTTCAGGCCTGGCATCGGCGCCGATGGCTCGGATACCTTCATGCCCCGCGCGGTGATTTATGACCTCAAGGGTGCGTTTGGCAGCTTGCGGAAGATTAATGCCCTCTACGAAACCGAGGATGACGGGAATGCGGCGTTGTGGTAAGTTTTCTTTTTTTTTTTCCGTTAGACATTGCTTCACTGTTTCGTCCTATTTCCTTTTTCATTTCCCCTCTCGAAAGAGCAGAGCCCAGAGTTGAAAGCGAGCTTTCTTTCCTACACAGCCGGCGAGCAGCGGGGCATCCTTTAGGAATCATAGTTTCTACCACACCTCCGATTCTACACTGACTCTCTTCATCTCCATCCTGAAAGGCCCGGTACCACAGTCACCCACCGGGCGCCCGCCATCCCGCCGAGCGCGTACCAGCAAGCCCTCGACACGGGCCTACAGCCGCCCGCGCTGACCAAGGAAACGGTGCGGTACTGGTCCGACTACAACCGGGTCTACTATCACCCGAAAGGGCTGATCCAGCTGCACGAGTACGAGCTGCAGTCGCAGTTGATGCCGTTCGAGAGCTGGGCCGTGGGCGACGAGCTCTTCGACGGCCTGGACAAGGAGCACGACCTGCTCGACCGGTACGTCCCAACCCCCATCCTAAAAAACGACAAGCCAACCCACCCACCCAACCCACTCACTCACCCTCCACCAGCGACCTCCGCCCCTTCCTCGAAGAATGCGACCAACTCCAAGGCCTCCAACTCCTCACCTCCATCGACGACGCCTGGGGCGGCTTCTCCTCGCGCTACGCCGAGCGCCTCCGCGACGACTTCGGCAAGCTCAGCATCTGGGTCTGGGGGCTGGAAGAAGAAGCAGCAGAAAAAAAATCCCGGTCCCAGCGCCTCGCCCAGCTCGCCAACCACTCCCTCTCCCTCCACAGCCTCGCCTCCACCGCCTCCGCCTACATCCCCCTCGCCGCCGCCTCATGCCCGGCGTCCGGCCGCCCGCCGCCAGCGTACCTCGACGGCGCATCGTTCGACCCCGCCTCGCGCTGGCACACGGCAGCCCTGCAGGCCGCGCTCGTCGAATCCGCGTCGTTGCCGTCTCGTCTGCGCGACCGCGGGAGGATGGCGCCGCTGGCGCAGATGGAGGCGGTGTTCGACAACGGCGGGAACAGGCGCGTCGTGGAGGCGAGGATGTGCGTGGAGAGGGAGGGGAGGCTGAGGGAGGTGTTGGACGAGAGGGTGAGGGCGAAAGAGAAGGAGCGGGAGGATGGGGCGGCTGGGAAGAGGACGGGGAGGACGGGTGTTGTGTATGAGGATGAGGAGGGGGAGGGGGAGGGCGAGGGCGGGGGCGGGGAGTGGGATGTGGATTTGTCGCGGTTGGGGCCGGAGGAGCAGGTTGTGGCGATGATGAAGAGGGGGAAGAGGGGTGGTGGTGGTGGCAGGAGGGGGGCAGGAGGGAAGAAGGCGCGACTGTTTGGGCGGGCGGAGGCGCTGAGGGGTGCGTGGGAGGGAGAGGGAGAGGTTGAGGCGATGAATCGGAGGGCGAGGGATCGGTTTGCGGGAGGGCCGATGGTGCAGAGGTTAGTGGTGCCTGGTCTTCTTTTTTTTCTTCTTAACGTTAACACGGTACGACAGATACACCACCCCCCTCCTCTTCCCTTCCTCCCTCGACAGCTACCCCCGCATCTTCTCCTTCGATAACGAAAACAACAACCTCGCCATCCGCACCGGGCTGTCCACGTCCTCGGCCACCTCGGGCCGCCTCCGCGCCATGGGCTTGCTCGTCGGTCGCCTCGTCGGTGTTGATGTGCGCGAGGAGTTGTCCAACGGGTTGAAGTCGCTGGCGGATGAGTATGAGGAGGGGTGGGATAGCGGGTTAGAGGACGGGAGTAGTGAGGATGACGATGAGTGAGTGGGCGAGGGGATGGATGGGATGAGGATCCTGGGGTTGAAAGGGTAAGAGATGGTTAGGAGAAGATGGTGAAGATGCAGATGGGTTGGCAAGGTGGAGGATATTGGTAAGTTGGTACCCCATCGGGCAATGAATATTCCTCGAGTTGATCTCTGCGGCTTCGGACTACACGGTACGTACTTATGATTCATGGATCGGGTGATTTGGTGTTTCGTTTCACTTAGGGCTGATGGCCCACACTGCGTCACCGGATGCCGGCCGGAAGCGGTATGGATTGCAATTGTTGCTGTCTCTTTCCGCGTCTGCCGTCGGCGTCGAGTAACGGGGCAGAAACGGTGACGAATGGCCATGAGACACGCGACCGGGTCGGCGGAAGTACATGCGGGCGAGATAAAGCAACGCTTGGTGGTGTTCCCACCGCCAGAGTCTACCAACAAAAGATCAACAGCCGGCATCGATCCGCGGCTCATTGCCGGAGAAATGGACATGATACAGCAAACTAACGGGATCAAGGGCCGGGATCCCGCTTATCGGCGCTGTGCCCCTCTTCTTCCAACGAGAGCACTGGACTACACGTCACTGCTCCGATAATCTTCCGTACCAGGTACACCGGGGCGCCTGGGTCCGTGGTGTTCAGGGTTATGAAGCCAGCACGAGATTTTTGCGAAGGGGACTACAAAACATGCAGCCCTCGCGCTGGCCCAAGAAAAGATAAACGCTCTCCTTCTTGTCTCTTGTTTGTTCCGTCCTGCTGTGCGGGGCGCGGTTCCTGAAAGATAAAACCACAAGCATGGCGCCCATAGACATTGACGACGCCCTCTCCAAGCTCGACGTGAGCGAAAAGGTCGAGCTGCTCTCTGGTGCGTATCAACCACATACGAAAAAGAAAACACAGTACCAACACACTCAGGCATCGACTTCTGGCACACCAAACCCATCCCCCGCCTTGGCATCCCCTCGATCCGCACCTCGGACGGCCCCAATGGCGTGCGCGGCACCCGCTTCTTCAACGGCGTCCCCGCCGCCTGCTTCCCGTGCGGCACCGCCCTCGCCGCCACCTGGGACCTGGGGCTCATCGAGGCGGGCGGGACGCTCATGGGCCGCGAAGCCATAGCCAAAGGCGCGCACGTCATCCTCGGCCCGACGACCAACATGCAGCGGTCCCCGCTCGGCGGCCGCGGCTTCGAGTCCTTCAGCGAGGACCCGCACCTCGCGGGCATGATGAGCGCCGCCACGGTGAGGGGCATCCAGGAGACGGGCGTGGCCGCCACCATCAAGCATTTTGTGTGCAACGACCAGGAGCACGAGCGGCAGGCGGTGGATTCCATCGTGACGGAGAGAGCTCTGAGGGAGATTTATCTGATGCCGTTTCAAATTGCCCAGAGGGACGCGAAGCCCGCGGCGTATATGACGGCGTACAATAGGGTCAATGGCTGTCATATGAGCGATAACAAGGAGATTCTGCAGGGCATTTTGAGGGATGAGTGGGGGTTTGAGGGCATGGTTATGAGCGATTGGTACTTTCTCTTTCTTTCTCTTTGTCTCTGTTCCAATTCTTAATTTTTGCAACAGGTTCGGCACCTACACGTCGGCCGACTCGGTCAACGCAGGTCTCGACCTCGAAATGCCCGGCCCGCCCCGTGTACGCGGCAAGCAAACCCTCATCGCCCACAGCGTGCGCAGCATCAGCGACGAGACCATCGACGCCCGGGTGCGCAAAGTCCTCGAGCTCGTCAACCGCGTCGACAAGCTCAACATCCCGGAAAACGCGCCCGAGAAGACCATCGACACGCCCGAGACGGCGGCGGCGTTGCGCCGTCTGGGCGCCGCCAGCATCGTGCTGATGAAGAACGAGAACGGCGTCCTCCCCTTCAGGAAGGACAAGTCCCTCGCCGTCATCGGGCCCAATGCGAAGATGGCCGCGTACGCGGGCGGCGGGTCGGCGAACTTGCTTCCCTACTACGCCGTCACGCCCTACGATGGAATCCGCGCGCAGAAGGAAGACGTGAAGTACGCGCTGGGCGCCGTGGGCTACCGGAGCCTGCCGGTGCTGAGCCATCTGACCAAGACGAAGAAGGACGGCAATCCCGGGCTGACGGCCAAGTTCTTCACCGCGCCGCCGACGGACGCTGGGCGGAAGCCTGTGGACGAAGTCGCGGTCGAGGCGTCGGATATCCTGCTGTCCGACTACAAGCACCCGGCCATCACGAGCGACACCTTCTGGATGGACCTGGAGGGCACGCTGACGCCCGAGACGAGCGGGGAGTACATCTTCGGGGTGTCGGTATGCGGCACGGCCAAGCTGTTCGTCGGCGGCGAGCTGGTCGTCGACAACACGGAGAACCAGCGCCAGGGCGACACCTTCTTCGGCTCGGGCACGGTCGAGGAGACGGGCACGATGAAGCTCGAGGCCGGCAAGACGTACGACGTGTACCTGCAGTTCGGCTCGAGCACGACGTCCAACATGAAGACGCCCGGCGCCACCGTCATGGCGGGCGGCGGCGTGCGCGTCGGCGGCACCCTCGTCACCGAGCCGCAGGCTGAGATTGACAAGGCCGTCCAGCTGGCAAAGGAGGTGGACCAGGTCGTCATCATTGCCGGCCTCAACGTAAGTTCCCAAGTCCCACCCATCCCTCCTCCCCCTATCCAAACAACACACGTCACTCCCCCCAACAATCACCACATCCCACCACCAACACACCACACAGGGCGACTGGGAATCCGAAGGCTACGACCGGCGCCACATGTCCCTCCCGGGCCACACCGACGCCCTCATCGCCGCCGTCTGCGCCGCCAACCCCAGCACCGCCATCGTCCTCCAATCCGGCACGCCCGTCGCCATGCCCTGGCTCGACGCCGCGCCCGCCCTCCTGCACGCGTGGTACGGCGGCAACGAGACGGGCAACGCCATCGCCGACGTCGTCTTCGGCGGCGCCAACCCCTCGGCCAAGCTCCCCCTCACCTTCCCCGTCCGCAACGAGGACAACCCGGCCTTCCTCAACTACCGCTCCGACCGCGGCCGCGCCCTCTACGGCGAGGACGTCTACGTCGGCTACCGCTTCTACGACAAGACCCGCCGCGCCGTCCTCTTCCCCTTCGGCCACGGCCTGTCATACACCTCCTTCGCCTTCGCCCCGCACTCCCTCCACATCGACGACCCCGCCGACCCCGCCGACCCCACCAACGCCACCATCACCCTCTCCATCACCGTCCGCAACACCGGCCCCGTCCCCGGCGCCCAAGTCGTCCAAGTCTTCGTCGCCCCGCGATCATCAACCTCGACGATCGGCCGCCCCGTCAAGGAGCTCAAAGGCTTCGCCAAGACGTCGTCCCTGCCGCCCGGTGCCGAGGAGCGCGTCGCGGTGCAGATGCGCAAGAAGTACGCGGCGGCCTATTGGGACGAGCTGCGGCGGGCGTGGTGCGTCGAGAGGGGGGTGTATGACGTGTTGGTTGGGGATATCAGCGGCGGCGGTGGTGGTGGTGGTGGGGATGGGGAGGAGGTTAGGGGTGAGTTTGAGGTGGGGGAGACGTTTTGGTGGAGGGGGCTTTGAGGGCTTTGGGGGTGCTGGGAAGGGGAGGGGGGAGGGGGAGGGGGAGGGGGGGGGGGAGGGGGGGGGGGGGTGGGGGGGGGGGGGGGGGGGGGGGGGGGGGGGGGGGGGGGGGGGGAGGGGGAGTTGGAGGAAGGGAGGGAAGGAATGGAACGGAATGGAATGGAAAAAAAGAAAAGAGGGAAAGGACCTAGAGGGGTTGCTTGCGTTGTAGATGGATGGAGAGGATGGGAGGTCGCTGCGTGTAACTCGTCCTCCGTTTATTTTTTCGTCTTCTTTCTCTCGGAATACCCTGCTCGTACGACCTCTTTTTGATTTCCTTTTCTCTCTCCCCTTGGCTCCCGTCTGCTGCGAGCTCGCACTTTTGCCCCGGTCGTGAGGTATGCACAACAACTTCAGCAACCGCCTGCCCTGCCCCGACCCTTCATCAACCTACGGACTCGTGCTTCCACGGCCTGCCCCCCGCCCCTCGCTCGCTCAATCTCGACCGACCGACCGACCGACCCCGCGTAGGTACTACGATAAATCACCTACCAAGCCTCTCGCAGCAATATGCACGCGAAACAACAACAAACGACGACTACACGACACGCATGAAAGACACTGCGAACCCGCATATCACATTAGGCTACCTACCTACCTACCTACCTACCTACCTACCTACCTGCCTGCCTACCTGCCTAATGCACGCGACGACGAAGACGACGACGAAGACGACGACGAAGACGACGACGACGGTGGCGGCGGGGCGGCGGGGCGGGCGGGGGGCCAGGGAGGGCAAAGGGGTGGCGGTGAAGAAAGGTTACGTTACGGTACGGTATGGCTTGCATTGAACGCCATGCAACTGCATGCATGCATGCATGCGGTCAGCGTTGTACGACCGATCTGTGTAGAGAGGGAGAGGGAGAAAGATAGAGAAAGAGAGATGGAGAGAGAGAGAAAGAAAGAAAGAGAAAGATAGAGAAAACAAGAGAAAGGAGCCGGGCCGGGCGGTGAGGGGAGGGGAGGGGAGAGGGGGACTAGGTAGATTGGCGGGCCTTGGACGCAGCGGGCGAAAATCAGGCCAGAGTGGTGTGGTACCTATCTGTGCGGGAGGGGAGGGAGGGGCGGGTCGCCTTGCTGTGCCTGTCGCGTCACGTACGGGACCGTACAAATCCCAGAGGGGGAGAAATGCAAGACGAGAAACAGAAGTAGGTAGGTTAGGTTGAGGGGGGGAGAAGTACACGTCAATATCGGATGATGCGATCGACGATGCCCTTTCTGACCACCCGGCTTGCCTATATACCGCACATCGTTGACACCAGACCACTGTTTCCCCGTCTGAGCAGATTCTTCTACAAGCCGCGCATACGTAGTAGAAAAAAATGTTAGCAAGAAAACCGGGCCATCACATGAATATTTCGGAAGTACATGTGTCCAAATGATATGTTCAAGAGAGCCATGAATTGATCATCATTATCCGCGGCCAAACAACATGGGATCTAATCCCACGTACCAGTACGAAGCACACCCGTTCGTTGAATTTCATCCAACCAACTACTTCGATGAGTCGTCCGAATACAAGAAAAAAAAAGGGTAGGAGAAATCTAACCACTACCCGCCGCCTTCGATGTACCTAAGCGTTCATCGCCTATGTAATGTTCCCCCCTTTGCCACCCTTGAAAATCCAGATAAACACCCCACCCCCGCCCATTTTCCGTTTGGTGTGGTCGTTGGTATCGTAAAGGAGCGTGATAGGCCCGACACGTGTTTCAAGTGCCGGGCACATTAAACGGTGTCTCATGGTGTCGTCAGAATGGAAGAAAAAGAAACAGTATTGAACATTAAACCGTCGTGGTTCCCTTTGTCCGTACGGGACTTAGACGAGAGCGAGGACAGCAGCAACACCGGCCATGAGGGCCATAGCAGGCTTGCCGTTCTGAGCCGCCGCGCCGGTGTACTGGGGCGGAGCGGTGCCGGTCGTCGTGCCGGCCGCCGGCGTGCTGGGCACGGCGGAACTGGGCACCGGGGTGACGGGCGGAGGAGCGTAGGTGGTGGGAGAGGAGGGAGCCGGCGGTGCTGAGACCTCGGATGAGGGCACTGGAGCGGGCGCGCTGGGAGCGGGGGAAGAGGGTGCCGGGACGCTCGGGGCCGGCGAGGAAGGAGCCGGCACAGAAGGAGCGGGAGACGAAGGCGCCGGGACAGAGGGAGCTGGAGAAGAAGGAGCCGGCACAGAGGGAGCAGCAGACGAGGGAGCTGGGGCGCTCGGAGCTGGGGCGCTCGGAGCTGGGGCGCTCGGAGCTGGGGAAGATGGCGCTGGCACGCTTGGGGCCGGGGAAGAAGGAGCCGGAGCGGAAGGAGCTGGCGAAGAAGGAGCTGGGATGCTCGGAGCCGGTACAGAGGGAGCCGGTACAGAGGGAGCCGGCACAGAAGGAGCGGGCGACGAAGGTGCCGGGACAGAGGGAGCGGGAGAAGACGGAGCCGGGGCAGACGGCGCAGCAGAAGAGGGAGCCGGGGCAGACGGTGCGGGAGAAGAGGGAGCTGGAACACTTGGCGCAGGCGACGAGGGGGCGGGCACCTCGGATGTCGGAGGCACTGGGACGATAGTGCTGATGAGAGTGGTGCCAGATGAGCACTTCGCACACGACTTGGTAAGGGTAGTCGTCTGGTAGATGGTCGATGGCGTAGGCGTGATAATCTTGCTCGTGGTCGTAGTCTCCGGCGGAGGGAGAGGAGTCGTCCCGGGGGCGGAAGACGGGGGCACTGGGTACGTCTTGGAGGTCGTCACCGGGGGAGGGAGAAGAGTCGTCTCAGGAATGGACGATGGCGGGACAGTCGGCTTCGTGGTCGGGTGGGTGATGACGCTGGTGATGTACGAAGTCGCTGAAGTGGTCACAGGGCTGCATAGCAGTCAGTTTAGGAGCTTGTATGGGAGAAAAAGGCTGCTTACCAAGTAGTCGTGTAAGTGGTGACGGTCTCGGTGGTGGTGCTACCGCCGGTGCACTTGGGGCAAGGAACAGTAATGACCGAGGTGGCAGTCGTAGTAGAGACGGTGGAGGAGGTGACGGGGCAGACGGTGGTGTAAGTGGTCGTGTGCTCAGTGAAGGTGCTCGTGAGGTAGGTTGCAATGGTGCTGTTGGGGTAGACCGGAGGCGCCGAAGACGGGGGAGGAATCACCTTCGTCTTGGAGGTAGAAGGCGTGTAAGGGGGAGGAGTGTAGCTACTGGGAGGAGGAGCGTAGCTACTGGGAGGAGGAGTGTAGCTACTGGGAAGAGGAGTGTAGGTGGAGGATGGAGGAGGCGGAGCGTAGGTAGACGAGGGAGGCGGAGGAGTGTGAGTGCAGCCTCCCTTGCACGAGGTGACGGTGAGAGTAGAGGTGGTCAAAGTGGTGTAGGTGGTGCTCTCCGAAGTGGCGGTTACGGGACAGATGGTGGTAGTCACGTAGGTGACGAGAGTAGAGGTGTGGGTGCTCGGGACAGTGGTGGTGGAGTTCCACTGCTGAGAGTAGGACTTGTCCCAGGCGTGAGCGGAGCCCAGCAGGGCGAGGAGGGCGAGAGAGGCACGCATGATTGCGGAGTCTGGATGGAGGGCGCTGAGTGGTGGATAGCGACAGGTATATAACGAAGGCTTCAAGCAACCGTAGCGAGCGAGCTGCGTTGACGGGGCTGGATCAAAGCACGGGGCTGGCTTCTTGATTTACCAAAGTAAGCGGGAGGCAGGAGGAGGCTCTCTATATCCCTCCCCCGGGGCAGCAGGCTTTGCTCGATCGGTTTGGGGTAGGGTTGCATGTTCGGCAGGAAGCTTAACGGCTGTGACCTCATCCGGGTCTCATGAGAGGTGGAGCATTCCCGGCGCATTCGGCGGGCTGCAAGAGGCTGCATCCCGTATAGGAGACCGATGGGGCACGGCGTGGTGTCGGCGGTCTGGGGCGGTAGGGCACGCAAGCGGGGAGCTAATGCAGCCGGCTCAACAGCAGATGCTGGGCAGGCACCGCGGCGACCAGGATGCCTCAGCTCGCACCACTCACCGGACCAGCCGGCCAGCAAAACAAATATTGACAGCCCAGCACCGCGAGCGGCCTCCAGCGGGCTGCCACCTGGTCCTGGCCCGAGCAGGGCCCAATGGCGCGCCGCGCTCGTGTCCCGGCTCGTCCAGCACTCGGCAGCGGGCGAGACAGGCGGTCAATGGGTGTCGACGGCGTTGCTGCAAGCAGTGGGCGGTCCTCGTGGTGGTCTCGCCAGACGGCGCATGGCGTCACTGGCCAAGCTTTGGGCGGGCGGGGCAGCAGGATGGATTTACGCTGGCGGCGCGGGCAACCGTCTGCTCGGGCTGCACTGGGCGGTGGCTGGCATGGGCTGGGCTGGGGGTCTCAGTGGTGGGTGTCGGTGGCAAGGCGCTAGCTGGATGTTTGCGGACGAGACCCCAAGAATAGCTGAAAGGTCTGGCCGGCGGGCGGGCAGGTGCAACGGCAGGCGGCGGCCGCTACTTTCCGGGGCAGCGCAGCCTCCAACGTCTGCTTCAAGGTCACCCCACAGCAGGCTGCAGCTCGTGCTGCGTCTGGCGAGAGGGCATCTGCGCTGTCAGCAGGGCCGAGTGGTGCTCGTATGTATGCATGCAGCGGCATGGGTGGCAGCCAGACGGCAGGCGGGTCGATGATTGGCGTGCGGCCGATTGCTTGCAGGCCGGTCGTGGAGGGCTTCGAGTGGCTTCGCCTGCGCTTTCTCCTTTCATCGCCCGCCCGCCGCCGCGACCGAGTGCTCAGAAACGCTCAGAAACGCCTTCCACGCCGCGTGTTTCGCTCGCTCGCGCCATGCGTCGGCCGCCGGCCGGCCAGCAGTCCGTCTGCTCGTCCACCGTCGTTGCCCGTCAGCTCCGCGCTGCGTTCCTGCATCCGCCGCGTCGCGGTTGGCGGGCTCTCCGTCGTGGCAACCGCACCCGCGCCCAAACGGGCCTTTGGACATCGAGTCTTCGAATGGCGGCCCGCCATGTGCGTGCCTGGCCCGTTGCACGACTGGCGGCGCACGGCTCGAAAACGGGCACCGTGTCGAGATCGCCGCCCATCCTCCACGCTGCGCTAGCACGATCAGCGCAGTTTAATCTCACAACTGCACCTTGTCCGCCTGCACAAACCGGGCCCCAAGCTGTAGTCTGCCCCACACCGTCCGCACTCCAAGAACGGCGTACCGGCCATGCCGCCCGCTGTCTTGCCGTCAAAATTCTCATTGGCCGCTGCTCAACCATGGTTTCCCTCTGCCCATCACCGCGTGCATGACTACGGATTACTGACGGTAAGCTTTCGCCCATTGCCGCTTCTGCCTCAATTGCCGGCCAGGCCCGACTGTACCATTCTTTGTCCAACTCAAAACCCTCTGTCGACTGCCGACCTTCGATATTGAAGACAAAAACAGAGGAAATTTTCCTTCGTGGCGGGGAATGAGCCGCTCTCGCCTCGCACGCATGCGAGCAAAGGGGAAAAGCTACAATGAAAACTCGGATGGTGGCGTCCCCGACTGTCGCGTGAAGGAAGGCACGGGCCTCGGTTCAGCGAGGCGGCGGAGAATAATACACGTCGATGAGGCTCGATCGGGCAGGCAGAAGGCTGTAGAAGATCCATCTCCATCGTCATCATTAGATCCTTCCTGCCAGCCGAACCTCCTGAATCGGACCTGTCGACCGACCCATCCCTTCGTATCCTTCCGGGCCATTCGCTTCTGCCATTTGTACATACGAGCACGAGCACTCTCGTCCGCCTTCCCGTCGATAGTGCCCACATCACCGTTCCTTATACAGTCGTCTCCCCGCATGTCCCCCGCACTGCAACCGAACTGTCGCCTTGCTCCTCGTATTTGCGTTGCGCTGTGGAGTGAGGGGTAAGTGCCAGCCAGGTGCTGCTTCGGCTACCGGCCAGTCCGCCGCCGACCCGAATGACCACCCACCGACCTCGAGCGTGTAGGCCCGGCATGGATGATCGGCGGGAACAGACCGGGAAGCAATGCGCCTGTGCCGTCTGGGCGGTGAGAGTGGGAAAGAAAAGACGAACAGAAAGAAAACCGGTAATGGGAAGACCGACATCGGCCAACCGATCTACCTTGACCAGCTGAGAGGAGACACTCAGCGAGCTGTGCCGCCTCGCCTTCTTTCGGGCATGGAACCCTGCTGACTCACCACAACCGCGAGCTCATCGCGTCACCTCGGCCCACTCAACTCGCTGCCTTTCCCTCTTGTGTACCGTGCTACTCTCGATAGTCATGTGCGCTAAGTTGACCATCAACACAGGAGCGGCCCGGCGGCCCATCCGTGAGCATCAGGATCGCAGAGCACATGTCGCGCCTCGCGTATTCCGGATCCTCCCCCTTGTGCTTGCCCCAGCTCGCATCGTCTCCCGAAATAGAAAAAACAAGGTCTCAGACCTGCAGCAGAGTGCTTGCCCTCAGCAGTAATCCTACGTCCACTTTTTTTGTTCCCTCTCTCCTAGCCTCGCATGCATGTCCAATATTATTATGGACGGCACCGGCATGAGTTATGCATGTCCGTCAACCACGATACGTGGCTGATTCATCAATGCTAAGCCGTCATTTGGCCCCCCGCCATTCTATGTACATCTACCAGCCGTTAGCTTGTGTTGCGTTGTCACCACTCAACCCATCCCATCCCGCTCCGTTAAGGCCACCCTCGTTTTTCCCCCCTTCCCCCCTTGATCATCCGTCTGCCAAGAAGAGACTTGACATCATCACGCCGTTCATCATTCCACATTCGTTTCCCATCCATCATCCATGAGCGAGCTGAGATTTTGCGCTGCTATTCGACAAACCGATTCAAACCCTCCCGCTCATACCTGTCCTGCTAACGCGGCTAAAAACGCACGAGTGTCTCGAGGGCAATTGTTTTCTAACAGGCCAAACTCCAATCTCTATTGCCTTTTCAAACAAGTCTTGTATGCTAGCTGAATACGTATTCCTTTTTCCGCTCCACTTTTTTTTTTTACCGTGGGATTCTCAAAAAAGAAACTTTTCTTTTTGCTACAGACTCGTAGAAAAGGAAATAAGATGGTAGATGGCCCTAGAGCGTTCGTTGTATATCCAATTGGGTCAGGCAAGGTTGTGTGGTAAGAGAGCGAAAAACCAATAGAAAAAAACTCGACAAATCAAAGCAATACGAACGTACGGTGGGTATTTTTGTACGAAGCCCATGGTAGCGAGTCCCAGCAGCGTAGATTGTTCCTCTCCTCTTTTGGGTTTCCTCGATTTCCCGAGCTTTTATCAAAACATCTACATATCTCTCCCTCTCTCCCCGTTCCCTTGCCGCTTGGGTGTGTAAAGTAATAAAATTCAGTAAATGTGCAGAATGATCGAGCGGAGAAAATGTACTGGACTGTGGGCCAGTCCGGAAGAATGGGGTTCGGTGAGCCAGCTCGAAGGAGGTGGTCCCGTTTCTAGTGAACCACTCCTCAGAGTAGCAGTATCTCCTTCCCTCACTCCTCTTTATCTCATCAGGGTCTTGCTTTGTTTGTAATTGGTTGTGTAATTGTATATCTGTCAGTGCTGAGCCAGTCCGAAGGGGGTCGTTTGTCGAAGAAAAAGAACTTTCGACTTTTTGTTCATATCTCTTTTCAACTTTATCCCGGAAGATGGTGAAGATCTCCAGGACTTTGCGTATTTGCTATTGGTTCTTCGCTGGTTGCGTGGAAGTTCTAGTCGACTGTTCGAACCCACAAGAGGTGGTCGTATTCTTTGCTCTGCTTCTGCTTCTCAATCTCCGATGGCCTATCGTCGAGAAACACGATGTTACCAGGGGCTCTGCTTGTGAGGGTGCAAAAGAAACAAAAGAGCGACCCGAAGCCGTCATACTCACCACACCGGCCTCGACTGATTGTTGTTCATCTGGCCACCGTGGTTCTGTTGGCGCGGGGCCATGTGCGGTTGGGGCTTCCCCGCCGTCGTCTTATTGCTGGGACCCCAATCGTCCGCAAAGTCGACGGTTTCGTCGGCCAGGGTTGGGTTGTCGACGCCGGGCGGGGCGCTGCCCCAGTCGTCGTCAAAGTTGACCGGCTCAGCGGTCTCGGCAAAGGTCATACCCGCGCCGTCCGGCGGGTTACCCCAGTCGTCGTCCATCAGGTTCGTCTCCGCCTGTTGCTGCTGGTCCGCCGCAGGCGGCTCGCTGCCATTCGAGACGCCTCCGTTGGCTTGCGCCGTCGAAGTGTCTACGAGGGGCTTGGCATGATCGGGCTGTGGAGCGGCCACGGTCTGGACGACACTGTCGAATCGGCCGTCGCGCGCTTTGGGTGAGAAGATGCTTGTGACCGCGTTGTCGTCGGCACCGAGGTCCAGGATCTCCTTTTCAGGCTGGGGCGCGACGCTGTCCGTGTCGCTGTCAATGTCGCTTCGATCGATGTCACCTGATTTCCAGACCGTTGCGGTCGGGTTCCAGCTGGGGACATCGGGCTTCCAAATTCCCTTGTTCAGATCGAAGCTTGGGGTGGCCGTGGTGGCAGTAGCCTCTGGCTTCCATTCCGCCGCGTTCGGCTTCCAGCTCATAGTGGGTTGCGGCTTTTGATCTGCAACATCGGGGTTCCATGCCGCCGCCTCCGGATGCCATTCCTCCGCTTCGGCCTTGACTCCAAGAGGAGCTGCAGCGGCTGGTCTAGGCGCGGCTTCCGGAACCTCATCGCCCATGGTGACGCTGGATGCATCGTCCGCCTCACGCTCCGCGATGTCGACGGCAGGCACCCACTCGGCAACCTTGGGATCCAGGTTGTGTGCGCGGTAGTCACCCTTGAACTTGCACGGGTACATTCCTCGACAGCCCGGGCGCTGGCAGACGTGTCCATTGTAGCAATCAGACTTTCGGCAAGCGCCTTGCTTCGGGCAAGGGTAGCCCTGCACGATGACCTTTAGAACGTGGAAAAGGTCCGAGCTGAGTGGGTTGTGATCGAACTCGCAGTCCATGCCGGCTGCAAGAGAGGGGCAATGACCGCGGAGTTGATATGAATTGCAGGGCTTCCTTCCGGGCTCCTTGGCCATGGCATTGTATGCGGAATACTCTTCAGCCGTGGGACGGGGCAGGTAGAAGTCCAGACGGTCGCCGTATTTGTTGACCGGAATCAAGCCTTCCGTCTCGGGCGTTGGACGAGGAAGGTCTGCTGCAGTAGTGAAAGCGCTGGTGAATTTCTTGGGCCCAGGCCGTTCAGGAGGAGGCATGGTATCCTTGGCCTTGGGCGGCTCCGGAGTGTCTGATGCCCATTTGCTTCGGAGAACCTCGGCCGGGTGTGGTTTCGTCTCCTCTTGATGCCGGGAACCCATGCTAAGTTCCGAAATCGAGCCTTGCCTCTTGGCATAAGGAGGAAGACTGGTGCTGGAGACGGACCCGTTCCTGGTGTTTTGCTGAGGTCCATTGCCCCAATCCTCGGAGAAACCAGCGGTCGAAGGCCTCGGGCCCTCCCTCCAGTCGCCAGCGAATTTGGACTGGATGGCAGAGCCCTGTCTCTGCCTGGGGCCTTTGTCCCAGTCATCGGCCGAGCCGGCCGGCTTCTTCGAGCTTGCACCCCAGTCATCTCCATAGGCAGGTGGTTCCGGCGTGTTGTTCCCCCAATCGTCGGCGAAAGCGTTGCCATCCCGCCAAGATTCTTTGCTCTTGGTCTTGATCTGAGGCGGCTGGGGGGAGTCGAAGCCTGGTTGAGGATGGCTGAATTTGCAGTTTCTGCCAAATTTGCATGTATGCTTGCGCACGAACATAGGGCACGGCTTGGGACCAAGCGACTCTTCATCGAGACTGCTGGGTCCACTTGGCTCGTTCTTCGAAGTAGCGCCATTACTGCGTTCTTTGAGAGAACCATTGACCGGCTCTGGTTGGGCCAGGGTCGGCTTGCTGGCAGCGCCCTTGGTCGCAGCGGTACTGGGGGTCCAACCAGGGAGCGGAGCATCACGGAAGACGGAGGAGAATTTCTCAACCGGGAGGTCGAGTGAATGGTACTCTGGCTGGTGAGCGGGGGCTTTGATGAGGGTGATCTTGTCAGCCTTGCCCAAGTAGGGACTGAGGAGAGGGATGTAACGAGTATCGTGGCAGCCAGCAAAGAAGATGTGCTTGCACTGGCCAGCCTCGGCAAAGAGTCGGAAAGTCTCTACTCAGATGATCAGCCGTGTTTCAGTCCAGATTGCACGAGATGATTGACCTTCGATTTTGGTGAAGACATTGTCACTATTTTCTCCAGCATCAACATAATCGAAGTAGCCCTTGGTGCCGGTGAAGGCGGCAGCGAGCGGGGCAATGGAGCGGGCATGTGCGCCGACGAGGCTTTGGCGGCTCAGGACGTGGGAAATGGAAGCAAAGTTGGAGTAGATGCGCACGACGACGCGGCAGTGGTCGAGAGAGCCGATTTTACGCAGACGATCGCGGATCTCGGTGGCCAGAAGCTGAGCAGCATTGACGCCGCCCTCACGGCCGTTCTTGATAAGGTGGTCCTTGAAGGTGTAGCCATCGCCGTCGACCAGCAGCAGGACGAAAGGATTCTTCTCTTGGCCGCGGGCTTGGCGCTTGTACTTTTCGCGGTTCTCCTTCTCCTCTTCGTAGTCGCTGCGGAGCATGCGATAGTCCTCGACCAGGCTCTCGTACTTGCGGAGGATGTCCTGCAGCGTCTCGTAGTACTGGCCGTTCATCATGCGGAACGACCGGACCTGAGACTCGCAGGCATCCAGCTGAGCGTCTCCAAGCATCTTGACTGAGCGGTAGGGGATTCAATTGATAAGAATACGCAGCAGAGGCGAGACAAACGGGCGTGGATCTGTGGGACTTCAGCGCTCAATGCACAGCGGCAGCTAAGACGTGGTCGCAGGTGACGAGCAATTGGGGGCAGCTAAGACATGAGCAGGAAGCCGCCCAGCAACAGGTGCAAAGCTTGCAGTTGAAAAGCGTAGGTGAGGAATGTGGATCGGTGGAGAGAAATAACGTGCGGGCACTGGCGCGAGCGCCAAGCCCCGCAAGGAAACCGCGTCGCACCGTCCACCTCTGGCCCGCTGCAATTGGCCGGTCGCATTTGCAAGCAAGGCTGCAAGGGCCGTTTGTGATAACGGCCGCCCGGCATACTTGGGCAGTTGTAACTTGTGATGATGCGTATCGCCCCACGCGCCTCTGGAAACACACATCAAGCATCGGATCCATCAGCTCCGCCGGCCTTCGCCCTTGCGGAATAAGATCTATACTACGGATTACCCACTCTGCCACTGCACGCTTCGTCGCGGCTCCAATGCACAGGCCGCCTAGAAAATAAACAAAAAAAAAGTCAAAAACTTAAGCGAAAGCAGGTGACTGCCCGTTTCATGGCAAAACCGCGGGCGGCAGCGATGAGGCAATCGCCGCCATAGCTCCACGTCCGAACGCACGCCAACCCTCCACCGCCCGCACCTGTCTTTGCTACCTCACCAAGCCATGTCTGGAGGCTGGAACACTATCGAGTCCGACGCGGTTTGTGCGCTGCCTTTCCTTGCTCTTCCGCCTCTCCCGCTGACCCTCGCGCGCGCAGGGCGTCTTCACCTACCTGCTGCAGAACCTCGGAGCCAAGGACGTGCAGTTTGAAGAGCTCATTGCCCTCGACCCCGACTCTCTGCGCCAGCTCAGCCCCGTCTACGGCGTCATTTTCCTCTTCAAATACCCCACCGACGAGAAGCCCTCGGCCACGCCCAGGGACGGTTCCTTCGACCACCAGGCCGCCGAAGACATCTTCTTCGCCGCCCAGACAATCCAGAATGCTTGCGGCACCCAAGCTCTCTTGTCGGTGCTGCTGAACAAGGACGGCGACGTAGACATCGGCCCACATCTGCGCGAGTTCAAGGACTTCACCACGGCCTTTCCTTCCGACGTACGTATGCCCCTGCGTCTCCCGTTCCGTCGGCGCCCACTGACAGGCGGCCCAGCTCCGCGGCGAAGCCCTCTCCAACTCGGACCTGATCCGCGAGACGCACAACTCGTTCGCGCGCTCCTCCCCCTTCGTCGACGAGACGCAGCGCGCCGCCACGGGCGACGACGACGTCTACCACTTCGTGGCCTACACGCCCATCAACGGGCAGCTGTACGAGCTGGACGGGCTGCAGCCGGCGCCCATCTCGCACGGCGCCTGCACCGCCGACGACTTCCCGGACAAGGTCATACCCGTGCTGCAGCGCCGCATCGCGCGCTACCCGCAGACGGAGATCCGCTTCAACCTGCTGGCCATGGTGCGCGACCTGCGCATCCGCGCCCGCGACATCGGCGACGTCGAGTGGCTCCAGCGGGAGGAGCAGAAGCGCACGGCGTGGATGTGGGAGAATGCGCTGCGCAGGCACAATTTCGTCGGTTTCGTCGGCGAGCTGGCCAAGGGTGTCGTCAAGGCGAAGGTCAAGGAGGGCACGTACGATCAGTGGGTGGACGAGGCCAAGGCCAAGACGAGGCAACGCGCCATGGATCGCGCGGAGAAGGGGGCCCCGTCGGAGGCCATGGACGCTTAGAGCAAGACGCGTCGGGGCTGGGCTTGTTGTACTATCTTGGCATTAGCGGGCGTCTGGAAGGGGCGTCTCGGTTATACAATGATGTCAAAGGGCATGACCAGTGTAAAGGGTCAGGAAGTAAGAGTTTGAGACGGAATACGAGAAGCTTTGGCTCAATTGTGGCAGGTTTCCGTACCGTCACAAGCATCGTGTGGACGGGCGGTAACGTCAGTTGTAGTAGAGGATGGTTCACCAGTGGAGCAGCTTAGTGTGTCCGAGGATCCTGCCCTGAGCTAGACAACCGAACACATGGAACGTCACCCCGCTCAACGCCTTCCTCTACGCGGCATGAGCGGCAGGATCTGGAACAAAACACGCGTTCGGACCTTCGATTCTTCCAAGAGCCGTCTAGAAAGAAGCCGGCGGAGCGGTGGAGCTCGGATCTCCAGATGCGCGCATCATCACAGCGGGTGGATCCTCGGGCCCCCCGCATAAGCGCCCGAGCGTTCCCAGCCTCGCACACTGACGGGGAAATCCTGATCAGGGAATGACGACTTCTGGCGCCAAAGCTCAGACGCCGATGACGAGATGGCCAATACATTGGAAAGGCCATTGGAACCATTGGAACCATTGGAACCAGCAGACGGCTTGATGTGTTGTGGTTGCAGCGGGAAATGCACGCGGATTTGTCTCACCGGTCACTGCGGTGACAGCTGGTTGAGAGCGCCTTCGCAGCAGCCCAAGGCCGCGGCCAAACCGAGGGCACGCCAATTCCTGATGCGGCGGCCCAACGGGCCTGGCGGAAGCATGGCAGAAGGTGAGGATGTACGATTCAGACGGCACCGCGAGCGCAGGGCGTAATATGGGTCGTTCGTCTGATGGTAGGCGAGGCGAAAAAGATGGTGGCTGGGACGGCTCGGGCGCAGGTGCAGCAGGAACAGCAGCGCAACGACTCGTCGCACAAGATGCTGTTGCCGCTGGTGCTCGTTCCAATGGCCTCAACGGTGCGGCAGCAACGGTGGTGCATGGTTGGGCGTGGCGGCTAGGATAGAGCGGCGCCAGGCGAGGTTGCGATGCGCTTGGTCGAGGGTCTGGGGAAGGGTGGAGGGTTGCCAGGTTCGGACTGCGCTGGCGGCTAGTGATTGGCTCTGTCGTCAGAATCAGGCGGCGGGCACACCGACTGACGACCTAGTGCCGCCTCGCGCCCGCCCAACGCCAGCCATCCCGGCCGCCGCTCGAGATAAATGCCTACTTCCAGACCTCAGCTCTGCTACACCATCCAATTCCCCCTTTCGCTTCTGTCTGCCCGTTGTTTTGGTCGCTGGGGGTTTGTTGCTTGCCGTTGCTGTTCGTTTGCCCGATTCGGACCATCATCACACAACACCACTGCTGTTCCGCATTTCTGCCCCCCCACATTCCTGCCATGGCCGCAATCCACCTGAAAGACCGCTTCGAGGTCACCACTCACCCGGCCGTCATCACCCCCTTCGAAGACGTCGACGACCCACTCCTTGACGCCGACCTGCCCGTCCAGCCCGTCGAGCGCGACGACTACTACATCTTCGGTCCTCCATCGCAATCCTCCGACGGCCGCTACACCATCAATTCGCATAGCTCCGGCCGCGGCCGTCGCTTCTCCAACCGCACCCAGCTGACCGAGCCGTCCTCCATTTCCGACATGCCCTCGGACTGCTTCCCCCTCGCCCAACACCACCAGAAGCGGCCCACCATGGCCATGGCGAGCAGCCCCGCCATCTCCCCCACCAAAACCTCCCACCGCGACATCACCGCCTACCGCAGCAGCCTCCCCGACGCCGCCTCCTCCCCCGACGTCAAGCCCAAGCCGCTCCGCCACCACCGCAGCAGCCACCAACACCACCACCACCTCCTCATCCCCCACGGCCGAAGAAGCAGAAGACGAAGAAGAAGACGAAGACGAAGAAGAAGAAGTCCTCTGCCCCGAATGCCACGCCCACCTCCCCGCTGCCAGTACCGCCACCACCTCGACCAACTACTCCTCCTCCTCCACCCGCTGGACCATCAAAACCTACGCCGCCAACGGCCTGCTCGCCTCCCCCGGCGCCTGGGCCGCCGCCTGGGCCGAGATGGAGCGCGTCGACGTCGCCATCACCCCGCACCTGACGGCCGCCCAGCACCGCGCGCTGCAGCGCGAGGCGAGGGCCGAGCGGGAGAGGGAGAGGGAGCAGCGCCAGCAAGCAGAGGCGGCCGCTAAAGAGGAGGAGCAGCGTGCGGCGGCGGAAGCGGCGGCGGCGGCGGAGGAGAAGGAGAAGGAAGAGAGGGAGAAGGAGAAAGAGGAGGAGCGTGTCCGCGCTGCTGCTGATGCTGCCGCCGCCGCCGCTGCTGCCTCTGAGCTAGCGGCCGCAGAGGCGGCGGCAGCAGCAGCAGCAGAAGCAGCGCAACGAGAAGCCGAAGCCGCCGCCGAAGCCGCCGCCAAAGCCAAAGCCGAAGCCGAGGCCGAACGCGAACTCGCCGTCGCAGCAGCGCGTGCAGAGGAGCAGGCCGCGGCGGCGCAGCGCGCGGAAGCGGTGCAAGCGGAGGTCGAAGGGCGGGAGCAGGCGGCGGAGGCGCAGCGGCTGCGGCTGATCGGCGACGCGGCGGTGGCGGCGGCGGCGGAGCGGAGGCTGGCCGAGGAGCGGGTGGGGAGGGAGGTGAAGGAGGCGGTGAGGCGGGAGAGGCGGCGGGTGAGGGAGGAGAGGGAGGCGAGGCTGGCGAGGGCGCGGGAGGCGGAGAGGCAGGTTTCGCTCGGTGCGTTGGTGGCGAGGGCGGCGTGGGTGGTGCTGGCGGATTGGAGGAATTGGGTGTTGGTCGTGGGGTTGGTGTGGGCGCTTTGTGTGGGAGGTGTGAGGGAGACGGCGGATGTGATGGAGGTGGGTAGCCGGCTGGGGTTCGACGGGGTGGAGCTGCTGCCGGGTGTTGGCTTCGACAATGTGACGGTGGACCTGCAGCTGGAGAAGGAGGCGTTGGTCCTGCATACGTCTACCGTCACCGCTACCGCTACCGCTACGCAGACGTCGACCGCGATCGTCACGGCCTTTGTCCTCGAGACGTTGAGCCCTCAAGCCCCCGCTGTTGACGAAGAGCTACCGGAGGAGCCTGCCGCCGCCGACCACACTCTCGGTCGTATGGCGGCTCAAGACGTCGAGGACTTCAAGGACACCGTCTTCGCGGCGACGACCGAGATCCTCGCCACCGCTTTCGCGAAGATGGAAGCCATCATCTCCGCCCTGCCTGTTGTCGACGAAGAGCCCCCCGCGGCCGAAGAAGCGTCGGAGCAGCCCGCCAGCGTCAGCCCGTCCGACCTACCCCCATCTCCCACGCCCGTCGATGAAACCGAATCTAAGGATGCCGTCTTCGCGGCGTCGACCGAGATCCTCGCCACCGCCTTCGAGAAGATGGAAGCCATCATCGCCGCCCTGACGGAGGCTTACGAGAGCGAGACGAAGGGTATCCAGGACGAAGCGCTGCTTGCTGGGCATGACGACGCTTCTTCTTCTTCTTCGTCGGTTTCCCCGGAAGCGCCGGTGGGTGACGACAACCACGAATCCTTCACCCCGCCAACGGTACTGGACGTCAAGGCTGTGCCGTCGACGGACCTTGCGAGCGCCGCCGCCGCCGCCGTTGAGACTGAGAAGGTGCCTGAGGGGACGGAGGTGTGTAGCAAACGGTTCGATCTTGCTGCCTATCCAACGTGCGCGGCTCCCGGGACGTCGTTGAACAACCAGGGCGGAGTCGACTTGGCGTATTTCGATTTTGCGCCGGTTTGCTCGGCGTACTAGAGTTTCCATGGGCCGGACGACGTGGTGTCGTTTGCGGTTGGATGCTGGGATGATTACGGACGGAAGGGTGTTGTTTTGTTGTCTCTTTTGTCGGTTCTTGCGGGTTTTTAATGAGCGTTCAGCATGGCAACGAGTATTCTGGGAGTTTTTCTTTTCCTGCATGGGTAGGGAAATGGACGGGATCGGTGCAAAAAGGGAAACTTGACTTGGGAGGTGGGAGTTTTGGATGATTGTTAGCGAGCTGGGTGGATAATCATGTGCAGCCCAACGTATATTTATTCATAGCATCGACGTTTGAAGCCACTCAGAAGAAAACCAGATGGCATGGAATAGAGAAAACACTTTCAGATACCTCTAATTGCAATGGCATCGGAAGGAACCTCCGCGCTCATTCACATTTTCGTGCCTTCATCGTTCATGTTTTGAATGGGAAGCGGTGATTGATGCTTAAGGTGCCCGGTTTCCTGCGTCAATCGCTTCTGTCGGTTGGTGATCACAGCCGGGCACGGGAAGGAGCTAGTTGACTGGATGATCTATTAAACGCTGCTACTACATGGTGTTTATATAGGTGAAAGAAGAAAGGGGTACCCAACAAGGGTGTTCGTGATAACACGTTGTTGAAGATGTCCTGGTTGGGTTGATGATGACGATCATCCTCAACGTCATTGAATGTACGTGATGTCCAACAACTTCTGTTATCGATCGTAAAGAGCGACGGATTTCCAGGCCGGTATCACCAACTGCAACCCCCCAGACGACTCTCTGACCAGCCCACGCAGAACAACAACACATACCCCCAGCCCAAGCCCCAGGCATCAATCGTACACGGAGACCAGCCCGACCATGACCCATTCAAGCAAAAAAAAAAAAAACCACTCAGAGCACCGCCCGACTCTTCGCAAACGGCTTGAAGCCGCGCCACCCGCCCTCTATGACATCCCTCACCGTGTCACAATGCTTGCTATACCCCCCAAAATAAAACCTACACGCAATCGGCTTCCCGGGGACATTATGCCCAAAAATCCACGACTTCGTATCCCGGAACAAGCTCCCCCGCGACAACCTCTCACAAAGCTCGACCCACCCCCTCTCCGCCTCCTCCGTCGCCTCCACCACCACCCCGCCATCCCCACTACCCCCCTCTCCACCCCTCCGCGCCTCCTCCTCCCTCCTCCTCACCTCCTCCTCCGCCCTCCCGATCGCCTCCCTGATAAACTCGACCCCGCTCTCCACCGCTGGCGGGAAGTTGCAAAACGGCCCCTGCGGCCCGCCGATGGTGAAGAGGTTGGGGAACCCCGCGACGCAGAACCCCAGGTAGCTGACGGGCCCGTCGGCCCAGTGTTCGCGCAGGGAGTGGCCGTCGCGGCCCCGGATCCGGATGCGCGCGAAGCTGCCGTCGATGACGTCGAAGCCGGTGGCGAGGATGAGGAGGTCGAGGGCGTGGGTTTTTCCTGTGAGGAAGGGGGTTAGTGTGTGTGGGGATGAAGTAAAAGGCTCCGTGTGGGGGGGGGGGGGAAAGGGGGTTAGTGTGGGGAGGAAGTGATCAGTGGGTGATCTCGCTCGCTCGCTCCGCTCACTCACCATCGCTCGTCCTGATGCCGTCCGGGGTCACGGCCTCGATGGGCGTCTCCTGCAGGTTTACGACATCCACGTTCGGCCGGTTGAACTGCTCGTAGTAGCCGTTGTCGCACAGCGGGCGGCGGGCGTACATCTCGCGCGGCATCAGCCTCCTTGCTTTCCCCGGGTCGCGCACCTTCGCCGCGATCTTCCCCCGAATAAAGTCGCACGCCGCCTCGTTGGCCTCGCGGTCCGTCGTGAGGTCCGCGAAGCCGCCGAACATGAAGCGAAACCCGTTGCCGCGGGCCCACAGCTCCTCGAACACGGCGGTGCGGTCGGATGGGGACAGCGCGGCGTCGTGGAAGGAGCGCGTCGACTCGGGCACGCCAAAGGCCGTCATCGAGGAGCGCATATCCGCGTAGATGTCGTCGTAGTGCGCGTTGACCCACGCGCGGTACGCCGGCTCGACGCGCTTGTTGCCGCTCGGGACCGAGTACTGCGGGTGCCGCTGGAAGCTGGTCAGCGTCGCCACGGGCTGCGGCCCCAGCGCCGTGACGATCTGGACGCCGGTCGAGCCGCTGCCGATGACGCCGACGCGCTTGCCGGCGACGTCGATGTCGGGGGTCCAGGATTGCGAGTGCACGATCTGGCCGGCGAAGGAGTCGAGGCCGGGGATGTCGGGCCGGTTTTGCTTGGTGAGCAGCCCCAGCGCCGTGACGAGGTAGCGCGTCGTGATCTCGCGGATGCTGCTGGTGTTGTTGTTGTTTTCGTCGGCGGCGGTCTTGAGGCCGACGCGCCAGGTGTTGGCCGTCTCGTCGTAGTCGGCCGAGACCATTTCCGTGTTGAACTCCATGTACTTGCGCAGGTCGTGCTTGTCGACGACGTGGTTGAGGTACTTGAGGATCTCGGGCTGGAACAGGTAGTGCTCGTTCCACGGGTACGTCTGCAGGTCTTCCTTGTCCCAGGAGTAGCGGTACAGGTAGCTTTCCGTGTCGCTCATGGCGCCTGGATAGCGGTTCCACCACCACGTGCCCCCGACGTCTGGCGCGGCTTCGACCACCTTGAGCGACAGGCCCGCGTCGCGGAGGGAGTGGACCTGGTAGATGCCGCCGAAGCCCGCCCCGACGATGAGGACGTCCACGTATTCCGCAGACATGATGGCGAAGGCGAAGTTCGTTGGGGGAAAAAGGCCAGAGGAGCTCGACTCGATAAATAAAGTCTGGCCTGGCAAGGAAGGCGAGCTCTACCCGAGGTATATATGGTCGGCTGGTGCGCTTAGGGCTCTTGGGCCGCAGGGGACTGATGGACGAGGGGACACCCATGCTGCGCGCCCGTTGGCCAGCCAGTGGATAAAGAACGGATTGGGAAGCATCTTGATCCGTCTCTCCGCAGCGGGGTAATGGAGAGCTTTCGGGGTCAGAGGTGGGGCAGTCTGGGGGCCGACACTTCGATAGGAAACAGTCCCGTCCGCCTGTAACGCTCCTTTAACTAGGTGGCAACATCGAAACCATCTGAGCTAGATGGTATGAGTAGCCTTGTTAATCAGGAACCCGATCTCCGCTCAACAATACAATCCTCCTGCGGCCGAGTTTCTTCTCTTAAAGTTTGCGTCTCGTGTTGATGCGCATTGTCTTGACTGGGGCGTGGACGGTGGTGATGGGGAGTTCTGTTCTGTGTGGACGGTCGATGTGGTGGATGAATGCTGCCGTCTGGCTTACTCTGGGTCCATTGTGGTCATCCTTTTGCCTGAGCTGGAGGGGGCAAACTCATGTACTTGATTGAGTCCGTTGGGCGCTGTGAGTTTGGCAAGGATGTCGGAGTCGGACAGCATGGTTTTCTTCTTCTTTTTGGTGAAAACCATGTGCTGCCCAAGGTGGAGGGAAGGGCGGGGGTTCTGGAATATCACTGAAGGCGGAGGGGGGCACGGACTTGCCGGGTTGGGACAGGCTGCACAGCTGGTGGTCCGCGACTCGCGTGCCCCGCACGGCCTTATCTCTGCGGAGCTTGTTGCTGCGACGCCAAACATTTTCACGTGCATGTTGCCAGACGGCTGCATGGAAAAGACGCTGGCTCGACCCGACGCGCCCCTTCTCAAAAGCGACGGAGCGTGTTCAGAGCTGGGGTTGAAGCCGTGTTTCGCGTGGTGCGAGCATGTGGGGGTACGAAGGGCCCCGCAGCCGCTGTGCGCTGTACTGTGTACTGGCAACGGTCAGGGTAGGTAGTCGGTGAGGGCGAGCTGTGTGGTTAGCAGCACTGTCGCGTCCAGGTGTGCCAAGATCAGAAGACTGCGATGGGATTGGTAACGAAGCAGGGAAGATCAGCGAATCGAAGCCGCTACAGAACGAGATCCACCACACATTACAAACTTTCCCCAAGCCAACACAGCCCCATCACCCCCCTCTCGCCACGGTTCGTTTCGTCGTCGACTCGTACAGTTGGATGATGATGATGAAAGGTTTGGATAGTGATGCAAAAAAGCCCGCAAGACGCCCGCTTTTTCCCCTTTTTTGAGTGCTCCTGGAGAGGCGATATCAAGCCGTGGCGCCCCTCGCCGGGCTAGCGGTCCTGGACACGCCGGTGCTGGAGAAGCCCCACGGGTCGGCCCTCTCGACCTTTTTGTCGCGCAGCCAGTCGTGGTACCAGTGGGCCTTGTGCTGGTCCGGGTTGCGGTCGTACGGGATGCCGTGCCAGGAGCGCTGGCTGCCGGTGCTGCGCGCCATCAGCAGCTCCGACGACGAGCTGAGGTCGTCCAGCGACGACGCCGACGCCGCGAGGTCGGCGGCCGACGAGGAGAGGTCGGCCGAGTTGGCGAGGTCTATTGCACGCTCAGCCTCATCTTCCTCCCACTCAATGACGACGTAGTCGTCGTCTTCGGTGTACGTATCTGAAGCTGCGTCTTCATGGTGCGTGTGCGTGTGCGTGTGCTGCTGCTGCTGCTGCTTCTCGGGCGGCGGAGTCGGGGGCGAGTGGGTGAGGTGCGGCGGTTTTGTCGACGTGTCTTTGGTGTTCTGCATGGCGGGACGGGGCGAGGACGGGTCGAGGAAGGAGCGACGAATGGGCGGTCACCTCTTTGTCGGGGACCCTGAGGCGGAGAGTAGTGACTTGCAGCAGCTGCAGGGCTAGGGGGGATTATTGCAGAGCAGAAGGCAGGCTCGCGAATCGCCTCCCGGCTCCGGGGACAGCTCCCAGGTTTTATAGCTTGGGACGCGCTTGGGGCACTCGAGGGTGGTGATAAGCCCCATTGCACGGCGCCCCGCACGCCCTGCATGCTGGTGGTCTCGCCATCCGCTCGTGCCGATGCGGAGAAGCAGCAGCAGCACAGCATGGTTTGTTGGGCCCTCAAGCCTCCTGCGATCCAATATCTCAACAAACTGCAGCTGCGACGAAACCGGCCGCCGCCCTTATCAGACGGCATGCGCGTCATCCCGCAGCAGCTGCAGCACCAGCCGGTGGCAGAGCGGGCAGTAATAATGCCCGCGAGACACCCACCCGTCCAGGCAGCCCGTGTGGAATACGTGCGGGCAGGGCAGATCCCGCACCCACTCCCTTTTCTCCACCGTGTCCAGGCAGATGGCGCTGCGAGACTGTGAGCCGCCGCCGCTCGTCCAGGGGAGCCGAACCGACCCACCATATCGCGTTCTCGAACACATGCGACGAGGCTCTGCGCCGCTGCGCTTCCACCCAGGCTGCGTAGGGCATCGACGGCGCGTTGTCGTCCAGCAGCACCATGACGTCTGAGGGAGACCGGAGCTCCTCCGACGCCGACTGCACCACGGGCACACTGGACGGGTGAGCAGGAATCGCAGCACAAGGCGAGACACGTACAAGAGCACCGAAACGAAGAAGAGGAAGACCAGGGCGGCGGGCACCACGGCGAGCAGTATTCGCGGGAGAGGAGACTCGGACGTCTCCATTTCGCTGTCGACGACCAGCTGGCAGAGGAGAGGGTACGGGAGATGAAGTCTTCCGGCTCGCTCAAGCCGCTTGTAAACGCAGACGCGCTTTGGAACTGGTCACGCGAACCGGAGATCACGCTACCATGGTGTCACATTTTTTTTTTTCGAGATGCGCATGCGACAGGTTGACCAGGGCGCCGCAGGTTGAAAGCCGAGCGAGACGCTGCGGGCTGTGGAAAGGACGATGTTCGGATTGAATACTACTGACAGGGTCCATGCACCGAGCGAGCGTCGAATTATTACTTGGGTGCAGCGCAGTCGTATTATTTTCCGGATTGAAACGTTTGAGATGGCTGCGACCGCTCGGCAAGTCGACCTGAGCCGACGCTTCCCGGGCCCGAGTGACAATCCTTCCGTCAACGGCGCTCTGCTTCATCTCAAATTCTCCGCGAGTGTACGACGGCCTGATGTTGGCCGCCGTGCATCAGCCCATGGAACACTGATTGGACAACCCCGCACCCTCATCTACTTCAATCGACGAATCCGGTCAAGCTTGCGCAAGAATCACTTCATCTCCGCCCCATGACTGCAGCCGGCCGCAGCTGCTGAGCGGAAACCCCTCACTGCAACACTCAATCCCCCGGATACTCGCCGCTAACCATGCCCAAACAAGAACAACCTTTGACGGTGCACAAACGCTGGAAGACATCATAGCTGTTGGGACCTTACTCCCGGCCAAGCACTCCCTCGTCAACAATCCTCGCTCAGACTCTCTGCTAACATGCCAGACCAAATTCTCGTGCACATTCTACCCATACTGTCGCTTCAAATTTGAGCCACGATGCGCGCACTCTGCACCCAGCCTTCCACAGCTGGCGGATGAGATGCGACTGCTACTCGGTCGATGCCGTGACCCGTCTGCAGGTACCAGAAACAACCCACATCTGGCTGCTCCTGCCTCTCCTGCCCACCTCCTACCGGCATAGTGCCTCCTAGAAAGTCCAAGCCACTCCCCACCATGACCAACTCAGGCACAATATCGTTGCTCTGCTGTAGAATGTCTCGGCTCAGGGTAGCAGAGATGTTGATACGAGCTGCTGTGTAAACCCTTACACTGACCTCTCCTCTGTCTCTACACGAAAGAATGCCATCGCGTCGTACACCAAGACAGAGCTCCTACACCGAAGAGAGTATAAAGAGATGGGAAATCCACCACCACCACCACCATCAACCCACCTGCTCTCACTTCAGACAATAACTCCAAAACAACTCCCCACACTTCCCATCCACCATGCACCTCACCACCCTCACCGCCGCCCTCATCCTCTCCGCCACCACCGCCACCCACGCGGCGACCATCTCCTACCCCCCAGACCCATCCACCACGCCCACCCCGTCACCGTCCGACTACCAAACCGTCTTCGCCCTCCTCGCCGACGCCCCCTCGACCCCCTCCATCCACCTCGCCGCCCTCGCCGCCACCAACGGCTCCCTCCACATCCACCCCTCCCCGCCCCAAAACGCCACCTGCGCCTGGCCTGACGCGGACAACAACTCCCCCGCCTTCGCCACCTTCCTCCACGACGCCGCCACCTCCACCCTGCACCTCTACAACGGCTCCGGCTCCGCTTCTTCTTCTTCTTCCTCCCAGCAGCTGCTCTACACCGACCGCTCCCCCGTCGTGGGCCAGGGCCTGCTGCGGTACACACTGCCTACCGCCGACGACGACGACGGCTACGGCCCTGACGCCGAGGCCTTGCCCTCAGCCGCTGAATCCGCGCCGTGGCAGCTGCAACTGCGGAACAACAGCGACGACAGCGACCACGACGACGACCACGACGTCGACGGCAGCAAGGCGAGCGGCGGCGCGCTGGGCGAGTACTTGGCGTTTGATGGCGACGCGGGGTTTTTGGCGTGTCCAGAGGGGGACGGGGACGGGGATGGGGAGGGGCAGTATGCGGGTTGGGAGGGCGCGTGGAAGGTTTGGCTCGATGTCGGGGTGGAGGGAGGGCGCGGCCCGTGGGGGAGCGAGGGGTGCGTCGCGTTTAGGGCGCGGGCGGTGCGGACGGAGAGGGTGGGCGGGAGGGGGCCGGTGGGGTGTGTCTATCCGTGAGGGGGGGTAGGTGGTGGTGGTGATGGGTTTAGGTGGGGGGAGGGGATCGGCGGGGGGAGGGAAGAAAGGAAGGGAATGCGGGACGCTCTTTTGGTTGTTTTTCTCTCCCCTGTTTTTCGTTTAGGAGAGGAGAGACTTGGTCGTGTTTGATGTTCTTTTTTCCTTTTTTTTCTCTATATTTGTATTCTGGCTCCGTATTAATTCCTCAGGCCGTGGGTTTGATGGTTGTTGCGCCAGAGCTGTGACTCCAACGTGATTGGCACCCACACGGCCACCACTCTTGTGACCAACTGTCGAAGATTGGAACTGGTGCTCGATGCGTGAAAACGCTATGCCTACCCTATCCCTTTTCCAACGCATTGGCTTTGTTGGATGCGAAGAAATAACTAAACGCCTTATTTCAACCAAAAAGCGGATTCTTGACAAAAACACGATCAGTCTTTCACTGCTTGCCTAATGATGGAGCCAGTTGACCCACCCCTTTTTTTTTCCCTTCGAACATTCGATCTTTTGATGAGAGATCGGTCTGAAGTCGAGTGGTCGACCCAGATTGGAATTCCTTGGTGGCACGGGGATTTGCAACCGTCGCACATGTGTTCTAGGGCTAAAGCTCTTGGCTCCATGATGGATTTGGGGGCGTACTTCCTAACAAAGCAACGTGGTTTCGGGGAATCCGAGATGGATCCAGCTTGGCGTCAGCTGCGTGGCTGAGCATCGGAGACAGCGTGGGGCTGAGCTGTAGATACCAAGACCACCCCACAAAACACCCCATGAATGTTGAGCCACAATAACCACCACACACCCGAGCCTCAAGCCCGGAAGTTGGACCGCTCTCGTGCCAGTCTTGAATCTCTCCGCGCCCTGCGTCGGCACCATGCAGAAACGAAGGTCACACACCAAATCCCGCCGAGGATGTCTGGGCTGCAAGCAACGGCACATCAGAGTATGCTCTCGATCGTCTTCTCACCACCACTGGAACTGACGGACAACCGCCAACAGTGCGACCAACAAGGCCCTCCCTGCGCCAACTGCATAGCTCGATCGACCAGCTGCACCTACCCAGCCGCCGCCGCCAAACGGACCTCTCCTTCCTCCTCATCCTCCAACGAACCCATCCCGCACGCCAGCCCCATGATCCCGCGCAACTCGGCCCTCTCCCCGCGCCTCCCCACCGCCGCCTCCTCCACCTCCAACGCCGCGCGCCTCCTCGAGCTCGAACTCCTCCACCGCTGGTCCACCCGCACCTACGCCAGCTTCTGCTCCATCCCCCGCGACCACGCCATGATGCAAACCGAGCTCCCCCAGCAAGGCCTCCATCAGCACTCCTGGCTCCTCGACAGCATCTTCGCCCTCGCCGCCCTCGACCTAGCCTCAACCAGCACCAGCAGCAACCCGACATCCACCAGCACCACCTCCCAACAACACCAACACCAACAACGCCAGCACCACTACGCCCGCACCGCCCTCACCTACCACACGCGCTCCCTCCGCGCTTTCCGCGCCGCCGTCACCACCATCACCCGCGACAACTGCCAGCCGCTCTACCTCGTCGGCGTCACCGTCGCCGTCACCCACCTCGCCGCCCTGCACGTCGACGTCGCCGGCGCCGCACTGCCCTGCATTAATACCAGCGCCGCCCAACAACGACAACACCATTACTCCCCCGTCCTCCCACCCGTCCTCCCCGCCATCCTCGCCTTCTTCGACCTCATGCGCGGCGCCACCGCCGCCATCCTCGCCGCCCGGAGTGGGGATAGCGACAGCGGTGACGGTGGTGGCAGTGGTACTGGCAGCGTCGGCTTCAACTGGCTGCTCCAGAGCATGGAGTCGCTCCGGATCGTCATGGGCATGGCGCCGGCGACGGCCGAGGCGCACCTGGACGGGGGGACGCGCGCGGCGCTGGCGCGGCTGGGGCGCGTGTGCGATTCGTGGCTGTGTGGGTGGGATGGGGGTGGGGTTAATGGTTTCGGTGGTCCCGGTCTCACTACCACTGCGGAGGGGGATCGGGCGGATGCGGCTGTAGTCCAGACGGAATCGCAGACGTCGACGCACCGCACGCTATACGCCCGCGCCATCCTGCCGTTCCTGGAGCGCGCCTTCGCCGAGGACGCGCGCGCCGCCATCGACGTCTTTTGGCTCGGCTTCCCCATCGTCGCCGGCCGCGCCTTCAGGGACGCCGTCGAGCGCGGGCGGCCCGTCGCGCTGCTGGTGCTGATGCATTGGGCCGTGTTGGTCGAGCGGCACGGCGCCAGGGCGTGGTGGGCGAGCGGCGTGGGGAGGCGGCTCGTCGTCGAGGCGGAAGAGGCGTTGTCGGTGTCGATGGGCGGCTGCTGGCCGCCGGAGGAGTATCGTGAGGGGTTGGGTGGTGGTGGAGGAGGAGGAGGAGGAGGAGAGTCGATGCTGGAGTTTTGGGAGTCGGTGGCTTGGGCGAGGAGGGAGGTGGGCTTGTTGGATGATGATGGTGGTGGTGGTGGTGGTGGTGATGCGTTTGGGTTTGAGGTTTTGGAGCTCGGTGGGAATGTGTAAAGTGAGCGGGTTTGTATGGATGATTTCGTACAAGGGTATATGTAAGTATAGATTACATGAAAGCACGACCGCAAACGATTGCTGCGAAGAACATTGACGTCTTACCAAAAAGGAAAACGAAGACAAAAAAGACGAGTAAGTAAATAGGCCATCAACTCCGAGCTTTAGAGGATACAAAACCTTGCTTGATCATGCATCAGACAAGGTCAGTAGGGATGACGTCCTTCCAGGTCACATTCGAGAACAGAGGCTGATCTACCTCGCATACGGTACCAGGCTCAGGCAGTGTGCCGTTCAAAAAGTAAGCCTGAACCGCCTTGACTGTACAGATGGACGCTTGGGCTATCGAGGCGTGCTGCAGAGTAGCCATCAGTCAGCTTAGATAAAAAGCCGCAGGATTCAGATACCTACACCGAAGCCGTGGTGCTCGAGAGCCACAGCGCCCGGGAAGCTCTTGCTGGCGTTGAGCGCAGACGCGAACGGCGTCACCGGATCGTACGTGTTGCCGATGGTGAGAATGGGCGTCCGTGTCTGGACGTTGAAGTCGCCCAGGTATCGCTCTTTGGCATCCATCTGCCATCTGGCGCACTGCATGACGGTGGAGCTGAAGACGTCGCCTCCGAGCCGGCTCAGCCGCATCTGCTCGTCGATTGCGGGGAGCGTCTCCTCCATGCGCGAAGACCGCGTTGCCTTGTCGCCGCACAGGATGCCGATTCTCGCCTCGGTTGACGTGAGCCCGAGCACCATGGTCTGCCAGCCCGGGTCCGTCACGTTTCCGGTCATCATGCCGTCGATGAGCTCGGCCAGGTCAGAGTAGACTCGCGGGTTGTAGAGCGCTCCGACTACCGACCCTCTCAAAGCGCTGTAGTCGATCGAGTAATCCGGTAGCGAGATGGGGTGATACTTGACATCTTCCAACCACGCGTAGAAGCCGTCCTCGAGGCTTGAAGCGGTGGCGTTGGGACGATTCAATGCGCATTTGTCGCCTGCTTCGACACAAGCCTCCAGAAAGGCCGAAAAGGTCCTGTCGGTGCCCTCCCACATTTCGGTGTCGCTATTGGAGAGGACGTGGGTCAGCTCATTTCATTGTTACGGGACTGTAGACATACTGATAGTGCCAGTACTGGTGGATGTTAAGCACGCCGTCTATGATGACTCTGTCGACTCTTTCGGGGAACATGGCGGCGACAGTTGCCCCAAGCGGCGAGCCGTACGAGAAACCTATCGAGCGTCAGCAGGAGTCGGAACCTCTGGAAAGCGTGGAGCCTTTGCTCACCCCAGAACCTCAGCAGCCCATCCTCGCCAAGAGCATCGACAACCGAGATGAGATCTCTGGCAGTGTAAGCCGTCCCGATGACGCCTCCAATGCCGGTGGCGTTGGTGTTGTTTTGGCAGGTATCGGCGTAGCTTTTGGAAATCGCCCACAGATCTCCGAGTGCTGTGTCCGAGGCGTTGCCGGCGATGAGGCGGTTGGTCAATTGCCAAAGGAGCTTCTCCGTGTCGTCGCCGAAGCATGAGAACGGGATGGTATCCACGGTTCCTCTGTTTGAACGCTCATCGTCAGCACTCACGAAAGATCGGTTGCGCTTGCACCGTCTTACCTCGGATCAAATGCTATGAGATCATGATAGCCGCCAGTGTATCTGAGAATCCCTGTCAGAAATCGCTCGAGGTCAATCGCCAGCACCGCCGACATACGCATTCATCTGTGCAGCGACAGAGCTCAGTTCCGCGCGACCACCTGATCCAGGGCCGCCAAAATTGAACAAGATGCTTCCTCTTGAGGGCGACTTTGTGGCAACCGCCTTGGCAAGTTTAAGCTCGAGCATTTCAGTAGAGTTGGACGCGAGATAGTCCAACGGAACGGACAGGGATCCGCAGAGCATGGGCAAGGTTTCGATCTCGAAGCCACATGGGCTCCACTGGATACCCTGAGTTTGATTCGTAGAAGGATACGGAGTCCGAGGCTCCGCGAGGATGGCGGTGGCCTGGAATAATAGGAATGGAAGGTAGCCAGAAGTCTTGGGAAACATGATGGATGATGGGAAAGCGTGTTGATGTGATGAGTGTGAAAGACATGCAGATAAAAGTCGGTCTTGAGTATTGACTGTGCGAGGCTCAGACAACGCCATCGACGTAGCTGCTTGATATCGAGAGTAGAGACTGTGTAGAACAAGTTTCTTTTCGACCAGGCGAAAGGCCAAGAACAAATAAAAATCATTGCCTTCAGTTGTGAGGTTAGAGATGACTGTGTCTTGAGCACTGAATGGTCATTTAGCAGTGCAGAAGACGTGTAGAAGACGCCAATGTGCATGTTCGCTCGTGCAGCTGCGAAATACGCGTACCGGCCAACTTGACTGTCATACACAAGGCTGAGTTTCCTGCAGATACGCGTACATGAGTAAGCGACCAATCGGGGGCGAGCTGATCGGCACTGCCATGAATCGCTGTCGCATCAGCACGAGCTGCATGCGGAATGAAAAGGGAATGGAAAGGGAATGGATTGACAGAGGTCCTCGGCGAAGCTTATGGACACTTCAAATTACGTACTTTGAAAGAGTATTTCCAAAGAGAGACATAGCCTCCACGCACGGGTCTTGGGTTGCATGGAGCTGAACGAATCAGCATGGAGCTGAACGAATCAGCATTGAGCACCATGAATCATCCGCATTCATAGGTATTCCTTCATTACCTCTTTGGAGCATCATCTCTTTTGTCCGGGATACAGCTCCATAGTGTGTGGCCGTGTTGGATGTAAATCTCGCCTTTTGGGGCAGTAGAAGAAGTTTGCAGGCAACCACCTGTTAAGAGCAAGGAGGGAGTAAGCAAAGGATTGTCGCGTGGAGATGACTACATCTAATTCTGGCAGTACCAGGCACGTCTGTGGTGCACACGGCCTTGTAGCTGTTCCAAAACAGGAAGTTCTTGGTGCGTTGAAAAGTGGGTATGCCCAGATGCGGACAGCACGACTTCCATTTTCAGCTGACCGCTCCATGGGGCTGGAAACACCAACACACGACCACAATGTCTGCGGGCTCGATTCCTCCGGTTGTCAGCTCGCGCTTCAAGCAACAGGAGCTGAAAAGCGAAACACCAAGTATATAAAGAGGACGGTCGACGGACCTTGGAACCCCAAACCCAAGCACAACGAAACGCCTACAACCAACCCACATCACAAACACGCCATCGTTCAAAATGCGCTTCTCTGTCATCGCTGCCGCTGCCATTTCCTGCGCTGCCCCGGTCTGGGCCAACGCCGAAACCACAATCAAGGCAGTCGGTCCGTCACATCTGTACCCTCACCACTCGGGCCAACTCGGATTACTGACAAGTCGGCCAGGTGATGTCGACAAGACGGCTCTCAAGGACTGCCTGGACTCGTACCGCAACGACAATTGGGACGGCATGGTGAGATCCCGCACGCTCATACCTACTTTCCGCAGCACAACCAACTGAATTGCCATGGCAACGCAGAACTGCGGAGCCCGAGGCTGGTTCAAGGGCCACCGCCCCGCTTACCAGAGCTCCAAGTGAGTCATCTTCTTTTTGTCAGAGTGGATGGTGGCTGATGAAGGATCCTGACAGCAACTGCTACGACGCCTGCGCTCCGGGCATCAGGTCTGCCATTGATCAGGGCGGGTCCAATGTCGAGTGTAGGGACTACGAGGGCGTGACCCAGTGCTGGATGGGTTACAACTAGGGGAAGTTCCGAGGAACAGGACAGCACGAGGGTGAGGGAAGGGATGTGAGAGATGTAGATGTCAGGTGTTTGTAGAGAGGCGGGATGAAGCAATAGAAGTCACGTTGTGGCCCCTGAAGTGCATTCGATGATAAGTGCAAGCAATGCGTGATGGGCTTAGTCATATCAAGGCACGCACTAAGAGCCAAGACCCACTGACGTGCGTGGCCAAGGCTTGTTTCATCCCAAACGTCGTGCAATCACCAGACGCCAAGCATCTTGTCACACCTTCCCCATGCCGTCCGCCAAAGAAGTGGATCCTCCGCCCCTCCTTGCGGGGGAGGAAACCCCGGTCGAGAGCGCTGCCACGCTCCAAGGAACCGAAGGTCTCGACGAACTCTCTGCGCCCAGCCCCGTCGCCATCCACGAGGAAGGCCCATCGCTCGAGCAACGCCAGTCCATTCCTCATCCCGACAGGCCGGCCCAGGATGAGAGACGACATGACCTGGAGGGAGCACGCGAAGAAGAAGCTCGTCCCCCAGCCGCCGCGAAGCTGATCAACGCGTCCAAAATCTACATCGCCTCGTACCTCGTCTTCTTCTCCATCCTCGGCACGCTGGCACGCCTCGGGCTGCAGGCCATCACCATCTACCCGGGCGCGCCCATCGCCCTCGGCGAGATCTGGGCCAACGTCGGCGGCACGCTCATCATGGGCTTCCTGGCCGAAGACCGCTCCCTCTTCCAGCGCGACCTGGCCCCGGCCACGCAGCGCAGCCAAAAACACAACGGCGGCAAAGAGCAGCTGAAGAAAGAGCACACGGCCATCAAGAAGACCATCCCCGCGTACATCGGCCTCAGCGTCGGCTTCTGCGGCTCCTTCACCACCTTCTCCTCCTTCATGCGCGACGCCTTCCTCGCCCTCTCGGCCGACCTCAACACCGCCGCCACCTCGTCCGCCGGCCAAACCTCGCCGCCCACGCCCCGCCCCCGCAACCCCGGCTACAGCATCGAAGCCCTCCTCGCCGTCCTCATCCTCGAACTCGCCGCCAGCCTCGGCGCCCTCAGCCTCGGCGCCCACCTCGCCCTCCTCCTCGAGACCGCCCTCCCTGCACCGCGCCACGCCCGAGCGGAGAGGAACTCCACCACCACCACCACCAACACGCCGCCGAAATCGAAATCGAAATCGAAACCAACGCCAACCCGCTCCCTCCTCGACCCCCTCGTCGCGGCCCTCGCCTGGCCCGCCTGGCTCGGCGCCGTCATCATGGCCGTGCGGCCCCCGCGCGACGCGTGGCGCGGCCAGGCCGTCTTCGCCCTCGTCTTCGCGCCCGCGGGGTGCCTCGCGCGGTACCACCTCTCGCTGTGGCTCAACGCGCGCGCGCCGCGCTTCCCGCTCGGCACGTTCGCGGCCAACGTCGCGGGCACGCTCGTGCTGGGCGTGTGTTTTGATCTGCAGCGGGGTGGTGGCAGTACCAGTGTCGTTGGCTGCCAGGTGTTGCAGGGGGTTATGGATGGGTTTTGTGGGTGCTTGACGACGGTGAGCACGTGGGTGTTGGAGCTGAAGACGCTGCGGAGGAGGCATGCGTATGTGTATGGGGCGGTTAGTTTGGCGGCGGGCGTCGGCGGGTTGGTCGTCGTCATGGGGAGCGTGAGGTGGACGGTGGGGTTTGGGGCGGTTGGGTGCAAGACTTGATTGAGAGCGTGCTTCTGTGGTGGTGGTGGTTTGCGGATTTCGTGCCCGTCTGCCGGCCACGAGTTTGTCGAGGGCGGGTGGTGATCGCCGAGTGCGCACTGCCGGTGTTCGCCGGGTAGTCATGGGGGAGTTTTGGGGATTGTTCGGTCCGATTCGACACGTTGTAGTCCTGTTGAGACTGTCGTTTTGCAAGCATAATTTCTAATATAGAGGCTGGTAGAGGCCGAGACTGGACAGTGGTAACGGGAGTCTGACGGTGCACATGGGGAGGGATGGCGGCGGAAAGTAGTGGCCGCGGCGTGCACCACCACTTTTGGCAAAAAGTCTGGCTGAAACCGAGCCTCGGCAGACTCCGCATCGGGTGTCTCGGATGGGCCGAGTTTGAGCAGGTCGCCACGGCCCTTGACATTATTGTTCGAACAAGCCATGAGTGCTTCAATGGACGAGCAGTCGTCCGTCTGGCCGTCGTCTTCGGCCGCCTCGACGCCCAGGACGCGCCGGCGCGCCATCACCTCGTGCGACACCTGCCGCCGCCGCAAGGTCAAGTGCGACCGCCACCATCCCGTCTGCTCGCCATGCCGCACCGCCCGCCGCCCCTGTCTCTACAGCGAGAGCTCCGTCCGGCAGCACGGCATCGCCGCTCCCCGCCACCGCAACACCGCTGCCGTGCGCAGACGCCTGCCCCGCCCCGACTCCAGTCTCGACGCCATCGACACCCGCCTCGAGCGCCTGGAAAGCCTGCTCGAGCGCGTCATCCACGCCTCGGCCCGGCCCCCTGCGCCCCGCCCTCGAGACCAGAGCCAAGCCAGCGCCAGCGCCAGCCACGTGAGCTCGCGCGCCAGTCCCGACCTCCCTTCGCCGGCTGCCTCGTCTGCCGAGCCCATCAGGGCCGAGGACGACGGCGACGGCACCCTGCTGGTCGCCAAGGGCGGCTCGCAGTTTGTTTCTTCTCACCACTGGTCCTTGCTGGCGACGGAGGTGAGGCCGCATCACCGAATTAATGCCATGACGCTGACGTGTCGCCCAGCTCCAAGACATCCGCGAGATCCTGAGCACCGACAAGGAGCCTTCGACCCCAGACGTCTTCGCCGTGCCCACCGGCCATGTCACGCAGCTCCTACCCGCCGATTCTTCCGACTGCTACGAGCTTCTCCGCGTCTTCTACCTCTATGTCGACCCAATCACGCGCTTGGTGCACAGGCCGTCTCTCGACACACGTTTCGCCCTGTTCGTCCAGCAATACGTGACCCCGCGATGGTTGACCATGAACCGCTCCGACGACCGGTGAGCCCGCCGTTTCCTAGAATCAATCCCTGTTGCCCGTTCACTGACCCTTGTTCAAGCCTCGAAGAGAAACTCAACCATGACGGACTGCTCCAGTTCCGTCCCCTCGCCTTTGCCATCTTCTACGCCGCCACCTACAGCCAGGCCGCCGCCTCTGGCTACGCCGAAGACAAGCGGCGCCTGATGGCCACGTACCGCAAAGGCCTCGAGCTCTCGCTGCTGGCCGCGGATTTCTGCTCCTCGTCCAGCCTCGAGGTCCTCCAAGCCTACGTCCTCCTTTTGGTCAGTCATAAACCCCTCCCGTCCCTCCGCACTCCTCGGCTTAACGCGCCTCGAAAAAGAGCTGCCAACTCCGCGACGTGACCATCGGCCGCACGTGGCCGCTGCTCGGCGTCGCCACCCGCATGGCCATCGGCCAGGGCCTGCACCGGGAACCCACCCTGTTCCGCCCCGTGCCCGACGAAGTCAACGTCGAGCTCCGCCGCCGCATCTGGCACCAGCTGTGCTACCTCGAGTGGCGCGCCGCCGAACTCAAGGGCGTCGTGCCCGCCGTCACCGACGACGCGCTGACGACGCGCGTGCCCAAGAACGTCAACGACTCGGAGCTGTCGGACCAGTGCCACCCGGGCCTGCTGGACTGCTACATGGAGAACGAAGAGGGCCGCTGGACCGACATGACGTTCTTGGTCGGCAAGTCGCGCTGGATCTCGTGCGCGCGGTCCATCGCGTCCAACGTGCAGAGGCTGTTTCGGGGGAAGAAGAGGCCAGGAGCGGCGGCGGCGGCGGCGGCGGCGGCGGCGATCGAGGACGAACTCGCGGGCCAGACGATGGTGGAATTCGAGCGACTGCTCCACGACACGAGCGCGCTGCTGGACGGCGTGCGCGAGCGCATCCAGTCGTACTTCCGCTTCTCGTACGCGGACAGCACCCCGCTGCAGAAACTGTGCCTCATGACGTCGCGCAGCATGGAGTGGAAGTGCTGGCTCACCTTCTGGTGCGGCGTCCCCAAGCATTTCAGGAAGAAAGTCATGACCGACGACGCACGACGAAAGTAATCATTTCCCTCCCGTCCCTCTCCCCACTTCTCTCTCTCTCTCTATCCCCGCATGCTCGCACACATCCCATCACACAACAAAACAACACTCACTCACACTCACCCCCCTCTCTCTCCGCTTCCGCCCGAAACAGAGTCCTCCACGAATCCGTCTCCCTCCTCGAGAACCTCAACGCCATCACCGCCGACCCCTCCGTCCAGGGCTTCAAGTGGTTCCTCGACGCCCACTCGGCCTTTCAGTGCATCTTCCTCGTCCTCTCCGAGCTGCAGGAGCTGGACCACGCCCACGCCCCCGCCGCTCCCCTCCCTACCGAAGACGCCACCCTGCGCGCCCGCGCCGTTGCCGCCCTCGGCCAGATGGTCGCCTTGCACGAGGGCGCAGAGTCCCGCCCTTGGGCTGTGATTAAGAAGTATGTCGACCGCCTCGAACCGGCGGCAGCGTCGTCATCGTTGTCGTCGTCAGCGGCGGCGATAGCAACGGTGGGTGCGGTTGAGACGGGGATAGCGGGGGCAGGAGTCGGTGCTGCTGGTGGGAGTGCAATGGACGACGTACGGCGCCAATTGGAGAGCGGTGCGTTCACCACTGCCCACGACGGTAGTCAGACCGCTGCCGCTAATGCTGCTGCTGCCGCCCTCGCTACCGATGTCGACAACGACTTTGACGCTTTTACGCCCGTCTTGCCGCAGCCGTTTGCGACGGAGGAGGAGTTGCTGCAGTTTACGTTTCCGCCCGGGACGGAGTGGGCGGATCCGATGCAGGATTTTCATTTGTGGCATATGCCGTAGATGGGTGAGAATGTCGATGTTCAAGGTGGATGGTGTATATGTGTGTGTGTGTGTGCGTGTGTGTGTAGGGGACAGTAATAATTTACCCGTATTAGACAAGGTTGCAAACATGCATTTTCCGCGCTTCTACTCACCCTTCCCTTGATGGATGGATCTGACATTCAAAAACAAGGTTTCCTCTCGGCACGGCTAGAAAGAGATGCAGTGATACCAAGTGTGCTTTAGAAGTCTTTTTGGACATTGCAAGATGAGCCCACTGACATTCGATTGTGGTCGGTCCAGTTTGGTCAGCCTGCTGGTGGCGCCTTGGGAGCCAATCCAAAAGCTTTCTCGATCCACTAAACGACCAAGACATGCTGACGAAGAGATGGCACGGGTACAAGCTCAAGGATCTCCCTGGCTTTCGGGGTCTTACTGCCCGGTCCGTCCAATGCAAAGACTGAAAACCAAAATAGCGTCGGCAGTCAGACGTTATTAATCATCAATCTTATATAAAGTGTTTGAGACCCGTATATGCGTCAGGAAATTCTCACATGTCAGGTGGAAGAGAGAATAAAGTTTAGATCACGTTCAAATAAAGAAGTGATGAGAAATCACCGAGAGATCACTGAGCGATCTCTGCAGCTGGCATCGGAGAATATCAGCAGACCTGTCCAGATCTCGGTTGATCGAAGCACTATTGGCTCAGCCGCAAGAGTAGGGAAAAGTCGGGAGAGAGCAGTCGCAACTGCATCGGATGACCAACTCGATCAAGTTAGGAATTGTTCTCGACATCCACACCATCGGGCTTGACACCGCGCTTGCTGTGCCGCACTAGGCGCCTCACACCCCACTTTGCGCTCTGGGCTGGCGGCGGCGGAGGATGCCGTGGAGTCGGTGGTAACTCCCGACGTCTTGCCTGCCCGCTGCTGCGCCGCACTCTTACAGGACGCCTCCACTTTACAAAGTTCCTCTGAAGTGACACCGGGCGTAGCCATTGCACCATGCGGAATGCCTTCCTATACGGGTCTAACTGACGGGACTTTCTTGGCACTATTGCAGCCTCGTGTCGTCCCAGGTGAGAAAGTGTTGAGGGCAGTGGCGCTAGCTAGTCATTTTCTGCGCCTCAAGCGCCATGCCGTTTACTTAAACAACGGCTTCTCGTATGCCGGTCGGAGCCCCACCTGCTTTGCGAGCTGCTAAGTCGACCTGTACTACGGATTACCACTTGGACCCTGATCGTCGATGGGGTCGCGCTTAGTCGTCTGCGGAACCTGCGGAACCGCGCGGCAAGGTACGCTTGGACAATTTGATTTTGCCACGACATGCGGCGCACAGTGAACTGGATTGGATTGCTGAACCCGATCCGAGGCTTCCAAGAATCTAGGCTGCAAGCCATGTCGATCAGTTCTCACTACTGTAGTTGCCTGCGCGCTGTCACTAGATCTGCTGCCCACATTTGCCGCCTGTATATCGCAGCGGAGCAACGGCCCTTTCGGGAAGCTACGACTTGATTACGTTTCGATATGCGAGACGAGAGTAGCTTGACGAGTAAACTAAGAGTACTTAGCCGCGTAACGAGTCACTTTAGCCGGAAAGCCATGCTAGCTGGCTCCAACATCCAAACTCGGCCTGGAAGTAGTCACAAGACTTTAATATACCTGACACTCTTGGCCGATGTGAATTACTCCAAGGGGCTAGTGGATCGAATACCTGTAGAGCCTGTCGCTGAAGGTGCCGTGCCGAAATCGCCCTCACCACCCAGCCAGTCAGAACCCCCGCACGCCGCACTTACCCGGCATGAAGCTTTGCAACGACATCCCATTCCCGCCATTGTGAAATAGTTAGAACTATTGTTGAGAACAACTCCATCGCGGAGCATACTCACCAGTTTGAGCGGTCTCTGCGACTGCCAGCCCATCGCCCCAAATGGCCCTTTCACGCCTTCGCGCTGCAGTCTCCGGAATTAAGCCTCGTGTACATGCCCCGGTCCAACCACAGCCGCAAAAAGACCACCACCACCACCAGAAGCACCATTGCCCCCCATTCCTCCCAATTAACACATCAACGCCAGCTTTGCTCCGCCCCATTCACCCTCAACGCCGCCCCCGTAAGCGTAAGCGTCTAAAACATAAGAAACCCCAATACATCCACCACACCCTCGCCGACCCTCGCACCCGCCAGCACACGCCCCCACCCCAGACCACTCCCTGAACTCTGCCTCCATCCACCGCATACGTGAGCGTCGCCCGCCGCGCGCGCCCGCCTCGGACCACCCCACCGCGTACGTAGGTACTCCACCCCCCTCGCCATGGGCCCGCGCCCGGCGCCCGCGTCCGCTCGCCCGCAGAAGCGCCTCGTCCGCGTTCTGGCCCTCCCAAACCACGTCCGTCGCCGCCTCTCCTTTTGTTTTCACCGTCGGCTTCCTCCACCAGCACCATCGCACCCGCTGATCCGGCGGTAGGTAGCGGCTCGGCTCCGGCCGGTGAGTAGAGCAGAGCAGAGCCGCTCCGACTTGAACGTCGCACGGCAGTAGCCACCTAGGTAGGTACAGCTAGCACGGCCGTGGGTAGGTCGACGCTTATTTGGTTCGCTTTGGGAGTAGATGAGGGGGGGGAGGACGGCGCGGCCTCGCCGCCGCCGCTGTTACTCCTCCTTACTCTCTACTACTTGCTTCTAACGCCGCCGCCGCCGCCGCCGCCGCCGCCGCCGCCGCCATCGTCGTCGTCGTCGGCGGCGTCGCGGGGTCGTCGTCGGCGTCGTCAATCGATGCCAACGACTTCGTCCCGCCCCCTCTGCTCTTCTCTCTTTCTCTCTCCCCTGTCCTTTGCGTTTCTCCCGCAGCTCTCTTTCCCTCCCACGAGATCAGGAAGAGTGCAGCAGCCGCGACACACACACACACACACACTTTTCTTTCCCCCGCGTCGTCGCGGCGGGAGAGGCGAGGGCGCCAATGGCGCGGGAGAGCTGTTGTTGTTGTTGGGGCGGAGGAGAAGGGGGAAGGGGAGAGGGGGAGGGTTTGGTGAGCATGTGGGGTTGAGGATCGGGGTATAAGGGAAAGAGAAGGAAAGAGGGCGTGTCGCTGACCAGCAGCTCGGTGACTTGTTGTTGTTGTTGTTGTCGTTGTTGGATTATTCCGTTCGATCGACCACTGATCACGTCGTTTCTGGGGAGATGTGTCGCCCAGCGGTTCGCCGGCTATGAAGGTCATCTACAGGGGAGGCGATGAGCGCGGAATGTTGAAGGTCGGTCGTGAGGCAGCGGTGGTGGTGGGAACTTGCTTGTTGGGTCTCGATGCGGCGTTGATCTGTCATGGTATGATGGGATATGTTCTCGTCCTTGGCTTCACTGGACGCGGATGCTCCGTATACCCAATTGCGGTGGAGAGTGAAAGTGGATAAAGGTATTATTTTTCCAACACCCGCAGAGCTTTACAGTCAGAGACGTTTCGCAATACGCTTCTCTGCTATATCGAAGCTCAACGTAAAATTGAAATATCATGTCTAAATATGCGGCAGGAAAATTGAAGTGCGTGAGAGGTCCTTTACACGGCGAAAATCACAACAGTGAAGCCATAGCCTCAGAAATGCCAGTAATATATTCTAAATGTGTATAGAAGCGTTCACTGTACAAGGTTTTAAGTTCCCGTCCTCGTCGTTGCCACGAATCGCCAGAATCCAGCGGCGTGGTGAAAAGAGTACCAGACGCAGATTAGCGGCAAACGGGTGTGTGGTAGGTACGTATTTTCGCCTTCGTATGGGCACGGTCCCCTCGGCGCAGGAATGTCAGAGGTGCAGCGAAGGATTTGGGTCCATTCCGGATGCAGTATGGCCCAGATGCCGGCGTAAGCCCCGTGTGCGTAAGCCAGTAGTGACCAAGGACTGGAAGCCTTACCGTGAGCGTTTTCTGACAGCTTGGGAGACCCACTGTTTGGCCGTCTAGAGCGCGAAGTAGGTGGTGTCGTGGCCGCCTTGATTAAATCGTGTCTGCCTTGGCTTTGCTCATGGTGGTCGGCGCCATGGAAGTACGCTGGCGTCGCCACTCGCCTTTTGAGACTGCTCACAATTGTTAGTCCAGGGGTAGCACAGGATTGAGCTGCGGCGCTGTCGGCGGTGATTGTCGTCGTCAAAGGATCAAGCCCTCTGCACTGACGGTGTTCGTCGCCTCGCGAGTGCTGGAGATTGACATGGCTTTGACTGACACGGCACTAGCATGTGGCTCAGCCCACTATTGATAATTAGCTAGTTCACGTAGGATCTTGATGATGAACAGCAAAGCCATGCGGCGTAAGTAGAAGTCCGTTGTCACGTGCTAAATTGCTCGTCACTCATCAACGATGCGGGACCTCGTCATTCCCCAATGCAGAACCATAGTCTTCCAACGACACTGCATGATAGATAAGCTTGAATCTGGCCTGCACTCACTATTGGCAATGTGTCTTTGGGCTGCAGTTGCAGTAAAGATCTCCAAGTAGACGAAAAGCAATATAATCCAGTAGCCGGATCGAGCTAGGCCAAAGTCATGTGCGGTGCGGCGCTCCTGTCACCTTTTGCTAGTGTGTTACTGCGTACGGCAATAGGCGCTGAAGGTCGCGTTGTAGGACGGCTAATCAACGCGCGCCATGCTTTCGTGCTGACTCGGGCTTGACGTCAATCACTACCTCGCGAGCTCATCTGCAGCCCAATTGCCGATCAATACCTGCCCTACGTGGTAAGACCCTGTGCCGCAGACGCCGGCGGTCACTGCTGAATGCTGATACCCATGCTCTGCCCTGTCGCAAACCGGTGGTGCAAGTACGCGGGGTGGGGTCGGCCAGCGCAGGCACCACTTTTTTTCACGTGCCTGCCAGCATGCAGGAGCAAGGGGACCATGGGCCCATCCGAGAAACGTCCGCTCGCGAGGGCGGATCTTGTGGGGAGCCCGCCCAGCCAACGTGGTGGTGCCCTGATGTTCAGTGACCGCTGCGCGGACAGTTAGCGAGGAGAATCTGCAGGGCGGTGAGGCGTCCAAGGAAGCGCGCTAGATGCGGCGCGGAAGCGTGCTAGGACGGCAATGAAGCAACGGTTTCCTTGACTCCTGACTGCTCTCCGATGGCTCAGGACATGGACATTTCGATTCGTACTGTACGTGCTGCGTTCCCACTCGATAGGGACTGGACCGTTAAGTCAGGGGTGTGCCCCAATCATATCGCGTGAGACTTCCCCATGCAAAGCCCGCTGAAACCATCATCATGCCAGCGTCTCCTTTCATATCATTACACGTTCCAAGACGAGCAGAAACCGTATCATGGAGCATGGCATTCTGGGCGTTGAGCGACCGATCGAGCCATCGGCTTTCAGACCGCCCTGATGGAGCGCTTCGCGTCCAGCGGCCGGGTAAGAAATCAGACGGCTTGGCTGCCCCATACCCAGTCGCAATGAGAGTGCGATTACTCGTGTGGGGGCGAAAAGGATGCAGCGGCGTGTCCGGGCCCGAGAACCCTGGCAATTAACGACGACGTCTTTACGCCGCCGTATCTACCGCTCCGCGGAACCTGCACCAGCCGCGTCCTAAGCGCGGCACTGACGACTCTCTCGCGTAATCCTCCCATCCGCCTCGTTTAGAAAAAGGCCGCATGGGGGAAAAGATCTGTAGGTGGGGGGGGGGAGGGGTGGTGTCTTCGTGCCTTGCAGAGCCGATCAGCGGAGAAAAGCGCACAAAAATGCAGGGTGCTGTGCCACGCAACGTGCTTTCTGGTCCGGGCAGTCCGGGCTGCAGCGAGAAGAAGGTCTAGAGCATGCCTATCCCTGGCGATACCATTCGCAACTCCCGCCCACCCACTCCCCATATGGCGCCAAATCCTGCGTGACGTCGCGCAACCGTAACAGTGGGCCGCCGCGAGTCCGCTGCCGCGTTCCCCGCTGCAAGGGTGCCCCGGTCGAACAGGGCCCTTGACCTTGTTGCGCTGAAGATTCCCCACGGGATGGGATTGCTATAAGAGATCGGAGATAAGATGCCTGTTGTGATTGGAAGATCCACCCTTCCTTCCGCTCCCGGGCGAACGGAGAGCGCACCGTGCTCGAGAACCCACTTCCAAGGGTGGGTGGTGGTGGCGTCCAGACCGAAGACACGGCCGTACGGGCTGCGGTGGTGGTGGGAGGCGGGCAAGCCAGCGACAATGGGGATGAGAGGCCGGTAGCATCTCGCGCGTGCGCTAGCGGCTAAATAGTGACGGGCGGTGTCCGCCAGCGAAGCAAGAGATGAAGGGAAAGAGAGAGAAAAAAAAAAAAGAGAAGCACTGGCCAGGACGTTGCCCAAAGCGGCAAAGGGCGGGCTTCTTCCCAGCTCGCACGCTCGCACCACCGCCGAGGAAAAACGAAGGAAGGGAAAGAAGCTGTGCCTCCCGCGTCAGTGGCGAGCCGTGCCGCCGCGGCCCCTGCAGCCACGCCCGCACGCCCGGCCCCTGCATCGCTACCAAGCGGTCAGAACCTGCTGATGAGCTTATCAACACCCGGGCCGGCCCCCCCTTCATCGGCACAGCTTCTGCCCGCTTCGGGCGACCAAGGGCCCATAGAACGAAAGAACCGGGGTGGTGGCCGTGGTCTGGTCCGCAGCCTTGCAGGGGTGGGCGGCGGTGGTGCAGGCGGGGGTGGGTGGGCACTGGGCACGCCCACCACCGGAAAGAGTGTCCGGAGTGCATGAAGAAGGGCTGGGATGATGGGACAAAGGCAAAAAACCGGACCGAGGCCGGTGATCAGTAGGTAGTTGGTGCGAACACAGACACCCGCGTCTATCGTGACGTCCAGGGCATTGCCGCCTCGCGCTCCACCACCACCATCCGCCCCAATGCTACTGCTGTGCCGCACTCTTCTTCTCTCAGTACCCTTGCCAAGGAAAAATGAGAGACAAAAAAGATTAATTGTGGTGACGGGGAAACGGGCGAGCCCCACCGCAATACTACGTCGACGGTTGCTGTGCCGCAGAGCTCGTACAACACGGGGCCGCCCGGTTCATGACTGAGGGTGAGCCCGCCCGGCTACCGCCGAGCGAGCGGCCGGACCAGCAGTCGTTCCATCCGCCGCGGCCGAGCGCGAATCGTGAATCGGGCGAATCAGATCGGAGTCGAATGGCCCGGCCACCGCCAGTTTCTCGTGCCTTCCGAGCCGAGATGGAGGTTGGCGGGCGGCACAGCAGGTCGCAACGCTGAGAGGGAGAGATAAGAGATGGAGAAAGATACGAAGGTCATGTTGAATCAATCCATGTTAGAGAGAGAGAGAAAAGCTGGTGGATCCCGGATAGCAAGTAAAAGTAAATTTGCCTGGTTGCTAAAAAAAAAAAAAAAAAAACAAGAATTGGTAGCAGCGGGTGTGGTATACGTCTTGCTCGCGCTATAGCTGACCGTTTCCCTCCTCCCCGGATGTGTCAAGTCCCGTGGATTTCCAAACGCCTACGCCGGTTGTTGCTTTTTCCCGGATGATTTTCGCAAAAGATCAGGATGCCCTTTGCCCTCGTTTTACTTGTCCTCGACGACCTCCTCGGTCACGGTGACCTCGGCCGTCACCTCAATCTCAAAGTTGAACTTGCTCTGCTCCGAGGCGCGGTCGTCGTCGTTGACCCAGCCGACGCCGGCGCCCTCGCCGCCGCAGCAGACGACGTACAGGCGCTGCTTGTCGGCGATGGTGGCGAACTCGACGCTGGTGGGGCTGCTGAGGCCGCGGGTGAGGATGGACGAGAGGCCCTTGCCCTGGTCGTCGACGTCGACGCGCCAGACGACGCCGGCCATGTAGTTGGCGGTGAAGATGGCCTTCGCGTCGTCGGTGAGGGTCAGGCCGTCGCAGTGGGGCAGATCGCTGGCGACAATCTGGACGGGGCCGGTGGTGCGGGGGCCGGCTTGGTCGAGGGCGAGCGGCACGCGGCACAGCAGGCCTGCGCTGGTGTTGGTGTACCACAGGTGGCCGTGCGAGTAGCGCACGCGGTTGATGCCGAAGAAGTCCTCCTCGCTGGCGGCGGCCATGGTGTCGTCGGCGACCAGCACGTCGCTCTTGCCCGAGGCGAGGTCGAGGCGCCAGATGCAGTTCTTGTGCGAGTCGGCGATGGCGAGGAAGTCGGGCGTCAGCTGGGCGACGCCGATGCAGAAGCCCGAGTCGGGCACGCGGGCCAGCTCGGTGATCTCGGGGGCCGGGCCGGCGAGCTTGACGCGCCAGATGACGGCCGAGTCGAACTGGACCTGCTGCAGCTCGACGGTGGCGGCAATCACGGCGTACTCGTCGTCGTCCGGGCCGGCGATGGGGCACAGGTTGACCAGGCCGTTTGCGTCCGGGAAGGTGTGGAGCAGCTGCGGCCGCGCGCTGGGATCGGCCGGGTCGAAGGTGTACAGCTCGGGGGCATCGAGGCGGGTGGCGAGGATGTGGCCATTGGGGCGCACGGCGAAGCCCTCGAACCACGAGTTGGCGGGCAGCTGGGTTACGGGCACCACGTCGATGTCGTCGGCAGCCATTGTGGGTGAGGTGGATGGAGGGTGATGGTGGATTGTTTGTCTGGAGGCGCATGCAGCGGGCGGCGGCCGGGGGATAGGGGCTGGTCGCCGCTGACCAATAGGGCCGACTCGTGTCAGGCGAATGGGCGATGACTAGCTAGTGCGGCCGGCGCAGCCCAGCGGCACACGTGCGGGCAGGCGTTCGGCACGGTCCGCCGGTGGTGGGTGGTTCGGATTGGCGTTGAATCATGAGCACCGAGGTGGGAGACTGGGAGTGTACGCTCATGACGAGCTCGGCGGCGGCGACCCGGGCTGGCGGCCTCGCTTGCGCACGCCACGCGCGAGAGCCAGGGCTCAGGCCAGGGCTCGGGCCAGGGCTCATCAGGCCAGGGCAGGCCGCGGCAGGGGCGACCGGGCGAGTGACGCAGGCCGAGTCAGGGTCCGCCAGCTGCCGGTCCGGGACTCTACTACCTACTCTGCACACGGACACGCTTCCGCCCGCCCAAGCCCAGCGCGGCGAGATAGGCGCGCTGCCCCCCGGCGCCTGCCCCCCGGCGTGCCGGCGCCTCGCTAGGTAGCCGCCGCAAAAGACGGTGACCCATGCTCCCAGCTGTCCGCCATGTACACCATCCCCCGTGGTGTGAAGACGCCCGCCCCACACCACCGGCCCGAGTAAGCCCGCCGGGCCCAGGCCAATGGCCATCCCCCACGTCTTATCACAACGTCCCGGGTGGCCTCATTTCCGTCGGGAGCGGGCTGCGGCGGGAGCTTTCTCCCATGAGGATAAGAGCCCTGCGGCTGTCACCATCTGCAGGTCAAGCGCGCCGTTGCGAGGAGGAGACCGCACCACCAGCCTCTGAGATACCCGTTTGCCGCAATGGCCAACACCACTCCCGCTTCCTCGAACGGTGCCGCTCCGCCCTCGAGCAACGCGAGCTCCTTCGAGGTGCTCAGCAACCCCTCCACCCCGCCCAAGCCCGTAAGTCTCCCTGGCCCAGCCTGCGCCGCCGCCGCCGGGCCTGACCGTCCGCGCCAGCACCACTACGAAGATGTCGCCATCATCGGCATGTCGTGCCGCGCCGCCGGCGACAACACGTCGCCCGAGAAGCTGTGGCAGTTCCTGCTCGACAAGAAGGACGCCTCGGGCGAGGTGCCCAAGAAGCGCTGGGAGCCGTGGTACCGCCGCGACGTGCGCAACCCCAAGGAAATCGACAAGGCCATCAACCGCGGCTACTTCATCCAGAACCTCGAGGACTTCGATGCCTCCTTCTTCGGCATCTCGCCCAAGGAGGCCGAGCAGATGGACCCCCACCAGCGCCTCGGCCTCGAGCTGTCGTGGGAGGCCCTCGAGAACGCCGGCATCGACCCCAAGACCCTGGCCGGCTCCGACACGGCCGTCTACATGGGCGTCGACTCGGACGACTACTCGCGCCTGCTGCTCGAGGACATCCCCAACATCGAGGCCTGGATGGGCATCGGCTCCACCGCCCACGGCATCCCCAACCGCATCTCCTACCACTTCGACCTGATGGGCCCCAGCTCCGCCGTCGACGCCGCCTGTGCCTCGTCGCTGGTCGCCGTGCACATGGGCCGCCAGGCCATTGCCACCGGCGAGTCCAACGTCGCCATCGTCGGCGGCGTCAACGTGCTGTGTTCGCCCGCCCTTTTCGTCATGCTGGGCAAGGCCGGCGCCCTCTCGCCCGACGGCGTGTGCCTGTCCTTTGACGACGACGCCCACGGCTATGCCCGCGGCGAGGGCGGCGCCGTGCTGGTGCTCAAGCGCCTCGCTGACGCCATTGCCGACAACGACAACGTCCTCGCCGTGCTCAAGGGCAGCGCCCTGGCCCAGGACGGCAAGACCAACGGCATCATGGCCCCCAACGCAAAGGCCCAGGAGCTGGTCGCCCGCCAGGCCCTCGAGCGCTCCGGCGTCGACCCGCTGACCGTCAACTACATCGAGGCCCACGCCACCTCGACCTCGCTGGGCGATCCCACCGAGGTGTCAGCCATCTCCGCCGTCTACGGAAAGGGGCGTCCCGCCGACGCCCCCGCCCACATCGGCTCCATCAAGCCCAACGTCGGCCATCTCGAGGCCGCCGCGGGCGCCATCAGTCTGGTCAAGGCTGTCCTGGCCGTGAACAAGGGCGAGCTCGCCCCGCAGACCCGCCTGCAGAAGCTCAACACCCGCGTCGACTGGGAAAAGTCGGGCCTGAAGGTGGTGCGCGAGCGTACCAAGTGGGCCGAGCCCCAGGGCGTTCCGCGCCGCGCCGCCGTGTGCTCGTACGGCTACGGAGGCTCCGTCTCGCACGTCGTCATCGAGGAATCGCCGTCGTCGGTGCTCGGAATCACCGCAGTCAAGGAGGAGGAGCACAAGAGCCAGGGGCCCGTCACCCTGGTCATTTCCGCACCGCAGGAGAAGCGGTTAGCAAACCAAGCCAGCGTCCTGGCAGACTGGCTGGCCGGTGCCGGCAAGGACGAGGATCTCAAGGCCGTTGCCGCCACCCTGGCGCTCCGCCGCGCGCCACACCACTACCGCGCCACCTTCATCGTGGCCAGCCACGAGGAAGCCGTCGAGTCGCTGCGGACCTTCGCCAAGGGAGGCTCCGTGGAATTCATGGCCGACGGCCGCGTGTTTGACAACGCCACCAGGACCGATGCCGTGTGGGTTTTCTCGGGCCATGGCGCGCAGTGGGCCGACATGGGCAAGGAGCTGCTCCAGAACTCCGTGTTTTTGCAGGCAGTGGCGCCGCTGGACGAGATCGTGCAGAAGGAGGTGGGCTACTCGGCAATCAAGGTGTTGGAGACGGGCGATTTTGAAGACTCGGACCGGATCCAGGTGCTGACGTACGTCGTCCAAGTCGGCCTCAGCCAGGTGCTCAGGTCCAAGGGCGTCGAGCCCCAGGCCGTCATCGGCCACTCGGTGGGTGAGATCGCGGCGTCGGTCGCGGCGGGCTGCTTGACGCCCGAAGAGGGCGCGCTCGTGGTGACGCGGCGGGCCAGGCTGTATGCCCAGGTCAAGGGTCTGGGCGCCATGGCGCTGGTCAACCTGCCCTTCTCGCAGGTTGCCACCGAGCTGACCGGCCGCCACGACATCGTGCCCGCCATCGACTCGTCGCCGTCGTCGTGCGTCGTCAGCGGCGAGGCGGGCCCGCTCGCCGAGTACGTCGAGAGCCTGAAGGCGCGCTCGATCAAGACGTTCCAGGTCAAGACGGACATTGCCTTCCACTGCCCGATGCTCGAGAAGCTGGCGGACCCGCTGGCCGAGGCGCTGTCCAAGGCGCTCAACCCGCGGCCGGCCGTGGTGCCGCTGTACTCGACGTCCAACACGTACCCGCGGGCCGACAGCCTGCGCAACATCGACTACTGGGTCAACAACATGATCAGCCCCGTGTGGCTGACGTCGGCCGTCGCCGCCGCCGTCGAGGACGGCTTCCGCGTCTTCCTCGAGGTGTCGACGCACCCCATCGTCTCGCACTCGATCAACGAGACGCTGGCGGAGCGCGACTTCAGCGAGGCCGCCACCATCGGCACCATGCGGCGCAACGCCTCGGCCGAGAAGAGCATCCAGCACGCCATCGCGCAGCTGTGGGGCAAGGGCTCGCAGGTCGACTTCAAGGCGCAGTTCGGGCGCGCGTGGTGCACGACGGTGCCCGGCACGCCGTGGAGCCAGAAGCCGTACTGGCGCGAGGTCGAGACGGGGCCGACCGGACAGGGCACCCAGCACGACGTCGACAAGCACACGCTGCTGGGCCAGCGCACGCCCGTCGCCGGCACCGACACGGTCCTGTACACGACCAAGCTCGACGACAAGACCAAGCCGTTCCCCGGCACCCACCCGCTCGACGGCACCGAGATCATCCCCGCCGCCGTCTACGTCAACACCTTCCACCACGCCACCGGCGGCACCGAGATCTCCGACATCAAGCTGCGCGTGCCCGTGTCCATGAGCAGCGACCGCCGTGAGGTGCAGATTGTGGTGCAGGGCGACGAGGTCAAGGTCGCCTCGCGCCTGGAGCAGAAGAACGACGCCGCCTCGGCCGCCGACCACCTCGAGCACGCGTGGATCCCGCACAGCTCGGCCCGCTGGGCCATGCTCCCCAAGACGACCGCGCCCGCCCCCGTCTTCGACGTCGAGGGCATCAAGAAGCGCATCGGCACGCTGCTGCCCAACAGCTTCTCGTGGGACTACCTGCAGAAGATCGGCGTGTCGGGCATCGCCTTCCCGTGGCAGGTCGTCCAGCACTACGGCAACGAGAAGGAGATGATGGTGCGTGTCGACATGGACCCGGAGACGGAGGCGCCGCAGTGGGATCCGCACTCGTGGGCGCCCATGCTCGACGCCGCCACGTCGGTCGGCTCGACCATCTTCTTCAACGACCCGCGCATGCGCATCGTGTCGCAGATCGACAAGGTGCTGCTGGTGTCGCAGCAGCCGCCGCCCAAGATCGGCTACCTCTTCGTCGAGGAGGCGGCCGACGACCAGAGCCCGGCGGCGCACGTCAGCGTGCTGAGCGAGTCGGGCGAGCTGCTGGCCAAGTTCCAGAGCATGCGCTTCTCCGACGTCGAGGGCGCGTCTGGCATCGGCGGCGGCGTCGAGAGCCTCGCCCACCAGATCGCCTGGATCCCGCCCAAGTTCGCCGAGAAGCCGCTGCCGCTGGACCGCGTCGTGCTCGTGTCCGACGACAAGGCCCTTCTCGACCAGTACGCCGCCCAGGTCAAGGGCCAGGTGCCACAGGTGCTGCTGGCGAGCTCGGCAGAGGAGCTGCGCCAGCCCGGGACGCTCGAGTTGCTCAAGAAGAAGGGCTCCGCCGTCGTGTACCTGCCCGGCAAGGTCGAGTCGCTGCAGGAGGTGCCTGAGGCGACGCACAAGTACGTGTGGGAGACGGTCTGCCTGATCAAGCTGCTCGTGACTGAGTCGGCGGCGGCCAAGCTGTTCGTCATCACCGACCGCGTGCACAAGGGCGAGTCGGCGACGGGGCTGGCCCACGGCGCGCTGTACGGACTGGGCCGCATCGCGGCGCAGGAGCACCCGGACGTCTGGGGCGCGCTGATCGACGCCGAGGGCCCGCAGTTCCCCACGCTCGCCATCAAGTACGTGCAGGACCAGGACGTGGTGCGCATGGAGGACGGCATGCCGCGCGTGGGCCGCATGAGGCCGCTGGCCCGCGACCAGCGCCACGCCGCCGACTCGCAGAAGACGCTGCTGCCCAAGCCCGAGGGCACGTACGTCATCACCGGCGGCTTTGGCGACCTCGGACTGGAGGTGCTGGACTTTTTGGTGGAGAAGGGGGCGCGCCGCATCGTCGTCGTGTCGCGCCGGGCGCTGCCGCCGCGCAGCAAGTGGAACACGGTGGCCGACAGCATCAAGCCGATCGTGGCCAAGATCCGGCTGTTGGAGAAGCAGGGCGCGAGCATCCACGCGGTGGCGCTCGACATCGGGGCGGAGGACGCGCCGGCGCAGCTGCTCGCGGCGCTGGACCGGCTCTCGCTGCCGCCGGTGCTGGGCGTCATCCACGCGGCGGGCGTGCTCGAGGACAACCTCATCCTCGACACGACGGCGCCGTCGTTCGCGCGCGTGCTGCAGCCCAAGGTTGCGGGCGCGCTGGCGCTGCACGCGGCCTTCCCGCCGGCGACGCTCGACTTCTTCGTGCTCTTCTCGTCCATCGGGCAGCTCGTGGGCACCGCAGGCCAGGCGCCGTACGGCAGCGCCAACGCCTTCCTCGACGCGCTCGCGACGCACCGCCGGGTCCACGGCGACAACGCGGTGGCGTTCCAGTGGACGGCGTGGCGCGGGCTCGGCATGGCCACGGCGACCGACTTCCTCACCGTCGAGCTCAACAGCAAGGGCATCACCGACATCTCCCGCGACGAGGGCTTCCGGGCGTGGGAGCACGTGGCCAAGTTCGACGTCGCGCACAGCGTCATCACGCGCGCGCGCCCGCTCGAGCCGGGCGAGCCGGCGCCCATCCCGCTGGTCGAGGAGATCGCGCCGCGCCGGGTGACGTCCATCGGGGCGTCAGCCGCCGCTGCTGCGGCCGAGGACGCCTCGAAGGACGCGGAGGCGCGGCCCAAGGACGGCCCCGAGCTCAAGGCGTGGCTGAGCGTCAAGATCCGCGAGTGCATCGGCGCGGTGCTGATGATGAACGACATCGAAGACATCGACCCGCGCGCGGCGGTCGCCGACCTCGGCGTCGACAGCGTCATGACGGTGGCGCTGCGCACGAAGCTGCAGCAGGCCATGTCCATCAAGGTGCCGCCGACGCTGACTTGGAACCACCCGACGGTGGTGCATCTCGTCGAGTGGTTCTACACCAAGCTGACGGAGAACTGATGAGAGTGAAGAGTTTATTTTTTGCCCTTCGTACGTGGTTTTTTTTTGCCGTTGGAGCTGAGGCGTATCATATTGGTTGTGTCGTTTTCCACTTTCCAGGTAGAGCGTCGGCGCGTCTGCGAGTATGATTTAATGTTTTAATGATCTATATGAGTTTTAGACGTAGAGCAGTCTGTTAATAGATTAATTGTCTGACCAGAATACCTCGTTCGCACCGGGCTGCCGCACTCACGTAGCATTGTCGTTGGATTTGGGTGAGGCGTGTCGTCGTGTCGTTGCGAACTGAAACCGCCAAGTTTTGCGGGGCTTTGTGCGACTTCCGAAAAGGGTAAGGCGCGGGCCAGTGACTCAACCCGGCTCGCCGAGCATCAGGTCGCCGAGTCCACACGCTGACCAAACACCATCTGACGCCACCCGGCGACATCGCCCGAGCCTCATGCGACGCTGAGACAGCCGCTACAAACTTTTCTCACCTCCCAGCCAGATCCGCGAACCAACTCCTGCACCATGGATCCCTCGGTCGAGACGAGCTGCAATGCTGCAGAGATCCAGACGCCATGCCCCAATGCCAAATACAAGCATGGATGGCGCAGGATCGTCCGGAACTTCACGCCCTCGTAAGTGCTTCCAATCTGTCGCACCGAGCCGTCTTCTCACCTTCGCTCTCGCAGCTGGTTTTCGGTCAACATGGGCACCGGCATCGTCTCCATCCTGCTGCACAACCTGCCCTACAACGCCGTCTGGCTGTACTGGATCTCCGTCGCCCTCTTCATCCTCAACGTGCTCCTCTTCACCACCTTCCTCGCCATCACGACCCTGCGCTACGTCCTCTACCCGCGCATCTGGTCCGCCATGATCAACCACCCCGTCCAGTCCCTCTTCCTCGGCACCTTCCCCATGGCCCTCGCCACCATCATCAACATGATCGTCTTCGTCTGCGTCCCCATCTGGGGCCACCGAGCCGTCCACGTGGTACGTCCCCTCCTCACCTCACCTCACCCCACCACCTTCCCTTTCCCCCCCACCCACCAACCACTAACACCTCCCACCAGGCCTGGTCCCTCTGGTGGCTCGACGCCGCCCTCTCCCTCGCCACGTGCACCTCCCTCCCCTTCGCCACCATGACCCTCCACGCCCGCACCACCTCCCTCGCCTCCATGACCGCCGCCTGGCTCCTCCCCGTCGTCGCCACCATCGTCGCCGCCGCCTCGGGCGGCATCGTCGCCGAGGTCCTCGGCCCGAACCGCCCCGACCTCGCCGCCACCACCCTCGTCGCCTCGTACGTCCTCTGGGGCGCCGGCGTCCCGCTGGCCTGCGTCGTGCTCGCCATGTACTTCCACCGCCTCGCCCTCGAAAAGCTGCCTCCCGCCGACGCCATCGTCTCCGTCTTCCTCCCCCTCGGCCCGCTCGGCCAGGGCGGCTTCGGCATCATGCAGCTCGGTAGGGTCGCGAGGGACGTGTTTCCCGTTACGGGGACCCTGGGCGGGGGCGGGGGTGGGAGCGGTGCTGCTGCTGCCGGTGATGTGTTGTACGTCGTCGGCTGGCTGGCCGCCGTCGTCATGTGGGGGTTCGGTCTCGTGTGGCTGATTTGGGCCGTGGCGAGCGTGGCGAGCGTGACGAAGAACAGCGCCCGCCCCCGCGCGCGCGCGCGGCTCCCGCCGTTTAACATCGGGTGGTGGGGCTTCACGTTCCCGCTCGGCGTCTTCGCGGCGTCGACGGCGACGATGGGCGAGGAGCTGCCGTCGCGGTTTTTCGCCGTGCTGGGGACGGCGCTGTCGTGCGTGGTGGCGGCGCTGTGGGTGGGGGTCGCGGCGGGGACGGCGCGGAGGGCGTGGAGCGGGGAGATGTTTTTTTCGCCGTGCGTGAAGGGGATGGAGGAGAAGGTGGGGTTGATGAGGGGGGTGGAGGGAGTGGAGGTGGAGGGGGAGGGGGAGAGGGTGGATTGAGGTTCGTGGGCTCAATTGCGTTTGGAGTGATGGTTCGTGGTTTCTGCGCTGAAGTATTACCCGGCGGGTTCCTCGATCGCCCACTATAGATTTTGGTTTTATTGTTGCATGCATTTCAACCCAGCCATCCTCCTGCAATGTGGATCTTGAGTCGGCGTAAGAGTAAGTCATGGAATGTGAAACTTTTGAGCTATTTTAGAGCTATCATTTGAGACATATTTCTAAACCAGAATGAAGGTGACGTGCGTATAGCTGGGCGATATCGAGCTCTCTGCCCAGTTTGTAGGCTATCTCAGCGTTCGACGCTGTAGGATGGTACTCCACTTCGACAAAAGCAGTCAGGTGTCGTCCTTTCAAGTCCTTTAGTCGGTCGATCCAAAAATTTCTTTGCCGTGGCTCCGAGGATATCTTATCCCAAGAAGACATAGCTTCACCATCCATATAGCCATGAGCAAAGCAGTCGCCGATAAGTTCGAAGAAATATTTTTTCGCTCGAAGTAGCATAGGTGTGCGTGCGCCCAACATAAGGTAGACACCGTCGTTTTTCGCCATTTGCATGGGACCGAGTCCAAAAAAACCGGCTTCGGTGAGAAAGAAAGATCTCCCAACCGTAGCAGAACGGACGCTGTAGTCGACATCCAATGAACTCCGCGATCGGTCTTCTTGGACTCCCGGAAACTGCTCGAGAAGTGCGGTTCTGATGGTCAGAAGATCCGAGTCTTCCGAAACGGCCTCGTCGAGTGGTGCTCCCGGGCGATTCAAGAACCAAGCTGCAACTGCCACAAGATCGTCTGGGCGCATGCGGCGGCAGGAGCGTTCCGAACCTTTGTTTACATACACCACATCTGCGCACATTGTTCTGAGAAATGACCCCCACTTGTTGGGATCGCCAACGCCTCTAGCTGCCATTTTCGCCCATGACTGTAGGATGGAGGTCAAGTTCCCATCAGTGATGTTAGCGGAACTGATATCACTGACCTCTGCCAGTCCTAAGCCTGGGAGACTGATAGTACCATGGTCGAAAACCCTCAAACGACCTCCTCTTCTGGATCCTGTGCTATGATCGAAAATAATCAAGGGTTGCTTGAGAATTCCGACTTGAACATAGACAAAGCTTTTGAGGGAAGCGTTATACAGATATGCCGTTCCTGCACGCCGTCGATCCAGATGATGCGGTATTGCAGCCCAGTCTGGCACCCAAGATGGAAGATCTTGACGGTCCTTCCTCCCAATGTCACCGTTCAGTATGTTCAAGGATCCAGTGCGTTTTATTATGCCGAGGGTAGTGTTCTTGTACACTTCTGGCACGTCCAATGTATAATCTGGATCGATTGGTAGTGGTGCTTGAGCCAAGCCGAGTAGAGCGTAGACCCGGTCCCTGTCATCGGTGGCTTTTCGATGGGTGAAATTCCTGAGAAGCGAAAGGAGAGGTGTTCCCTTTCGGCCGCCACTCACCCAGCTGCTCCGCATGTTTTCGATTTGGAGTACGGTGTGAGAAAAGCCATCGAGTATGTTGGAGTATTCCCACGGAAGCAAGCTGCTCTGGTGGGAGTAACGTGTTGCGGCTTGAACAAATGTCTTCCAATTTGTCACACAACATCCATAGATGACAAGAACTTCCTTTGGCACCACAACCTCCTGCACCGTCCACATTCGGTTCCACCATCGGGACCGCGTCATTTCTCGGAGTGCTTCAAATAGGCGTCGTTGGTACCTACATCCACCGACGGCTTTGGATGCTGAGTCGAAGGGTGATGTGTTTTCCAGTGTGTGAGTCTCGGCCATCGACTGTATCAAGCAGAAGACGTTGATGGCATCCATGGAACGGGACTGCTTTGGGGTTTTGGAAGAGGAGCAGTGGACAACAAATTTCTCCAGCATAGGGGCGCTAGTGTTGCCGGGGAAGAATATCGAGGCTGGCGCTGTCTCCTCGCATTCGATCTGCATCGAAAGGCTTGAGTCACGGACTTCTCCCAGGAAAACAACAGTCTTTTCAGCGCTCGCAAAGATCTTCTGCATCATCTGAACTTGCGTGTTCCTCTCCATTTCGTCGTTCTGATTGATGCATATCGCATCTATCCAGACCGTCGTTGTACCAAACGTTTGGCGTATTCGTTTGAGGGCGTCGTATGCGCTGAAAGTCACAGGGTATTCTTGATCGTTGACGAAGATAGTTCTTCCCCTTTTCGCCGAGCTCCACGCGTATGACAAGGCGATGAAGGATGGTTTGTTGGGTAGCGAAGCGTGAACAAGCCTGCATCGGATCTCGCCGTCTGATTCCGTGTTGATGATTTTGAGAAGGCGGATTTCTTGACAATGAAGCGTAGAATACATGTCTCTCAAATGACTTGTCGTGCTAGTAAAAGAGAAAATTGGCTTTCTGTGTACAGACCGTGTGGTAAGGGGTTCATTAAGTACGCAGCGCAAGGCTGAGGCTCATAGCCCCACCTTGAAGGGCAGTGCCCCTGGCTGTGCAGCACAATGCTGCCTGGGAGCCCACCTAGCTACGTGTCCAGCTTACAGCGTGATCTGCATTTACAGCGCATCGACGCTGCCATTGGCTCTACACTCATGAACGAATTAAAGTCGTTTGTCCGCCCACCCCACCCACCTATCCTGTGACGACCTAGGCGAAGCCAAACATTTCCCCAGCCCTAGAGCCACAACTATGACATCACAACCTTTAGTGCTTCATGAATCTCTCGTCCAAGCCGATTCGTTTCCGCTGTTATGCGTGCCAATGCAGAGAAAGCCAACGTATGGACGTCGGATTTTGTGGTTACCCGGCGATATTCAGTCCGAGTTTCAAAACGCTCATTACAATTATCATCGAAGCCTTCCTGGAAGCTGGGTTTCGCGCGAGGCATTAACATTGCCTACGGCATCGACGGAAACGAAAATCCCAAGACTCAGAGTACGAAGCCATGTTTTGACACTCCATGCTCTGATTTCAACGAGGACCTGAACGGTCTTTGGGGGCAACAGTCAACCAATGCTGGAACGCAGTAACGGAATCAAACAACCGAAAATTGACTTATAGGTCTGATATAGACATCGTGTTACTTGGGGTATTCAATATGCTATATCCGGAGCCAGGACAATACCTTTCTGGTCTTCCGGCCAAGGATTTGACAAAAGCCATACTTTGGTCCGCATCGCAGGAAACCCACGGGAGCTTTGACAGAGTGCACAAGCAGAAATAAAGTGGATCGACAGAGAATCATGATTGCCGTTCCTATTACACCCTCTCCTAGAATCGGCAATTGCAAACCGATCATGGCAGACCCTGGCCCTTCGGAATGACCTCAACCTCCCCAAGCCCCTCATACCCATCCTCGGCGCCTGTCGACACGCCTCCCTGTGCCAGAGCAATCTGGTTCAACTCATCGTTGACGGCCAAAAACACGGCCGACGAGAAGGGGCTGCCCAGGGTGCAGCTACCGACGTTGCTCAACGACATACTCAACCCACACACCTGGGTGTTGTTCCAGAAATCCGTATTCCCCCTCGCCCAGTTCCTCAGCGGCATATCGACCGTCACGCTCTGCCCCTCGGCGACAGCCTTGAACGTAATGGCCACGCTCTTATCCGCCGGAATCGACTCGCACGACCCATTCCACGCCGGGTACCCGTTGAACATGACGACGCCGCCAACCGCATCGAGGAAGTCGTCCTCGTCGATCGGCAAGTAATCCTGCCCGGACCCGCTGTCGATCAGGCACTCGTCGACGGTCGAGTTGTCGAAGCCGCGAAACGGCTTGACGACGCGGCCGGCGGCGCTCCACGCGGGCGTGTCGACGTAGTAGCCGATGGAGCCCTCGGGCTGGCGGCGCGGCACCTGCACGAGCTCGCCGCTGTATTTCCCCTTGGGCAGCGCGCCCAGCAGCAGCGTGCCGCGGTAGTCGTCGCGCACCCCCGCCGGCGCCGCGTCGAACCACATGGCCAGCGTGCTCGACGCGATGGACCCCCCGTCCAGCAGGTTCTGCCGGAACGACGGGCCCGACCCCGCGCGCGGCGCGCTGAGCCCCAGGATCGAGCTGTCGTACGTCGTGCCGTCGCACTCATCCGCGCGGACCTTGATGATGGTCTTGTTGGTGATGGCGACCTGCGTGTTGACCAGGTGCGGGTAGCTGTCGTCGGCGCTGAAGGAGAGGGTTTCGTTGACCGAGTAGTGGGATTCGATCATCTTGCCGTTGCCGCCGTAGGCGTAGCCCCGGGTTTTGTTGAGGAAGCCGAGGGCGGTGCTGGAGGCGAAGGGGTTGTACGACGGCTCGGGCGTCTCGCGGCAGTGGCCCTCGACGCCGAGGTAAGGGCTGCCGTAGTAGATGGTCGAGTTGGGGCCGTAGACCTGGGGACGACGTTAGTGGCGGTGCGGAGGGAGAGGCGGCCAAGCGTGTGGGTGGGTATACCCAGTAGTCGGAGCTGCCGAGGTCGACGACGGTCTCGATGGGCGTCTGCTCGGGCGTGCCCAGGTAGATGTCGGCGTAGACCTTGGGGTAGCCGTTGTAGGGGTACTTCAGCGGCATGAAGACCGGCTTGCCATCTTGACGCTTGGTCGGCTGGGCAGCCGACGAGGCGGCCAGGAGAGACAGGAGGATGGGAAGCATTTTTTTCGATTTTGACGTAGGCCGATGTCAAAGTCGCAGCAGGGCTTCCGCGTTTTTATGTGCGGCCCTTGGTGGAGTTTCACCTGAAATGAAGCAAACCTTCTCTGATAAAAAGCCAAGCGAGCCAATGGCGGTACCACAGTGCTCCCGTACAATACGAGGAGCCCGTCTCGTGAAGATGAAATACGGACGGAGTGGAGGGGTGTTGCTAGCTCGTTCGAGAAGGTCCACACCGATCCTTGCCTGTATATGGCTGGAAGAGGACGGACGTGCGCGACTAAACCCCGTCCACGATGGTGCCGCCTCGGAACGGTTTCTATTAATAAACACCACGTTCGTATCGCAACCATGCAGCACTGCGAACGTTGCGTGATGTGATTGTGCCATGCGTCATCACGTTCGATCCAAGTGAAAAGAGCGAAAGAACCGAGTGCGCGAGGATACCAGAATGGAAGGAAGACGTTCAGGAGCCACGGGCAGCAAATGCGCCTTCCTTGGTTGAGCTGATCTGCTGTTGGTGCGATAAGCTTAAATCCTCGCCAGCAGCTAAGATCCGCCTTGCGTCAGCCACATAGTCATTATTGTGACCACAGATGGAAGACGGTTGATCATCAGGCGTGTCTGTGGGTCTTGTGCTGGTCTACGGGGAGAAGACGACGAAAGAGAAGAAGAGAGGGAAACATGAAAGAAGCGATGGTATAGGTGAGAGCGACGGGGAGAGGGTGACGAGGGTGACGTAGGTTATTTATCAGAGAGGATGGAAAATGATTTGATAGATGAATCATTTGATGGGCCTGCAGGCGGGTCCCTGATTCAGGCGACTGTTGGTTAGCGGAGCTATTACGCCATACCATCCGAAGCTGAAGCGTCCGAGAGGGAAATTCTTAGCGCTTCGAGCGAATTGAGAGGTAATTTTAAGCGCAAACGTGTCACCGTTGAGGATGAGGAAAGCGATTCCCTTGGAAATGCCCAACACACGCTTTTCCAGTGCAGCGTAGACCACTCCACACCCACCATAGTCTGTCCGTACGTTTTTGAATCCCCTCGCGGTCCACGCAGTGTTGTGAATTGGAGGTGCGGAGACGGAGACTATCCGCTCATGACTGTTGCAGCAGTACCGCCACTACGGACGTACTCCAGCGACGGGTGCAGCCTTCCACGGGCTTGGCATGTAAGGTGAAGATTGGGTGAGGTTGGGTGAGTTTTGGGGAACAGCCGATGCCAAGGGGTTGGCAAACCCGCCACAAGCCGGTAGTCGGGCCCGGCACCTGGTCATTCGTGGGGTGGACAGCCGCGGTGCCACTCCGGATTCCTGGTCGGCTCATCGTCTCCACGAGCCGATGAACATATGTCAGCGTCCCCGCTCCGTAGCCGCAGATGCGCGAACTCTGCTGCTTGGCTTCGCTTAGCCCCTGAACCAGATGCTGCTTGTCTTGCGAGAGAAAACCACTCTGCGGGACAACGAACATCAGGAATTTACCCTCCACGCCAAGCAGCTAGCTCGTGGAGAGGCAAGCCCAGAAAATCCGCCAGCTGCAGGCACCACTTCCAGCAGACATCCGCGCCCGATCATGTGCCCCGGACGATGCCGCCTCTTGGCAGTCCCCCATGCACCCCACAACCGGACTTTCCGGCTTTTCCTGTCCAGCAGCAAAGGTCTTCCCGTGCCCTGTCCCCAGAACTTCTGCTCGCATTTGCCGACCGCACTGCTGTCTGCCCCGCTCCTTTGTCGTTCGCCAAGTAGTGGCGTCGGATTCGACATGAGAGCGTCTCCAGGTCCGAATCTCCAGAAGTCACACTTCCATTGCCAAGGCCGGCTGACGTCTATAAGTAGTACGTCCGGCGTTGGTCGGTGAAGGAGGTACAGGCCTCAGGACTCAGTCTCTGCTTCTACTCCATCTCCAACATGTGGATTCCCCTTCTCCAAGCCTCCAATGCCCGGCCACAAAGCACATGGGGTTCAGCTCTGATCGCCGCCCTGGTATCCACTTCCATCGTCTCCGCCAGGGCCCTGCCGAGAGCAGATGATGGAAGTGATGCCGTGCCGGCATACCGCAACCCCACGCTCTGCGTGCAAGAGCGTCTGGATGACTTGATCGGGCGAATGACGCTGGAAGAAAGGCCGGCCAGCTGTTCATCAAGCAGATCCCCATGGGCACCAACGGCACGGTCGACACCGCAACCTTCACCGCCAACTACACGACCAGCAGCCTCATCGGCGAGAAGCTCATGACGCACTTCAACCTGCAGTCCAGCGGCAAGGCCAGCGACATAGCCAAGTGGCACAACAGCATCCAGGAGCTCGCGCTGCAGACGCGGCTGGGCATCCCCATCACCCTCGCCACCGACCCGCGCCACTCGTTCGCCGAGGTGGCCGGGGCCGCCGTGGGCGTCGGCTCCTTCTCGCAGTGGCCCGAGACGCTGGGGCTGGCGGCGCTGCGCAGTCCGGACCTGGTGCAGCGCTTCGGCGAGATAGCACGTGAGGAGTACATGGCAGTGGGCATCCGGCAGGCGCTGAGCCCGCAGATCGACCTCTCGACGGAGCCGCGGTGGGCGCGCACGGGGCAGACGTACGGCGAGGACGCCAACTTGACCAGCGCCCTCGTAGTGGCCTACCTCAAGGGCTTCCAGGGCGACAAGCTCGGCCGCCACTCCGTCACCACCGTCACGAAGCACTTTCCCGGCGGCGGCCCGGCCAAGAACGGCAACGACTCGCACTTTGAGACCGGCAAGGACAATGTCTTCCCCGGCGGCTACTTTGATTACCATTTGGAGCCCTTCAAGGCCGCCATCGCCGCTGGCGCGAGGCAGATGATGCCGGCGTATGCTCGCCCAATTGGCACCAAGTACGAGGAGGTTGGCATGGGCTTCAACAGGGGCATCGTGACTGAGCTGCTGCGCGAGGAGCTCGGCTTTGACGGCATCGTCGTCAGTGATTGGGGTCTCGTCACCGACTTCACCGCGCTGGGCGAGGACATGGAAGCCATCTCGTGGGGCGTCGAGAACCTGACGGAACTGCAAAAGGTTGAAAAGATTCTCAACGCCGGCGTCGACCAGCTGGGCGGCGAGATCCGGACCGAGCTGGTCATCCAGCTCGTCAACGATGGCATCGTGCCCGAGTCGCGGCTGGACGAGTCGGTGCGGCGGTTGCTGAAGGAGAAGTTCGAGCTCGGCCTCTTCGACAACCCCTTCGTCGACCCGGAATCCGCAGACCGCGTCGTCGGCAACGACTACTTCAGCCGCATCGGCAACGAGACGCAGCGCCGCGCCTACACCCTCCTCAATAACCCGGACGACCTCCTCCCGCTCCCACTCAACACCGAAACCAAATTCTACGCCGACGGCTTCAACGCGTCCTACCTCCTCGCCCGCAACCTTAGCGTCGTTGACGCCCCCGAGGACGCCGACTTCGCCCTCCTCCGCCTCTCCACCCCCTACGAAGCCCGCGGCGGCGGTTTCGAGAGCCACTACCACCAGGGGCGGCTCGACTTCAACGAGACAGAAGTCGCCCGGCATGCCGCCATCATGTCGGCCGTACCGACCATCGTCGACATCTACCTGGACCGGCCCGCCGTGATCCCCGAGCTGGCCGAGGGGTCGGCCGCGCTGCTGGGCAATTTCGGCGCGAGCCCGGACGCATTCCTCGACGTTGTTTTTGGGACGGATGGGTGGAAGCCAGAGGGCAAGCTGCCCTTCGACCTGCCGCGGTCAATGGAGGCGGTCGAAGCACAGCTGACGGACGCGCCGTTCGATACTGCGAACCCCGTGTACCGCTACGGCCATGGGCTGAGCTATGCCGAGAAGTGTTGAAGTGGCTTGCTCAATGTTGTAATGCTTAACGAGTGTCCTAAACCAAAAGTAATATCATACAATTCATATACCACCTTCAAACCCTCTCAACCGCGCAAACCTCTCACCCCCACCCCCACCTCACGCCTTCCCCGCCGCCAACGTCGGCGTCGGACTGCACGTCGCCACCTTCAACCCCTCGGTAAACCGACTCAACCCATCCGCCGCCAACCGATCGCCCGCCGCCCCGTCCGCCACCGGCACCGTCCCCACAAACGCATTGAAGTTGTAAATCCCACACACACAACTCGCACTCACCTGCTTCGCGCCCTCCCCGCTCAACACCACCTCGCCCCCCCTCTTCACCTCAAACCCCTGCTTCCCCACCCCCATCGGCACCGCCCACACGCTCGCCCCAACTCCGACCTCCTTCTCCACCACCCCCTTCCCCCCCGACGTCACCGCCACCGTCGCCGTGCCCCCCTCCCCCATCAGCGCCGCCACGAACACCGAGTCCGCCACCAGCCCCGCCCCGTTCGGCGCGCTGCCGACGTTGTCCGTCGCGTCGCAGTCGGACAGCCCCTTGGGCTGCGGCCGGTACCAATACACGAGCTTGTCGCCGCCGGTGGCGGCGACGTGCGCGGCGGTCACGGAGGTGGCGCCCGCCTTGTACGCGGCGATGAAGGGCGCGGCGAGGGCGGCCCAGCCCGAGTGCGGCATGTCGTTTGTCCACTTGGAGTTGCCGTCGTCGTAGTGCGGCGAGGAGAGCGGGGAGATGTAGTGGGATTCGCCGAAGTCTGTGGGTGGGGGCTGGATGTTAGCGGGGGAGGGAGGGAGGGGAAGGGATTGGGCGGGGAGTGAGGGATGGGACTGCGACGGACCGTTCCAGGTGATTATTTCGACGAAGCGCGGGCCCAGCTTGAGGAGCTCGTTCCAGCGCGTGAACCAGAGGTCGTCGGCGGGGAAGAGCCAGTTCTTGCCCGCGAAGCTGGCCGTGTCTTGGAAGTGCGTGAAGAACCAGGGGGAGACGGCTGGGGAAGGAGCGGTCAGTCAGTCAGTCTGGCTTGTGAGGGGTTGCTGCTGGGTTGTTGTTGCGGCACTTACGCGCGACGTATCTGGACTTGTCGCCGCCGAGCTTGGCCGTGTAGTCGTTATCTGCGAACGAAGGCAGGTAGGTGCTGGATGAGCTCGGCGGGTTGTTCGAGCCGTCGGTCGGCCAGCCGTACCTTTTGCATCGTCAGTGAGGGAGGAAAGGCGGCAAGTGTGAGGCACACGGAGACGTACCAGCTGAAGGCGCCGTCCAAGGCGCTGAAATCGGCGCCGGAGCCGGGGTTGAAGTTGGGGGCAAAGTACAAGGGGATGCCGGCGGCGTCCCTCATGGCCGAAACGTCCAGGGCGTCGCCAACGAAGGTGGACACGAACGCCTTGTCATCGACCTTGAGCTGGGCCGAGCGGCTTCCGAATGCGGCAATCTTTGCTCCGATGGCGGCGGCATCCGACGTCGGCCACTGCCCGTCGTTGAAGTCGAAGGATAGGAAGACCTTCATGCCGTTGCTGGCGGCCGAGTCGTACGCGTAGACCAACTGCTGTGTGTAGTTGGCGCCATCCGTGTCCGGGCCGAAGTTGAGGGCGAAGGCGTCGATGCCGAGTGCTTTGGCGCCTTGCATGTCGGCATTGAAATCGGCAGCGCTGGTGCGGTCGGTAACGATTCCGATCTAGATGATGGTGAGCCTGTGTATACAGCCACGAAGGGTGGTTTCGCAGTACCATGAAGTGGGCAAAGACATATCTGTCGGTCGACTGCCTTTCCACGACCGTCTTGGAGGGCGTTTCGGCCGGTGCAGCGGCGGCGATGGATGCGAGACCCAGCCCGCTGGCTAGGGCCTGTAGAAGCTTGGGAGACCAGTACATTATGGACGATTGCGAAGTTGCACCAAGCTGCCTGGGCCAGGAGCGGCGGATAGGGATGGTTTTAAAGTCGACGGTCTTGGGAGACGGCGAACGGACCCAGACGGAGACCAACAGTATCGTGTTTCTTCAAGGCTGATTGGGCTGGGCTCACCCCGTATTCAGAGACCGTTGCCATTTTCACGGTTATTTGGCCCCCGCACACAGGGGCTGTTGGACGTGGCTGTCGGCCGCTTTACCACTACGGGCGATATCGACGGGTACCTTTTTGGGGGCGGAATCCTCGCCTGAATCTGTCTCCAGTCAACCCACAGACCTGCAACTCGGGTTACAAGTAATTATGAATAGTACCTCGTCCGTTGCTTACCTCTCACTCGTTCTATTGAGAAATAAAAGTAATGGAAGAGCCCGCTTTGGGAGGTTATCTCAGCTGTGCTGGCCGCTAATCTATAAATAGTTCATTTCTGTCTCAGAATGGCTCCGGATCCCCAGATCAAAGCCCAGCTAGCCGTCCTCGGTTTTTTTCCAGAATAAATTTTAATAGCATCCCAAAACAATGGAGGCATTCGTCCGTGGAGTTTCTCGGAGAGTTTGTCCGATCTTTGAGTATGATTCCGAACATATGGCAAGAGAACTTCCAAGTACCTAGTCCGTTCTGAACCAATTATGATTACCCTGGTACCAATACCCGCTCTTCATGTAGTGATGTCGTCAATCATAGCCAAGATAACAGATGTAGTGCGATGCGACTTTTGCTAATCTCGACCGGACGGGTTGGTGTCTGCATTTGCAATGCGCCAAGCGAGTATTCTCAGTCATGTTTGCCATCTTTAACTCACCACGGCTCCTGCTTGCTTCTCCTGCACAACCACGCCGGGCAGGGCCGTAGGATTCGGCGGTAGCGGGAAGCAGAGCCGAGGCGGGCCATCGTGGGGCTTGTGGGCGACTTTCTGGCCGCAGCTCTGGCAGAAATGATCCGCATCGCAGTACATCATGCAGCAGTAAGGGATGCAGGCGCCAATCACACCGCATAGAAAGCACCAAATCATCGCCTCGTGTGCCGGCCTTTTGGAAGACTTCTACTCCACGCGCGTCATCCCGCGTTCGTGGCAGTGCGGACAGTCGATGCACATGGAAAACTCGTCCAGTTCGCTGATTGGGAAGGCTTTTTGTAGCGACTTGGGTGCTGCTTGCTCCCTGCATGTCCTTTAGTGTTGGTGATTGAGGTTGAAGCTATTTCAAACACCCTGACTCAGTGGCCACAAACGACCGTAAAGATGGACAGAGGTTTGGCAGACACGGCAAGCGGAGTCGATCCTGGTGAGGAAAAAGCAACCGCTCTGTATCCCCACGTGGATATTTATACAACAAGCATTTTCAGCCGGGAGTGGTGATGAAGGGACGGAGTCATAGGCTGGACCGCTCGAAGGATCAGGAAGTCGGCCCCCAGGACCAAAATCCCGGTCGGCACCGAAGCCGCTAAAGTCAGCCACACCGGGCTGCTATTCGCTTGCGAAGCCGCAAGGTGGTGCTATCCAATATATTCTTCTCTGATTGACAGGCACGCCGTCGCCGTGATACTACATGGGTGCTCATACGGCCCTTCGGTGCACACCAATGCACTCTATCTGCCTTTCCGATGCAACGGTCACTCCCGCGATTCTAAAAGAAGCGCACCGTCTCCGTACGCCACAAGGCAACTGCGGCAGATTTTTCAGACTGTGTGCCAACACAAAGCGACGTCCGGTTAAAGGGCCTACTCGCCCAGCCCCGGATAACAACGCTGATTCACTCCACATTACTCGCCATGTGGCCTTTCCTCAGATAAACTTATCAGCGAACACCCTTTACCGAGAGGCGGACGTAGATGGCGGGGGGACCGTGCGGAAGGAAGCTTTTAGTATTGACTCGTGAAGCTTTTGCATTTCCAACGACAGGCCATGCCGCGGATGCGATCACATTCATCAACCTTGCCTTGGAAGCCTCCACAGGAACCTTCTGTCTCGAACAGGCACAGGGCGCGACACTTGCCGACTTGAAGCATGGGAGAAGCCATTCTACGTCTCACAAACACGTCAAGACACGACATTATTGTTGGGGGAAGAATAGACAATAATTCTCTCAACTATTTACAGACAAAGACTCCGAATCGTATCTCCGGTCCCATCCTCTGTGTCTCTCTCTCCATCTCTCACAGACAACCAAAAACACCCCAAACATACCAATATGCCTGCTCCTCCTTCACGTTGTCCTCCCTTACTGCGCACCAACGACCTTGCCGTCCTGGCAGACCATGCCAGCCGCGACGTCCTGGAAGACGACGTTGCCGCGGTTGCACAGACCGTACTGCGAGGTGCCGTTGCAGACGACCTGGCCGTCGGTGGCGTCGGTGCACGCGCTGTTGGCCTCGCCGAGCGACGCGACCTGGGTGGCCTGGGAGACGGCCTGGGTGGCGGCCGAAGTCATGGTCAGGAGGGTGGTGGCGGCGACAGAGGCGGCAGAGGTGACGGGCTCCTCGGCGGCGGCGGCGGCGGCGGCGGCGGAGGGAGAGGAAGAGGCGGGGGCCTCGGCGAAGATGCCGGCGGCGGAGGGCGCGGGGGCGGCGGTGGTGGCGACGGAGGAAGAAGAAGAAGACTCCTCAGACGAGGACGAGGAAGACGAAGACGAAGAAGACGAAGCCTTGCTGCTGCCGCCGGCGCACTGGCCCTTGGGCGCGGCGAGGCCGCCGGTCAGGACGTCCGAGGTGCCGGTGACGAGGCTCTCGCCCGGGTTGGGGAACTCGAGGACGTGCTCGCCCTGGGCCAGGCAGGTGGGCAGGGTGCCGGCGGCGAGGAGGCTGGCCTGGGTGACGGTGCTCTCGAGCAGGGAGCTGACGGCGGAGAGGCCGGCGTCGAAGGTGGTGAAGCCGAGGTTGGCGACGAACATGTCGGGCAGCTCGTTGAAGGCCGAGTCGTCGTCGGCGCCGCCCGAGACGGTGACGGGGGCGCAGTTCATGTACATCTCGGGCGCGTAGCTGGAGACGGGGAACCAGGTCCAGGCGAAGGTGACGTCGCCGTTGGGGATCGAGTCGGGCAGCGAGTACTGGAAGCTCGACGTCTTCTGGTTGAAGCCGGGGCAGCCGCCCTGGATCGAGTGGAACACCTTGAACACCGACTTGGCCGTGGGCTTCTTGTCGAGCGTGACCGACAGCTGGCAGGACCCGCCGTCGTGCACGGCGGCGCCCTGGGTGCTGCCGATCTCAGCGATCTCGGCCTCGGTGCCCGGGTAGAAGTCGAGCGTGTACTGGTTGCCGACGGCCAGCGTGGTGCGCTCCGTCTCCGAGTACGTCTGGAACTTGCACGGGTACTGGTCCGTGGTGAGCGGGCTGCGGTCCTGCTTGAGCGACGTGGCGTCGTAGGGCACCGGGTGCTTCATGGTGATGTGGGCGCTGGCCAGCGGCAGGGCGGCCATGGCGGCAACGCCGACGGTGGAGAGGCTGGGAACCATTTTTTCTTTGAAAGAGTGTGTGTGTGTTTGTGTGGGTGAGTAAGTAATGAAGGGACAGACCGGGCTCGGCTGGCAGTTGAAACAGAAACGAGTGAAGTAACGACTGTGCAAAGGAATGGAGGGCGAGGTGGTGGGAGGGAACGAGTAACGACCGGGCCAAGACACAAGCACTTAAGTACCCTCGCCGTGGGGAGGTGGGAAAATGAGATTGGCAGCTGGGGAGCTCGCCAAATGAGCGGCTCTGCAGCGCGGATGGGGATCTACACTCAGGTTGCTGTGCCACAGCGCGTGGTCCGACTGGCCCAGCTGCCCCCTCTTGGCTCACCGCGCGCACCAGAACTAGGAGCCATCTCCGAGCTGGTGGATCGCACTGTGTATAAGTGCCACGCGGCGCGCACTCGCTCTGCAGTCACTTCCAAATTGCCGTCAGCGCTGGTGTAGACCCAGGACCATCAGGCACCCGCACGGCTTCGGCTATGCCCCCAGCATCGGCCGTCAGGGTCCTAAAGCGCGCTAGGCACCGGCATTGAAACCACTGCATGGTGATCAGGAGCGCGATCGGCATCGGCCCGTATGCGCGCAGGAAGCCGCCGAAATTCATGCGCCTCAGCCTTGTGAGAAGGGGTGCAGGTACAAAAGGGCGCCACGGAAAGGATGCGGAGAAGGATTCGGCTGTTTTGGTGCGCTGGCGTGTGTGGCGGTGAAGCTCTGGATATGCCACCTTAATTCCTTCAGCTCCCCTTTGATCACCGAAACGCAGCTTCATTTGCTCTTCCCGCGTCTCGCCCATCTCTTCATTCAGCTGTTCTACCTGGCTGTTGACGTCTCTTTCTGGCCCGTCCGTTTCTTCGCTGATGGTTGCATCCAAGACGCGGCGATAGACTGTTCTCCGAATAGCGAAGGCGACTGCTCGAGTCTGCCCACTTGCATCTTTACCGCGTTGTTGCACCCTACTTCTGTGGATGGTGGGATATATGAGCCTTCAACACCAAAGCTCGGTCCGGATACTGGATTCAACGTCCTACGTAGAAAGCGTGTAGCGGCTTCGGCGGGGTCTGGAGGCTCAAATCTTCTCTACCTTGGTATACGCAATAGCGACTATTGGGAATGATAGCCGAAGCCTCAACAACTCTGGCCCCTTTCCCAGCATAGAGCGCAGAAGGGTTTGTGAAGCTGGAAAGTGGCGGCCAAACCTTGAGAGCAGCGATGCTTAACACAGCCTTGATCGCTCGAGCAGAAGCTTGGCAGAAACATAAAGGAACTGCAACGATCCCACACAATCCCCAGAGGACTTATTCTTAGGCACAAAGTTCACATCTGGCACGACAGCCACAGGATGGCCTTGGATCTGGAAGCACAGGCCGCCAAGGTCGTGTCGAGCGCAGCGGTAACACGTTCCGGAAGGGGGGACCAATTCACACACAGGTGTTCCGGGCGCACGCATGTGCGACCTGAAGAATGCCACAGTCGAGGAAATGATGCAGGAAGCGGATCCTCCCTTCCGCAGGCACTGTCTGCACAACAGAGACTCCTCTGCAGCATGACGAGTATCCTCCTCGCAGACTCGAAGACGGGAGGTTCCCCTCACGCACAAGACGACAGCCCCTTAACAGACCCCATCTCTTCCCCCAAAGGAGCACAGACGGCTGTGTAGGTATCGACGATCGGCTTGCTTGCGAGTCTGCAAACTATTGAGTCGGTGCGCGGCTTCCTGTTGTATATGCTACGCTGCAAGCAGAAGGGAAGGCCAGCACGAGGGGCGACTCGTTGGACGGGGTCCAGGCGCAGGGACGCGGGCTGCGGGCTGCGCATGCCATGTACGCGACGGTTCGTGGCAATGATCGATGTGACGGTGGTTACAAAGGCGGACGTATCGGCGATGATGGTAATGCGAACAGCGCGATGATGAACATACGAGGAGCATCGATGACGGCAAGACTGGCGACCTGACCGGGGGTGCGGAGAAAGTGTTTCCCCTGAAGCGGCTCCCCAGGCCCCCCGTTCCTTCTCCCTTATTTCTAACCAACATGCTCCGTGGAATTTCTTTGAAAAACGTGCGAGCTTCTGCGTAGGATGAGACGTCCGGTTCGACACAGATGGAAACTCTCATGACAACACTTTGCCCATGCGACGCTACTTCTTAAGCAAAGCCGCGTAGAGAATATCGCTTCGTGCAAGGAAAAACACCAAGCGCAAAAGCTCAACTCTGCGATCAGCTAGCCACGATATTTCTTTTGAGCTCTGTCATACCAAGCTAACACAGATTCGCTCGTTGTGCTCGTCCAAGGCAGAGCGTGTGTGCTTAAGCGCCGCCACGCACAGGAACCCCGCTCTTGCAGGCAGCTGCCAACTCAGCCACACGGCTGGACTCAGCAGTCAAGACATAGCCTGGTCCCCCTTGACTTTTGAAATCATCAATGATAAACCTTGAACTACTCACCATGCCCCACCCACAAAGTGCAGCCAGTTCGGCCTCATCCACGTTGGTTTCCGGTGTTCATTTCCGAGGAGGCCTTGCTGACTTCAGCCGAAGAGGACCGGGCTTCTTTCCCCCCTTCAGTGTCAACGTACTGCCAGATCCTACACCAGACCTGCCGTCGCATCAGGCGTCGCCCCGGTCACCAGACGAGAACGACTCGCTCCTGCTCCCAGCCACATGGCGAAATGCGCAGGACGACATTGAGACTCCGAGAGGGAGATGCCAGCATTTCCTGACCAAAGATCTGTGTGTCGCTCGTTTAAACGCCATCCACAAATCAATGTGGGTTGTAGGTCGACCAATGCCACCCCGGCCGCTCACCGCCCAGCTTGTGCACCGGCGCGAGATAGTCATCACCGAGGACATCAACCTGCATCTCGTGTGGGCGAAAGGATGCATGTTTCTGAAGCCGCTGCCGCGCTACCTCGTCGTCCCGAGTTTCTGGGAGAGGCATTTGTGTCCTCCGCCCGCCGAACCTCCTGTGACCACCTGCCCGACCCATCGAGACACATCGGCGCACAAGCACGATGCCGCCTCGGTTGCAGAGCTGGCTTCGTGCGCCGCCGGCTTTCTATTCACGTGGACGGCTCTGATTGCGCACGAGAGCGACTGGAAGATTGCGCACGACAAGGGCCTCATTCCAAACGACCTCTCGTGGTACGGATGGAAAGCTCTCACCGAGGATTTTCTTGATCCAAGCCGCCGACCCGCCAGTAAAATCTACCGGGCAATCAACGAGCGATTCCACTACGGGGAGCTGCGGCTCGGTCGGTTGAACAAGATCTACCGGCTGCAGAAGCTCCATGTGCGCGGCTACCTTTTCGGCTACACCATGAAGTCGGACTTTTTTGCAGAGAACTTCACTCGGCTCGCCTCGGTGCTGGGGTACATTGTCATTGTCTTGACAGCCATGCAGGTCGGCTTGGGCACCGAGAGGCTCCAGGCATCTCCGATGTTCCAGGCCGCGTCCTACGGCTTCACCGTCTTCTCCATCATCGCGCCGTTGATAGCCGTGGCACTGGTGCTGGCTGTGTTCCTGTACCTGGTGTTGTGGAACGTCAAGGAAACGAGAAAGTACGAAAGGAACCGCTTCAAGGACATGGGTCTCAAGGACGGCAGTTCGAAGAAAACAAGGACCAACTTGTCGATGGCGTAATGATTACAGTAGTACTACTCCCCCTTCCTTTTCTTCCTTGTGACTTCTCTCATGACCTTTGCGTCCGACTTCCACATCAACGGTAACCACCTGGGGTACTTGAATATCCTCAACATCTTTTGCGGCTCAACGATGACGTGGAGATGGAGGTGGTGGATGGATACAATATCCGGCCAGAAGACGGTCCCGATCAGCGCCCTTCTTCCTCTATGATAGCCCGAGTGGACGGATCTGGGAGGGGCTCCAGGGCAATGCACATCCAGAAGGAAGCGTTTCACCTTGTCCAGGCGTTCAACTGTGGCCGACTTGTCAGCTTGTATGCACGAGTGCACGGGACCAGAGAGGCAAATACGCAGCGGAAGGTGCTCGGCGGTAAGAGCCTCTATATCTCGCAAGTGCTTCTTCGGAATCAACAGCCAGTGGTGTTTGCCGGCAAGTCGTTCGTTCTCGAATGCAATGACGTCCGCATCCTGTCCACACCAGAGTCAGCTGACATGGAAACACAGCAGTCTCCGGGAATAACTGACCTCGTAAACAATGTTCCGGAAATTCTTGGAGTCGCAGAATTTGCAAACGTCCTGCCTTCTCTCCGTCCACTCCAAGCCGGCGAGATAGCGACCGACTTGGCACACAACGGCAGCCGCTCTGTGCAACATGTGCTGGAACCTCTTCATCGCATCTTGGTGATATCGTCGCATGCGCCTTACACCCTCGTCTGGTGCCGGCTTTTGTATGAACTGCTCAAACTTCTATCTAGAGCAGGCATCCGTTGCGGCGGCGTTGCAGCGGCACAGCGGTGAGGGTGAGGCAGAAATTGGCGACTGCGCCTTAAAAGGGAGGGCCGGGCGGCGGGGCTGTGGCGTGTGAGACGGTAGCCTCTATTGGCAGCTGACTAAGTATGCAGGACCAATCAAAGACCACGGCATCGGGCAGTGCTTGACATCTGCCTACACTTGCCCAGGGAAATAATGGCTGTGGAAATTCGGACTGATCTACGCCATCATCCAGGCAGAACATACCCAAGCGGCCATCTACCATCTGGACTCAAGCAGCGGCGCCTCATTCCGCATACTTTACTACGTGACCAATATGCCCCACAAGTTACAACACTGCCACAGTAGGCGCACTCTAGACGGGCGAAACCCAGCACCATCCACCCATCCATCGTCACGCTAACCACACCTACAACCTCGCCTTCGCCCCCTCCCTCGCCTCCCTCTCCCTCTGCCTCTGCCTCTGCCTCGCCCTCTCCGCCTCCCCCCTCCACCACCCCAGCCTCACCTCCAACACCTCCTCAAACGTCTTCACCCACCGCCCATCGAACCTCGGCAACACCCTCCCCGTCGTCCCCTCCGCCGGCTCGCCCGCGACCTCCCTCAGCGCCTCAAAATACCCCTCCCAATCCGGCGCCAGCGTGTAAAACGGCCTCCCCTCGCCGCGCTCCTCCAGCCGCGCCCGCTCCCACCGCCTCATCGCGTCCGCGCCCGGCAGCGCCGCGCGCCCTGCCAGCACGCGCGCCGCGGCCACGGCCTGCCACTCGAAGGCGCGGAACGTGAAGCCGCCCGCGACCGCGCCGATGAAGACCAGCGGCGGCGCCGGCTGCGTCGCCGTCGCCGTCGTTGTCGGGTCCGCGTCGATCCGGAACACGTGCAGGTACAAGCCCGGGATGCGCCGCCGCTGGACGATGTCGACGTGCGGCAGGAACGGCAGCGTGAAGGCGTAGCCCGTCGCGAAGACGACGGCGTCGACGGACGGGAGGGAGGTCCCGTCGGCGAAGTGGATGGCGCCCGAGTCCGGGTCGAAGCGAGTGATTTCTTTTTTGGTGGCGATATGCGGGTGCTGGAAGGGGACCCAGCCGAGCGAGGGGACGGGCTGGCGGAGGGAGGCGTAGACGGGCTGCTGGGCGGCGTCTTTGATGTCTTGGAGGATGTCGATGGCGGAGATGGCGCCGCCGACGACGACGACGCGCTGGTGGTGGTGGTTTGTTAGCGGGGATGATTGGGTGGGGGAGCTGGACACACACACACACCTTGTTTCTGAAGGGCTCGGGGGATCGGTAGTGTTTGCTGTGGTGGATGCGGCCCGGGAAGCGTTGGTCGTACTCGATCAGGCCGGGGATGTTGGGGATGAAGGGCACGTAGTAGTGACCCGACGCCACCACCAGCGCGTCAAACGTCTCTTGCCACCACACGTCCTTGTCTTTGCCGGGGATCTCCTTGCGCAACGTGAGGATCCACTCGTCGCCTCGCTGCTCGGCCAGCTCCACCGTCGTGCTGAACTCGACGAGCTTCGTGTGGCCTGCTTGGACGAAGATGTTCTCCACCCAGTCTCGGATGACGGATCGGTGCCGGAACGGGGCGTCTGGGCCAAACCGCGAGAGGCTCTGCTCCGAGACGATGTTCGGAAACGGCTCCTGGGTGTAGTCCATGACCGACGGCGGTATGTTGCTGTGGAGGTGGTCCCACACCGCCGTGTGCGTGAATCGGCTGTCGTGGCCATTCACGGCCTCGGATCTTGGTGTCTCTGCCGGGAACTGTGATGGGATTGGCACCGGAGCGTCGGCCTTGCCCTCTACCACGTCTCGCAGCGACGGGATTCGCGGCTCGAGATCCGGGTTGAACACCCTGCACGGACGTGAGTGGGTGAAGTCATCATCGAAAGTCGAGCTCACCATGTTCCGCCGGCGACGGGCTTCCTCTCGAAGACGCGAATCACGCTGAAAGCCTGCTCTTTGACGAGTGCATCGACGGAAATGGCCCCGGCAGGCCCGGCCCCGACGACTGCTACTCTTTTTGCTTTTCCAGACATGACTGCGCAGAGATATCATTTGAGAGGCTGCATTGAATAAATACGGGGCTCGCTCGGGAGAGCACCAGCTGGACCGATAACATTATTTGGTACAACAATGACGACTCTTTCTGTATCCATTGTTCTTATCGTGCAATACCCAGGGCAGACAGTGGTTGGCCGTGCTCAGCTCTGAGGTTTCAATTCCCCGCAATGACGCCATCGGAGCTATCGGTCCACCCTGTCGGCTACACAAGAGCTGCAATTCCTTTGTCAATTCCTCCTCGTGGGTGTTGATATGTGAATGTTCTGTTCTGTCGAGTCGACCTTGGTGGATTCTGCAGTTCCTGTGCTCATTATTGTTCCTACGACCCGTTTCAAACTTTAGATCTTCGGTTCAATCCGCGCTCCAGCCTTTGCTTGGTCGATCCAAGCGTGCGGATCCCCCAGGTAGGTCTTGGCCCGCAAGTCGCCCGATCGAGCATGGCCTTCAAAGTTCTCCGCCCTCGAGCACCTGCCACAGAGCCGTCCGAGTTCCCCGCTTGCCTTCTCATCAACCACTTCCTGGTACGTCTGAGTTTTGAGATACTTGCCCACCCACAAGCCACCCGTGTACCGCCCGGCCTTCCGCGTCGGCAACACGTGGTTGGTACCAATGCACTTGATTGCAGTTGTCAGTTTCTGGATCGTGACTCGATCCGCGTGATCAAAACTCACCTTGTCCCCGTACGAAACACACGTCTTCTCCCCCAGAAACAAGGCCCCGTAATTCGTCATCTTCTCCAGCGCCTCCCGCGGATTCTGGGTTAGAATCTGCACATGCTCGCTCGCATACCCGTCGGCGACGGCATACGCCTCGTCGACGCCCCCATCCACCACCACCACCTCGCCCCAATCCCGCCACGACTTGCCCGCCAGATCCGCCGTCGGCATCTCCTTTAATATCTCATCCACATACGCCATGGCCTCCCTCGCCACGCGCTCGCTCGTCGCGACCAGCACGGCGGGCGTGTCGGGCCCGTGCTCCGCCTGCGACAGCAGGTCGGTGGCGACGGTGAAAGGGTCGGCGGCCTCGTCGGCCACGACCAGCACCTCGGTCGGCCCCGCGAGCAGGTCGATGCCGACCTCGCCGAAGAGCTGGCGCTTGGCGTCGGCCACGAAGGCGTTGCCCGGCCCCGCGATGAAGTGCACCTTGCTGATGGTCGCCGTCCCCAGCGCCATGGCCGCGATGGCCTGCGTGCCGCCCACGATGTGGATCTCGTCCGCCCCCGCGAGGTGCGCCGCCGCCACCGTCGCGTGCGGGATCCCCCCCGCGATGGGCGGCGTGCACGCCGTGATGTGCCGCACCCCTGCCACTTTGGCCGTGAGGATCGTCATGTGCGCTGACGCGAGGAGCGGGTACCGGCCCCCGGGGATGTAGCTGTGGTGGTGGTGAGCGGGGTGTTTTTCTTTTTCTTTTTTCTTTTGTACTGGGGGGTTTGGCTTACGCTCCTGCGGATTCGATGGGGTTGTTTCTTTGCCCCAGGAAGACGCCAGGTTGGATCTCGACTTCAAAGTCTTTGATGCTGGCGCGTTGGGCTTCGGCGAAGAGGCGGACGTTGTGCTGGGCTTGCTTGATGTCGGCGATTGTTTGGGCGGGGACTTTGGCTATGCTGTCTTGGATCTGGGCGGGCGAGAGCTTGAATGATGGGGGCGACCAATTGTCGAATTTTTCCGAGTAGGACCGCACTGCGGCGTCGCCGTTTTGGCGGACGTCGTCGATGACGCCTTTGACGATTTGGGATACGCGGTCCGAAGAGGAGACGTTGGCGGTCAGAGCCGCGGTTTTGAGGTGTCTGGGACTCATGATTGGTGACAGGGTCGCAAAGGCAGATTGTTCTTTGTTAGTGAAAGCTTTGGATTACTGCATCTCAGCTTGCACATACCCCGCATGTTTTATACGGCATCTATCTGGGAGGCATGCGGCCGGGTTATATTACCCGACGGCCTTCGGCTATTGACCGACTGCGGAGGCGGACCAATTCCTACCAGGATTACCACTCGGCCCCACACTCTTCATTCGTTGCAATAATCCTCGGCCCCACGCTGTTGACTTTAGCGCAACAGATCAGACGTCGGACCATGGGATCCATCAGTCCATATGATATCCGACATTGAGATATTACTGGATTCGCACAATTCCCCTCGAAACACAGCCACTGGAATATAGTCTATTTCATAGTCAACCACCTCTACGCCCTCTCCCTACACTGTTGTGGGCTCCCCGCATGCTGCACCACACTCCTCACCCGGCTGCCCTCCTCCGTGGCACTTAGCCCCTTCCAGTACCACTCCTCCAAGAGTTCCTCGTCGAATGAGTAGCAATATGAGAGCGATTCCGAGTCGAATCGGCAGCCGGGACTCTGGTCGTCTCCGGGTAGTTTGGCGGTACTGCAGTAATTAGACTGCGTCGACAACTGAAAGTGTAGTAGACATTTCAACAAAAAGCTGATTGGGCCAAGACTTCATTCAATGTTCAGGCACAACCGAACCGGCCAGTAAACTTGGCCCCGGAACTAAATGTGTTAGTTCGTACACAGTCTTGTGTCATTGGCCCATCTAAGCGAACAACGCGTGATGAGAAGTTGGTCAGATCCTTCCGAAGATGGGCAAGGTCAAAAAGGGGAACCGTCCAGTCCGGTCGTGACTGATTCTTCAACACCATGGAAAGCAACACCGTCGTTTTGGCCGTGGCCTTGGCTTGCGCCGTTGCCATTGGCTTCTCTCACTGGGCTACCGCCAAAGATCCACGGGAGCCTCCTGTTGTCCACGCCAGGATCCCCATCATCGGCCACATCGTTGGCTTCATCCGCCATGGCCAGCCCTACCTGAACCATTTGAGGTGCGCAACTCTCTCGCGTAATCCCCACGGCAAAGCTAACGTCATTCGATAGCGCGGCGCACCCACACCATCCAATCTTCACCGTGGACTTGCTCGTAGCCAAATTCTACGTAGTCGCGTCTCCGGCTTTGATGAGTGGCGTCCAAAGAAATCACCGCGCGCTGTCTTTTGAGTACTTCATCAACCTCTCTGCAAGCGGCATGCTCGGCATCAAAGGAGCGGGCATGAAGCTTCTGCGCGAAGAACAGAAGGGCGGCGGCGGACTGGGGATGAAGGTCACGCATGCCATGAACCCCGCCCTTCTCGGCGCCGGCCTGGACGCCATGAATGAGAGGATGATCGCCTTCCTCAAGGACTCGGTCGACCAGCTCGCTTCGTCCCAGGGCTCGCCCATCGACCTCTTCGCGTGGACGAGACATGCCATCACCGTTGCTGCCACCGAATCAGCATGGGGGCCGCAGAATCCTTACAGATCACCCGAGCTCGAAGATGCATTTTGGTATGCCACCGCTCCATACAACCCCACCTTCTAACCCCAACAGGACCATGGAAACCAACCTCGACAAACTCCTCTTCGGCATCATGCCAAAATACACGGCCAGAAAAATCTGGAACGCCCGCGAATCAATCGTCAAGGCATTCACCTCGTACTACCGCAACGACGGCCTCGCCTCGGCATCCGAAATGGCAAAAGCCCGCTGGCACGCCCAGCAAGAAGCCGGCGCGTCTCTGCCCGACACGGCCCGCCTCGAAGCCGGCCTCGGCCTCGGCCTGCTCTCCAACACCGTCCCCGCCGCCTTCTGGACGCTCTTCGAGCTCTGCTCGCGCCCCGCCCTCCTCGCCGACGTCCGCGCCGAGCTCCTCAAGCACGCCGTCCACATCAACAACAACAACACCAACAACGGCGTCCACGCAACCATCGACCTCGCCCAAATCCGCGACAAGTGCGAGCTCCTCGTCTCCGCCTTCCAAGAGACGCTCCGCACGCGCTCCAAAGCGATGCCGCTCCGCATGGCCTACGACGACGTCGTCCTCGGCGCCGGCGACCAGCAGCACCTCCTCAAAAAGGGCGCCATCGTCAACATGCCCAGCCCCGTCTTCCACCGCAACGAGGCCATCTGGGGCGCGCGGTCCGACGTCTTCGACCCCGCGCGCTTCGTCAGGGCCGGGCGCGACGACAAGGACCAACGACAAGCTGCTCGCCGCATGACCGGCTTCCTCGCCTTCGGCTTCGCGCCCAGCCTGTGTCCCGGGAGGCATTTCGCCACCGGCGAGGTCCTGGCTCTCGTGGCGATGCTGGTGCTGAGGTTCGACGTCGTGCCCGAGGGGGGCGGCGGCGGGTGGAATGTGCCGAGGGTAGAGGCGAAGTCGGCGGCGGCGTCGTTTTACACGCCGGCAGAGGAGGTGAGGGTGGTGTGTAAGTTGAGGAGGGAGTATGAGGGGGTGGAGTGGGGGTTTGGCGTGACGCCTGGGAAGGGGCGGTTCGGGCTTATCGTCGGGTAGGTGGTGTGGGAAGGGGGGTTTCCTGGGACGTGATGAGGGAAGAGATCATCGCAGAGAAATCCATTTTCCCATCTCCGGTGCATAGAAGACTATCATGGTATCTATCAGGAATCACATCATCTCCCCCCTACTCCACCGCCAACTCCAACCCCTCCTCCCTGCAATACCGATCCAGCTCCTCCACCGCCGCACTCGCCCTCACCCTCCTCACCACCCTCGCCTCCAACCCCAACTGCACTATCCCCACATCATCGTGAGCATCTACGTCCCCATCCCAGTCGTACCTCACCAGCGCCACACCGTCCTCTTCGTCCCACTCCTGGCGATCGACGACGATGGCGACCCGGCGGTGCGTGGAAGGGTGCGATTTGCAGAACCACGGGTACAGCCGGGAAATCTCAGCCCAGCCGTCGGTGCGACCCGAGTAGTTGCCTGCCATCTGCACGCGGAGCGCATCGGGCGCCTTGAGCATGTGGTCGGGCTCGAGAGAGTCGACGAGGCCGAGGACTGGGGCGGTCCGTTAGCGAGAGGTCTGCTGGTTAGACAAGCAGGGCAATACATACCACGCGGCACCAGGCTCCAGCATCCGTATTGCCAGCGAACGGCGGGAGCAGGCGCAGGAGCCGGCTGGGCTGGCTGGTCGGCGGCGGGCTGGCCGGGCTGGTCGTCGCCATGGCCGTAGTTCAGCTCCTCTTCTTCCTTGAGGTCGGACCAGTCCATGTTTCCGATGTCGAGGTTCGTGCCCCAGCTCGCGGCCATGTCGACTTCGCACCGGGCCTTGTCGACGCTGTCCTCCTGTTCATCCTGGGCGGTGTTGAGGTGGACGACGACAAGGCCCTTTGTCTGGTAGTCGACATCGGCAGCGACGATGAAATACAGCGGGTGAAGCGTCGTGTCTTCGTCCCTCATGCGCACGTGGTAGTCGAAAACGTGGCGCAGGGGGCGGCCTGGGAAGCTGGGCTGTGGGGCGAGCTTGCACGTGTCGTCTGCATACTCGGCTGAATTCAGCTCCGTCACTAGGGCCTGCAGCTGGCTTTGGTCGAGGTCGGCAATGGTGTAGACGGCGAATTTGTAGCGCCCGTTGAGCGTGGTGCGGTGGCGCTCGGTGTTGGGCGCCGTTGAAGGCAGACTCAAGTCTGGGTGGGAGGCCATCTTTCAGGGTGTATAGTTGAGATGAGAGCGATAGAGAGGGCGGCCGAGAAATATCAGTGTCGTCGGCGTCTTGGTTCGTGGGGGCGGGCCGTGACGGGTGAGGCGCATGTGGGGCCCCCTGGCTGACTGCAGCTGACGTCACGGCCAGCATGGAATGCCTCCATCGCCCCAGACACTGCCCTCTTGACTCTGCAGGGTGGATTTTCAGCTGAAAGGATGGCTTCGCAAGACCGATCCTGCACGCAAGGGCTTCTGATACCCCTCATACGTCGCAATCGCATCCATCTACTAAAAACAAATCCGTACCACCACCCTTCGGCTGCAGCTCCCACCTATGACATGCCTCGGCTCTCATCAGGCGTCCCTTGGCCACTCGAGCCTCGCTGCCTACGTGCTCTGCTGCCTTGGTCTCCAGGAACACGTTCCTCGTTGCACAGCCAATCGACAGGAACACCCCCTTTCTTTTTATGGTCTCGGACACAACTCGAATGCAAGGCCGATCCACATATAGTTCTCACTCCCATACAGAATTTACTTTCACCTTCCTTACAGGGATGTCGGGAACAATGCGGCCCGCACACGTTCAATCCTACGAGCACGCTTCTGCTACCATTCCCATCCTTCAGCAACACCACTTCTTGATAGATGTTTGGACTCGACACATCCGGAGCATCCGACCGTGTTGGTGTATGGAACAACCAACAACCCTCCGGATCAATGTCGCTGTCCTCGACTCTCAAACTGCCAGCCGCTTCGGCACAGCCTCTGGCATTGGATCAGTCCATCAGCTCTTGGACGCCGTATCTTCCAGTTACGAAGATGGGGTCCGATTGTAGAATTATCATAAATATGCCGTGCCTGTTGCGTTGAAGCCTTCCTCTCCACACACACAGAACTTCTCTCGATTCCAAACAGCCTTCTCTCAGATCGCACACTCTTCCCAAAATGCGTACATTCACAGTCGTTGCCCTGTTCGCCGTTATCGGCTACGCCACGCCCCCAATGTCGTTCAACTGTGCCGATCGCCTTGAAGGTAAGATTCAGTCCTTTCCACAGCCAGCAGACAGCTTACAGGCCTCGACAACCAGACATCTGCACGAACATGTGCTGGGGAGCATACTGTACAGAGCCGTCCTTTGGTGTCACCCTCAACTACGACCGCTACGGCGGAACCGGCAAGCGCGACAGCGACATCGGAAAGGCTCGACAGAAGAGTGCCGGGTGCCTACCGCGTCCAAACAGGTGCAGTGTCAGTGACTCCCCTACATCAATGGGTAGTGGAATCATCTATCGGGATGTGTTTGTGCAGATTCAAAACTTGCATCTACATCTGGACAGATGCTTCCACTGCCTAGATGAAAGATCGAGTTGATGCCTAGACGAAAGCTGATTTGACCTCTTCTATGCAGACCAACGGCGGCAACCCTCGTGCAGGGGAAAACTGCGACGAATACCCCTTCGCCAGCACCTCGGATGCCGACAAAGGCGGACAGGTCAGCAAGTGCGTCATTAGCAAGCACAATAGCCGTAAGCCTGCATCTTGAACAGAACCATGTACTTGTTCGCTGACAAGTTACAGGCCAGGGCAACATCATCGGGCAGTACACGCAGAACACCTGCGGGGGCAACGACTGCCAGTTCATCGTCGGCTTCGGCAACCCCGCTGCGGCCAATGTCAAGTACTGCATGGCGTACAGCGACCGATACAACCAGTGCATCCCCGACGGGAGCATCTTTAAGAACGGCAAGCCTGATGTCCGACCGCCTCCGTCGAAGCGTGATGGCAATTCCACCATGGTTGGCGGCATGTATCTGATGAAGTCTGGCATGAAGGTGGCATTCGGTAAGCTCTCGCATGGGGGATTCGTTATGGAAGTGTTGCTGATACCTGTGTTTTCTGCAGGCGCGAACCTGGAGATTGGGACCAAGACCAAGCATGCGACGCCCAAGAACGCGACCATGCTCGCTTGGGTCGATGACAATGACGAGGACGAGGACCACGTCGAGTGGGACTTCCTCGATGATGAGATTGTCGAGAAGCTTGAGGAGTAAGCGCGTGGGATGGTTGGCTGGACACGCTGGAGCGGAAAGACCGCCTTCTCTCTCCTATTGTACTGTACAAGACACTCGCTTTTATAGATATTCCTTCACTCTCAATTCCGTCATCAGGCGCGACTCATCCCCCGACCGAGCTGTAGCACTAGAAAAAAGCACAGCGCCGCACTGGTTTTCCAGTGCTGGCTAATTGTCTGACACGCGCTCACTCGACCTTAATCTCCACGTCCGCCCACTCCTCATCCACCACGACCAACGCCCCCGGCCCTCCCTCCTCCACCACCTTCGTCTCCACCACAAACGTCGCCAGCAAGTGGCACTCCTCCTCCCCGCTCGCGTTCGCGCTCGTCACGTGGTGGCACCCCGGCTCCTCGTACCAGCTCTCGCCCTGCCCCAGCACCATCGTCGGCCCGTCGTTCATCTTGTTGTACGCCGTCCCCGACACCACGACGCCCGCGACGGACGCCCCGCCGTGTCGGTGCGGCGGCGTCGCCCCGTTGGGCGGCAGCTTCACGAGGATCGCCACGATGGAGAAGCCGGGCACGTTGGCGAGGGGGTGCGCGTAGAGGTGCTTTCGCGTGGGGCGCGGAAGGCTGCCGTGGCGGGGGTGTTAGGCTGGTGCGTTGCATCGTTGGTGCGCGCGGATACGTACTCTCTGGAGTAGACGCGGTCTTCGGTTTTGTAGCCCATGGTTGGCGGGGGTTTGGTTGGCTCGGCTTGGCTTTTGTCTGGCTGGAGTATTGCTGAATGTGTGGAATTGGGAGACGGAGCGAGGGTTCTTATACATGAGAGTGTGTGAGCGCAGCGCATCTCGATACGTCATCATATGCGACGGGGGGAGGATGAAAGTGAGGGGAAGCTGCAGTCTGGCTGTTATGCATCCCGATTACGTACATACCCGCATAGGCTACCATGGGATTGGCGCTGACGTTACCCAAGCGTCCGCTTTTTCCGATTGAATTTTAGATCGGTTGAACTCGGAAATGCGTCGCCGGCAGTGCCTTTAGTTGCTCACTGCGATAATAGCGCTTGTGAGATTTCCGACACCAACTACATCAGATAGCCATATGCACCTTTATTCCTGGTGCTGGTTTTGTACGCATTGGGTACAGTAGGAACCTTGGCTATTGTTACCAAGATGTGCAAGCTTTTCGCATTGTGTATCTGAGCATTGCGGTAGAATGATGTAGTCATGCGCTCGAAGAGTAACACAAGACAATTCCGCCTTGACTGGGTCGAACATGATGGTGACCAGCGGACGATGGACTTTACGAGATATCTTGTTGTAAAGTGAGCATGCCAGCTCAAGATCTATTGTGAATGTATCCTTTACAAGAACACATGGGTTTGTGTTTACGGCGCGATGGGAAAAATCAGAGTTGACTCCTTTTTCGTGTTGTGTTTCCTCGCAGGGTAGCCATATTATGGTATACCAAACCTGCTCATCTCGAAAGAGGGTTCAAGAGCAATTGCGGCTACAAGAATGTCGGTAACGTACAGCTGCCACGAACCTCCTTTTAATTTTCGGCGCGAACGGGGTCCCCGCCAGGTTCGGACAGCGCAGATTATTCGTAACTCACGCCCGGCCGTACAGCTTTCGTTGTCGACATTTGCAGAACCTCCCAGCATCGCTAGACTAAGAGTTTGAGAAGGGAAGAGGCTTCTTAAAAGATGGAAAAAAGGAGCGAACTAGGGAAGGATCTTCTGCGGGGGGCAGGATGCGGTTAGTATTGCCAGTCCTATATGTCTAAACACCCGGTCCGAGTAGCCTACAGATTACCAACTTCGGAGCATTGCATAAAGCATAAGTAAACACAAAGGCATCGCAGTTTGGAGCATAAGCTACTAAATGATGGATATATATAAAGTTTAAAAGAACGTAATTTAAATCCAAACACCTATCTCATCCTACCTCTCCCAACCACTGCACACAGCAGTCCTCATCCTACTATAGCCCAGCAATAACGAACCCACCCTGATATCCACCTTAGAACTTCTTTCACACCAGTAACCCCAAAGCGTCTACCAACGCCTCATCAAACACCTCCGTCGTCCCCTGCGACAGCGAACCCCTCTGGACCCACGCCCTTCCATCAGCAATGCAACCCAGGTCGCATCCATCGATGTCGCCGGCATCGCTATACCGTCTCCTACAGGCTGATGGGTGTGGGTGTGGCAGAAACCGGAGAAGCGGAGGCCGGAGGGGGTGACAAACAATTTCACGGGCTGCTTCCTTATTTTAAATGCGAATAAAACAGCATCAAAAGCGTAAATGATTGTACGGGTCAATTGCAAAGTGAAAAGAGTTGATTCCGATTACACCACTTTGCATAAGATATCAAACGTAACGACTGATTTGGGACTGGTAGAACCAAAACACTACCTTTGATTGGTGTTTTAAAGGCTGAAAAGGGGGCTTCTGATGACTTACGCCAGATTGGTGTCCCAATCGATCAATGTAGCAATGTCGGCAGGAAAAAAAGCTTTCTGATCCTTCCCATCCGTACCCGTTTGGTAGGTTTGAGTCCAGTACCAATACGCCGTTGAGAAGAAGGCATACGTCTCGGGGTTCTTTCGAAGCATTTGTAGCTTGGTCTCATTTTCCGTGTTTGGACCGGCGTTTTCCTGCTCCTCTTCGCTGGTTTCAAGCGTTTTCTTCAGTGGGATGGTATCCGGATCCTCGACACCATTTCTGATCCCTCCCAAAGTGTCTTGTGAAAGAAATCAGCGATTTTCTAGGCAAACGGTGATGGTGCAGCTACTCACAAGTTACGTCGTCGGTAAACGCGTTCCCAATCGTGAGATGGAACAATTCGTGAAAAATGTTGATGCTTCGGGGCCGCATTTTGTAGAGGTACGTGCCTTCGGCCGGCGTCAAACTTCCCAGCCTCTCCTGATTGCCCATGAATTCTGAGTTTATGTTATCTGGACACAGAAACAGCAGGAACGGCGCTGGTTCGGAGGTGTCTGCTGCGGCCGCCATGAACGGGTCGTTGTCGCAGGCGGTGCCGGCATCCTCGTCTCCGAAGTAGTAATGGTGATTATACTCGTTCCACCATGGAACTTTGCCGCCAACGAGCAGATCGCCATACTCCTCTTGGATAGTGGGGCTGTTGGGCAAAGGTTTACCTTCCGAGTCCAAGGCCGTGTCTGTGGGCTCCTGCCTGACGAGGTAATCCGTACCGCAGAATAGCCATGGCTTTTCTCCTCCTGGGTAGGGTGCTTCCCGGTTCAAAAAGCTCTGAACGCTTTCAAATCGCCCTGCACGTAACGTTTTGCTTAGAAATTCCACATGCTAAATACTCCGGATCTCTAGGCGATACTTACCCTGGATGGCATCCCAGTCCTCTTGAAGTGAGCTGCTGTCGAGACGGAAGAAGGCGTAAGTCAGACGCCCTGCGTAGAGCTTCTCGTCAAACCCGTTCTTCGGAAGTTCCACTTTTCCTTGCGCCACTTGGAGTGCTTTGATTCCAACTTCCGCCATCACGATGCTCTCATCTAACCAGAAGTTGATATCCTCCAGATGATTATCACAGCCTCCATGTGCGTTTCCGGGAGCCAAGTTGAAGAGAGTTTTGGCATCGAGAGCATAAGAAATTCTTGGGAGTAAGAGAATGATGAGAGGTGCAAGGCGAACGATGATGGACAGTTGAGGAATCATTGTAGGGGTGGGTTCAGTGATGCGGCTGGAGATTCTGAAGGAGTGAAGAAAAGGATGAAGTCGGCGACGAGCCAACAGAGGGATTTTATACTTGCTAAATCCTGCGGTATCTCGCTTCCTCGTCAATTTCTGCAACAGGGTTCTCGAAATATTTTCCGGATGGATGCAAGTGTGTCGGACGGTGTTGGCTCGTTCTGTGGCACGATAAGGCCATTCCAGCCATAGCCAGGGCTCGGAGGAAAAGGCCCCCGGAGCATCAAGGACGTAGCATGGATCTTGGTATTTTAAACCGCAAAAGGCTCCACAGGGCGCAGCGTGAAGGGACTTAAGCGCCGCTACGCCGCACGCTTCGCCGCACGCTTCGCCGCACCGCGTGAGACATCCATCACGCATGGAGTCGCCTAACTCGGGAACAATGGCTTCCGTTGTCATGCAAAGCATGTGCGTGACGACCCAAGTCAGTCTTGAATAGCTACTCTGTAAAGCTTGTTCATAACATACCCAAGTACCACCCACCACGGCCTCCTCTGGTGGTGTTTGCCAAGAAGTAGATACTTGCCAAGCGGACTGACTCGGCCAATTCGACGCCGCATCGGGACTTCAGCTCAACCCGCCAACCGAGCGACACAGGTCACACGCTCTCACGCCGCAGTGTTGGAAAAAATTTGGCACCGTTGGCTCTAGCCGTAAACCGAGCGGACATCCGCCTCCATCACGCTCCAAGGCTATGAAGGATCATATATTGCTTTTACTAGCGTCAGCTCTTATCACACCTGCGAAGGCGGTTGGTCAGACGTAGATTCGTAGATGACTCGTTTGAGGTTGTAGCCATCTCCGAAATGCAACAGTGTGATCCGCTCCGGATCCGCAGTCTTCATCCGGATCCGAGATCGCTTCAATCGACGCTCCACGCGCTCGTAGCTGTAGTCCTTATAAAGCTACGCCATTCAACACTTGTGAAGGACCATCACCACGCGCTGCTTCTGCAATCATGCACCTCCAACTACTCCCCTGGGCAGCTTTGGCTGCCTGTATCTGTGAAAAGGCTACAGCAAAGGCCGTGTTTGCACATTACATGGTACGCGGATAAGATCCATTATCTTCCTGATTCTGAGCACACTAGCTATCTCGAATCTTATGCTGACGTTTCTCAAGGTTGGCAATGCCTACGAAGAACACATCCACAGTGATATCGATGATGCAGCCGCGGTTGGCCTCGACGGCTTCGCACTCAACATCGGCGACCCAAGGCAAGCCTTCGTCAAGCAATCGCTCGATTACATGTTCGACTACGCCCTCGCCAATCACCCGAACTTCAAGCTGTTCATCAGTATGGACCTTTGGGCCGCAGGCGATACGGAACCCAAGCAATCAGCGAAGGACTTCGTCAGCCTGATCCAGCAATACATGACGCACGGCGCATACCAACGTGGTCCCGCTCCGGATGAGTTTCCAATGGTGTCTACCTTCGCTGATGGTGGTCTCACGAACGATACTTGGATTGAGTGGCGCGAAGAAGTAGGAGCTGTCTTCCTCATTCCGGACTTTGACGGCACTGAGGGCTACTACCAAGCCGACCCCGGCTGGTGGGCGTATTGGGGAGACATTGTTGATGGTTTGTTCAGCTGGGAGTCTGCATGGCCATTTCGCGCAGGGTACGGTGGCGAATACCCAGGTGACATTGGCCCGGACAAGAAAGTCATTGAGGGCGCTGCAAACCACTCGAAGCCCTATATGATTCGTAAGTGACTTGGATATTTCGACAAGGTTGGCCAATTACAGGCGTACTGACGACGTGAATGTAACAGCTCTGAGTCCCCAGCAATACAAGAACGCGGTAAGCCGAGCTAAAATGCGATGGTCATGCTGGCCTCTTCTGATGCCTCGTCCAGTATCATACCAACATTTATCGCGCCGGTGATGTCAATATGCCTCTTCGGATGACAAGCATTCTCGACATGGATCCTTCTCCTGAATACGTCCAGATAGTTACCTGGGTAAGTGTGCCATCCCGAAAACCCACGCTTTGTCTCGCTAATAGGCCATGAACAGAATGATGGGTAAGGCCTGAAACTACTCCCATGAAAATCGCATTCTAACACACAAAGCGAAGACCCGAATCTCACTATGTCGGCAACCTGTGGACCGAACAAAATAACGACACAGATCCCGGCCGGTATGCAACCCAAGCGGACTTCAGCCACACTGGATGGCAGCCTCTCATCGGATCCTTCATCTCTGCTTTCAAGAACAGTCAGAAAGCCGTCGACATGCGGCCCTATGGCGCGGAGGAGTTTACAGGAGCCATGTGGTACAAGACGATCCTCAAGAACGCGAGCTGTCCGTGGGACGGTGCGAGTGAGTATTTCGTCAAGCCAGACGGCTTCTCATCGTCGTCAGACGCTCTCAACTTCGCCGTGGTCATGCCTACAGCAGGATACTACGTCGAGCTCTACAGCGGGGGCGAGATGATTATCAGTGCCGAGCTTCACGAAGGCCTCAACTACGGGACACTCCCAGGGCTTAGGGTAGGGTGGCAGCGCATGCACATTGTCGACTCTGCAGGAAACATCAAGCGGGTTGCCGCCGGAGGGCGTTGCGTCTCCGATGGCTGTCCGGACTGCATTTACAACATGAATGCGCAGGTCGTTCCGCTATCCGACAACACGGAGGATAGCGGGGAATGTCCAGAGACCAATTGCGGTAGGGTCGACGTCTACGTCCCTGGCTCTGTTTGGACGGGCACGCCCGAGATACAGTGTCTCCCACCTTGCACTTTTGTCCTCCCGCCATTCCAGTTGTCGACAGCAACAACCATCAGCTGGCCCATGCTGACGACGACTTTCTGGTGGCTTTCAAGCGGCACTACGACCACCAAAACCTCATACATCTCCGTCCCTCCATTCACGACTACTGAGATCCAACTGTGGCCTGTTACGGCTGAGACAACCGATACCGAGACCGTCACAATCAAGCCGATCCAAAACGTCATGCCGCCACAGCTGACGGTGACGTTGCCGTCAACCATCGCTACCTTTGCACCCACAAGGGTAGGCGTTTCCTCGCAACCTTCGCCGACTTTCTACTCCTCGCCGCACCCAGAGGTCATCCAACCGCAACCAACTGTGCAGATTACTCCCGTTCCCTCGATCCCAAGCATCACTTATACCAGTGCAACGCCGGTATCGACCTGTACAGAACACTGCGGAGGCTATGACTGCAGTCGTTTCGGATGCTCTTCCGATGATGAGGACTCTGATGACGGTGATAGCGACGATGACTCTCACCCGCTATGTGGAAAATATGCCTGTGACGGCGGCTGTGGGGTTTGGGGCTGTGGTGGAGGATGCGGGCTGTTCGGTTGTGGAGGGAATTGCGGCCTGTTGTCACCCTGTTCAGGCGGCTGCCCCTTGTCGAAGTGCGGCGGTCTTGGATGCAGTTCTGGAAGCTGCGGTACGGCTGGTGGCGAGGGTGGGGATAGTGATCCCTCAAGCTCGCAACCCTGCAGCACTCAAACCGCCAGCGCGTGCACCACGGCTTGCGTGGCCGGCTCAAGCACGTCCTGCAGCACCGTTTGTTCTACGAGGACAGCATGTACAGTTACAGCTACGTCCACTGCAGTCACCGGCACGCCTGCTCCAGGCTCAGACTTTGTGACGGAAGATTGGCCGGATTACGGGTCAATCATCAGTGCCGACGGTCCTGCAACTGAGTGGGAGAGCTGGCTTAGTGCTCACTGGCCAACTGCAACGACTACATCCAGCAAACCCACAACAGCAACCTCCACCACGGCGGTTCCCTCAGCAACGTCGAGTGGATATGTCCAAGTCGCGTTGTACCGCCACGCATTTTCAGGCCAGAGCTACTATCAGTGGCATGTTTACAAAGGCATTCGGAAGTCTTCATCGGATGGCCCGGACATCTGTGATGATCCTGACAAGTCGGATAGTGTGGCTGATGGGGTGATAACATGGCCGGATTCGGACTGGGATCTGGGATCTATCGGCAACTACGAGAACTGCGAGTACAATGGCGGCTCGGACGGTCCGGGAACCCTGGCTTGCGACAACCTGGATACGATACTGTGCGAGAGCGTCATCCACAGCGAGGAGCATTGCGGGACTGACCTGGCATACTCCATTTGGTATTCTACTTTGTGGTTGCAATGTTTGTGGGGAAACACGCTGGGTGATGATTAAGTGGACAAATGCTTGGTATCTCAGTATTTCTTTCATAGTGTGTTAAGCGCTTCGGCATTTGCGCGACTCATTCGCTGCAACACTCCACTTCTGCTCCTCGCCCAATGACATCAGATCACAACCATGTTGGGGCGGGCGCCAAGTCCGCCTTCTGCAGCTGCGCCGCACGCTAGGGATGTATAAATACTCACTGCATCTCTCTCAATGACTACCCCTCTCACCCCCGCCTGAAGAAACACAGAGACGCCCAGATAGAGGCTGGCTTCCATCATGGCTAAAATCTGCACCTGGACAGAATTCCGCGTGCCCGAGTCCGAACCAATATTCGAGATCAACAACCACTATGCTCCCAGCGAAGCTCGCCAAAAGTGGATCAACGTTATAGCTCCGCTTGCAGAAGCCACAGGCTTTGAAGTCGCGTGTTGGTCACGGATCAAGGAACGTCCCGACACGATAGCACTCTGCGCACGTATGTAACGCCTTTATTTTCCGCCTTCGCGTGTATGCACCGATGTTCACCTTTTCCGTACTCTTCCCCTCCCTTTCCCTGCCGTAATCCATCCATCCGGTCACCCACGAGCATCACTAAAAAATCATCAGGGTGGGCCTCGCGAGAAGCTCTCCAAAGTTTCCGCGTCTCGCCCGAGCACGCGGCATACATGCAAGGCATCTCCGCATTCGGCCCGCCGCTGGAACTCGGGTTCGACAGCATGGGCTCGAGCATCATCTACTTGACCAACCACCCTTGGGTCTCCTTGTTGCGGATCGTATTCCCGCACCCGCTGAGCGCTGAGCGGCGCAAAAAGGTGCGCATGCTCAACGGTCTGATCGGTTCAGGCGGACGCGGCCCGCTGACACAGTACGACCTGCCTTGGTTCGAGTCACACATCACGTGGGCCTGCGGCGATCCTTGGACAAAGACGGAGCGAGACGAAGAAGAGAAAGAGGCGAACGGGACCGAAGGCACCAACGAGACCACCCTGTTCTGGTTTCACTCTTGGCGCAGCTTCGACCACGAGGACGAATACAAGCGAACGTACACGAAGCGGTTCTATCGAGAGGAGACGGGTACACAGCAACTCCCGCCGGAGGAATGGTTCGATAAAAGTGTGAGGGAGTTGGGCGCGGTGGAGTGGAGCCAGGAGCATTATTTCGGGTTCAAGTATGTGCCCAGGGTATTTAATGGGGAGCCGTCCTGCGGACGCTTCGTTCGAAACGGCAAGATCATTGCCGGCGGAACCGTTCTGGAGAGATAGTTTGCGGAAAAAGACTGCTTTCATACGACAATGGTGAGTGAATCAGCTACTCTCCGGGTGCTTGCGGCGTGCGGGGGTTCTGATTGGTCGATTCTCGGCACAGCCTTGGGAGGCAGTCCGCCATGGACGCCGAAATGTACTGTTCAGCTATACTATTGTTAAACAGATGGGCAGTTTTGCCACTATAGCGGTTGAACGTGAACTCTACTTCGGCTCCGACTGCACCACTCAGACAACAGGAGTGCGTACTGCGGGAATCGACGGCCTCATAATAGCCATCGAGCCCGACCACGTCAACGCCAAGCTCACCAAGATCAGAGATAGTCACGTCAATCAACCGAGGCGGGTTCATCGGGCAATGCGCGCATTGAATGGTTCGTCATTTTTCTCATCTGCTGTTGCCTAATGTCAACGTTGGGCGGTGTACGAGCTCAGCCCTTCCAGTAGCCGGGTAATGTAGCTGGCTTATGCCAAGAGGGATAGAGGGGCGGCAGTGCGCTTGGGCAGTCGGTAGTATTCGAGTCTTGGTATCGCTGTACTGTTTTAGCAAGGGTTGGCCACGGGAAAGGTTGCCTGTCTTGCACGTCGCTGCTCGTAGCCGCGCCTAGGCTCTAAATCGGCCGCGATGGCGGATGGCTCAGTCTCCTTCAAGCGCCAGGCTGAACGAACGCGTCAAGGATAAACTAGTATAAAAGCGAGCTTTTAGGTAAGGTAATAAAAGACGGCCTGCACGTTCTAGGCGTAAGTCTCCGCGAAGCTTTTCACTCATCCTCGCCTCCGTACGAGGACACGAGTGCTCCGTGGCTGACCTGCCGTCAACAAGTGCGACGGTCATAGAAGATCTGTGTCAATTTCGAGAAAGCGCTTCTGATCAGCGTACGTGACATACGTCAGCTCGTGAATTTTCGGCGGGGACAGCTACTTTTTCCGAGTGGCAGTTGTTGCGGCTAATGGATGTACAGTTATCGATTTCGGGGATTACAACTGGATATGGAATTATGTAGCGTACACGTCAGCGATATTATCCACGATAGACGGTCCGCAAACCCCACAGCGGCTGCGATTCTGGCCCGTTCCGCGTGCCGAAATGTCGCCGAACAGCAAGTATCGGAAAAGAAAACTTATACAATGCTATCCACTTCTGAATGATGTAGACCACAACTACTACGCTATAGGTTCCGGATAAGGAATCTCGTCAATTGTTACGATGCCTATCGAGATTCTCTAGGAGCTGGTCTCTGAGAAGCTGCGGGATAAAACGTGCAAGGCCACATCACAATCTAATGGCGCCCCACATGTCTCGGAAGACTCCGAAAAAACCTGTGTGGAGAGTACCCGCCACGTTGAACATGTTTCCTTTAGCTCGAACAACAAGAGGCAGTTTGGCATTTGTAGTTATGGTCTATGCATTGTATAGCACCTAGGGTATCTCGCAAACCTTTACTTTCGACCAATGGCTTTGTCTTGAGGAATACGAACGCTTACGCTGTTTTCCAGTCTCATATCGGCGCAAAGCTTGTTGATGAGGAGCCTAACACTGTGCAGTCAAGCTGCAAAGTATTGTTTACAGGCCAAAAAAGGGGAACGGCCGAACGGGGATGAATTTAGTGGAGACACCAGTCACGTCGTTGAGTTTTGCAGCGAGAGGTCAGTGTGTTGATTCATGTATAGATCCCTGCTTTTAGCGGTGTGCGATGACAACTTGATGTTTATAGGATTCTTCCAACTTGCTTCAGCCAGAATTATTGTCAAGGTCTCAGTTTGGTTGCATTCATCTCCCCTCATTGTCCTCTGATGATCCCCCGCAAGCATGGAAAACGACTCTCGAGAAGATCGCCTTCAAGAACTTTGGGAAGAAGTCTTGGCAGAGTATGAGAAAATTACTGACGAACCCCTTCAGGACAGACATGTTCTGAGCGTTGATGAGATGCGAGTCAAGCTCGATGAAATCTCTCAAGCGGAAAAAGGGGAGATCATCAAGAAGTCAGCGGAGGCTGTTTGTAGTGTAGCATCGGCAGCATCATCGGTAAGCAGAGATTCTCAGCTTCAGAGCTACGCGCTAACCCGGACAAAAGGTTCTCCCGTACGCATCCATCGTTCTTGACGCTCTGTCAGCCCTGGGCAACACAGCACAGGGTTACAACGAGAACTTCACCAAGAAGCATGTTTTGGAGCATTTCAAAAGCGTCGCCTGGAACCTGGACCGAATCGAAGGTTACATGAAACTGGTTAATGAGGGCTTTGAGCTGGACGCTACTCTGCAGACCACCATCGTTCAGCTCTTTACTGGCATGTTGATGTTATGCAAGATCTACAGAAAAGTGGACAAGGATTCAGAAACTCTCTCCGGACCGATCAAGAACACGCTGAAAGCCGCGATTCGATACGACGGAGGGCTCAAGTCATATCTCAACGAGATCAAGGACGCAACAGACCGTGAACTCAGGAACAACGTGGCCGCTCTGAGAGTCTCCGCAATCTACGCCAACAGCGAAAGGAATTCGGAAAAATTGAGACAAGTCCTGCAAATCGAGCCCAATAACCACCCTTGGATTGGTCGTCGAGACTCTCTCGATAAACAGCATATCAAGGGAATGGGTGACTGGCTCTATGAGCATCCCCATTTCAGGTCATGGGCAGATGTTGAGGACGACACAAGGCCAATACTCCTTCTCAACGGCGAAAGAGGTTCCGGGAAGACCTTTTTATGCGCCCAAGCCATTCGAATTCTTGAGGAGAAGCACAAGTCACAAACCCCGAACGGCCGTGCATCCATCGCTTGGTTTTTTTTCCCTGAAACTGACGCGAGACAAAAGGACCTCCATTCAGAAGGGGTGCAAGGAGCAAAACAGCAGCTTTATGACGGAAAAGGCAAATCTTCACTCCGCGACGCCTTGTTTGCTCTCGTTTGGCAGATGGCCCAAGCAAACAGATCTTTCCAAAGTTTTGCTGTCACGAGATTCAACGCGAGACCACATGGTTTCTCCAAGGCCATGGACATATGGACCGAACTGATTTTCAAGTTCATCAAGGACCTTAAACAGGCTGTGGATTCCTCAAAGGTTTTCTTTCTGGTCCTTGACGTATGCAAGCAGCCCACCAACGGCACCGATGAAGAGGAGGAAGCACTCTCCAGGATTATAAGAGACACAAAGAGCCAGAAAAAAGGTGCTCTGATCAGGATCCTACTCTCTGGAGATATGAATCGCCAGGAACTCAATAAGAGCACTTGGAGGCCAGATCTAACGCACCAACAATACGACGCCGAAATCTTTGTTGAGGGCCGTTTGAAACAATGTTACGAGAGGTGGACCAGAGAGCCGGAAGGGGGTAGAGTTCTCAGGGCATTGCAAAGCTTGGCCATCTCAGATTTCGAAGGCACTTACCACGTCTTGGATGCATCACTCGATGAGATTATAAAAGCAAGAGGGCTGCGTGATCTCCGTGAGCTCAAGAAAAGGGGGCTGGGTCTTCTAAGAGCAACCGAGCGTCATCTGGGGATGCTAAGCGAAGAGCTCAGCGATGAGGAGCTGAAAGATTCGAATGAGATGATAACCTGCTTGGTATGCTTCAAGGACGCCGAGCTTACACTTGATCAACTCAAGGCTTACCTCTATATTCGGCGCGGCGAGAGAGCTGCAACATCAATCGAAAGTCAAATCCGGAAACTTCCACCATGGTTGATCTCAATCACGGATGAAGGACACGTCATATCCCCGGGGATCATCAAGCTTTTCGATGGAAAAGAGAAAGAACCCAAGCCCTCAGATCGTGGCCAAAACCAAGGCGGTTATGACACCCCCGCCGACATTGTTGACTCCACCAACCACGGTACGGAAAGATCCAATACCCCGCCCGGGACATTCATCTTCAACCTCCAGAGCCGCGTGAACATGATTCTCTCTCTCCTGGAAGCTGTCTGTCGCACAAGATACAGACGTCACGCGGATCTGACCTGCCTCTATAAACATGCAGCTACACAACTACTTCGATGCTTCGAAATGATTCCAAAGGAACAGCTGGTCCAAACCGAAAAACGCACGAAAAAGAAAATCGGAAAGCGTCTGCATCAATTCTTCATGGATGAGGAGGTCGTTGAGACCTGGCTGCCCGAAGGGGATATAGATGAGCTTCTGGGCAAAGGCAAGAAGAAGGAGCTTTTGGGGACTCTTACAAAGAAGGTTCTGGAGTGGCTGGAAGACCAAGATGTGAGATCTGGTTTCCAGAAGTCAATTGACAGAAGGTACGCCCAATCTTTCAGCAGATGGGTATCAACAGCGGCCCATTAAAGATGCATAAACTAAGAAAACCAGTCCACAAAGCGAAGGTCCAAGGACCTTCCAGTCATTTGTGTCCCCTCTCATCAATCCGGCTCGACTTCTTCATGCTCCTGTCAAAATCATTGCCTACCAATGGCTTCGAGAGCATAATTGGAACGCTCTATCGGCTCTAAAATTCTTAAATGAAGTGTCCTCCAAGGCCGAACTTGAACTCTCTCCCAGAAGAAAGCCTCACTCTAGAGGAGAAGAAGTTCTTGAAGTCCAGCGGTCCAATGGAAAATGTCCTAGGGACACATCTTCTCCGATAGGCGACTCCTTTAAAGATGAACCCTGTTCAGAGAGCGAATCATCCTTTAAGAGCGAATCTTCTTCTGATGAGTCCGAGCTTACATTTCCTTTCGAGAAGAACGACTTCAGCCGCAAGCACGTGGAGGTTGCCAAGAATTGGGCCATGAAACTTGTTGGTATCACCAAAAGACAAGCGCACCGGAATCCGACGCAGGATGTTCGTCTGGCCGAAACTTATTTCGAGCTTAAACATTACGACAAAGCCCGACAAAGGTGCGAATTTGCCAAAATGCGCGATCCCTGGAATTTGCGGGCTACATTATGCCTCTCACGAGTCATGGAGTGTACGGACAGACGGAAAAAGGCCCTCGAAGAACTCATGAAGATACGCCACAGCATTCAGAGCCCAAAGTTCAGAGAACAAAATCGTCAAGAGTGGCAACATCAGCTTGACAGGCTCTGGCGTTTATGTGATGAGACGAACAGCGCAAAAGAGGCTTTCACCGTCTGCAGGTACCTCGCCAGGACATTTCCGAACGATCCAACCGTTCTTTTTCTCGACAAAGCGTTTGAATGGATGGAAAAGAGCAAGACATTGACTGATGTCATCGGAAGTCTCTCCATGCCTATCGGAATGCAAAACAATCGTAGTCTCTTGACGCTTTTGTTCCTTTCCAGTCCCGCGTCTCCCGAGTTTCATGAAAGGTTCTACCTTGCTCTGAAGGACAGCAAGGACAAGATTTTCAGAGCCTATGAAGACGCAATTACTGCATCAGATGACGCTTTGAAGACGATCCATCTCCGCTACTATTACGGCTTGTCACTTTTGTATCAGCAAGAAGTCACCGAGGCCAGAGACCAGTGGGAAATGTGTATCGCTTCTATTCGAACCGCACAAAAGGACAGCCCTACGCCTGAATCAATATTCGAGATTTTCTCAATGGTCGTGCACGGCCTGGTCTTGGCCTACATCGATGTCTTGAAAGGCGACAAAGGCAAGAAAGCTCACGAATACACCGAAAAAATGGAGAAACACAAAAGCTGGGCAGACAGAAATTACCCATTGAAGGCAAACTACCTGGCTCTCCTACTCGCACCGTTGTATCGTGTCAGCGGCCACCACAAAAAAGCAAGGCTCTCTGTCGAGAAACACATGGCAAGTGCATTCGAACTTCTCAAAGACGGCGAGGAGGACAACGATGGGAGCGGCTACTTCATGCTAGCCGAGGCATTGCTTGTACTTGCAGATGATGACAACGCGCGAGCCGCGTGGTCGATCATTGTAAACGAGCCTGATGCGGAGTGGACATCCAACCTCTCCATTGCGTGCGCCGGTGGGTGCGGATGGACGTGGGCGGACTCGAAGACTGAGGGCAGAGAAGTCTACATTTGCAAGGACTGCGCCCACGTCCATTTTGAAAAGAATTGCCACGACAGACTGCAGAAGGGCAAGCTGGACCGCCGCGTTTGCGGGAAGCGCCATGACTTCTTGACTGTCCCCAAACGGAAAGGCAAAGACGTCACGAAGATCCAAAATGGCACTGTTCTCGTAGGCCACGTCGAAATGCGAACCAAAGACTGGGTAAACGGCGTCAGATACAAATATGGGATTCGAAAACCAGGTCTTACTTGGCCTAAGAGAGCAGTGGAGTCGTTGCATATAGCGAAATCAGAGGTTGAGAGAGGGTTGAATACGGCGAAGTGGATAGCTGGAAGTTTGGAGGACAAATTGTAGATAGATGAAATAGGAGCTCTCTTTCAGTGCGGGAGCCTGCCATTTCAAGCTTCGACCCAGCTTCAATCGATCTAGAGCGGGTACTTCGCTCGGGATGTTCTCCGTTGCTCTTAGTACCTGTAGGAGTAAAGACTGATACATTCATTCCCTTGGTTGTCCTCTGAAACGCCGTTAGCCCTACATGCTCGTTTAGGACTGGCGTGTAGATCACACGCTAAGCTCGAGCGCTAAGCACTTCTCGGCTAGGCTTATCGGCCGCACAGGACCGGACGCGTTCCACTTCGCCGTTTCCACGACTCCACCTGTCACGACGTCACCAGCAACACCATTATTGCGGATGAGGCCGGAAACATTTGGCCGCTTCTACGCGCCGCGTGAGAGAGGTGCCGTGACCTCCATCAACGCTCTGTGCATACGCCTTAGCATCAGTCCCGCCACGACGCGTCCGCATGCGCGTCCGCCCCCCGAAGTAGCCGCATCCACCTGCACTCCGCCATCTCCATCCCCACATGCCACAAGATCGACGAGCCACAATGCCGCGGCCCGGCGCTCTGGCTGGGCACTGCACGCAGCTTCGCTGACTCCCGACCGGACGACGCACGGTCCATTCCATCGCACCCTTCGCCAGCTCTCTACCGCCAGTCAGGCCGCAACTAAGGCGGCAAAGAAGCCCACCCGGCGGAAACGTAAGAAGCCCGAGCCAAAGGACGAGATCGCAGAGCCATGGCGACGCCAGGTGAAGCTCCTGGGCCTGGAGAAGGGACTGAGCCAAGGACAGCGGGCTGTGCTCGACATGGTGGTAAACCAGGAAAAAAGCATCTTTTTTACCGGCCCCGCAGGCACCGGCAAATCGCTACTTCTCAAGAGGATCATCGAAGGCTTGACGGTCAAGTACCTGGACGAGGGGAGCGCCAGCGTTGCCGTTACTGCCTCCACCGGCCTCGCCGCATTCAGCATCGGCGGCACAACCCTTCATCGCTTTGCTGGCATCGGCCTCGGCAACGCGCCCACCAAAAGACTCATCTCGGACATCATGAAGGACAGGGAGTTCAAGCTACAGCGCTGGAGGGACGTCAAGGTCCTCATCATCGACGAGATCTCCATGGTAGACGCCACCCTCTTCGACAAGCTCGACACAATCGCCCGCCACGTGCGGATGGATGACTCGCCATTTGGGGGAATCCAGCTCGTCATCACCGGGGACTTCTTCCAGCTGCCGCCTGTGCTGCAGGGGCGGGATGATGGCAGTCCGCGATTCTGCTTCGAAGCCCAGGCATGGCAGACGGCCGTAAAACATACCATCGGCTTGACTCAAATCTTCCGACAAAAGGATCCCGTCTTCGCTGGCATGCTCAACGAGATCCGGGAGGGCCACCTCTCGCCAACCAGCATCGACGTCTTCAAAGCGTTAAGCCGGCCGCCCAAGACACTCGTCGACAACGGTCCCGAGCCTGCCGAGCTCTTCGCTCTACGCCGCGATGCAGACGCCGCCAACACAAGACGTATGCACAACATCAAGAAAGCCGTCAACACCTATCACGCCATAGACGGCGGCATAATCACCGACACAGCCACCCGGCAGAAGCTCCTGGCCGACTGCACCGCACCCGAGGTCCTCCAGATCAAGGAAAACGCCCAAGTCATGCTGATCAAAAACATCAACAAGACGCTAGTCAACGGATCCCTAGGCAGGGTCGTGGGTTTTGCGAACAAACATACGTTTATCCGGGGCCAGTGGACCACACAACCGCCGGACCAAACGCACCACTGGCGCGCCAAACTCCAGCCATCCCTACTCGTGGACTGCGAGAAAGACCTCCCCGTCTTCCCCGTCGTACGTTTCCAGCTGCCCAGCGGTGACGCCCGCACCGAGCTGTGCGAGCCCGCAGAGTGGTCCGTCGAGCGCTGGGTCCGCGAGCCCTGGTCCCACGACGGCTGGGACGTCGAGATTTTGGCGACCCGTACCCAGGTGCCGCTGATTCTGGCGTGGGCGCTCAGCATCCACAAGTCCCAGGGCCAGACGTTGGAACTTGTCAAAGTGGACTTGAACCGCGTCTTCGAGATGGGGCAGGCCTATGTCGCATTGTCGCGCGCGAAGACCATGGAGGGCTTGCAGGTGCTCAATTTCAGTCCCGGGAAGGTGACGGCCCATCCGAGGGTGAAGGCGTTTTATGCGGCCTTGGAGAAGACGTAGAGTAGAGGCGAGGGGCTTGAGTGGTATGACGATTATACGAGGAAGTGGTCCCACGCCCCGTTGTAAAATTACTGTGACACTACATAGATAGAGGACCCGGCGAGGTGCAGACGGCGTAATATCCCGACTTACTCCATTTTCTGGTCAGCCCTCACGTACCAATCCACACTCTCTTCTATCCCATCCTGCAACTACAACACAACGGACCGATACCCAAGCACCCTGATCGCCTTGTCGATGTTGATTGTCCGCGTTATGTACGCGAACACCACCCGAGCGAACCATATCCGACTCCCCACACCCGAGCGAAACCAACTGCGACTCCAACTCGGAAAAGAAACACAACACAACCGCCACGATCCGCGGGACGAGAGAAGATTACAAATCAAAAAACTCCACCAGTTCTTTCACGAAGGCTTCATCTCAGATGGACCAATGGATAAGGGTATGAGATGCTCATTAAATTAACAATAGGATGACGCTCATATCTATCTATGTACAGTGGTGATGCTTGAACACGTAACTTCGGACCTCAGCAGCCAATCTCCTGCTCCATCGCCAACACTCTAGTTGAGCATGCTCTCAATGCCAGCGTTCTGGTAGCACTGGTAGTGGTCGCCATCGGACTTGGGAGAGACGACCTGGATCTGATCGCAGCAGGTCTTCGCCTGGCTATCGCAGTCCGCGCCGCCCGAGCTGCGGCATGCCTTGACGCTGGCGGCGCAGTCGTCGGAGATGTCGCGCTTGGACAGACGGCCGCCGATGCCAGCGTCCTGGTAGCACTGGTAGTGGTCGCCGTCCGACTTGGGGGAAACGACCTGGATCTGGTCGCAGCAGGTCTGGGCCTGGTCATCGCAGGCGGCGCCGCCCGAGGAGCGGCACGAGTTCGCAGTCGCCGCGCAGTCATCCCCGACGTTGCGCTTGGACAGCCTGCTGCCAATGCCGGCATCCTGGTAGCACTGGTAGTGGTCGCCGTCCGACTTGGGGGAAACGACCTGGATCTGGTCGCAGCAGGTCTGGGCCTGGTTGTCGCAGTCGGCACCGCCCGAGGAGCGGCAAGAAGAGGCCTTGCTCGAGCAGTCGGCGCCGATGTCGCGCTTGCTGTTGAGCATGCTGCCGATGCCAGAGTCCTGGTAGCACTGGTAGTGGTCGCCGTCAGACTTGGGCGACACGACCTGGATCTGGTCGCAGCACGCCTTGGCGTCCTGGTCGCAGCTGGCGCCGCCGGAGCTACGGCAGGAGGCGGCCTTGGTGGCGCAGCTGCCGCTGGGAGCGGCGAGGCCGGTGGAGAGGAGGGCCGCGAAGGCGATGATGGTGGTCTTTGAGAAGAGCATGTTGATTTTTTGAGGTTGAAGCGAGTGAAGTCGGTTGAAACGATTGTAGAATGGCTGGCTGAGCGAGGGAAGCTGGCTGTGATGGTGATGAGAGATGGAGTTTGTGTCAACCCGCTATATATATGTGCGCCTTCATGGCTGAACGGCAATGGCTCCTTTCTCCAGAAGTTCGCTTTTGCCTTCAACACGAACGCTCTGGTCGGTATCTGGTTGCCATAGGGCTCGTATTCTCACCATGGCCCCGCTCGTGTTGAGGGGGTCCCCGGTTCTCCAACGTTCTCGAATGCGACTTTTCCCGTTCAGATGTAGTAGGAATCGACGGACAGCAGCGTAAATATGCAAGCAATTTTAGCCGGAGAGCCACAGCCAAAGCTTGGCCCTGTGCCCGGGTAAGGCGGCGGCACGTCGGCTTGGCTGAACAGTACGCTCGTTCGACCGGTCAACAGCTGCCCCCTTCCACGTCACTCTATTTCCATCATAGGCAGAGATCGACTACGTAGAGCCCATCTCGTATTGCAACGCACGGGGCCCAAATCCTTGTCCTCATTAAGCCTTTGTTCAACGCGCCCCTTTTCTAAACGCCGGCAGACTTTGTTTGTGATGTAGTATTTACTAGTATACACGTAGTTCATGCAGGCATGGTGGAGGATTTCTAGTGGCGGTACCTCGCCATGCTCTACAGCATTGCGAAGTGATGCATCCCTCAGAGTCCGGAATATAGGCACTCCAATGGGTCCTAGAGAGAGAAACCACTACAGACTCAGCCCTACTGCGATCTGCAGCCGCCAAGGAACGGCTTCACCGGCTTCACCGCCACACTGACCTTAGTGTTGCCCCACATTCAGCCTTACAAGCTATCCCCGTGCCACTTCGGTAATAAAAGCATTGACTGGAGAATTTGGACATGGGCCGCTCCGTACAACCATGACCTCTGAAACTCCGAATACACGGACCAGAAAGGAGAGGTAGCTCGTACGAAAATAGATGTCCAATGACTGTGGCTTAGTTCGCTGATCGTTGACTTGAAGCTTCGTTTGCCAATTTTCATGGCTCTGTCGACGCAGCCCTATCGGACTATACCCGTTTTCGGAGTACTGGGGCTCCAGCTACTCCACGGCATTGCCACGGCATAAGCGACACCACCTCTGAAAATCTTCCGAAAGCCTGACCTAATACCGTCCGAGTACACGTCGGGTTCGGACTGCACCAAGCCACAATGGTGTAGCCATGAACAAGCACTTCCTTCCTGTTATACCCCCCCATGTTATTTGCTCGATCAAATCACCATCATAGGGATCATGCCCAGCGAGTCATGCGAGTGTTTCATCACCAACCACAGTGGCGTCGTCCAGCACCGCATTGGTGCACACTGTCTCCATTATCGTGGCGCTGATTGTCCAGGCCACCCTCATCTTGCCGAGCACTACGTTCCTGGTGCAGGTACCGGACGCATCCATGAGTTGATTGGGCTTAGCAATCTGAGATTGAAGGGAGAGGGTGCAAGAACTGCGGCACATTGATACGCACCAATCTGGTGGCCTTCCGCAGCCCTGTCCTGCTTCAACTCGGACAAAGACAGGTACAATGGACGAAGATCTCAAAAGCCACGAGAACACCGAAGAATTCAATGACACACCCCAACCGGGGGTCAACTGAAGTCATTGCGCCCGTATGCGTGGTGAACGCAGCGTCGTGCTCTCTCCCCTTGCCGTAGCATCATCCACTGAGTGAGGCGCTGGTAGGGCCGCAGAGTGGCAGGGTGTTGTTTAAGAACTTCACCAACGCTATCTACAAGGATCAGCACCTCGTTTGCACCTCACACAGAAGTTCATTCGGCTACGGCTCAATGGATCTCGGTCTCTTCTCCGACTCGTCTGACATGGGCTCGGCAAGTCAAACCGCCACGAGCTCCAGCGCCGTTGTGCTCACGCTCTTCTATTTTGAGCCCAAGTACGTCTGGATTCCTGCCCACAAACAGGGACCAACAAATTTCTACAGCCGGACATCCACCAACTCCACCGATGCGAAGGGGTGGTCGTTGGCTCAACCGTCCTTCTGAACAATCTTGAACTCCAGCACTGGGCGCCATCAACCAGACGGTCATCTGCGACGGCGAAAACATGTAACTTTGGTCATCGGAGACACGCACCAACGGTATCCATGGGCGACACCAGCACGGAGTCTGACTACGGCCTGTTGCCTTACCGACCCAGTGCTCTCACTCTACGAAACCCGGGTCCCTGACCAGACAAATCAAATATCAACCGTACGTTCAAGACCGGCAGATGTTTCATCTGGCCGGCGTGTAATGGATGTAGTCTTTCGGTCTTTCATGATTCTTTTCGGATTTCGAATTCACCTATCGCTTCTCAATGTACGAACATACATGGTTGGCGGAGTGAAGTCAGTTATAAGACAATTGACTGACAAGGTGCTTCGCGAGATGTGTCAAGAGACGGACCGCTAGCCTCACCGACGGACACTGGGACCCATTGAAGCTCAATGCCAAGCAGAGGAAAGCAAGGCTAGTCAATCACGCACATGACATAGAACTAGCTAGCTATAAGAATGCCAGAGGAACGTAAGAATGAATCGATAACGATTCGTCTCTGTTCTGACTCTGAAACGATTCATATTGTCTATCTTGAACCAATAACCTTACAAGATGGGTCGTGTGAGGCTCGGCTGGAATGCTTTGTCCCTGGTTTCTTCCTTGCGCAAAGTCTGCGATCCCAACAAAAGTTGCAGGATTGACTTGGCGGTGGCGGTGGCTCGCGCCTGAGGCAGGGTTGTGGGAAGTTGTGCATCGGGAAGACGGGCCGGCGGGCTGCGGTTGCCCAGGGTCTTATCAACAACATTGGGTCGTTTGGTTGCTTCCTCAGCGAATCTGCGTTAACGCACTGCATCATTAGCGCCTTGTGGTTTTCGTCTGACCCACAAGTCCGCGCTTACTGTGTGTATACCGCAACACCTAATCATCCGTCTTCACTGCAGATATTCGCAGTCAGCACCAAGTTCAATGCAGCGTCCAACAAGAAACCCTTAGCAGTCCTATCAGTGCATCTTCTTTCTCAGTTGAAGCGCTGCCGGAGTTTGCTCAGATGAACTGGGAAGCACAGAAGATGCGCCTGGGTGGGAAGCTCGCGGTATCAGCTCTTGCGAGGGAGAAGAAGTGGAGTCACCACTGCGACCCCGCACTGAAAAGCCGATCATACATATCGCATTGCATAAGCGCCACATCCTGACAGCCGAAGTTCCGCCAACGTCGCCTGCATGGTCAGTAGTCCAGACTCCAGAGCCAATGACTATATCATTTGCCCACCCTCCGTTAAAAAAACTCACTCCATCCATTCAATCCTCTCTTCAGCAAAGTGCTTTCCCACTCCAGGATGGCTTCTTTTTACGATGAACAGTCGCCATTGATTAAACGCCATGAACGAGAGGAGCTAGGCCGTTGGAACTCTTCCACTTTAAACGTACTCCGCGTAGCCGCCACTTTCTTCTCTTTTATCATTTCCGGAGCAAATGACAGCCTGTACGGCGTAAGTATCACCCGTTCACCATACAAGTTCTTCTCGCTGACCATCTCAGGTTCTCATTCCACGGGTATGTTTCTCGTCTGTCGCTTGGGCGTTACTCTTAGTTGACACGGGTACAGCTGGAGTCCTTCTATCACCTCAACCACACAACTGTTTCTCTGCTGTTCCTTTCGCCAGTCGCCGGGTACATCGTCGCCACCCTCGCGAACCATTCCATGCACGTTCGTCTCGGCCAGCGTGGCATTGCCTTGATCGGAGGCTCTTGCCACGTCATGGCCTACGCCATTGCAAGCACTCATCCACCCTTCTCCGCACTCGTCCTCGTCTACACCTTGGTGGGACTGGGTAGCGGGACAAAGCAGGCGGCGTGGAACTCGTGGGTCGGAGGCTTGCAAAACCCCAACGAGCTCCTGGGGATCCTCCATGGCTTCTACGGCGCCGGCGCCACAATCATGCCCGTGGTGGCGAGCGTGCTCCTCGGCAAACGGGGCTGGTCATGGTATGAGGTATACTACCCCTTCGTAGCCATCGCTGCAGCCGACATGGTCTTCTCTTCTTCCGTGTTCGCGACCCATGACGGGAGCGCGTATCGGGAGAAGAATGGGATACAGCCTCGGGAAGAGCACGGTCAGCACACAAGAACACGGGGGTGTTTCGCTGCCATCAAACGCAGCCAGACTGCCGTTTGTCTCAAGGAAAAGGTCGTCCTTCTCGGAAGTGCTTTTCTCATCACCTACACCGGTTCGGAAGTTGCTCTGGGAGGATGGATGGTCACTTTCCTGATGGAGATCCGACACGGCACGGCCTTTGCCTCCGGACTCGCCGTCAGCGGCTTCTGGGGCGGACTCACCTTGGGCAGATTTGCTCTGGGTTTTGTGACGGCGAGGTTTCTCAACAACATGAAACTCATCGTGTCTTTTTACTTGGTCTGCGCCATGGCCACCCAGCTGCTGTTCTGGCTGATACCGAACTTCATTGCGTCCGCTGTCAGCGCGGCATTCCTGGGTAAGTCTTGCCAACCCCGCAACCGTCCCTCCACTGTTGAGCTCAGAAATCAACCAGGCTTCTTCCTCGGCCCACTGTTCCCTGCTGTCATTGTGAGCCTTACCACTGTCCTCCCAAAATCATTGCAAGTGCCTGCAGTTGGTATTTGCTCTGCTATTGGAGCGTCCGGTGCATCTTCTGTACCATTTGCTGTTGGGGCCATTGCACAGGCCATGGGAGTGCAAGTGTTGCAGCCGATCATCTTTGCATGTCTTCTATTGTGTTTGTTGCTTTGGGCCTACTTCCCGGACCCAGACTCTCCTTTTGTTGATACTCAGACTGCTTGATGAGAACAGAAGTAATCTATCTTCATGTGGAACCTCAAGCAGCGTGCTATTCTTGTTTCTCGCCGTGGAGTTGCATAAAATGGAGTAGGTGACCGATTGACCTGGGAAGAGCGAAAATTCCGGAATAGACCACGAGTACGAACATTTGAACGAGTTGATGACACTGGCCGAGAAGAACTGCTTTGAACCTTCAAATTGCATTCAACCTGCCTACTTTCGTAATCCAATCAACAGACTTCGCTACACTGATCAATGACACAGCTACCGAATTCTACCACGGCGCCCACCTTCCAGGTTTTGAGAGATATTCCCAAACTCTAACATTCCCTACACCGTCCTGGCGGCTTGACTTTCCAACGTAGTCGTCTCATCTGTGTCCCTCGTCTCCTCACGAAACGTCTTGTTCTCATCGACCTCACGTTCTTGGAGTTTCGCCCGTGCAACATCCTCATACGACGCCGGCGGTGCTTGCAGTCTCGGATGCTTCGGATCAACTAAGTCCAGCACAGCCAAAAAGTCGTCCCTGCGCGCCACAGGAATACTTTCATCGACGCAGTCCCATTTACCGAGACCTATCTCCTCATTGGCCAGCCGCTGGAGCTGGATGGTTTCGTTGGTGCACCACTCGAGGCGCGAGTACGAGACGGTACGGCGGCGCTTTTGAAGCCAGGCGACGAGGGGCTCGATGGCGTACGAGGCGATGATGATGAGGCCGCCGACGGAGAAGATGATGGCGATGCCGAAGATGGAGAAGTTCATGTAGCCGGCGCTGTGGACTTTCTGGGCGGTGATGCATCATACGTTAGTCCCGCCACGGGGAATCATGGGGGGAATTGGAAGCGTACCTGGTTGTGGCAGATGCCGCGTTCCTGTAAGTTTGCCGGTGGCTCGAAGTACGGACGGAGCTCCACGGATGGGGCCCCCGCGGCACCAGCAACGAAGGCATCTTGCAATGCAGCCATGGAAGTTGAGAACCAGTGCTGTACTTCCAGCTGCCACTGATTGTCTGGTATCGGTCCTTGTAGGGACCCGCCGAGTCTGAATCTTGCCGTCAAAGCCGATACACCTAGAGTGGATATGACGTTTGACATTGATGGCGTGAGGTTCTCCGTCATGGTAGTGAGCCAGTAATGGATCTTTCGTTGCTTCTCATGCTGAGCTGGGAATGGCTCCATCGTGGAAGCTATTCGGCCTTGCAATGGTTGGCACTGATCACTGCCGTTGAAGGTGGGATTGCACCATTGTTGACGAGATGTACATCCAAGAAAGGTGACTATATCATCTCGAAGGTAAAGCTCCGTGGAGCCACTGAGATCTGACTGTAGGATCTTGTAGCCGGAGGGACGACTTGCAGCATACCAAAGGTCTTCGGTTGGCTCAAGAAACTCAAGTCCACTGTCGGAGAGAGCGAAAAGCATGATGTCGGCATCGGGAAGCGCAAGTTCAGGGATGGGGTGGAAATAAGAGTACTGGTTGGCGTACGATCCGTTTATCAGGAAGGCGTTCAGTATGCTTTCAGAGGGCATTAGCTTCTCCACACATTCCATTCCGTTTAATGAATGAGTATAAACGCACCTCAACGTATAGTCCGAGGTTAAACTTGTCTCGTTCTGACGGAGCATTAGGTAATCCAACTCCGGGAACTGATAGGTGAAAGGGGTCATGCCAGCCCGGGACGTCATCGGCAAAGAACACGAGTCTTCCACAAAGCACCTTCTCGCAGCCGTCGTCACCCAGTGCTTCTCATACATGGTTCACAAATGCGTCCAGTACGGATACGTGTACACCGGCGAAGCCTTCATTTTTCTGCACATCCCCGACGATCCTACCGTGGTCTATTACTCCATCTGCATCCCGAGTCTCGACGTCGAGGATGAGGACGAGAACCGGCTCCATCGGACGGCCGTCGGTCAAGTGACGGCCTTCATTCTCCGTGCTCTTGCTGCAGAGTCACCGACGCAGGCGTGGCACCAAGCGACAGGTACGCTGCTCACTTGGGATGTCGAGTACATCGACATCTTGAAGAACATTCCGGAGACGGTGCACAACATGACGCGCGAAACATTTTCGTATAGACCATCACGCTGGAAACCCGCCTCTATTCGTCCCCACCGCCGGACCCGGGCGCAGTGTTTGCTGGCAGACGACCAAGAGGGCGTGCAGAGCGATGGGGATGAGGATGACGGCTCGGACAGCAACATGCCACCCACGCCAACTCCGGGACCGACCACGCGCGCTCGCGCTCGCGCTCGGACTGCTCAGAGCTCGTCTCGCCATCAACAGGCGAAGCAGGCAAAAAGTGCCGACAAGCAAAAGTCTCGGAACAAGACAAATGTGCGAGTGGAGGACCAGCCGTACTGTACACATGCCTGCCTGCTGGGGCTGCTGCACAGCGGACCGCTCGACCAGCAATGTCCCAACATCCAGGCCCACAGGACGGAGCACATAAAGCCACAGGCCTTTCTCCGCCTCATCAAACACCAGCTCGCGGTCGACCTCGGTGCCGACGCCGACTGCAAGCCGCTCTATATCCGTGGCTCGCGCGGCGCGCTCTTCAAGGTGCGCCTCTCCTCGCACGGCTACACGATGGTAGCTAAAGGCATGCAAGAGGACGACGCGCGGTATATCTATCACGAGCACTGCATGTACCGGCACGTTTTGGCGGCGCAGGGCACGGCGGTTCCTGTGTGCCTCGGCCTAACGGAGCTACAGCTACCGTACTTCTACGACTCTGCCGCGTACACGCATATGCTGTTCCTCAGCTGGGCCAGCCGGCCGCTATCCCACTTCATTAACAAGGAGAACGCTGCCACTCTAACCGCAGAGGCGAAGGCGAAGCTGCGGGTACTGCACGCGCTAGGGTTGCTGCATAAGGATGCCGAGATGCGCAACGTGCTATGGGATGAGCAGACCGGGGGCATGATGTGGACCGACCTAGAGCGGGCAGAGGTGCAGGCTGAGGCGAGAGCACAGCAGCCGCTGGGACTGGTCAGTCCCAATCGGACGCAGGAGGGCCCGGTGGCTAAGAAGACAGGCGGTAGCCCGGCTGAGTTTTCGCGCGAGCTGATGCTCCTTTCTGCGCACGTGGATCGATTCGTCCACCACTAGCTGTTATCCTGGAGGGAAGTTGGGCAGGAACGAAGCATGATTTGCGGTTAAGGCGTTATTAAGAGGTCGAGGGTTTCTCCTTGTTATACCCAATATAGGTTTATGCATATTATCTGCTCGCTCAATAATAATAGCTAATCAACGTCTATTACCTATGTTTTACCCGTAATTACGTGTTCTACTTTTACTGGCAGGGACTCCGGAGTCCCGACCGCGAACGGAGCGCTCGCGGGGATCCACTTCATCTGCGAGGCGTCTAGCCCGGCGCAGCTGAGAGTCCTCGGCGACGCCACCGCGAGGCCCGACCCCTCGACGTCCGACTCGATTATCACGACCGGCACGAGGGGCGCCCATGGCGGCCAGCATCCTCACCGTCGCCTGCTCCGACCAGGCCTCCGCCTACGACCCCGACACCGGGGAGCTTATAAACGGCATGGTCCAGTCCCTACTGAGACTCGACTGGTGCTAAAGCACGGTCGAGGGGGGTTCTCTGGCGCGCTTCCTCCTCGAGTATACCATGCTCGAGGGCGCGCTCTTCGAACACCGCGAGCTCGAGGAGGTAACGGACTTAGTGCGCGGGCTCGCTAGGGCTGCGAGGGTCGGGGAAGTCGCGGCGAGGGAGGTGCTACGCGAGTAGAAGCTCGGTGGGAAGGGCCTGGCACTGCCCACGTATCCACCGGGCTCCGCAACCTTGATGATGGCTTCCCACAGAGCCTGACCATTGATATTGGACCCAAGATCTCTCTTGATGGCATACAAGATCCCTTTCCAAGGATACGACAGCATGCCTTCTTGCACCGGTGCTCAGGAAAAGCTTCATGCCGACACGTGTTCATCTTTGCGCCGTACTACGCTTCATCAACGCATTCAATGACGCGAACGATTTCGATCGCATCCCACTGCGGTCTTCATCTTAAATATAAGTAAGAGATTTATAAAATAGAAGTATTATATAGGTATAAATCTCTTTACGTCGGCTCGTAAATAATAAAGTTCTTACTTTTCCCTTAGCTAATTATAGCGATTATATACCTTATAATACCTTACTACGGGTTTCCTAGTATCGATCTATACTATAGATTATTTCGACTTAATATATATATATATAAAGAAGTAAGAATATCTTAGTTTAAAGGCGCTATACTAATATTAGCCGCTCTAGCCTTACGCCTAAATACGTTAAAATTAACTAGCTAACTAGGTAGCGTATTATAATAAAAGCTACGTATTAGAGATTTAGAGTATTATAGCCTATAACCCGTAATCTACGTATAAATTATATATAGACTAGTACTATTATCTTCGCTCGCTTACTTAGTAGCTAATTCTTCTAACTTTCGTATTATTTCCGCCTATTCTCCTTCTATCTACGTAATATTATTAGATTTATAAATAAATAGCGCTATCTTATAACGTTAAAGTCTTTATATTAGTTTAGCTAGCTATTAGTAATTACGTTTTCTCTTCGCTTATAGTAAACTACTACTAATACTAATAAATATTAAAAACTAATAGCGGTTTTAGATATTACTACTTTATAAATATTTTAAAGTATTAATCTAACGCTCGCTAGATCTAGAGAGTAACTTAAAAGAATAGCTTTATAGCTTTAATACCGGTATTAATAAGCTTTAGAGTATTAAAAATCTATTTATTAGCTCTACTCTTATTCGTATTACTAAATAAGATAGTACTAGTTATATTATTAGCTATACGTATAAGATTAATTAGATTTAATCTTTCGTTAAGTTCCGCCTATTCTCTCTTAGTCCAGCGGTTATTATAACTTTAAGCGACTTCGAAGATCGTAGCTTTTAATTCGCGGGGATATATATAGTAATAATAAAAGTAATAATAGTTAGAAATATACTAGCGAGTATTCTAGTTCTAACTTTTATATATTTTATAGTTAAGATACTATTTTTAATAACGTAAACCGCGCGCTCGTATACTAATACTTAATATAAGATCTTTATAGAAGAAGCGCGTTTAATAGAGTAAAATTTAGTCTATTTTTAAATATAGTTACGCGATAAAGAGAATACTACTATATAAAGTATTCTATTTAGCTAAAGTATAAATTAAAAGCTTAATCTAGTACTTTAAAAAATTACCGTCGATAGAATCTTTAAAATTATATTTTATATTACGTTTATATTATAAGTCTAAGTTGTTTAGATTTAGAGGGGCGTAGGGGCCGAAACCGTAGAACTTAGCGAAAATTTTAGAATACTAAAATTTTCGAACACTAAAATTTTCGAATACTAAAATTTTCGAATACTAAAATTTTCGAATATTTCGTTTATCGATTCTTTATAATACTCTACTAGAATATTAACTATAGTTAATATTAAGCGTAACTCTTACGTAAAGCTTAGTAGAAGTAAGCGTAAGTACGTAGCGTACTAAAGCCTAAAGCGTATCTAGTAAAGCGTAACGCTAGCTCTTTACGTAGTACGCGGCGTATCGAAAGCCTATCTAGAAAAGCGTAACGCTCGCCCTTTACGTAATACGTAGCGCACTAAAAGCCTATCTTAAAAAGCGTAACGCTAGCCCTTACGCGAAAAGCGGCGCACCGAAAGCCTATCTAGAAAAGCGTAACGCTAGCCCTTACGTAGTACGCGGCGTACTAGAAGCCTATCTAGAAAAGCGTAACGCTAGCCCTTTACGTAGTACGCGGCGCACCAAAAGCCTATCTAGAAAAGCGTAACGCTAGCCCTTACGCGAAAAGCGTAACGCTAGCCCTTTACGTAGTACGCGGCGCACTAGAAGCCTATCTAGAAAAGCGTAATACTAGCCCTTACGCGAAAAACGTAACGCTAGCCCCTACGCGAAAATAAGCGTAACGCGGAGTTCTTAAGCGAATACGCGGCGTACTACTAACCGTATAAAAAATATACTAATCTTTACCTACTTTATTACTCTAGAACTTTAATTAGTTTTCTATTCTTTAAAATACCATACGAAGGCTTAAAGAATAGTATTCTACTATAAGAAGACTAGTCGTAAAGCCTATAAACGACTTATAACGAAGATACGTTTCTCTATCTTATTTTAGAATCTACCGATCTAAAAGCCTCTACCCTAGAATTCTACGTATTTCTAGAATAATTCGAAGGCTATCTAGGTAGTTTATTCGTCTATAGAAGACTAGTCGTATTTTACACCGAAATAAACCGCGTAAATTAGACCCCCTACCTACTTAACGTAAACGAGATAAGTATATTTACTAAGTTCTAGAAAGAAAAGAAGTATAGTAAACGAATATAGCTTAAACTATTTACGACGATAGTAGAAAGCACGATAGCTACTAACTAGTAGAACTAGATATAGTACTACTAGAAAGTTATAGTTATTATAAATAGTAAAGGTAGAGGTAAGTATCTACTTATCTACGACTACGATTTAGTATTAGACGCGGCTTTAAAGCGACGAAGGGATATTCTACTCGGCTATTAATAACGACTCGTAGCCTTTATAAAAGCCTAGACGATACTACTAGGAGTTTAGTATAATACCGACGACTTAAGTATAAAATAAAACCGATGCGTTATACATACCTACGAGTAGATAAAAAGAATAGTTATAAGCGGCGATAGACCGCTAGAAGACGACGACGAACGGATTTAAAATTATATTAGATTAGATAGACGCTAGACTTTTTATACTTTCTAATAGCGTTATATTAACCGTAGTTAATATCTTTTATTTAATTTTAATCCGTTTAATCCGTTATATAAATTATATTACTTTTTAAAGAAGTCTAATAGCGTAGTAGATATTAACCGTAGTTAATATCGTAGATATAACTTTATAAATAGCCAACCTCTAAGATAATTATTTCCCGCCCGAAAATAAAGAAGAAAATAAAGAGGATTTCGCACCCTTATTAGTCTAAAGAACTATCTATATTTCTAGAGAAGTAAGAAGTATTCTAACGAAAGAGTTTCGGGTTAATATTAAAGCTAATAAACTAATATATCTTACTACTACTTAGTATACCCTAGTTACTTATCGATATTATTATAAAGATCTTATTAGGATTACGCTAAACGCTAGATACGCTAGACGTATCGTTAGGCGTTAGAGGTATTTATCGCTATTTAAAAGAACCTAACCCCGGTAATTAACGAAGAGGTTCTAAGAAACCCGACGTAGGCGATAAGCGTAACGGCTTAAGTAGACCTAATATAGACGATAATAATAATAATAATAATAATAATAGATGTGGCGACTTAGAAGAGCCCGGCGTAGAATAAGAGAAATTAGAAGTAGCTAACTCGCTAATATATCTTCGCTTATAAATAGACTATATCGCTAGCTAGTCCTTTAACGTATCTCGTAATACGAAAATACGCTTAGAGCCTTTTAAAAACTTCTTACTAGACGCTAATATTACTATTAAAAGCTAAAGGGTATTAGGCCTTTTTATCTAATCGTACGAGGCCTCTAATTCTTCTATTATCTATAGAGATTTATTAGTAATAGCTTTACGTCGATTATAGGCGTTATTAACTAAGATTAATCTTTTTTTTAAGCTATACTATTCTAGCCTTAGCCTTATCTAGCCTTACTTTAGCCTTACTTTAAGAGCGGTTTATACCGTAGTATAAGTCGAGTATAGAGCGCGCTTAGATTCTTTACTTATATTTTCGGTAGAAGAAGCTGGGATTTAGGTAAGAAACTCGTATCTTAGATAGATAGAGTACTATAAAACTCGTAGATAAGATAAGAAAAAATAAGGTATATCGTAAAAAAGGCTAAGAAGATAACGAGATTAATTTATATATATTATAAAAAATTTATTAACTAAGATTAATATAACCGGTAGAGAGATATAGAAAGTAATAAAAAAAGAGTAGTAAACGATTATAATAAAGATTAAAAAGAGATATTTCGATCTCGTAAAGAAATTCTACAATAACCTAATTAAAAATAGAATTTAAATAAAAATCCTTTCGCCGGTAAATAATCGACTTATCTTAATAATTATCTAGCTA